ACCTGCTTAACTGAGGTCATCCTCAGTATATATATTCCGGATTAGCGACATTAAAACTGGTCGACCCGAATTACTTCTTAATTACAAGCAGCTACAGCATGATGGGTTTGCGTTTTCCGGCCTCGATACTAGATACATGGCATTACGTCCGTGTGATTATGATATAGACAGCTTAATGGGCAGATAAAGCTCAGGTGGTAATCTATTAAACAAAAAGAAAAAAATGACCAAAAATTGAATGACCAGTGCCGGGCTCGATCCGGCGACCTCATCGGTGTTAACGATGCGAGATAACCAGCTACTCCAACCGGCCCTTATTAGTAAGCATACACCGCTTAACGTAGCCGGACACCGAATGGCCCAAGACACCGAATGGCCCGCTTTCTCACCGCCCCCCCCCCTAAAAACTTCAACATCTCAATTTTTCTAGTCATTTGATCGATATTATAAAAATTTCAAAATGAGTGCCATTTCTAAAGATAAAAGGGTGCAAATGGCTATTAACGCATGGAATAATGGCCAATTTCAATCAAAAACTGCCTGTGCTAAGGCATTTGATGTGCCTAGAAGAACTCTCTGCCATCGACTTAATGGAATAACTTCCCGCAAGGAAATGCTTGCTAATAGTCGAAAATTATCCAATCTTAAAGAAGAGACATTAAAAAGATGGATTATTGATATGTACAAGCGTGGTTTACCCTGCGATCTCCCAAGTTTAATATCTTGCAGGACTTTTAATATCTGCACGTCAAAAAGCTTCGTTGTCATCCCAGACCTCTTCCTCAAACCTAGTTAGTGATAAATGGGTTAGTCGATTTATTGCACGCCATGATGATATTAAATCAAGGTATAATCGTTAATACGACTACCAGCGGGCGAAGTGTGAAGATCCGCAGGTTATTTAGGGCTGGTTTTAATTGGTTCAAAACACTATTCAAAAATATGGTATTTTAAAACAAGATATCTACAATATGGATGAAACTGGCTTCCAAATGGGTGTGACATCAACAGCTAAGGTTGTCTGCGGTACGGAAACACGCAAATCTGATGCTAGATTAATTCAACCAGGTAACAGAGAATGGGTTACATCAATTGTGACTGTTGGAGGAAGTGGCTGGGTTTTACCCCCCCAGATTATTTTTTCTGGAAAAAAACATCAATCTCAGTGGTATTCTGTTCTACCTAAAGATTATCGATTAAGTCTTAGCGAGAATGGCTGGACTAATAATAATCTGGGACTAGAATAGCTACAAGAAGTCTTCGACAAGCATACAAAATCCCGCATTGTTGGTCAATATCGATTGCTTATTTTAGATGGCCACGGGAGCCATGCAACTGCTGAATTTGATCGATATTGCATGGAGCATTCAATTATTCCACTTTATATGCCTCCTCATTCATCTCACCTTCTTCAACCGCTTGATGTTAGCTGTTTTGCACCTTTAAAGCGCTTTTATGGGCAAAAAGTGCAAGAAATGATGAATAGTGGTATAAAAACTATTGATAAGGTAGATTTTCTATCTATCTATTCATCGGTTCACTCAAAAGCAATGTCATCAGCAAATATATTAAGTGGATTCAAAGCTACTGGCCTTATTCCTCTTAATTCTTCAACTGTGATGTCAAAGCTAAAAATCAAGTTGAAAACACCAACTCCGCCATCTTCTTCAGGCAGCAACCAATCATTTTACTTGGGGAAAACACCTTATAATCTTTATCAGTTAAATCGACAAAAAGAGCAACTTCTTGAGATTCAAAACCAAGGTCTTTTTCCATCAATTGCTGATACTTTGCTCGATAAAGCTATGAAAGGCAATGAGATTTCTATGCAGCAAATAGCTTTATTAAGGGATGAACTCCATCGACGTCAGGCAGGTGATGAATACCAGAAGGACAAGAAAGAGGTGCCTAGGCAGTTTATTCAAGATGCAGGCAGTCTAACCACTGATAAAGCACTACAAATAATGCAGGAAAGGGAGGAGGCAATTCAGGCAGAGGCTCAGGCACCAAGGCGACGGAGGCCCCCTACCTGTAGTAATTGCAATATTCAGGGCCATAATCGATTAAAATGCCCTACTAGATAGTACTACACTCATTATTTATAATATATTTCATTTGTATAGCAATAAAGACTTCAAATATTATCCAAATGGTGGGAGGAGGCGGGGCGGTGAGAAATCGGGCCATTCGGTGTCTTGGGCCATTCGGTGTCCGACTACGTTAACTAATTAGTTACTACGAATACCATACAGATAACTAAAATGCGAATCTCAACCAGACGAATTCTTCCTCAGCATTCAAAGTCGAAGCCTTTGCTTAGAGTTGAATTTCCTCTTTTGAGGCTTCCGAGAGACTGGATCTACTTTGCCGACAGCCATAGTTGTTTTCCTAACCTCCCTCCGCTTTGTTAGATTCGACTTGCTTGACCATAGTATGTCTGGTCTCGTAGGGTAATCCCCCAGATTAATACCACCCTTCTTTAGACCCTTCCACTTCTTAGCCAGTGAAACTCGCGAAAAGGTCGTGATCTGGGTATCGGTTTGGACGAAGAAAATCTTTTTTTTTTTTTTTTTTTTTCGATTCCCGCCTCGAACGGGTGGTAAACCGGGGCATGATGTTGTGAAATACCCACGTTTTAGCAGTCCTTACATTTTGTCCAAACCTCGTGTAGCAAATTATTTTTCTCCTCCACCGAGCATCGTATCAAATATTCTTCCCAATCAGCAGACCGTGAGCGCTGAAGACACCGGCGTGTTGCTATTCTATAAGGCTAATGTGGATTGACTAGAACGAGGGCCACAAAAGCTTTACTGGCTGCACCACAATTTGGACGGCCACAGCCATGCATAGTGTACCAGACGTATTTTTTTGGGTCGGCCTTCGCGTAGCAGGCAAAGGCATCGTCTAGGACTCACTCACCGCATCTCATGCTCTTCGACGCACAATATGATGGTGCTCCACACCAGAGGTTATGAGATCCCGCGCACTCGTGTGTTGTTGCTTTAGGACCCTGCAAATGTACCATGTGGCTACTTTAAGCACAATCTGCAGAAGGGTCGGGTCGACTTGACAGTTGGCAACAGATGACAAAAGGTGTACGCAGTTATCAGCTCGTCTTTGGAGGATGGGCTTTTATTCGATCTTCCGGCCATTCTGTTGTTGGATCCATGTGATAAGTCTACTGGGAGTTTCATCCCACTCTGAGATTTCACCCCAGTCAGACGCAATGCTTGACAGAAGGTCTAATTGAGTTAAGATTCGAAGCGCTGCCTAGTGTAGCAATACCTGTCCAGTAGCTTTGAGTAGGGAGTGAACCATGTCAATAGATTGACGAGAGCGACGCAAAGCTGCGCCACTGTAAGCATTGGTGGATACGGTGCGTATCGTCACCTCCTTTTGAGTGCCGCCCCGAATAGTTTCAGATGAGGTTAACCGTGCTGTCGCCAAGCTGAATTGCCGGATTCGAACCGTTGTCTGTTTCCTGACTAAAAGGATCTTTCACAGAGAAGGTGGCATTATGGAGGTGGCATGCAGCTGGCGCCAATGGATTTCCGCTAGGATGTAGCAGCAGTCCCGGTGGCCTTTCCACCCCAGATGTCCCCAGGTTTCCGTTTCTCGAGCAACAAATTCGGAAAACGCCCTGTCGACGTCGTACCTGGTGGCCGGTGGAAACTGGAGACAGATCTATGAGCTGGGGCAAAGCTAGGCAGGACAGTACAACGTTCTCTACACTCGGATTCGCGTAGGAGTGGCTCAAGAGCTTTCAGTCTCTCCATGTCTTATCCATCGAGGCATTCTCAGGGGGCTGCACCCATCACCAAAGAAGTGGTAGACATAGCTACTCGTGCCATAATCACCGTGGTTTTACATCGTGGTCTGGATAGTAGGTGAAGTATTACTCGATTGTATAGCTTGCCGGACTGGTATGTCAACTATTGCACCGCGAAAGATTGCGGCATGCTCATGGTGCTGTGAGACTTGACTATATGGGCGAAAGAAAGAATTGTAGGCAGAGAAGTAAGGTGTGGGGAGGGCAGAGACTTGTCGGTCTCTCCGGCCATTTGAGAGCGAATTACCTTTTTACCAGGATTGTCCTCTGCTAAACCAACAAAAGATCCCAAACGCAGATATCTTCCTCAGTACTGGGCCCACTATGTATTGCCAGTTTTATATAGATCTAGACCATCCTGCCAAAATACGACCATATACCCGCATTTTAATGATCAAATGCAAAGGGATAAGCCACAGATAAAGGGAGAGGAAATCCTTCTCGAGGCTTAGCAATGGCTGATGAAACCCAAAAATTTACAGTTTCTCTAAGGCGAGTTGTTGGAATAGCTGGCTATTATATATCGTGTGGTAGATGTGCTTGCCTGCCAGCTATTATGCACTTTTTGACGAGTAGATCCCCAGCAAGGGCCGGTTGGTGTAGTTGGTTATCACGTATCGTTAACACCGATAAGGTCGCCGGATCGAGCCCGGCACTGGTCACTTCTAAATTTTTCAATTTTCTTTTTTTCTCTTCTTTGAGAATTAAGTCTTGGTGCTGTCATTATTTTCTTACTATTTCCACTTATTTCAACCTGCCCTACAGAATCGGAGAAGAAGAGAACAGGAAGCAGTAGAACATGGCATATCCACAACTATATGCTTGCCTCCCTGTTCTCCAATCATAAAAGAAAATGCCAAGCCCTCCATCTCCCAAGGCGGTCGGACACTGATTCTATCGATAACCATTTTTCAACTTTTTCCCCTCAAGGGACTGCTGCGACAAGTTCTGGTTGATTCTCCACACTGAAAGAAGCGAGAGGGCTTTTCTCCCGCCCGCCTGAGAGACTGATTGAATACCTGGAAATCACAGCCATACGTGCGGTCATTGGAAAATCCTGTTCTGCGCGAGACCGAGATAGTCTAGGAACCTTTTTTATTTTTTTTTTTTTACCCTGCTTGAGACGCCGAATAGACTTGAAGAACAGCCCATACCACGACATAATCTCGAAATGCCATCTTCCGTCCATCCTCAAGACCAGGACCAGCCCATGACGGACGCTCTGCCCCAGGAGCAGGAGCAGGAGTATGAACAAGAAGATGTGTTGGAACTGGAGGAGAAGCGGATTGTCGTTGTTCGTTCTACATGCGATTTTGCGTCGACCAATGCAGTATTCGCTAACGTTGGTATGGTAGTTACCTGGTGCCACCGAAACCGCTGCTTCATTCCAGTTCGAGGGCGAGGGCCATACCTTGGGAAATGCTTTACGATATGCGATCATGAAAAAGTGTGTATATCCTTCCTGGACCCGGTGCACTGCGAACCCTAGAGCTGAACATGCAAGCTGACCTCTTCTGCAGTCCCCAGGTTGAATTCTGTGGATATACCATCCCTCACCCTTCGGAAACGAAAATGAACCTACGAATCCAGACGTACGGTATGGAGAGCACCTGGAGCACTTTCCCCGGCAGGCGAATTTTTGAACTGACTTGCTTAATCAGATACAACGAATGCAGTGGAGGCTTTGGAAAAAGGCTTGGAATCCTTGATGGATCTATGTGACGTTGTCACAGAAAGGTTTATCTCTGCGCGTGATGCTTTCAATACCTCCAAGGCAGATAAAATGACATCGTAGCATCTGCCCCTTTTTCTTTTTCGTTTCTTCTTCTGGTTCTATGTGGCGTTTTGTATAGTTACTCTGTTATATAAGGGGGTCAAGCATTGTTTATGCCCTGTCAGCAACTCAGCATTGTTTTTATAGAAACTTGATATTCAACTGGACATATTATGGAACTGTAGTTTATATCTCAGTTACACTGTGTCTCCCATGCCTATAGATTGTCCCTAGGTGGTTATCTACACGAAATGACAGCAGTAAACTAGGTGTATCCATCCATGCCAACAACTGTACCAAATTTGCCTCATGCCACTCAATGTTCCCTGCATCTGCTTCGGACATGAACACCACCTCTATAAGCACGCTGTGGAAGGCTTGAATTGTACTTCCGAAGCAGCCTGTATTCCTCAAATATACCACTCGTCCACAGTACTGTTTGCTACTGTCTCGGATTTTCCCCATGTGCCATGTGTGCCTCTAAAGAAATATCAGCTGTGCTGTATGAAATGTATATTTATTAGGGTGGTCGAATGAAAAATACGCTGGACTACTAAACCATCTGACTTGTAAATAACCATATCTCTTGCCGAAGAATGTTAAATAGGCGATACCCTTAGCGGCAGGATCTAATAACCCAAGCTTACAGAAGATGCCTAGTAGCCACTACTGAACTACCCATAAAAGAGAAAAATCCGACGTTAGCTAGACTAACAATATTTACATAGGACTTTCTATCGTTCCAATCTTCGGAACGCATGTAGCTACCATGGAGAAACAAGAAAAAGGGCAGGACACAATTCAATTTAGTTGCGGCCTTCCAAGAAGCCAGAGATGAAGTTAGGAGGTAGTCGAGCGCCGGGTTCCTCCTCTGGCCGGAAGTACTTCATCACATGCGACAGCTGCTTCCAGTAGTTGAGGGTTTCCTAATAGGTGCGATACGAATTAATTCCGACTCGGATGCCAGACAAAGGGTTGCGACAGAGTGCATCAGATTGTGTTGGATCCAAGTCATCCAACTGACCATCCTGGAACTCGATGCGAATGAAATATCAAGTGTCCCACTCACCTGGTATTCAGAGTGGCTCTGGAAAAGTAGCACGTCGATAACACCCAGCTGTTTCACGTAACGGTGCTTTTCGAACTCCTGGCGGATCTTTGTGCGGATGGCGGACACGGGAATGTTCAAGGAGTACATGGTCTGGATCTCTGGGGACTGCTCGTTTCAATGATCATTGGTGTTAGTTGACTGTTCCGAAGGATATGGGCACGGGTATCTTGGTCTTCCTGTTTGAACAATTGGCGACCTAGTGACCGCAGAAACCCACGTGCCCAACAATGGAATAATAGTTGCACTAACCGCTCTAAGCCATTCCCTGTAAGACCTCATGACACGAGACTTCGCATCGGCCCAATTGGCGGCTGTTGAATGCGAGATAGATTAGCTCTGGGTTCTGCCCATTGAGGTAGCGGCAATTTCTAAAGACCGGACCAATCCGGGGTGTTGGGGCAAACTGGGGACGTACAGGAGCGCGTGCGCTGCGCAAGGTAAGTCGGGTTGATAGTCATGGTAGTTGAGATGAACAGAAGATCCCCAGGCCGGGAGGTTTGGCAATGGCATACAGATGAGCGGAGGAGGGAAGAGGCGCTGCGGAAGAAAGTCGACGATCCGTTCGGCCTCGATTAGCGTGATGATTAGATGGGAAGTAGAGGTGTTGTGAGGCCATGCTCACCGCCTGCCTGTTTCAAAATTTCTTCACGGCTCCTCATGCGATCAAGCTTCGTTTCTGGCTCATTCGTTCCTCTGACTGATTAATTTATCCTGGAGATTCTCGCATTGGTTGAGATCGTGGGATACGTATTTCTTTGTTTCGGTTCGCTCAGTTGTCGCTTATACTTTCCCAAGTTCCCCTGAGCATTTTCGCCTACCAAAAGAACGTCTCTGATTTCCTACCTGCTTGTATGCGATAGTCTCGATAAGTCAAGAGAAGAATATTGAGATGGCGCCGGCTAAGGGTTCGGCAAAGGGAAAGGCCTCTTCTGGGGTGGATTCCAAGAAGAGCAAACCGTTGTCTTCGGGATCCCGAGTGAGCAAGAAAAACGTCAAACGCCCGCCACCCCAGGAAGTCAAGTCGAAGGCGCGCACTGAGCCATCGTTATTGAAGAAGACAAAGAAGAAGGAGTACTCTGAAGCAGAACTGGATTTGCCTAAACTGAATATGATCACGCCGGTTGGGGTGGTGAAGCCCAAGGGAAAGAAGAAGGGAAAGGTTTTTGTGGATGACGAGGTGCGTCGGCTGTCTTCCTCATTCGCTCCACCAGGAACACACTGCTAATACTGTTGTCTATAGGAGGGAATGGCAACCATCCTTGCCATGGTGAATGCTGAGAAGGAAGGTCAAATCGAGTCGAAGCTGATGAAAGCGCGTCAATTGGAGGAGATCCGAGAAGCGAAGAGGAAGGAGGCCGAAGCCAGGCAGGCACAAAAGAAATCTAAACTGGTACGCATATACGTCACAATATCTGCTTGGCGATTGGGGTACGAGCGACTAATACTCAAACAGGAGGATGCCAAACAATCGATACGCCAGAAGCGGAAGCACAGAGGCGACAATGATCATGATACTCGGACCGCCGAGCCGGCTTCAAAGTCAAAGGGGAAGAGAAAGAGCGTTTCATTTGCTTGAGGTGTTATGTAAAAATAAAAAGTTAATTCTGTCTATACTATGTCTATGTATTTAGATAGGGGTCTGGCGTTTCCATCGGTCTACTGAATGACAACTCATGACGATCATTGCTGCATCATGAAAACAGGTATCAGCCTTCAGTCCATAGTAGATATATATATAGAGCTCTAAGCCGACTGGGCCAATTTTAAGCCTAGTTTACGCCGCATTGGGCTGAACTCCGGTTTGGGAGTCGTGTTGGGTTCTCCCCCAGGCCGTTCAAGATCGATGTGGCTGGGAATATTTTCTGGATTTTGGACCATGAAAGGAGTTTCAAGGTCGACTTCTTTGGCCATTAGATTAAGAAAGTTGTTTACCTGAGAAGCGTTCAGTATATAGGAAGGGAAATAACAGCAAAATGACCATGAAACGTACTGGCTTAACAAACCACCTGTCTCCTCCAAGTTCAAACCATCCTAGATGCCCACCCCACGACGTGGTCATCATGACTCCATAAGGGGTTCGTTGGATCTCCTCGAATGGGAGTGCCTTAACGGAGGCAATCTACCGTAAAGTCAATGCAGGTCCAATGTGGATTTCGGTGCTTTAGTGCTCACAGGATCATCCTCTGCCTGTATAGTAAAAAAGGGGATCTTAATGGCAAGCATGGAATCAGTGGAAGTGGCATCACGGTAATAGGCGCCCTCTGTGGGATAACCCCAAAGTGGACATTGTACGGCCCTGCCCAAAACCCAAAAGGTTAGAGACTATCTGAGAAACACTTATTGACACACGGTGGAAATGGTATACCGATCGAACTCATGCAAATAAGTAACTTTTCGCACAGTCTCCACATCAAGCCGAGGGTTCTTGGAGACTTCTTCCACATGCCTGGGCACGTTTATTGTTAGTCAAATAATAGAGGCAGGAGTTGATACAGGTTACCTACTGTTCGAAGAGCTGCTTCATGCTTGAGCCCATTACTTTGCTATAGACCTCAAGTCCCATCCAAGTGCTTTGCAGGTTGACAGAGCCAACTTCCAGATTCCAAGGGCTTGCGCAGAGAACGGCAGCCTTCAACTCGCAAGCTTCGCCTTCTTCGCCTAAATACTATACGGTTCTTTAATTATGATTGAATCAACACATCTAGAGCTGACATGACTTACGTTAGTGAGGATATTGGCACCAAGAGAGAACCCAATCCCGAACAGAGGACGGTTTGGGAACGTCTTGCGTAGCCATTTCACGGTCTGACGAACATCCCACGTAGCACGAGCATTATAAAGCATCCCCGTGGTAATCTTGGTCCGAGAGCAGCCCCTGGAGTTGACAACGCATGCCTCCCAACCTTTATCGGCAACCAGAGGTGCGACAACATGACGCAGGTAGATTTCATGAGAACCGCCACTGAGGCCATGAAGAACCACCAGCATAGGCTTGGTATCATCCGAAGAAAGGGCGGAGAACTCACCCTCTGAGAAAAATGACGTTCGTTCCGGCAAGCCTGAGGGCTGAGTGTATTTCCTCTCTTCGTCGGCAGCCTGGCCAGTTTTGGGGACGGTGTATGGCTCCACGACAAAATCCACGGCAAAATGCCCATTAAAGGTGGAATTTTCCGCCTCAAAGACCCAGCGTTTATAGTACACTGGAACACCATCATATTTCACTGCCGTCCAGGCCGTCTGCAGATGACCATTGAAGAGGAATGGGTTGAGGGTACATTTTGCTGGGGTGGCAGTGCGACAAATGTCCAATAGAGTGGTTTGTTCTTGCTTCCCAGATTTCCCAGCCTTTTTTGATATCAGAAGAGCGTTGTCTTTAGAATGAATAAACGAAACTCGTCCAGTCGGTCGCATCCATGAGAATAGACCCATTATGATCACTGCAGATAGCAGAAAGGGAACGTGCAACAAGCTGAGGCTGGATGTGATGTCCGCGGAAGCCATAGAAGGTCAAACTTGGCTACAGGGGGAGCTCAACAACAGATCTGTCGACTGAGAAATAGTGGAGAGAAAAAAAGAAAAGCCTAAAAAAGGCATAACAAGACAGATATTAAAAAGAAGGAAACAGAAGGCGATATATCTTTCTTGCTTTTTCTTTTCCACCGGAGATGAGCCTCGGCATCTGTGCCTAACTAGTTAGCTAATCAGAAATGTGATGACATAAGCACCTTATCTTGTTAGGTTAGTTAAGTTATGTTAACTATTAACTTTTAACCTAACTAGTAAAATTAGTTAAACTTACTCTCGCTTGTGGATTACGTTAGCTGGCTTACCACGTGACATTTTTATATCTGATGAGTCAGCGGTACTGATGAGTCAGCGGTTTGGAACACAGTCACTGTCAGCACATCATGGGATGCAACAACCGGTCATTTGATCGAGCGGGTGTTGAGTTCGCATGCCCACCCTCTTCCAAGGAAAAGCCTTCTGAGCCACAGAGTTTCTATGCTTAGAATGGTGTTCTGTTTGCCCCAGCCGCCTGATCCGGTGGCACTTTGTATGCCGGATGCGGGAGATAGTGTGAGATTATGATGGATTCGTCTGGTACGCTTCGTTGAGGTACGCCCCTAGGAACCCATGTTGAGCTTGGAATCCACTTTCTAAAATTGACATATGGAAGACTATACCTGCGTTTATGGATGCGGAGCGGATGCTAGCTCAGGAAAAAGCACGCTAGACCCACCATGAAATGCAGTATACTAGTCATATATGTAATGCCGATAAGGTTGATGACGCTGTGACCTTGGCGCGTGCTCCGTTTGCGTGCAAGACTCTACCCAGACAATGTGAACTACTTCAGAGTCCAGAGACCTTCTGCTCTTTACTTTTTTCTTTCTTCTTTTCTTTTCTTTTGCACTGGTCCTTTGTCACGCGGTGTTCCTTCATTTAGTATTTCTACACGCCATGTAGCCGCAGTGCCAGCAGGAAACAAGCTGGTCTTCATTTTACCCATGAGTTTCTGCTAGACTCTCAAGGACTGTTGCAAAATTGAAAGCTTCACGTCGTTTGAGGTAGTTGCAAAGTGCAATTGGTGGTGCTCTCTATGCTCAAAAGCTAGGAAGCGCAATCGACATGGTATATAGTTTTCGTCGAGCCGGTGAGAGGTTTAAAACCATCGCCAAGATGAACCGTTGGTCACGAAGTCAAGACGAAGAGCAGGTTCCGGAGGTGGAGTCCTCCAGGCCGTGCTATCTCCTGCAACTTCCCACTGAGCTACTCCTGGAGATCGTCTCCCATTTATCTGTATTGCCAGAGGCATGTCTCGCGCTCACCTGTAAACGGCTGTACGCAATCTCAGCATCAATTCTGGACTCGAAGTCGCTTCACTTTAACCGAGATTTTGCTCCACTCTTCCACCATTACCGGAACGGGCATAACTTTGTCACTCCACGATGGCAGTTCATCAACCTGCTGGAAACTAGCAGGTGGCGCGCCTGTTCCAAATGCTTGAAGCTTCATCCACGAAGTTCATTTTCCTCCAGGGAGCTGAAACGAAAATCTGAAGAACGAGGCTGCAACCTGGGCAACCTTGCCGGCGTTGTTGATCTGTGTCCCTGCAAAAAGTTAACTTTCGCGGATAAGATGGATATTGTCGAGTTGTTAAAGATGCGCCAGAAGTCAGTGGAGGTTTTGGAGGCCCAGTTCAGGACTGGGGCCCAAAATCGTTTCTGCTGGCATTCCTGTACCGAGGACTATGGGGCGACGCAGTTGCAGATTGACATTTACCCCGAGCTGAATGAAGATGATCAGTTGATGATCAAAACGGAGTATCGGTTATCAACCGGGCCTGGGCAACTCGGCAAAGAAGAATACATGACACCTCGTTTTGGATGCGCGCATCGATCAGTCGACTTGTGGCTTTCTAGCGTCTGTCAGACCACCATTTGTCGACAGTACGACAGCTTCTGTGCCTCATGCAAACGGATATCCATCTGTAACACCTGCAACGCCTCTCTAAAATGCCCTCGCAAGCAGCCATTACGAGTTTACCAAGAATCAGGAAAGGCTACGTATTACTTCTGGATAGAGAGATGTCTAGGAGGAGCGTCCCCCGTTCCTGATCTGACGTGGGCGGCTCAGAGAATCCATCCTGCAGAGAACTTGATCGACGTAGACAATTGCAGTGAGCTATGCCCATGGACTGTTCGCGAACATCCTCCTCTCAACAATCCACCTAACCTGGGGATGGATTTACTTGACAATGGGATTCAGGATCCATCGATCAGCCAACTGTATTCTTCGATTAATATGATATAAAGACATGATATGGATTGATGGATGACTTGGTGGATACTGTATGGTTAATAGACAGGTTTATCCAGGTTTTTTTTTTTTTTTTTTTTTCTCTTCTCTTATGTGTTTTGCTGGGTTCCCCTTGTGGTTTTCCATGTATGTATCTTTTAGACGAGTACAACTCCTTTATATTTTGATAGTATATCTCTTGATAGTTAACTAATGTTATCGACTCATCTATACCTGAATTAGTCATCACTTGACCGCCCACAGGTTTCTCCGACCCGAAACGGAAAGGGAAACGCCCGTGATGGCAGAAACGTAACATTCACGACGCCATCGCTTCTCAGCCAGAGGTGCTTTCGACCTATTCTAGGAGACGGCAACAGGCTCGTGGGCATTGCCTGCATGCTGGGGTGATGAACTATCCACCACATAATGGCCAATACCCCCCGCAGTATCTGCAAAAACCCCCCAATCTTCAACAGCACCAGCAGACCATCCAGCCGCAGCAGCTACTGTACAATAATGGTCCCGCTAACACCTCGCCATATCAATATGGCAAACCGGTTGTCTATCCTCAGGTTATGATTCCATCCTATCCCGCTTATACACAACCCTATAGCCCGCAACCCCAACAGCCACCACAACAACAACAACCGCAACCGCAACCGCAACCTGCACCACAACCGGCCTCTCAGCCACCACCACCAGCGGTGGCGGAACAGCACCAACTGCCAGAGCAGCCGCAGTTTGTGAATCCATCAGATGTATTCCAGCAGCCACTAATCCCTCCGGTCTCGTCGTCATCATTCAACCGTACGCCATCTCAATATGGAAGCCAATCAGCCGTGTCAGCTGCAAGTAGCAGCCATTCCCCAGTGCTCTCTAGCACCGCTACAACGCAGTCGCCGTACCACACTCCTGCTCCCAACGCCAACCATGGGAGTCCATCATATGGCAAACACCCCCAGGCTTCACCCCGCCCACCACCAGCTCGGCCTCAACCGATTGTAGGAACACCCCCGGCGCCGTCGCCGAAAGCCATTCCTCAAGTGTTGATTCCCGCCCCTTCCCCAGAGGTGCAACAGAAAATGCAGCGGCAGGCTCCAAAGAAACAAGCGCAACGACCAGCTGGCCCGCCACTACCTCCGCATAAACCGGCAAATGCGGCTATAGACTACCAGGTGTTATTACTGGCCATGGCAGATGAGTATCTCAACACAGCTCACAGCCACGGGACAACAGTCGCATTGATGAGGCGTGAGGTGGAGGTAGAGGAATATTATAAACTGGTTGCGACGGGTCTTGGCTGCCTAGAAGCTGTGCTGAAGGTTTGTATAGTCCTCTTCTTCATAGACTTTATACCCCCTGCCCCTGACGAGCTCTTACTGATATTCTTTGTAGAATTGGAGGCTACAGCCGCGTGTGGAAGCTCTTGTACGATTGCGGTATTCTCGCATCTTGTTCGAAGAAACAGAAAATGACCTTGAAGCGGAGACTGCGTTAAGTAAAGGTGTATGTGCAACCTAGCCCGCTTTTTCCCCTTCCCCCTTTAGTGGGACTTTGCTGACGCTTCTTTGGTAGATTGATCTATGTGAAAGGGTAAGTCGCACTGAATTTGAGTTAGATGTACCCTGGTTTTCTCGGAGACTCATAGCGACCTAGAATCGAATGCTAGATCTCAAGTATAGCATGCAGCACCTTTTGGCGCGGATGTTGCACAAGACGAACCCTAAGGCTTCGTTGAAGGCAGTAGATGGAATGATTCAGGATGTAGAAGCGTGAGTTTGGTCTGGGTTTGCTACCCATGACTCCTGCGCTGACTGGTCTTGCAAGGTATCGTCATTCTGCCTGGGAATACGCGTTTCGCTTTCTCCGAGTTTCTCTCTCGCTGTCATCTGTTTCCCATCAAGATTCGATCTCGGCGGTGCAACACCTCCATAAAATTGCTGACATGGCCAACCGCAATGGCGACAAGGCTGTTTCGGCCATGTCGGCCGTGATCGAGGCTTTAGCACACCTGCAGTATGGGACCAGTTTCGACTCTGTTGAACAGGCTCAGCGTGCCGTGGCAGTAGCCCGGAGTCACCAACTCAATGATGAGCTTCGCCATATCCCGCAATTGACAACGCTAGTCCAAATGGTTGACATCTGCTGCAGTCTGCAGGAATACGACATTAACCAATCCTCTAATAAATTAAAAATATTGCAGGACTTGATGGATGAGAGATTAAACGATTCAAACTGGCGTGCTGATGGGTCATTCTCGATCCCCTTAAGTGGAAAGTCAGCCGGTCCCTCTTCGATAGATACTGGAGACATCCTTCAGGTTCAGAACGGCACATTGCTTTTGAGCTTCAATTGGTTACCGCAGCACGACCTCTATGCGCTTTGCTATTTCTTGAGCTCCATAACCCTGAGCTGCAAGAACTCTTATGATGGTCGCAAGGCCGAGAAGTTCCTCCAGGAAGGGCTACGCATGCTACAAGGTTGGCTGCCCTTGTCTATACTGACTTTAATGAAATTCTAATCTCCATATACAGGGAGCTTCAAGTCACCCCAGGATGTCACTGAGTCGATGGTAAACGCGAACAGACGGGTAGAATGGCGCAGGACCTTGTATTGCAATCTTCTCCTCCAGCAGGTATTTCTTGCATGTGGCCGCACGGACTGGGATCTGGCCAGCAAGACATTGAAAGATCTATGGCAGGAAGCGCAAGAACTTGGCGAAGGTCTTCCTTACCCTATTCAGTGCCTGATGGAATATGCCTCAGGTACCATCGCACAAGCGACCGGGGATTTAAAGGCAGCTTTTGGGTCTTTCCAGTCACCTCCCCTCTCACTGACATCGTTTCCGAGCAAGGCCGCTCGCAATGATCCCTGTCGTGATATCGCCACCCTAGCTGCTCTCAACACCATTCTTATTATCCGCGATCCCACCCACCCATCGCACTCTAACCTCCCTAGTGTCTTGTCTACTGTGGAGTCGATCTGCAAGGGTAGCCCCAATAAATACATACAGGCAGCCTACTACCTGGTATGTGCGACGGTACAGTCGGATTCCACCATCCAGACGAAACAGTTCCTTCAGCAAGCTCTCCAGTCGGCCACTGCCATCAGCAACAGCCAGATAACCTGTATGACCCTGACTTTCATGAGCTGGAAGTATTTCCGTGGCGTGGTTGGCGAACAGGCGGAAAAGAGTGCACGTGCGGGCCGTGCGATGGCGAAGAAAGCCAACGACCGTCTCTGGGTCAGTGTTACGGACGAAATGCTAGCGGAAACTCTGGAGAGGCAAGGGAAAAACGAAGAAGCGAAAGGAGTCCGCGAAGAAGGTCATCGAGTGATGATGGGGTTGCCGTCATCATTGAAACGACCGACTTGATGTTGTTGGACGTATCTCATTTTATTGCCTTCTCATCTTTCCGTTCTTTATTATCTTCATTTCGTGGTTTTACTGTACTAGTTGTATGTCCGGGGATTTCAGTTCATGATACCATATTAGTGTCTATGGTGTAGGGTGGCGCAATTGTGATTTACATTTGGAGATGGGGTTAGAGAGCAATGGAAAGTGATTTCAACTGCTTTGTGTAGGACTCCTTCTGGACTCACCTTATTGAAGTGGATTTCTCTGAGATTAATCCAAAGCCACAAAGAGAAGGATTATTATGCTCTTGAGGATAATTACTCCATCAGTTGAAAGAGCTATACGTATTGTAGATGCTGTGTACGGAGGGGTGAATTACTACCTCCGATCCGAAACCTATAAAAGAGCAGGAGGGTCTCTGCACTATGCACTGTAGATTGCGTAGTGACACATCGAGTGCTTACAAAAGTAGTAGCAACAGTCTGCCCAGTCGACTGATCCGCGAACCCATGGCATAAACGAGACCAAACGGTAGGTAGTAGCAACAATGAAAATTAGACCTCCTGGTTAGGACAAAACTCCTTTCCTAGTACGCCAGTCACTTATACACCAACCAGTAATGTCGAGTAAATTAATATAACAGGAACCAAGTTTGTAGACTCCACAAGAATGAATATTATAGGGGTAATTAGCCTTCATGCACTAAGCTGAAGCTTCCACGTGTGTTCTTAGGTGCTCTGTACCTTTTTTCCTTGCTCCTATTTCTTTGCTTTTTCATTTCATTTCTTTTCTCACCCTTTGTTGTTGGCTCATCCTTTCCTTAACTGCCTCATTCCATACGTAAGTTTATAAAGGTGAGATTATCCTAAGCCACCCCAAGCGCCACGAATTCTCCGAGCCAGTTGGATATCCTTTTGCATAATGGTAACGCGCTTCGCATGTATGGCACACAGGTTGGTGTCCTCAAATAAGTGTACAAGAAAAGCCTCTGCAGCTTCCTGAAGTGCTTGAATCGCGTGTGACTGCCAGCGCAGCTCAGCACCAACATCCGCCGGAAGAAGCTCTAGTGCAACCTCGCGCACTAGTCTTGCAAAAGGAAGCTTTAGGATGAGAAGATCATAAGAGCGTTGGTATTTTTTAATTTCCTTCAGGGCAACGGTTCCTGGCTTATAGCGGCGGGGACGGCCTTGGGGTGTAGGATCACCAGCTATGAAAAGGCCCGTGTCAGTAAAAGCGCAGAGAATTGTGACTGCGCGGGCCGGAACTGGGGCGATAGAGGTATATTTAGCACGTACGTTGGACATCTGATTTTCTGGACGCGCCGGGAGGTCTCTTGCCTCCCGTCGACTTGCGCGCTCCCCGGGTCGACGGAGATGCAGTCGCCTGGGATGAACCGGCAGTTGCAGTCTCCTTTCTCACTTGGCCTCCGCCTGGTTGAGTTCGTGGCACGGCAGTTATCTTGCGACCACGTCCTGTCTTCGGCGGCATGGCGACACTCCTTTTATGCGAGGATTATATCGGTTCGGTTTCCAGGGTACCAGCGACTCGATGAGTAAGCAATTTTTTGGGGGGTTGTTTGTTTCACAATTGTTGCTGCTTTCCCCCCTCCTTTCCATGAAAATAATAGAGAATGAAGAGTTGAGCTGTGTTGTTTACTTCTGTCGTTGAGACGTTTGCTTAAGCGGCACTCTTCTTTGTTCGGGACCCTGTCGCGAACAAGTTGGCCACGCAATGCTAATCGGGGAAGCCGTACGGCGTAGCAAATAATCTATCTGCATCCAGAGAAGATCCTATACGAAGTGCAGCACCCGACGGGAAAATGGAGGAGGCTGGAAGCTGTCAATGGCCGAAGCGAGTATTCCCAGCCTTTGAATTTAGCGTGTGGCGCGTGTTCCCCCGAAGCGCGCGTCATGGCACGTGAGATGCCATCCGGGGTCTGGCCTAAGGCGGAAAAGGCCACCTTTGATGGCGATCAATCAATCAGTCTCCATCCATTAATTCTTTCTTCTCCCTTCTCCTCCTCTACCACGTGTCCCGTTGGCTCTGCTCTACTGCACCATATTTCCATCGTTTGATCGTTGATTGCTTTCCCGCTTAATCTAATAGTCCACTCTCCGGCGGCGCGCAGCTCGATATCTAGATCTCCACGTAATGGCCGCCATTTGGGGCAACGGGGGGCAAGCAGGGCAGTTTCCCCTCGAACAATGGTTCTACGAGATGCCACCCGTGACTCGATGGTGGACTGCTGCTACTGTGGCCACATCTGTCCTGGTTCAGTGCCATATCTTGACCCCATTCCAGCTCTTCTACAGCTTCCGTGCGGTCTATGTCAAGTCTCAGGTATGTTGTGTAAAGCAAGCTTCAAAGTTTATAGAGGTGGGAAACTCACCTCCAAGCAGTACTGGCGACTTTTGACGACCTTTTTATACTTTGGGCCGCTTAGTCTGGACTTATTATTCCATGTCTTTTTCTTGCAGCGATACTCGCGCCTTCTGGAAGAATCGTCGGGTCGCTCTCCTGCCCATTTTTCGTGGCTACTATTCTATGCCATGACCTCTCTTTTACTCATGTCACCGTTCCTATCTCTGCCGTTCTTGGGCACTGCTTTGTCATCCAGCTTGGTCTATATCTGGAGTCGCCGGAACCCGGAGACTCGTCTCAGCTTTCTTGGCATTCTGGTTTTCACCGCTCCATATCTCCCCTGGGTTTTGATGGTATTCAGCCTGGTAGTCCATGGCATTGTGCCGAAGGATGAGATCTGTGGTGTAGTAGTCGGTCACGTGTGGTACTTCTTCAATGATGTTTACCCGTCTCTCCATGGTGGTCATCGCCCTCTCGATCCCCCGGGATGGTGGATGCGCTTTTTCAATTCGAGGACTGAAGCCGGGGATGCGCGGGGGACTAATAACGCCAACTTGAACCGTGATCTCGCGGCCGCTGCGGCGCCTGAAGTTCGATGAACATGATTATTTGCGTATTCTTTTATACACATACAGCCGGTCTGTCAACAGTCATCTAGGAAGTGCAAAGCCACCCTCATAGTTCCGAGAGTCCCTATGGTACCGCTATTTATCATGGGGTGTGGTTATCTGACTCCTGAGCATGGGTACGGATTACGACAGGTCCTTGGCTAACCCTACATCGGAATCTAGTCTCCCTGGCATCGGTGCGCTTTCTTTCTCTCGACATTCGATTGTTTTATGTGGAGACAACTTTAGTGAATGCATCCGATCATCAAATCACAACCCGAAGTTGGGATCGCTTGCGGGGAGGTACAAAAGAGAACTGGAAGAGAGGGTGGGCTAGTTGTGTTGGCTCTCGCATCATCGAAGGACTTTAGGCGTGGTGAAATGGAAGTTCCAGTTGCCCATTCAGGGAACCGAGGAAAGTTACAAGAAACGATATTCTGTTTGCTGCATTTTGCCCACCACTTACACATGGAAAATGTGCAACAACGATGTCTGGGTTAATTTTATGAATGACGAAACGGCTATGGTTTTTTTTAAACTTTTGCTGTTTTTATGTTGGGCCAACGAAAATAGAATACCCAAATCCATCTCTAGTTTTTGATGCTATGCCATCTGAAAATAGAGATATGGGTGCGATCAAATATACCCCGTATAGCGCAAAGCATACCTTGTACTGGGCGGTCGAGATCTACAGAGTAGGCAATTAATTCTTTCCTCGATAAAGGGCGGGATTTTTGTTTCCAGCGAGGGCTTTATATCTTACCTGTTTAAACTCGGGATGGTATTATTCCTTCCTGAGTCTTCCGGGACCCGAACTGAGTTAGTTTTCATATGATTTCCTTGTTTTTATTTTCTTTGGCCATTAACCTCCGCATCCTTGCAGATTATCTTGCCATCAAGGGTGGACGACGAGAGGGGCCGTCGCACGTAGCAGCTTGACGTCAGCAATGGAATGTAGCATCATCCAGTCCTTGTTTATGTTTGAGCACAGTTGTGCCACCCAAAGGTGGGATTCAAATAAATGCACAGCCACATTACCTGTGACATCTGCCCTCCAGACTTCATCTGATACTAGCGCCAATGCGAGACTCGGTGACATTCGAACGTTAATGAAACTGATAAACACCACTTAGATGGCGTCTGATGTCCGCGCGTCCAGGACTCTACCAATAATACCGACTGACGGGACGCACAGACATTAGTGGGGCCTTACCATGCATTTATTTTGCATATTTAGGCCTTTAGTGCATGCACAGCCGGCCTAGTGGGCATTCTCAACCATGTCAGCGGTCGGTGATTGGAGTTCCGTAGTGGGTCGCCATGTGTGCGACTTTCCTTGGTCTTTTTCGTTAATAGAAGCATCCGTTGGTCCAAGGGTTTCTGGATGAAACATCAGCCCCCGCTATTAATTATATTTATCTGTATCCCTTACAATGTTGCCTAGCATGCATAAATACTGGTAGTATACAGAGGACGTCAGGGTCCACGAGTAAACGTACCTGTCAATCTGATATCTGTGAACTGTTCCGTGTAACCCGATCGGCCAGTCGGCAACAGCTTGAGACAACCTCTATACAGTAAAAACACGTACACCGTACACCGTACTCGTATCCATCTGAGATACACTGTCAACCGTAGATTCTACAACCATTGAACCAAGGGCCTTTGCTGGGTTTGAGAAATCGCTGGACTGGGGCTTGGTCTCCAGTCCCCACCCCTAGGTCTGTGGCGATTGCGCTTGGCTTGTTTATGGATCTTTGATTAAAGCAGCCAACGAGAAAGAAACACCACGATGGACTTTCCTTGATTGCCATTGGCTGTAATCTATTCTCAAAGAGTCCTAAAGATGAACATCTGTGTTGCGACGCCAGCCTGGTGACAATCAACCAGTAGCCACCGGGTTTATGATCAGGATGATTATTGCTATTTTCAATCATAAGGGCAGTCCAAGACAGGTACTTATGAGAGGAATAGATTCATCCTGATCATACCTGGAATAATGACCCTATGGGTACTGTCATGGTTTTAGGTCTATTATGGATTCTTCTTGCAGAGTAGGCACCGGGGCTATGATGCTGGTATGGCGGTAAATTACAGCATTGCACTCAGGTTATTTGAGGGAAAAAGTACATTTACGAACCTTAGTTACGGACTGTCCATGGTACTTACCTAATGGGGCTAAATAACTACCCTAGGAGGACCTAAGAACTCATCAGGTAAAGGTGGCGGACGCGGCCCGTCCTAATACTGAATTGGAAAGTACTGACTGCATAGTCAGGGGCTATCCGTGAAGTATTGAGGGCGCTATTCCCAACAACTCCAATAATTGAAAAGATCGGTCACCCTTATACAATCGATATGTATTCTGTAGAATGACATAGGTAGTGACCTCTTGGTCCATACAATGTGAGCTAGGCAACATAGAATAAAGACTGCCAACCGTCTAGACCCCAGGGAAAAAAAAGTATACTCCGTATAGTATGTTATCCACATCTTTAAATCTATCTCTTGGCCCAAAGATCAACTAATTAGCGAGGTTTGAACTGCGTAATCAGCAAGGCTATTTTATTTTATTTTATTTTATTTTTTCACTTGGTCTCTCTTTGACCATTTAGACTCATTTTTTATTTTTGTTGAAAGGGGTTAAATCTTTTTGGCCACATCCATGCGCTTATCCTTTCCTGGGTCAGTGGAGGGGAAGCGCCAAAGGACGAGACTGGAAATTACTACATATTACAAATACAAATACGTATTATTACATACCAAGCAATAAATATACATACTACTGTAATCCACCACTGTGGCTTTGCCTCGACTTGTCAGTTCCTACCATACTATTTTCAGTACCGTTTGCGAGTATGTCGGTACCAGGTACCTATCCAGGTAACCTGTACCTGGATAGTAACCTGTACCTCGATAGGTACCTGGATACTTCGGGCTACATCCTTTAGAAGGCAACAGCATTGAACCGATTTATTCTCGGTTCTTCTCGTACTCGTAACGAAGAACTAATTAATTAGGGATATACTCCAGAATAATGATTATGCACTATTGCTCCTTGACCTGGTCGTGGTGGAGGCTTAGTCTTGGATCCAATCTACTATGTAGTAGTGTCCGCCGTTCCACCTCTCTCCTCGATTGGCCGACCGCTGCTCTGTAACCATGGCTCCTCGTTGATGCCTCGCCGCCCGCGGTTTCTCTCTCCAGATGCCTTCCCTCTCTCTCTCTCTCAACTAACCACCTAACTGATCTCTGCGCTCCTTTTTAGTTGATGTCGCTGCATCGTTGCTAAGGTGTTCGCGTTCGTTCCTTTGCACCAGTCTTGTCTTGTCCCTGTCACTCTCTTCTTCTCTGCACTCCCTCTGGACCACCCACCCTTTTTAGTTTTATTTTTTTTATTAATCTAAATTATTTGATTTATTTATCCCTCTATTTTTATTTCCATTTGTTTTTAAGAGACAGAGAGACAATCTCTCTTCACTCCTTTTAAACTATTATTGTTATTTCTTTCTCTCCACTTGCCTGAAAATTACTAGTACCACTCTCGTTGCCTCTGCTTCTCTTTCACCCCATATCCTCCCCATCCCTGTCCCATCCTTCGAGGATTGCTGTTCATTCCTTTGAACTATTGTTCCCAAGTGATTTATGGTGGAAACCTGACGTCGGTCCTTTCTTGTCCTACTAATCACTCGAGTCTTGGTTTCTTGAGGCCTCCAGTGGACTTGGTCACCCTGAGAATCAGTCGGAAAAAAAAAAAAAGTCCACCGACACGCGAAATCAACTGCCTTCGCGATACGATCCTAATCGTCGCTTCTTTGCGCCTTTTTGCCCTCACGTTAGAACACTGCGACATTTTTGGTGAATCACCATATATGGTTGGGGCACAAGTTGGCCGTGAATAGGGTTCTTTTTCCGCGATTTGTTCATCGTTGCGGAAATCGCAGGCGCCATCTCAATTCCGCGCAAGGTTCACGACCTTCACTTGCTATAGCTGGGTTGGCCACTATCGAACTCGGAACGTACTGGGCCTCTTGTTACCTGCACTCCTAGACCGCTCGAAACAGGCATCAGCCCCTGAAGACGTCCCAGAATGCGGAGAGGCGTATTAATCTTCATTCTTGTCAATCTCCTAGTCCTATCCTTTCTTGTGCGCAGCGTTTTCACCCTTTTATCGTTGCTCGTGGAAGATGCCTCGGCCGATGCAATCCATCGTGCAGAGCTTCCCTCGCCAAACTCAAGCCTGATCGAGCACCGGCCCCAGATCATCCCTAAAATCATCCACCAGACCTATAAGAATGAGACAATTCCCGAAGTGTGGAGGGAGGCTCAGCAGAGCTGCATTGACCTACATCCAGACTACGAGTACATTGTAAGTGATCCAGTTTTTTTGTTCCGCCGAAACTGACGCGTTGTCATTCTTGTAGCTGTGGACAAACGAGAAGGCTCGCGACTTTATTGCCAGTGAATACCCCTGGTTTCTGGACACTTTCGATGGCTACAAATACCCGATTCAGAGGGCAGATTCCATCCGCTACTTCGTGTTGGCCCATTATGGCGGAACCTACATTGATCTGGATGACGTACGTATTGTCAAGCTGCTCTGTGACCCGCCACGGGGAGCCCAGTATTATTATTTTTAAACCTTTCCTTTCTAACTGAAGGATATTAGGGCTGTAACCGCCGGCTAGATCCTCTCCTTGCCTACCCAGCTTGGGTGCGCCGCACCGTACCGACAGGTATCTCCAATGACGCCATGGGATCTGTTCCACAGCATCCATTCTTCCTTCGCGTCATCGAAATACTCCAATCTTATGACCGCAGCTGGTTGCTTCCATACATCACAGTCATGTACTCGACAGGCCCTCTGTTCCTTTCGGTAATCTGGAAGGAGTATATGCAGGACATGCCGAGCGAGGCATCCCGAGTTCGAATCCTTATGCAGGACGAATATAACAAACACTCGTGGAGCTTTTTCACCCACCATGTTGGCAATAGCTGGCATGGGAAGGATGCCCGGTTGATTTTCTGGATGGGCCATCATTGGCTTTTCCTCACCTTCTGCGGCTTCTTTCTCGCGGGTGTTGTGGGGTTCTGCCTTTGGTGGGCCTATGGCCGGCTTGTGCTTCTGAGCTTGAAGTATCGCTACCGATATTCGAAAGTCCCATCTTTTCCCTCGATTCTCCGCCTTTCATCCCCGTCGCGTAGGTCCCGACGAAACATGCCGACGTCGCTTCGGCGGGTCAGCTTCAAAGAGGACGAAGAAGCCGGCCTTATCACCGAAACTTCTCATGAACTCTACAGCCGACGTGACTAAGTTAATACGTCCTCTTTTTCTCGATTGTTTGTGTCGATATGCCCCATTGAGACGACCTTTAGATCCAATATTTCTTTGCTCTTTCTCCTTGGATACCTATCCCGCACATGGATATCTTTTGTCTTCTTGCCTGGGGATACTCTGTCTCGACTTGGTGTGCCTGTAAGGAGTTTTGGGACAAGGTTCAACCAAAGCGCTCTTGAGAGCAACTGGTTGCTTGTGCATGTTGACAAAATCCCTTTGAACTATACGGGAGGCGATCTGCTAGCCAGCACACTCCGACATTATCTCTTTTGGCTTTTCCATCTATACAACCTTTTAACTTCTGTGTTTGATTATTCCTTTCTCACCTGTCTTTCTTGTACCACTTTTTTCTTTTCCTATTTTCTTCCACCATACGTACATAGACTTGCGGTCGACTTGGGTAGATGGGTTCCTTTATGCGGTCCAACGCTAAACGCCTGGAGCCAGCTGGATTAGCTCAAATGAAAATATTAATTATTGTCTGGTTCAAGTGCAAGGCGATAGGGGTGTTGAAGGTTCTGGAGTTAAAATGCAGTGTGACGGAAGTCTAAAGTAATGTGATTCTCAGATGGGGTGTTTTGATACAGAGTCCAGTCCTGTGATTAATGTCAGCTTGTTCAAACAGGACCGGTTCTTCCATTATTCATCAAAGGACAGCACGTCTCAGATATCGACGGCTCCGTGCGTTCTCTGGAGTCATTGACAGGTAAATAGACAAATGCGCGGATGGAGATCACAGGATCACGGCTCAGACCATCGTCACCTCTGAAACGTATCAAATCATCTGTCCAGCGGAGCACTCAGTCCGCAACGATTGGCTTGGTCACCTTTAAACGTTGCGATTTCAAGGACACATAATATAACAGGAAACTTAATAGTTGGCGGAAAGGGGCTTTTACTTGTATCATGTCCTGAGATGTTTATTCCTATTTGAGAGAGGAGAGATTAAGGGGGAAGGTCCACCAACAAATCCCCAGCAACTGAATTGTAAGGCTCTCTCGGTAAGTAACTGGATTAGCTAACCTCTCAGTTAACTAGGTCACTTCCAGATAACAAAAGGCTATGCTTAATGTAGCATGGCAGGGTGCCATTGAAGAAAGCCATCGGCTTCAGTGGGATGGGTTTCATTTTAAGTGCGAGACCACCGGCCCGATGAAACCCATCAGCAGCTAATAAACAAGCACCGTTGGTTGACCCAATAAAGTCAGCCTGATCCTCGACAGGCTGCCTTGTCTTGCTTTGTCTTACTTTGTTCAGGTGGTGAACAATTCTCACGCTTGCATTGTCAATTTTATTGAGATGTTACATTCCTTCTTACGCCCCAAGGTATGCGGGAAGGGGTATAAAGAATCCCCTCACTCCCTGGGGGAGAGAAAGAACGAGAAAAGTCAGAAATAAAGAGACGGGAGAAGTGAATCATTGGAATTCCTGAGATCGAGTTTCAGATTTCCCGATTGCGTAGTCTTCTTGGCCTGGCTGCTAAGGAAAAAGAAAAACCACCACAATCATGAAGTCAAGTCAATTCACAAACGCTCTCTGGGTACTCTCCATGCCCTTGCTGTCTGGCGCAGCATCGGCTTCGGTTCTCCCGCGGAGTGGATCTGTCCACATCTCAACCGAGCAGATTGAGGCCATCGCGCCAACTTCCAGCTCGTGCGACAGCCCCCCCAGCCCCGGCGAGTGCGCAACTGCTGAGCAGGCGGCGAAGAATATTGCCGCCTCCTTTGAAACGTATCGGGTCACTTCGCTGGCGGAGCAGGCCGCAGTGATCGGCTTGATGGCCTTTGAAAGTGGCGATTTCAAGTACAATAGGAACCATTACCCTGGAGTCCCGGGACAAGGAAGTAGGTCTCTCCGTACATCTCGGTCTCTTCTATTGGAGACAAAAAGAAAATAGGAAGCTAACATCGGATGGGTGCTTTCCCAGCTCGCAATATGCAATCGCCCGCTTTTAACGCGAAGTATGCAGCATCGATCCCCGATATTGCTGACAAGCTGGCCCAAGTTGGCTCAGACCCTGCCGGAGTCCTCGATATCCTACTCAATGACGAAGCGTACGATTTTGGCTCCGGTGCCTGGTTCCTGACCACTCAGTGCACGCAGCATGTGCGAACCCAGTTGCAATCGGGCTCCGAAGCTGGCTGGGCTGCCTATATCAGCTCTTGCGTGGGTACTGGCGCCAATGAAGCCCGGAAAGCATACTGGACCCGCGCAGTCCAGGCATTGAGAGCCCAGGGTTATTGAGTCTCTTTCAGACAAGCCTCGTGGCGATATCCGTTGATTTTTTCTTTCTTTCTTTCTTTCGTTCATTTTTTTTTTTTGTTTTTGTTGGTTCCGCGCTTTTGCGTCGGGAGTAAGGAATGGAAAAGAGAAGAGGGACGAGAGAAGACAGTATTCGTGGTCCTTTCATCATCAATTTGTATCTATTCAATATGTTCGAGATACCTGCTGACACATCGTAACTTCGTCTCTCGGGTGCAAAAACCACAGAATAGGAGGGGTGACCCCCATTTGTTCTGGCATTCCCCCAACGTTTACAACACTCCTTTGGTACTGACAACATCCCCCGCTCCAATCTCCCCGGCTACTTTTCTGGTACAGGCCATGCGAATGGCCACCGCCAAAGCCTTGAAGGCACTCTCGGCACGATGGTGGTCATTATCTCCGTAGGTGCAGCCGACATGAAGAGTGACTCCGGCAGCCTGTGCGAAACTCTGCAGTCCATGAGTGATCATCTCCGTACTGAGGTCTCCGATCTTCTCCCGACGGAAGCCTAGATTGATCACCGCCCAGGGACGGCTCGAAAGATCGATCACCGCCCACGACAGGGCCTCATCGAGCGGCGCATCCCCGCGACCAAACCGGGCAAGAGATTGTCGGGCCCCCAGGGCCTTTGTGAAGGCCTCCCCGAGGGCAAGGAAAGTATCTTCGGTGGTGTGGTGATCATCGACTGGGGTACACAAAAAATGAGTCAGTCAGTCAGTACCTTCAAGAATACCTAGATAGGGGGAGCAGTTTGTACGCACTATATAGATCCCCCTTGGCTCGGATGGCCAGACTCATGCCGGAATGTTTCGCCAGCGCATGCAGCATATGGTCCAGAAACCCAATTCCCGTGCTCACGGTGATCTGTTGCGTCGCGGTGAACTGGGTCGCATGCCCCGCATCCTTGGGGGAAACGATTCCATGTTTTGCGGCCTCGGCCTCCTTGGGGTCTTCAGGCACAGGGAAATGTTCAGTGGGTTCGTAGGGAAGGAGAATGCCGCCGTCTAAAGAGAGAGATACTTGGATTTTGGTCTCGTTGGTAACTCGCGAGATCGATGCCGTACGTTGAGGGAGAACCATTATGGAAGGTGAGATAATTCTCAAGGGCCGCGGTGATGATAAACGGGATCAGATGGATTCTCTCGACCTCAGTAAGGTTGTTTTGTTGAGAGATTCAACTGAGGTTGAAGAGAGAGCTCAATGGATCCGAGAGTAATAGAAGAATAGAGACGACTTTATGGAGTAATTGGGTTATCGTCATTCGAGGATTCTATTTGTTCCAGCGTACGGTATTGTTATGTTCTGCAATGTATTGTATTGTATTGATATATGTATATTTCTCGGATTAGCAATTGATCCGGTCCCGAAATGCATCATTCATATCACCAGAATACAGTGACGATGAAAATGATGATGATGACCTTCCACTGTTAGTCCATACGTCCTGACCTGTACTTCTCCACAGTTAACTATGCCGCCCCCTTCGAGCCAAAAGAGCGACATTGAACCCCCCGACGAGATCACCTCGGAGGCAGTACGTGGGTTTCTCACGGGAGCATTTCGTGTACGTCTTGCAATCACCGATGGTTATCCGCGCCATATCTGATTACTTTTATCACGCTTGGTCTGGGACTGACTGAGAATGTACTTATCAGTTCGGCTCCGTCTCGATCATTACACATATGATCCTAATCCTCCCTCACCCGTTCAAATTTTCTCCATCTGCAACGCCTCCTGCGCCGGCATCTACTCAGTCGCATCCCCCCAGACAATCACCATTCTCCAGACAGTACCTTCAAAACCGCCTCTTCCATCGTCCCCTCGAGGGCTTCTCGGAGTGGCTGTCTCCGGGGTCCCGGATCTATCGGGGCCTAACTCCGCAGTTCAAAGTCTTCCTCCAGATTGCGGCCATGACTCTAGGCGGGTGTATTTGGGCGGAGAGGAGAGTGAACGATTACATCAATCTCGTCAGGAAAATCAAGCGAGCTGAGCGAATACAGGCCGAGAGAGTGGCGTCGAAGTATACGGAATAGAGGTGGTATGTATGAGTAGCATTCCTGGCTTCCCCCCGAAATTGCAGGGGGAGGTGGGCGATTTGACAAATAAAACCTTCCAGTGGAACTTCAGTCTACGCACCTCCTCCATTCGGACGGGAAACGATGCAGATTAGTTTGTTTCATGGTTCGATCGGGCCCTTGGCTTCTAGGAACTGGGGAGGCTGTTCGCCACTCCAGAGCGCATCATTATAGGGGTGTAGATCCGTGTTCTGCAATATGCCGTATTCCAATGGTTCCAGAGTGTGGAGCTGGTGGGTGAATCAGCGTGTCCTCTAACTGACTAGTGAGACTCTAAGGGTACACGCGGTATGATTAGGTTGAGATAATTTTACCTTTCCCTACCAAAGGGGCGGATGGAACAAAGGAAAATAAAGCAGAAGAACCCAATGGAGCTTCATGCAACTGTCATCTTGGTTACCACGGGTTGACATCTTTTTTCTCGTGGACCAGCGCGGATAGTGGAGAGTTGTTAGATACGCGGAGATCGGCTTGGTTCTCGAACGCGTCGGTGGGAAGACCAAGTGAAATGAAACAGGAGAGAAACAAATAGAATACGTTAGTCGAGGATGATCATATTGATTCATGAGGTGCCTAGACAGTAGGTGCCTATAGTTACTCTGTACTCCGAGACTTTAGTATAGCTAGGGGTAGGATGGATGAACTTCGGAGGATGTACCGTTCCTACCAACCTGATCGCTCGGGTACCTTGGGAGAAGTACCCGTACCGTCCGTCCAGGTCGAAGCGTAACCATGGAATGTTCCATCAGTACCTATTGTACATACTGTAGGAATGATCAGAAAGCTTAGACAGGTAGGTGTATACATTATATCTGTGGAATACCAGATCAATTCTCCCAATACCTCCTGCATGGTCAGAAGACACCTCCCTCCTAATGTTTCTATTCGCATCCGGAAGGGAATCGAAATCGTTCGTTTGCAGGACAATAAGAGTGACATCATGCATCATTGGCCCCTCCACCTACCGTCCCTTTCTTTTCTTTGGGCGAATGAATCTTCCCCGATCGACTTCTGATCTCATTTCTCCGGATTGTCAGCAGGGACTTTTGTGGATTTTTTATATTTTTTTATTATTTTTTATTATTTTTTTATTTTAAATTTCTTTCTACCCGTTTCGGTCGGTCCGGTCGTTGGGTCGCTGCGTTCAGCCTCAATATTTCCTCTTCCGGTCGCATTTGATCCGTCTCTATCCTCCATTGTTGAATTCCGGCTTCCTGAGCGGAGAAGTGGATGGAGGAATCGGTTATACGTATGTGGTTTCATTCTTACTGATTTGTTTTATCGATTTAATAAAATAAGTAAAAAAAAAAAAAAAAATGAATGGATCGTTTAATTTCCATTGGATTTGTCTTAGTTAGGGTGTTGCCTCCATAAGAATTTCTCCTCTTTTTTTCCCCCTACGCCTCCCTCCTGAGCTGTTTTTCTTTTCTGTTCCTTTCATCCTGTCTCTCTCATTCGTTATTCTTTTTCGTTTTCTTTTGAATTCACAGTCATCAGTCTTTCCTCCACTTTCATTTCCTATACTGATTCTTAAAACCATCAGTTGTCTCTCGCTCTCGTTCTCATCCAAACTTGTGGTAACACTACACCGTCCACACATCCTCCTCCTTCATCGCCCTTTTGCCAGCTCAGCTCAGCCCAGTTGCTTCTGCTTCTGCTTCTCATGGCACCTGGACGGACTGCTGTATGTTCCACTTTCCCTCTTTCCCCCTCTCGCCGGTCGCTTCTTATTTGTTTATCCTGAATCTATCTCCACCTCACTAGCTCGCTAGTCAGCATTTATGGTTTTCGAGCATGTCATTCCTATTCTTATCATATGGCGAATCGTACTAGTAGCTAACGATGGCCCTTTACTGTTCTCTCCTTTTTTAGTGAGACGATCCGAGGTCGTCGATGTGATACTCCCGTCACTTCTCAAACACCCCCTATCTGTGTCAAAATAGTCTTTGCTCCTTAATTCTCTTTCACCACCTCTTTCTCCCTCTCCCTCCCCCCAATTTCCGCCATTCCCGTCATGGCCGACAATCTGGGGAAGAAAGAGCGGAGAAAAAGCTTGAGCGTGTTCAGCCCGTCGACGACCTCGTCCTTTTCCGGTCCCCGGGCCCATGACCGGTCCCCGTCCGATGATGTCCATGTCCTGAAGAAGCCGCGGCGCAATTCGGGTTTCTTTGGTCGCAACCCTAGCCCGCCCAGGTATCATGGCAGTCGCCGTCCCGGCACCGCTGATTCGGAGTCCACGGCCCATCTGGCATCCCTGGCTTCCGGGATCCCGGAGGCCCGCCCTCGCCCGCGACGCAAATCGATGCAGAAGAAGCGGGCGTCCGTCTTTGGCTCGCTCCGGTCGCTCCACTCCCTAGACGACGAGGAGGGTTCGCTGGGACGCTCCAAGGGGTCGTCCGTCGATGACGAAGATGCATCCGAACAGCGACAGGGCATTGGGTCCATGATCTTACACCACGGAGAGATCCAAACCACCGGAGGCATGTGGAGGAAGAAGAGCCAGTACCTAGTCCTAACCGATACCCACCTCGTCCGACTCAAGAACCAGAGCAAGGCCGCAGATATGTTTCCTTCCATTCCGCCGTCCTTCGCCCGCTCTGCGGGGAGTCGCCAGTCCATCGCTTCCGTCAGTTCGTTGCAGGATCCTCTCTCTGCCCCTAGCGACGCATCTGCGGGGATTCCACTCAACGGGATTGTTGCCGTCTACATGCTGGACGACGGCCGACCTACGTCGACAGTTGAGGTCGCCTATCTGGACGAACGGGCGCATAAAGCAGCCTTCATCCAGATGCAGACACCCGATTACCAGGAGCTAAGTCTATGGATGGTCGGGATCCGCTCTGCCGCCGAATTGATTCGGGGGGCTGATCCTCTACCCTTCGATCGGAAGTCGATGGAGTGCGTCGTCAGGATGCTGGAGTATGAGCGAGACTATGACCCGGAAACATTTCGCATGTTCCGCGTCATTCAGATGGCTTCCAGCAAATCTCCGACGCGGGCTTCGTCGGACGACCTCACAAAGCTGTCCCCCACGGGATGTTTCCTCGCCTTGGGTTCGCACAAACTTCATCTCATTCCACTTCATAAGGTTGCGAATCGCAACTCGGCGGTGTCATTGACCGACCTGGACACCGGAACGTCATTTGGTCTAATGAACTTAACCTGCCTGTCTATGGAATGGGGGGACGATAGTCTACACCTTACATTTCGGTACTGATCCATCTGTCAACTTCTTGCGCTCTCTTTCCTTGATTTGACTAACTTATGCCCCAGAGTTCCGCTTCGCAAACCGTTCTCGATATTTCTAGCATCTGTACATTCCCTGGAGATTGCCTTCTGGATAAGGCAGAAAACGGAGTTTTTGCGGCCTCTGTGGATTCGACAACCGTACGAATTTATTGTGCCTCGTGATCTCGATAATGATTGTAACTTCCCACCGGTGGATCTGGAAGAAGATTATGGCTGCTTTGATCGAACACTGGTCGCGTACTCTGCGAGCTTTGATATTGATACCTCCAACATTCGATATACAATCGATGTGCAATGTGAAGATGCTCCCTGTTTCCGACTTTTGCCGCCAGCAACGCCGCGTCGCCAGAAATACTCCGCTCTGGAATTGATTGCAGTCATGCGGGCATTGCGGTACAACGAGTCCTTCCGGTCCATTTCATTCAGCGGGGTTAGCTTGGATGCGCTGCAAGGTGTTTATGACTTCCACGGGTTTGACACAGATATGCTCCTAAGTCGTGCAGGCTCCCCGATCCACATACCAGGTCAAGAAAACCTGTCTGTCCTGTCACAGGAGGTTCGTGCTCTGACTCTCAAAAGCAAATGGCTCCGGCACCTGGACTTCTCCTACACCTTAAGCCGCACCCCCAAGTCTGACAGCGAGAGCCATGATCCCGGCTGCGGAATTCCTGAAGCCATCTTCCCCATCTGCCGCCGGGAGTTGACTAGCGTGGACTGGATTGTACTTAATGGAATCAAACTTGGTGACTCCGATCTGGACTACCTCGTGGATGCAGCCTCCCAGCGAGGAAGCCATTTGCGGGCATTGGAGGTGGGCAACTGCGGCTTGTCTCTTCACGACCTTGACTTGCTCATTTCAACCACAGTCAGCCAGGCTTCGACACTCGAGGTACTCAATATCTCCGGTGTCCAAGGCCGACTAAACCCTGATTTATTCCAGCAGTATCTTGGGCATTTCAGCCAGATCAGGAAGCTGGACCTATCTCGGATTTCCAGGACTTCAGGCTCCGAGCCGTTGATCACTGCAGAGACCCTGTTCAATTGGCGACTTGAGGAGCTTTCGTTGAGTCGAACCGCTGTGAATAGAGAGACCGTTGACTCGATCGCCACGTATTTGGCCAGTGAGCGGTCTCAGAACCTACGTGTTCTTAAAATGGACCAGTGTGGACTAACTGGTCAGGATGTGGCCATTTTCCTCCACTCGGAGGCGGTCGTGGGAAGCTCCCGGAACCTCCATTTGCACGTGAATGAGAACCGACTAGATCAGGGCTGTTCTTATCTGTTCAATGCCATCGCTGAAGACAACACCCCGTCGCATCTGTCAATGCGGATGATCGACTTCAAGAGGGAGGAGCAGTTTCAGCAACTGGCCGAAGCATTGCGGAAGAACCGGACTTTAAAGTACCTGGACATCTCGAAGGCATCTCTCCCATATGATGCAGGCCCCGAGACGTGTAAGTCCCTGCAGTTAATGTTTGAAGAAAATGAAACCTTGGAGGACTTGGATATTAGCGGGGAAAGCGCCCATTTGGACGTTGCCCGGTTTGGCATCGGCCTTAACTTGGCACTGACAGGGCTCAAAAAGAATAAGTCGTTGAAGGTGCTGAAAATTGAGCATCAGAAACTAGGGCTGCAAGGTGCGAATACCCTGGCATCTGTTCTGGAGGAGAACACAAGTCTCCGGGAAGTCCATTGCGAAAACAATGATATCAACCTGCAGTCGTTCACGGTCTTGATCAATGGCCTACAGCGGAACAAGTCCCTTTTGAATCTTTCATGCATGGATCGAGACCGGATCCAATCCCTTGACAAGGTGCGTCGCGAAATAGAAAGCGTGAAACGGGATCTTAGTCTTCAACAAAGTTCCACATCAAGCTCCATTCGTCGGTCTCTGCACGCTGCCATTCATGTTAAAAATGTCACCGGAGGTCATAGGCTCAGCAAACATCCGCACCCCCCGGGCCCTCACCGAGCGGGATCCTCCGTACCCTCGAACCCGTCTTCGTGTGCGGAGGCCTCACCGTTGTCGGGCCGTGACATAGAGATCATCCTGGAATCGCTGGGTCGGAAGTGGGATATGGAGGTCGCTCGTCTGCGTCGGTATTTGTTCCGAAACTACAACATGGCCCATGGTATCGATGACGATTCTATGGTGCATAATGGTGACGATACTTCGAGTGATGGACGCCCTGCTACAGCTACCAGTCTTGCGACAATGCTGGACAGTCTCAAACTTGATGTCACCGTCTCAACCAATGAGGTTTCTACAAAACAGCCAACCAACATGCAGCCGTCGCCGAACCCTAGCGAGACGGATCACGCCAGTCATTTGGATATTTTCGATAGTCTTGATACGGAAAGCAATATAAATACCGCGCTCCGGGGCCGGCCACAAACGGCTCCTTTCTCGCTCCCCGAACATGCACCTCAGATTTTGCCCTCTGAATACGTGACGTCGGGTGCTTCCTCCTCGCGGCTGGCGATGCCGGTTCCGGCCATACCATCGCTTGCCAATAAATCCAGCAGCGTCCGCAGCACCCGCAGTTCTAGCACTGCGTCCACTAGTGCTTGCACCGCTGCCAGTGCGCGGAGCACATACGGCGCCGCGTCATCAACTTTGCGTGGATTTCTTACCAGGGGCGCGTCGAAAGAACGCAGGAGGATGGAGAAAATGAACCCCGGAACTGTCTGTGTCTCGAATGAACGACCACCCAGGTTGGACTGGGCGCCACCTCAACTTGAACTCGGGGACTTTCGCTAGTCCTCATTCTGACTTCTTGTTACATGATTAAATTTGTGTGGAATTCGAGGATGAGAGAAGAGATCTACCTTGAGAAATGATTAATGATTCGAATAATGACTACTATTGCAAGCAGACTTCGCCAGTCGAAAATCTTTTCGTCTCCTTCGATCATGTCAGCTGTTTGAAAGTACAAGATGTTGGTGTCAATGTTCGTTCGTTCCCGCAAAAAGTTGTGCCTTCGCTATGATTGTATATCATTCACTCTTTTGTATCTCTCTGTTGTTAAATTGGTTGCTCTTTATCTCAACCTGCTGGCGCTCATATTTCTGGTCTGTCTCTTAGATACCTTTTTCCTGCTTGCTCTCTCTCTTTTTTTTTTTTTTTTTTTTTTTGGCTGCTTCTTTGCAGTCCTGCCTCCGGAAAGGCAGCTGTTCAAGGACCACATCGCAAAGGCCATTCATTCATTCATTGGGTGTGACATTTATGTTCGGCGCATGAATTCAGCGGCGTTTGTCCCGGTTCCTATTTCGTGGAGCTCATTCATTCCTCAGGAGTTATGTTTGTAAAAATCTGTCGGATACTCTTTTTCTTCTTGTCGATTTTTAACCGTCAATGTCTTAATTGATAATGTCATAGAATATCATATGAATCTGAAGGATGACTGATTGTTGATTTCATATTGATTGCTGACTCATAAATAGTCGAATTTCATCAGTTCAGCTATATATATACGGTTGTGTATAACCGATTGACTACGCCTCTCGAGATGAATTGCCACCAGTTCAATGGAATGCGTAGGAAGATTAGGAATAATAGTTAGTATACAGGATGTAGCGTTAAACGTAAGGGGAAGAAAAAAACAAAAAAAGATTCCAACCAGGTTTTCAAAGCGCCCATGATTAATATAACTTAGCCCCCCTCTTTCCTTCCGTCTTTTACTCCAGCGTCCTAGCCAGCAAGGAAACGGGGACGTAACAATCGTATTATGATACAGCAAGAGCCGAGAAGATATCTATATGTAAAGACCGCAAGGGCTAATTTGATTTGATTTGCCCATGAAAATAGTCGTTCAGGGAGAAGAGTCCAAAACCACCACGCCTTTCTTCTCGTCCTTTCGGTCTTCTTCCTTGCGAAACAGCCGTCCCTGCTGGCTGATCTCGCGTAGTTTTCGAATATACACATTACCGGCAACGTCCGTTTCGTCCTCTCCTCGGCCGGCAAGAGCCTTGGCTCGTCGCTTCTGACATGCGGCGTATAATGACCGGACTCGTGGTCCTTTCAGTTCATTGATTTCATATTCGACGATCCAAAGGTCCGATTCCTTGAGGTCTGTAGGTCGTTCTACGTATTTCCCATTGACCTTGTTTCTGATCTTGACGGTCATCGCCATCAATTCTTTGCCATCATCCTCACTGTTCTCTGCGGACCCGCCTTCTAGATCGGACAGGAAGGATTCGTCGGGAGGCGCGGAGGAATCGTACGTCGCATCTGATAGTGGTTCACTGCTCTTCGTGACGTTCGACCCTGGCGCCTGGCTATCGGGAACAGACAGCGGAGTTTCTTGGGCGCTGTCACCGGACGAAGAGGTTTCCTGCTCGTGGGGTGCCAGGTCTAAGATGCGTCGCTGGTAGGCATCGATCTCCTCCTGGTTCTTTGTCTGAATAGCATGGATCTCATCCTCAGTCACCGGCTCGGCGAAGACATACATGAATGGAGTTTGGGCGTCTCGGGTCTCGAAGTGGAGACGAGTATTCTGCTTGGGGAATTTCTCCGTGACTTTGTCCAGGACCTTGTTCCAGAGTGATACACTCAGCTTGAACTCGTAATCGCCCAGCGACGTGTCACTTTGACCATGCAGCGCAAGATCCATTTCCGGCAAGCTGACGTACTGAAATCCGAAAATACGCTCGATGTTGTGGAACGCTACGAAGATGCCGTCCATGCGACCGATCCGTACCTGAAGTGAATATTTGAGGAAAGCTGCTCGGATCATATCATAGTATTCCCGTTCATACGATTCATACGCTCCGAACCGGCCTTGAATCTCATAGCCAAGGCCATGCTCAAAATTCCGTGCATCCATCCGGATAGACACGACTGCTCGGGTCTTTAGGTCAAACATCCCAGTCCCGGGAAGTCTTGGATCGTAGGCATCTAGCTGGGATCGCATCAAGAAATCATCAATAGTGGAATAATGGTAGGCTTCCGGGACAGCTTGCTCTTCCTCCGGGGAGATTTTGTTCTCACTGGATCGACGGTAGCGCTCAAAATCCTCCTTGGGCAATGTGAGAAGCTTTTCCATCGACTTGCCCAGATTCATGAGAATGTTGGCCGAGTCGAATTCTTTATCAGCATCGATGGCGTACACGCCGCCCTGGTACCGAAGAAACATGGCCGTGGGAGCGCGCATCAATCGTGTAAACGTCCGTAGTTTGTCCGGGAAGCCTTGGGAAACGGTGCGAATATCGATTCCCCTCCACGCAGAGAGGAGGTAGTGGAAGTGCGAAAGTGTGGATGTCATGCTTGACGACGAGCCCATGTATTTCCTACATTTGCTTTGGGCCAATGTTTGCAATGTCTTATCCTTGGAGGACGTGATATAGTCTTTCAAGGCAGTAAAGTCGAATTCTGTCACGGGCATGATAGAGCCCAGGTAGGGGTCAAAGTTATAAACACGAGACCGGGGATCGCGAAGATGGTAGACACCTGGGCTGTGACAATCACATCAGTTGGTGTTGCAATTCGAGACATGAGAGAGCTTACTTGAACAAGACTCTTTCCAGACCGTAGGACAACTGCGGAACCGGTGGTGTCTTAACATTCTTCAGTGCTTGTAGCAATTAGTATGGGACCTGGAGATTCAAAAGACCAAGAAACAGAAGCACGCCTACCCTTGAAGACAATGCTCTTGTTTTTGAGGCTGCCAACCTCCTTTGCATTTACGAGAGACGAGGCTTCGTCTTCCTCAGTAATAGCGGGCGACTTTTGTGCTTCAAGCCGAGAAACAATGGACTGGAGTGATGATTGGATGCGAGAAGTCTATCTCTCCATTAAGTCACACCATTACCACGGAAGCCAATACATGGCCGATGTACTCACGGAGTCGAGTTTCCCCCCATCCGCTGTTTTCCCCTGTTCCGAGACTTTTCCAGCCTTTCCCTTGGGGCTCTTCTTAGAAGCCACCTTCCGGACCTTCTTCGAACGGCGACCCCGGGCTTTCTCACTCCGGTCCTGCGGAATGGACTCCGGGCTGGTGCCCTTTTTGGGCAGTTTTGGAAAATTGGGCCTTTTCGGCAGTCCCACATAATCCTTCAAGGCAAGCCATGTCAGCGAGCATACTTCAACAACACAAATCAGACGAAGGGATCGCAATGGGCGTGTTGTCGGTAAGTGACACGCAGCAGTCGCACCAGGTGCATGTGGATGGTAAGGAGCACGCCTCACCTTCACGGGAGCTTGAGTGGGAGGATTCACTGCGTCCGGGGACACTTCCTCAGACGCACCATGTCTATCCTCGGTGAGAGAGACAGAGGTGCTGTGGAAGAGGCGGAGACCGTGACGACCTCCGGGCCTCTGCGCTAAACAGGAGAGGCAGACATGTTCGCGGAGAGGGTCTGCGACAGACCGCAGAGAGGCCCGGAACATTCAGGGCCAAGTAAGTTAGAGCGGTCTCCTGAAGGATGAACAGTCAAGAACTGATTAATTGACAGAGAAAAGACCGGAGAGTGCTGAATGCAGTGGATGAAGAAAGTGCTTTTTTTACCTTTCTGTCCATTTTTCTGCCTCTGCGTCACTCACCGCTTGATAGAACAGTAAATTACCCACCGCCGACGTTAGACCATACATCCACGCGGTATCCCCTTGGCTGGCAGCGCTAGTCGTCGTTAGCGTCCTTTTTCTGCCGCAAATGACACGCCCGCTTCATCTAACACCACATACCGTAGAATTGAATGAAATATAAATATTTAAGCTATCTATGAACAATTTACATCCTTCTCACCTAAAGGGGGTCGTGGTGTATGAAAATCAGCCCAACATGACCTTATGTCAGGCCTGCATAAGGGAATTCTGCAGGTCTTGCAGCAATATACTGTGTGGAATTGCTTTGGAATAGTATGACCTCGAGCACTTTGCTCTTTGAACCCGTACAACACATAAATGGCACCATTTGCGAGGGTGAATCCTCTCAACCTGATGATCACCTTCATCTAATGGTTGAACTGAGCTATGTTTTTTCGCTTTCGTTGAAGTAATTCCTCTGATCCTTGCTTAAATAGCTCCCTGTACAGACCTTTTCGAAATTCAAGATGAGTGATCTCCTTCATACCTTGCTGTCTGCGGGCCATCTTTGCAATGCAATAAGCATTAATAATAGCTATGTCAAGTATCCAAAAGAATATAGGCCACCATGAGCGTAAACATCTTTGATGAGTTTCATAGCTTGCACGTAGTTGATTTGCACGATCCACCCCTCCCATATGATAGTTGTAATCATCAATAATCCGGGGTATTGGAAGTTCCTTGGTAGGCTGATCACCAAATGGCTGACGGGCAACTTTTGCACTGGTTGAGGTCTTAGCAGGGCGTTTGCGCAAGCGAGGAATCCAATCAGTTGGCTTGTGTACAGTATGTACAGTTGATAATGCAGTAACAATATTATTATCTTGCCATGCAATACACAACACAGAATCAGTATCAGAGTCAACACCTGCAGGAGCTGCATATAAAGTATTCCATGGTTGAGGCTTTTTGAATCCTTTAGCATACAAAGGGCCTTTGGAAATAGCTTTTTAGATGCATTTGGTCGGGTAGTTCCACAAGCACCAATCCCAAGCTGCCGAAGATAATTGAATAAAGGAATAGTTGAAAAGTAGTTGTCCATATAGATTGTGTAGTTATTATGTTGAGATGGCAGACCTTCTTGTGCAAGTTGAACAACCATAGATCCAGTAAGAGTTAAATTCTCAATATCATGCTTTTTAACCTCCACAAGGGACTTGTGACGGCTTGCCCATATCCAGTATAGAATATAGCCTTGATCTGCAATGGCAAAGAGCTTATATCCTTGCTTAATTGGCTTATTTGGCATCTTAAAGGTATGACAAGAACGCCCAAAGCCGCGAATCATTGTCTCATCTATAGAGACTGCATTTGAAGGCTTCCAGTGCTGTAAACAGGCTGTGCGAAGCCTAGCTGCAAAAGGCTCTAGCTTATACCACCACATCTGATTTGGCTTAAGATTAAGCCTTATAGCCTCTTGTACAGCAGCCTCAGGATCAGGATCTGCAACGTGGAAGTATCGCTTGATTTGCTGAAATCGTTTTAACCCCATAAATCTTCGAGGCATATGGAATGGCTCCTCGCTAGTCTGCCAGTAATCCTCATCACTAGGAGATATATGGACTCCCATATAAATTAGGATTGCAAGAAAGATCTGAATCTCTGAAACTGTAGTGTTATGCCATTCTCTCCCAGATTCGCCAGCGTTCTTAGCCTTTGCATATTTGTTGGTATTGGATGACAATAATGCAATTAATTCTTAGGGAGATAAACAAGGAGAATAGACTGTATGAGCTTTCAATATCAACCCCAGGTGGTAATTGTACTAGAGGAGGGAAAGGCTCAGCCATTTTAAGAGGCTTGAACTTGACATCTTGGTATTGAGGTATTTCATGAAGAATCTCTGCTAGATTAAGCTTTGCAGCATTTTCTTCTTCCTTCTTAGAAATAGGAGGAGGAGATACAGAGGCATTAGATGGAGCCACAGAGGAGCTATATAATAAAGGCTCTTCTGCCTCATCTAGAGGCAGACCCCATAAATCCATTATACACAAAAATGCATTGGTATGAATAGGAGGTGCGTGGGAATTTAGATAAATAAGGCTATTCCCAAGTAGGAAGAAAGCGGTGAAAGCTAACTGACCAATAAAACTACACATAACAAAATTACCGCTAACGACGACTAGCGCTGCCAGCCAAGGGGATAGTACAACCCATCAATACAATACAGGACGGTACAAAACAGTACGAGATAGCTCTCTGGTCTGTCAAGTACTTCGAGAGACTTCACTGCTTGGATCGATTTGATCTAGCAGAAGAGTCTCATCTTGTCGATTTCAATGCAGTAGTAGAAAACCCAGGATCCAAGGGAGGTTATATGGTTGCCATCCCCAGCCTACAATTCCTCCAATCCGGGGTCGAAGCAGAGAAATAAAAAACGCCCCGCCATCCCGCCAGAAGATTTTCCCAAAAAAAAAAAAAAAAAAAAAAGGCCGTGACTCTCTCTTCCAAGAGGGTGTTCCTAGCTTAGACATCCCCAGTCTCCGCCTAACCGCTCTGCTTGTGCGGTCTGATCTCTAGTTAACTCTCTGATGAGGTGAGCGAGCATTTCTCTTTCCCATGCCATGGTCAAATCCAATGGATTCATTCATTCATCCATGAGTAGTGAGGGGCAGGAAGTTCTACGACTTACCTCTTCCCTCCCCCACCTCTCCTTCCATCTAGAACTTCACTTTCTGTCTGCCTCTTCTGACCAAAAGGCATTCCAGGTTTGCTCGAGAATACTGCATGAAAACGATGGCTACTGATCAATTGCGCGTCCTCATTGTTGGCAACGGCGGCCGTGAACATGCCTTCGCCTGGAAATTGAGTCAGTCCCCCCGGGTCGAGATCATCTACGTTGCCCCGGGTAATGGTGGCACGGGGCTGGGAGCATTCAGCAAGATCACCAATGCCAACGTCAAGGGGAATGATTACCCTGGTCTGGTGGCCTTCGCGCAGAAGAATGGCGTCAATTTGGTTGTCCCGGGTCCAGAAGCCCCTCTCGTCGACGGTATTCAAGGATATTTCCAAGCAGGTGGGTCGACACTGTGAACCTCAATTGATCCCTAGCATGACCCTTGTTTAACGGTGTTCAATCAACAGTTGGCATTCGCTGTTTTGGGCCGTCCAAAGCCGCGGCCCGTATGGAGGGCTCCAAAACATTCTCCAAGGACTTCATGAAGCGCCACCACATCCCTACGGCCGCTTACGAGAACTTCTACGACTACGAATTGGCCCGCAAGTACCTTGATACCGTGTCCCATAGCGTCGTCATTAAAGCCGATGGATTAGCTGGCGGTAAGGGCGTCGTTATTCCGGCGTCGAAGGAGGAGGCGCATCAAGCGCTGCATGAAATGATGCTCGACCATCAGTTTGGCGAGGCAGGCAAGGAGGTGGTGATTGAAGAGTATCTGGAGGGTGACGAGCTTAGTGTTCTTACCTTCAGCGATGGCTACACGATCCGATCTCTTCCCGCAGCTCAAGACCACAAGCGTATCTTCGATGGAGACCAGGGTCCCAACACTGGTGGAATGGGGTGCTATGCTCCCACGCCCATCTCCTCCAAGGCAGTTCTGGAGGAAATCGACCGGACCATCGTGCAACCATCCGTCGACGGTATGAGAAGAGATGGTTAGTACTGCCCTCGGGGTTGGAACCAGGCTCCCCACTTTGGCACACTTTTACCAGATTCTAGCTCAACCGCTGACTCTTTTGCAAGGCTTTCCCTTCGTTGGTATCCTCTTCACCGGTCTGATGATGACCAAGGACGGCCCCAAGGTCCTTGAATACAACGTTCGTGGTGGAGATCCAGAAACCCAAACGCTTCTGCCTTTGCTGAGTGACGACACCGACTTGGCGGAGATTATGGTGGCCTGTACTGAACACTGGCTAGACGGTGTCTCCATCAATATTAAACCAAGCTTTTCGACCACCGTGATCGCCGTGGCTGGAGGGTATCCGGGATCGTATGCCAAGGGAAAGACCATCACCCTAGGCCCAGTGCCCGAAGACACACTGATCTTCCACGCGGGAACCACTCTCGCTGGCAATGAGCTGCACACCTCTGGTGGCCGAGTCATTGCAGCTACGGCGACTGCATCGACTCTTGAGGAGGCGGTCCGCAAGAGCTATGCTGGTGTCTCCACGATCCACTTCGAAGACGTGTTCTACCGCAAGGACATTGCGCACCGCGCTTTCAAACAAAGAGATGCTACCGCATCCCAGCAGCAGTCGCTCACCTACGCATCTGCTGGTGTGTCCATCGATGCAGGTAACGACCTCGTCAATAAAATCAAGAGCTCTGTCTCTCAGACCAAACGCCCTGGTACGGATGCAGTTATCGGCGGTTTTGGGGGTCTTTTCTCTCTGGCTGCAGCCAATTCGGCGTACCATCCTCACTCGCCTACTCTGATAGGAGCTATCGATGGTGTTGGTACCAAGCTTAAAATCGCTCACACGGTGGGAATCCACGACACCGTCGGAATTGACCTTGTCGCGATGAACGTGAACGACTTAGTTGTCCAGGGCGCCGAACCGCTCTTCTTCCTCGACTGCTATTCCTGCGGCAAGCTGGATGTCGGCATGGCTTCCGCCTTCGTCACGGGTGTTGCCAACGGTTGTGTGCAGGCCGGCTGCGCCCTCATCGGAGGCGAGACCGCCGAGATGCCTGGTCTCTTCGTCGACGACACTTACGATGCCGTCGGTGCAGCCGTTGGGGCCATCAACACCACCGGCGATAATGCTCGTGCTATCTTGCCAGAGACTGCTGCCATGAAGCCTGGCGATGTTCTTCTCGCCTTGGCCTCCTCCGGCCCTCATTCCAATGGATACTCGCTAGTGCGCAAGATCGTTGAACGGTCCGGGTTGAGCTACAATGACCCAGCCCCATTCTCGATGCCCTCGTCCAACGGACCATTGTCCCTTGGACGCGCCCTCCTCAACCCCACTCGCATCTACGTCAAACCCGTCCTGAAAGCACTCACGATCCCGTCGTCCTCTGGTTCGTCATCCGCCATCAAGGGTCTCGCGCATATCACCGGAGGCGGCCTAACCGACAATGTACCCCGTATGCTCCCGTCGAAGCTGGCTGCGCACATCAACGTCGCCGCGTGGCAGCTTCCGTCTGTTTTCGCCTGGCTCAAGCAGACTGGCAATGTGACTGCCCCAGAGATGGCGCGCGCATTCAACTGTGGTGTCGGTATGGTCATTGCCGTCGAGAAGGGATCTGAAGCGGCGGTCAAAGACCTTTTGCAGAAAGAGGGTGAGACGGTGTACGAGATCGGTGAGCTCAAGTCGAGGAACGAGGGTGAGGAAGGGTGTATCCTCGAGGGATTGGAGACATGGGATGCTTAATCTCAGTCAGCCCTCAGGTCCTCCCTACCTGTTATATTTTCGTACTTTTTTCTTTCTTTTCTTTTCTTTTCTTTTCTTTCTTTTTTTTTTCAATGTTCATGTTACGCTAGTGCCATTTATTGGTCATGTTGGGAAGGTGTTTGTTTGATTGACTGGGATATATGCGACGATGGATAATTAGAAGAACTTGAGAAAACAGAAAACGACGTGATGATCTATCTATCGGCGACCTGTTAGATATATATATTACCATCACCTGGTCCGGTGTGACCACCGCCTGGAATATCCCAAAGTATAAAGTGAAGCTCTGTCCGCACCAAGCCAGAAGTAAGCCGGAGGCCATCGTTCGTAGCAGAATCAATTTTTGAAGGTGGCCTGGGCCTTAATGACATCATCGTCCAAGCCTACTCCAGGCTCGTTACTCGATTTCCAAGCTACATTTAATACATCCAATCCTACGCGCGCTGCTAAGTGATACAGGTACATAAACGTGCACCAAAAAGCACGGATTCGGCAGCATTTTTGTTCTTTAAAGGTGTACCCAGCACAAAAGGGGAGTAGAAGCTCGCAGGGAAGCCGTGGGACATGGAAAACAAGGAATTTAACCATGAGCGTAGAACTATATGAAAGAGAGCTTTCACCGCACTGTTCACAAGACCCATGTACAACCTTCGCCAGAGTGTACCAACCGCATCCTTTCCACCCCTCATTCCCTGGACAGCACTGGCTGCCGGCAGGATCGAGTCGAGTGACAGGCGTCTCAAAAAACAACCATCTCTATTCCACAACTAAAATAAAAGTTCCTTTTTCAGGCGATCTTCCTCCTAGTGCGAGTCAGAGGAGGCCCGCATGCCGCCATTGCCTGCGTTCAGTCTTTTAATACATCAGGAAAATACGACGAACAAACCGAGTCACGCACAAGAGCTGTCAGAGCTGTTAGCAGGGGTTCAGGTTCCCGGTTAGGTGAATGGATAAGCCATACCTTAGAAGCACTTGCGGTGGACGATAGAGGGGCCGCTCTCGTCGTACTCCTGCTTGGAGATCCACATCTGCTGGAAGGTAGACAGGGAGGCCAGGATGGAACCACCGATCCAGACAGAATATTTACGCTCGGGAGGAGCAATGATCTTGACCTTCATAGACGAGGGGGCCAGGGCAGTGATTTCCTTCTGCATACGGTCGGAGATACCAGGGTACATGGTAGTACCACCAGACTGAAAAGCATTAAGAGTCAGACAGCCACAAAGGTACAAGGGGACCGGAAACAGAACATACCATGACAATGTTGCCGTAGAGATCCTTACGGACGTCGACATCACACTTCATAATAGAGTTGAAGGTGGTGACGTGGATACCACCGCTTTCCAAGCCGAGGACGCTAGGCTGGAAGAGAGCCTCAGGAGCACGGAAACGCTCGTTGCCAATAGTGATGACCTGGCCGTCGGGAAGTTCATAGGACTTCTCCAAGTTGGAGCTCTGGGACGCGGTCTGGATCTCCTGCTCGAAGTCGAGGGCGACGTAGCAAAGCTTCTCCTTGATGTCACGGACAATTTCGCGCTCAGCGGTGGTGGAGAAGGTGTAACCACGCTCGGCCAAGATCTTCATCAGGTAATCGGTCAAGTCACGGCCAGCCATGTCAACACGCGAGATCGCGTGAGGAAGGGCGAAACCCTCGTAGATGGGGACAACGTGAGTGACACCGTCACCAGAATCCAGCACAATACCAGTGGTACGACCGGAGGCATACAGGGACAGGACGGCCTGGATGGAGACGTAGAAGGCGGGAGCATTGAAGGTCTCAAAGACGATCTGGGTCATCTTCTCACGGTTGGATTTGGGGTTGATGGGGGCCTCAGTCAGCAGGACGGGGTGCTCCTCGGGAGCGACACGGAGCTCGTTGTAGAAGGTGTGGTGCCAAATCTTCTCCATATCATCCCAGTTCGTAACGACACCATGCTCGATGGGATATCTGAGGGTGAGAATACCACGCTTCGACTGTGCCTCATCACCGACATACGAGTCCTTCTGACCCATACCAATCATGATACTACCAGAGGGTTAGTGGACCTGACTTGCGTAAGGGGGTCGAGTAGAAGGGGAGGAGATTTACCCATGGTGACGGGGGCGACCGACAATGGAGGCTGTAGTCTCGTGTGTCAGTATCTTAACTGCTTTATTTGTGCACCAAGAAACATATGAAGCTTCACCCCATCTCGAAGACTCGAAGAAGACAAGCAACAGAGACAAGAGCTTCAAAGCAATGAACGGTGCAAGACAAGGAAGGTCAACTTACGGAAAACAGCGCGGGGAGCATCGTCACCGGCGAAACCGGCCTTGCACATACCCGAACTACGCGGAAGCTGTCAGCATAGGAGACCAGAAGGGGGAAAACCGAAAAAATCAAAAGAAAAAAGAAAATAAGAAAAAAAAAAGAATTCTATGGATTCAGAAAATTCTTCTCTTCTCTTCAGTAAGGTATAAGGAGAGGCGAAGAACGACACCGGCGTGATTGACCCATGTTCTGATCTCAGCGACCGGTGCCAACACGAGTTGTGTTTTCCTTCTCAAGAGGCAAAATATGAAGGAAAAGGATCAACAGAAACCATCAAAACCAAAATAACATACCCATTGTCAATGACGAGAGCGGCAACTTCCTCTGTATATGCAGGATATGATCGTTAGTGATGTACCAAGGGCGGTTGAGGGGGGAAGGGAAGGGAGGGGAGGGGGAGACAGGGAAGCGAGCCAGATGCAAGGCGCTGAGGTGGCAGGAACCTTACCTTCCATTGTGACGAATATAGGATTAAGAAGCGAACTATGGGGAGGAAGGAAAGGGAAAAGAAAAGAAAATAGGAAAGAGAGAATCTGTTTTCGAAAGAGATGGGAGGGTGGGGGAGAAAGAATAGAGAGGAAGGAGGATCAAAAAGAGATGATGGATGTGGTGGGAAGGATGGATGATGGGGATGGAGGTAAGACAGGGAGGAAGGGGAAAGGGAGCGAGAGCGAGAGCGAAGAGAGGGAGAGGCCGTGGAAGTTAACGTTCGGAGAGTGGAAGGAAGTGCAACAGCTTTGGGTTGGGTTGGTTCGAGCTAGTCGAAAGGGGGGAAAAGGGACAGGCCGGGTGGGTACAACTTTTAGTGGTTGGTACTCGAGGCACAGTCGGGTCTAGTGGCTGTCACCGCCACATACACTGTCTGGTAATGCGATTACCAACGAAAAAGGGTCTGTAAAGAGTTAACTTCCTAGCTAGATGGTAGGTAATTATTAGATAGTAGATGGGTGATGAATGAATATATAAGCCTGTACCCTCCCACCCATCTCACTTCACGATCCAAGGAATTGAATGTTGCCTCTCAGGCAGAATGATTCCCACTAACTACAGTGTTCGTTCCACTCAGGGTGAGTGAGGTCAGAGCTAATGGTAACTGCGATTGCGCACTCACGTGGGGCACATCCTCATCCTCGGGCGGCTATCTACGAATGGTTCAGCCCGGCGTCGATTCCGGACCAGAGAATAAGGCTACCTGGATGATGAGGCGTCGATTCGCATGCCCCTCTCCCCATTCAGGGTCGGAATGAACCCTGAGTGCCTGAATCATGCCTGATTGGGGATTGGTCTGATCTAATCCATACCTAAAAGGGTCGTGAATTGCTTCGAGTACTCGCCAGTACTTACGAGTACCCAGGTAAGTATCTATTTGGTGCCAGGACTCTTACCGCCTTTTCATGGGGGTATCTCCAGAAATAAACCAGCCTTGCGACACCATCGAGACATCCCCTCCACTACATATCGGACATTCAACGACTGCACAGAGGAGTCCCTGGATACCTGCGGTTTCTTCAGGATCTAAATGTCTACTCGAACGCGAAATAGCCTCCCTTCCTCGCAGTAACAATCCACACCTGACACCATGGCGGGGTTGCGGCATGGCGGGGTAACTAGTTATTGCACATCCATGCAGGATTATATAATCCTTGTCTCATTTGGATCTAGTTAAATTCAACATGCTGCCAATTCTACGGGAACTTAACACTCAGAACCTAACAGTTCTATCAGTGATAATGACAATCACCTTTCTAAAAAAAAAAAAAATAACGAATAGTAAATAATAAAATCAACCCTCGCTAGAATTGTTGTCCGTGGATGTTCCAACTATCTACGTGCGTCCGATGGAACGTGGTGGAAAGAACTGGCAGGCACATGAATCATCCAAACTCTTTTCCGCCTTCTCTTTTCAGAACCAGCTTTTCTCCAAGATTTTCCTCCTTGCCTTGAACAATCCTTATTTATATCCACCTCACATTTCCTTATTTGTTTTATTATTTTATACTATTCATTTTTTCCCTATTCTTGGATAGTTCGACTCGCCGGTTGTCAACGCTGAACAGCGATGGATCCCAATATGAACAGTCTGCTGAAATGGAGTATCCAAAACTCCACCAACCCCCCATCTTCAGACGCCAATGCGTCCAATAATGTCTCTGAAGCTTCGCGCGGCCTCACCCCAGAAATGATCTCGACTCTATTCGGTGGTCCCTCAAATGCGGACCTCATGAAGGCCGCTATGGAAGCCTTGCAATCCGATGATGTCGATCTGGAGAACAAAATGATTGCATTCGACAACTTTGAACAATTGATCGAAAACATTGATAATGCCAACAACCTAGCGCCGTTGGGTCTTTGGACGCCGTTGGTAGAGCTACTTAAACATGAAGAAGCCGACATGAGACGGATGGCGGCATGGTGCATTGGTACCGCCGTTCAGAACAATGAAAAGGCACAGGATAAGGTATGAATCCCCTGACTATTCCCCCCCATCTTGGCTCGGGGCCAAAGGAACAATGAACAAAATTCCAACGCCTATTCTTTTTCTCAGCTCCTTGTCTTAAATGCCTTTCCCATTCTCGTTTCCATTTCGACCTCGGATCCCACCCCCGCCACTCGGAAGAAGGCCGTCTACGCACTTTCCTCGGCCGTTCGCAACTACCAACCGGCTATGGATGAGATGGTGAAGCACCTTCCCGAGGGGTATCCCCGCGGTGAGAAAGTCGACGCCGGGGATATGGAAGCCGTGGATGCGATCATGGACAGATTGAGAGCCCACCCGATCGAGTCGTCAGCGTGATTTTCCAGTAGCTATGGATTTGTTGAATTTTGATGCCTTGACGCCTCGCCATAATCAGACGGCAAACCCCATCCTGAACGTACGAATCACCGGATCGTCAAAATCGCCCAAGAAGATCCGTTCGAAGTCAGTTTGCTTTGGTGTTTGACCTGAAAAAACAGCTGATGACGACTCCGTGGACTGTATGTCATAATAGGCCACCACTGGGATCAGCTTATGGGGTGCGGCGTCCCGAACATGTCCCGGTTCGTCAGGCTGGGTATAGCAAAGGAGCATGCATGCGATTCGGGGTTGCCCCGCCGTAGGCTGCGCTCAGATGAAAGAATCTCGTGTCTAGCCGGGTATGAAATGTATAAAAATAGAGCAATTTAATTCGCAGATGAGATGAATAGATTCAACTAGTTGACGTGATTCTACAATAGTTACTGTACTCAACCACAGTCGCGGATACTACGGAACCGCAACTTTTTCATGTATTTTTTATGATTTCTTGAACAACCCGAATAAATTCAACTATCTAGAAGTACAAATATATGAAAAATTCGCCGGTCGTATCTACCGTTTGTTCTTTCCCCTGAATCAGTTAAGGACCAGCAGAATTCTCCCTTCATAAGAATTATCCTCCATTTGAAAATGTAGATAGTATAGAGGAATTTGCACTAGTTAATGATGCTGCGACAAAAAAATTGGACACACGGTGTACGATTATGTTAACTTAACTAGTTAATCCAATTTACGTAAGATCGAATAGTTAGCATGCGATTCATACTGACGTAAAAATGCTACCTAGATCACAGGGCCTTGGCTTTGTCTACCATTATAACCTCGTCGTAGACATATTTTATTCACTACGATCACTACGATCTACAAAGCTATCCAACTATTACGATCGCGCTTCGTGGCCATCGAGTAGTATTTGATAAGTACCCCTCCAGCCATATGGAGCGCAAGAATCACGTGTCCAATGTATTCAGGCTATCGACGGTAACAATATGCCGTACGAGGAAATGCCGAACAAAGCCAGTCATAAGCAAATCTCAGAGTAACACGATAAGCGTAACATAATACTTTACTTAAACATCACTCTAATTACAACGCAAGGTTGTAGGTGAAATCATCTTCTATGTTTTGAGATATCCAAAGCACAACAGAACTATAAGATGAGACGAGAGTAAGATTAGTCCGAGATACCAAACGACGACCCAATCAAGGGGAAACGAAAGGGTGGGAACTTACCTCAGCATGACAAGACCGTTAGCAACGACATTGGCAATTCCAAAGTAGAGCGTCTGCAGCGGATACTGTTTGATGAGGTATTTGAGGACCATGACTGTCTGCGCGGAGAAGTCAGTGAAAACCCTCTCCGAAGCCAGCTGAACGAGGCGTCGGCAGGTGGCATCAGAGGCACTTACCACACTCCCAGCTAGGCCTCCCGCAAGAAGGGCGAACCCAAGGAAGAGCACAAAGCGCGCCTTCCAGGCTACCCCATTTCCACTGTAGCTAAAGCTATCGGCTTGTAGACGCGACTTTTCGATTGAGTTGATCACGAGCATTCCCAGCGCAGAGCAGATACCGGGGATCCAGTCGACAAACTTCACATGCACATTAGATCCATTTAGTGGACTATGAGAATACGCCGCAGCATCGATCAGAAAGAAGAGGCCTAGAGAGAACTAGAGACAGCGTTGGAGTTAATAGGCTGATGACTGATACCTTGGAGCTGACGGGACTTACCAAGGCACCAGACGTGTAGACGCCTGCATTACGAATGGCAGAGTTATTGAGCCATTCCGGCTTTGACCACCGAAATAGGCGGTTGTTCGAAACGTCCATTTTGATCTTGATCCTGAAGGGGGGCTGTGCTCAATTGACATGCGGTCCCAAGGGAAGCAGCTTAGAAGGACGAGGGTAGGCTGTCTTGGCTGTTCTGCCGGCGCGATGATGCAGCCTGTGCTCGGATACCGGAAAATCCGGCCGCCGATGCTTGCACGGGACCGCGCGTTCACCGCTGCCAGGCTGGGGACGAATGCCAATCTGGGCCTTCAAAGTAAAAAAACATTGGACGAGCCGTCGTATGATATTACTACCTAATCATCGGGATATCTATACATGGTTCGTAACTTCATGTCTCATTCTGGTGTGCCACATGGCTTTAGTTCTCCTCGCAGAACAGCCGCAGGAACTCGTCGATGTAGTTCATAGCCTTCTCTTTTTCCAATCGCGGGGGGAGCGTCTTCGAAGAGTCTCCGTCAGCGGGTGTCTCTTTTAGATATTTCCGCAGTGCAAAAGTTGAGGCACGGTAGGTCGCATGATACATAGCCTTGAACTCATCCTCGTCCGTGCTAGAGGCAGGCATCGTTTCAGGGATACCGCTGGGAGTCATGTGAGGACCTCTGTCTTCAGTATGGGCGGGAAGCATGTTCTGAGCATTGGTCTCCGCGGTGCCTTTGCCTGACGATCCGGACCGGGCGGTGGCTCGGTTATACCCATATAGACGCATGCAGGTTAAAATGGTACGTGTGATGGTATTCTTGTTGTCAAGAATGACGGCGTCCGCGTCTGTCGTGGTGGATGAAGACTCGTGCCTTCCCTCAGACGACAGCAATGACGGAGATGGCTCCCGTTCCTTCTTTGCAATGGATTCCATAAATGGATTGAGTGTGTTCTTCCTCGGGACCCATTCGCGCACGTGGCCCCTGTTTCCGCTTTGTGGAGGATGCTCTGTCCTCGGTTCCAAAGGCTTACTGGGATGGAGATTCGCCCCAACAGAGAGGGATCTTGACCGTTGCGATGCAATTCGATCCAGCGCCAAGTGTCCAAGTTCTTCAGATTCCTGCTTGATCCGGAGAGTCTGCAGGTGTTGTTGAGATGGTTGGGAGATTGAGTGCGCCATTAGCTGCGATACAGCTTCACCTCCTTTCTGCCGTACCCTCCTATGATGTTGCGCGGCGGTTTCAAAAAGGGTTGCTACCCGCTTGCGTTTAGGGCTTGGGGAGCGGATGTCTGGGAGGAATTCCGCCGATTGCCCATCTCCTACAGTCCCTTCAACATGGTTTGGGGACGGCAGAGCCTGCGCCTTCGAAATGAGAAATGTGGATAGGGGCGTGGCATATATCCGTAGTTCCTGTTTTACCATAGGAGAGACGATTTCATCCAAACTTGACGAGGATGATGACACAGGCGGGGTAGGAGGCCGACCGAATGACGTTGAGCTCGACAGGCTCCCGTGAATTAGGAGGTCCGTCGTAGTCGATGCGGATGCCTTCGTGCGTGCGATGCTACTGACACCAACGAGAAGACCTACCGGACACAGAATAGTTTGAAATCTATCCATATCCTCCCCGTTTAGCCAAATATTGGCAAGAAGCTTCCCTGTCAGCCATTGTGAAGCTTCGATGTCCGATGTATGCAGTTCGAGATTGGGTCCAACTCGAGCATATAGCGGCACTAGGGCAGGGTTTACAAAGCCGCGAAAACTGAGCGTAGAGTTCCTGTGTATATCCGACTGCCAACTGGAGGTCTGGTCAATGAGCTGTAGACCTGTGATGATTGTGAGGACGCACATAAGCTGAGATGGTCGCGTCAGACCGTACCTTGGAGAGAAGAATCACTGTCTAGTGCAAGTGAACCAGACCAGACATTCATTTTAATGTAGTTCTTAGCTATAGCTCACATTTTAAGCGATCCAGGTAACCCCTACGGCAGAGGTGATAGGTTGGCTTTATCAAACTTACAAGTCGCGCTCGGTGACGGAAAGCGCGTCTACCATCACGTGATACATAGTACTCTGTATGTCTTTCCAATGCATACAGTAGGCCGTTCATCGGGCCATAAGTAATACAATCCTAACACAATTATGAAAAAAAGGCTATCAAAAAGAAGAGGTGAACAAGTTACTACCGCTGAAATCCATTTACCCTGGCTTCTCTATCACCTAATAGTAACTATCATACATCCAGTCGTATCAATGAGCAAGAAGCGCGGCATCAAAAGGCGTAAATCTCATAGAAGCTCAGATACGTGATTCTTAGCGTATGTCAAAGCGGCGAACAATGGTTTCGTAAATGGTCCATTAGTTTCCATAAATATAGGTGTAGGTACTGGCTCCTTAGACAAGGCCGATGGAAAACAGTCCGCAAAATAGCATCCCAGGATGCAGACGGTCTTACCATGTCGATTCCCCATGGCAACTTAAAACTCCTCCTGTTCTTGGAAAAACATTGAGAAACTGATGATCGTTCCATAAATCAAAAGACCCCCAAGAATAGACATGATCATCGCAGGAACCTCGATGGCTCCGCTATGTGCCAACACTGCGGGAAGGGCTGGAAGTAGGACTGCCATTAGTATCGATAATCGAATAAATCGCCTTCAAACAGAACATGACATCAAAAGCAGTACCATGCGACCCGGAGGCCTATCATCCGCAAACCGACAAACTTACCGATTCCCATCAGAACTAGGAAGCCCGTCAAGAAACGACCAAAATCGGCAGCTGCATTGCCAGAACTGTCCATGAAATCATCCGGATTGGCACATCGCGAACAGATCCAGTTGGGTAGGGGCGCAACAACGTAGGTTGCAACGACAATCAATGGTAGGAAGTTGTGCCACAGGGCAGAAGAGAGAATGACAAGAAGGAAGCCAATAGCAAGGACCTAGACAGAGAGAGAACCAAATATTAGCTTCGAATCTGTTTCAATAATAACACAGGACTGCATACGAAGGAGAGCGCAATAATGGTCTTGAGTCCGGCCGTCATGACTGTGTGAAGCACAGGACCGTGGCGGTCCAGGATCAGCAAATAGCTGGCACTGTGATAGGAGGTCGCAGATCTGGGACCAGAACAATAGGTTCAATCAGCCACAGATGGGAGCTCGATGTTATAGGACTTATAGCAGGGTCGTCGATGCTCAAGTGACGTTCAGCGGCAGCCGCAACAGGCGACCGCGGAGAGTTGCCTCAGGCGACAAGAGCCACGGCAGCAAGGCCGCCAGGCGGTACGGTAATTACGGTGAGGTAAGGCACGTAAGTTGCTTCTCTGCCTGCTCACCTCCAGCTTCACTAACCTCTCCTCTTCCTTCATCTCCATCCCCTAGCCCATCAGTTTCATATTCTCTCTGTTTAGCACATCAATCCTCTCGCCCTCTCTCTCGTCATGTTCAGGAACAACTACGACAATGACGCAGTCACCTTGTATGATCCATCGAGCTCCATTCCAGCTCCCAGATTGCTTCGCTAATTCCCTATTCATTCGAAATAGCTCCCCACAGGGTCGGATATTCCAAGTAGAATATGCACAAGAAGCAGTCAAGCAGGGATCCGTGGTGGTGGGGTTGGTCAACAAGACACATTCAGTTCTGGTTGGATTGAAAGTGAGCATTCATGAATCACCAAGAGAGGTCCAAACACACTGACTTGTTTTGGTCTCCCCTAGCGGAATGCCGAAGAGCTCTCCTCGTACCAGAAGAAAATCATTGAAATCGACTCCCATATGGGCGTCGCGATTGCTGGACTAGCATCGGATGCCCGTGTACTTTCCAACTATATGAAGCAACAGTCTCTTGGCTCCCGGATGTCCTACGGCCGACCCATCCCCGTGGACCGCATCGTCACTCAGATTGCCGACCGGGCCCAAACAAACACCCAGCATTACGGGAAGCGGCCATATGGCGTTGGCCTGCTAGTGGCCGGAGTCGATGAGTCTGGCCCCCATTTGTTCGAGTTCCAGCCATCCGGCATGATCCACGAGATGCTGGCGTGCGCCATCGGAGCCCGCTCCCAGATGGCCCGGACTTACCTGGAACGGAATCTGGACGAGATCTCGAAAAGCACCCGCGACGAGCTTATCACCCACGGCCTGCGTGCGCTCAAGGAGACCTTGTCCCAAGACAAGGAACTGACGGTGGACAACACCTCGGTGGGAGTGGTGGGACTCGCGGGAGAAGGGGCTAAGGGGAAGATCGAGAGCTTCAAGCTATACGAAGGCCAGGAGCTGGTACCGCTGCTGGAGGCAGTGGAGCGATCGGATTCGGGCGAGACGAAAGAAGGAGAGGAGACGATGGAGATCGATTCATAGTTTGACGTTACGCCATAGTTTATGAACCCTGGTTTTATTCTTTTCTTTCCTTCTCCCACTAATTGTTCTACTTTCTAGCGATCTTGAAGGGGATCTTGTTTCCCAAGTCATATCCATTCGTAAGAATAGTCTGAATTCTAGCTCTATACGTTGATATCTTAGTGCGGGGAGCTTTTTCCTGCCGTAGTAGGTCGTCTATTCGTCGGTCCAATTCAGCTTCATCCTGCCATTGCTGAGCTTGTATCCGACGAGCCGGGGCCAGACCTCACTGACGATCTTCGCTTCGACCAGGATACTGCCATTCTCGACACCGATGTAACCCTCCCGGACGGCATTCTTCACCCAGGCCAACAGCCCATCCCAGTACCCGTTGATATTGAGCAACACAACAGGCAATTGATGGATACCCAATTGGTTCCAGGTCGTCATCTCCATCACCTCCTCGATGGTACCGAACCCGCCCGCCAGCGACACGAAGCCAGACCCGGGTCCTCCCTCACGCACCTTGGCTGCCATGAGTCGTTTTCGCGTATGCATATCCGGTACGATCGTCGTGATCCCGTACTCTGACTCCTGCAACGGCGCCGCCACCTCCACCGGATCCTGCACTACCCGTTCCGCTCCCTTTCCGTCCGTCATCGACGACTCTTCCGCCGCTTTGGATCCGTTGTATCCCTTCTCGACGCGAACCAGCGCCCGTGGGATCACCCCGTGCACGGCCTGCGGTCCGGACAGCGATACCAACGTCCGTGCCACTTCTCCCATCAGTCCCGCTGTGCCACCGCCGTAGACGAGCTGGATGTTGTTGCGGTAGAATTCGTGCGCCAGAGCGCGTGCGGTCTCCATGTGCGCAGGATCATTGCCGGAAACGGAGCCGCAACTAGATGGTGGAGGATCGCGGTGTCAGTTCTGCATAGTTCAAGGCGGGGTGGAAGGAGAGAAACTCACAATACGCAGACGACCGCGGGCTTCTTTTGTTGAGAACTCGCCATGTTGCGGGGACCAGTCACCAGTGTTGGAAGTGGGAGGAAAGTGAAAAGGGAAGATGGGGAGTTCCATCAACCTGAAGTATCAAGGGCTCTCAAAGTCCAATGACTCATCCCGATCGGGCACCCGACATCTACTAGACTACTAATTCTAATGAAAACTCCAGAATCGATCTGTACAGCGCAAAAAGGGTATCATTCATTCAGTCATCTAACGGATTTCCAGCGTGATAAATTCAGCCAATTCGGCTCTTCTTTCTCCGCAACCGATTTTCATCCGGGCCAGCTGCCCCTCCGACGCTTTTCTCGGGCGTTTTCCCCGGCGTGTCCACCTTCACCTGTGGCATTCCCGTTATCCCCGGAACACTGCCCGGGCGACTAATATTCGATGGCGGCTTTGGTCCCGGGAGTCGGTCGGTGTCCCCAGATTTGGACAGGATGAATGACCCAGGTTCTCCAACGAGTGGATTCTCATCCATAAACTCATCCCCAAACCGGGACAGGAGAGCGAACGACTCCGCCAGAGTCTTCGTATCCTGGAACATTGCGCCGGCGCTGCTGTCTTGCAGGGATCCTAGCGAGTTCTTCGTTGAGTCGGCCTCGGGTAAGGGCGTGCCTTCTTTGCTCTGCTGGGACGGAGCCCCCGGGTCTGTCGACTTGGGGGCGGCTGGCAGGTAGGTGTGTCCGTGGGATGGAGTGAAGGTCGGGAGTGTTGATGCCGTCTTCAGGAGATTGGTAAGGGAGGTCACGGCGGACAACTAGATAGGTATGATTAACCGGCAAACCCCAGGAGATATATATATGATGTAATGTGGCGTACAATACGATTCCCCACGACACTGGCCACCGATGGGGCCATGTAGATACAGTCGCCCACCACAAAGTACGTGGCAAGGACATCAACCTCGTCGTCCAGCCCGGACCGCTTTCGCCGAAACTGCTTCCGAATCACCCAGATGTTGGACGGTTCATGGGCAAACTGGGTGTCGGATTGCGCAGCCGCCTGCAGTGGATCGTACGCGACCACGAACTCCAGTCCCTGCATACCCCTCAGTCGTTCTTCGAAGGCGTCGCGGGTTCCAACTACATGGCGCAGACCTTCGATGTAGTTGGCCTGGATAGCCAGAGAGGCATTATTGGAGGTGGCGTCGAAGAATGGGGATTCGGCGAAATAAAAGAGAACTGGGCACCGAATAGGACTGCATCAGCGGATACCATGTGCGAGGCGGAGCAGAGAGATTCGTTCGTTCATACTGTTATTTGAGTGGAGATAGCCTCCCATCATCTGGACGTGCGGAGGTGACCGCCAGACGATCTCCTCCATTGAGGCATCCTGGGGCCCAGTCATCGGGACGAACTCTGACTGACAAGCCCGAAATAGGATTCCTAGCTACCTTGAGGAGAGGACGAAGAGGAAGGAAAACGAAGAGGAATAAAGAACGAGAGAGACCAAACGACTCTCGCCACGGAGCTTCAGTGCGGTTTGCGATGTTTTGCATTTTCGATGACTCAGCTGGCACGTGATGCATATATTTCGTGTAATATTGTACCTGTACTACGTATATTACGCACGTCCAGATATCCACTCTCGGTATATTCAATATGTACAAAGTATAGATTCAAAGAAAGAAAGAAAGAAAAACGCCCGCTATAGTTCCAATCGCTAATGTTGAATCCACCTCCCTGTGCCACTTATGCATATGCAAGGCCCCTCCAGTAATATACATGCAAACTGTTGAAGAATGTTGCAGTAAACAATCGAATCTGGGAAGAGAACCGCTAATCAAAAGACCCTATGGATTCATCGGGGTGAAAATCCCACCCACAGTGCGCAGCTTGGTCACCATCTCTTCCCACTCACCCTGGGCGGTGCTCAGAACGGTCACCGCACCCCCAGCGCCAATCCGCCACAATTGCTCCTCGTCCTGGTCATCTGAACAGGTGAACGCGGTGCGGATGAGAACCGAAAAGCTGCCTCCGCCCCCTAGATCGAGAAAGCCCATGACCCCAGAGTAGATCCCGCGCCGTCGGCCTTCGATCGACTGGAGGTGCATGCACGATCGTTCCTTGGGAGCCCCTGTCATGGAGCCGGGAGGAAGGCATCGCTGGAGTGCCGTCAGTCCATGGACGGACATGCAGGAGGACTGGAATTGCAGCGGTTTGCGGACGGCAAATCCTGGGCGGTTGGAGTCGACGGTCCCCTTGACGTGTGTGATCATTTGATAGACCCGTCCATGATCCTCCACCTCCAGCAGCTTCTCGACGTGTACCCCCCCAGAGCCGCAGATCCCATAAAGGTCATGGCGGATCAGATCCGCAATCATCAAGTTCTCTGCCATTTCCTTCGTCGTACCCAGGATCTCCTTGGCCTTCTGTAGGGTCATCCCGTCGGATTTTTGAACAGTGCCCTTCATAGGCTTCATTTCCAGCGTGGCAGTTCGGTCCCAGTTCAGGAAGCATTCGGGGCTGCTGCTCACGATCTTAACACGCCCTAGCCTCGCATATGCACTGAAGGCTGCAGGGTTGTACCGCCGGAGGCGCTTGTACAGCTTCCAGGGGAAAGTCACGCGACCATTCTTAGTGCTGGCCGCAGGCAATGTAATTGGCGTTTCGCACGTCAGGCAGAGCTCGTACGACTCTCCAGCCTCCAACTCGGCCTGGCATGCAGTGACTTGTTCCTGGTAAGTGTGGCGATCCGGGAACTGCGTCACTCCGCACCGGAGAATGGAATCCAGGAACTCGGAGTCGTCAGAGACAGTGTTGAGTTTCGTCGGGACCTCGATCGAGGCAAGCCCTCCCAGTAGTCGTAGTGTTTCATCGAGCCATCCACCCGGCGCATCATCAGCCTCCCGAGTCGACTGGATAGTGATGCGGCGTGTCTCCTTGTCGAAGACGACGCTTCTTTCCGTCCACAGTAGGCTGACGTCTGCCGGGTCTCGGGAGTCGTCATCCCCAGAATGGTATCCCTGGAGGTCGTGGTTTTTGGGCCGAGCGAGGCAGGCCAGTCCCAACTCGTACGAGAAATAGCCTAGAAAGCCTCCCCAAAATGGGACCGCGGGGTCACCCGACCCGACCTTCTTCATCTCCATCAGGTACCTGAGAACGTCCCAGAGCTGCGGCACGGACAATGGCCCTGCGGTGACCGTCTCCTTCGAGTCCGCACCAGGGTGCGCATCGCAGTGGCCCAGTACCTTTTCCAACAGCAGTTTCTCGGTCTGGGTGAAGAATTCTAGCCTCCAGCTGGAAGGGCTTGGAACTGATATCACGCTGTATCGATTGTTCGACTGGAAGAGCACCGTGGGGGTGCTGGGGGGGTTCAACCGTTCGCAGATCACGTCGGCGTCCAGTTTGCCCGCTGCAAGCGCTCGAAAGGCCGCGTGATTAGACGTAGAGGAACTCCAGTTGAGCATCGAGGATGCAATGTCGGGAAGAGAGGACACGCCGCTCGATGGCTGGACGATATCCACGGGAAGGCTCCCATAGCCACCCCGCCCGTTCACTTGGTTGTAGTGGAGAGTCATTTCCCACCATCTCCGGAGAAGCATGCTGCAAACTCGGCGATCTGACTTGCACGATTCTGGGTGAAACTGTACCCCCCAAAATGGCTTTTGCTTATGCCGGACGGCCATGGGGATTTTCGTTTTCCCGTGAGAGCTCTCTTCCTTCACATACAGCCAGGCCAGCAATTCCAGGTCCTGGGCCTCGCTGCCATCCCCTAGCACCGAGTCTTTCCCACCATCCCACCTGGCATACAGCGAATGATAAAGGGTGACCTCCACGTCCTGGATTGCCTCAAAAATATCGGTTTGCGTCGTGGTAATCTGATGGACCTGCCCGTGAAGAGGGTGTGGCAATCGGCCTATAGAGTGACCATGGTGAAGGCATAAACTTTGAAAGCCCAGGCAGATCCCCAAGACGGGCAAGACATCGGCTTCGCGTAGATTCCAGAGATCCTTCATGACCCCGATATCCTGCGGGAGATTGGGATCACCAGGGCCAGGTCCCAGAACCACCGCTTCATAATGCTGGAGAAACTCGACCATGTTCCCATCTGGCCATAGGGAGTCAATCATCATGACGGTCACCTTCACCCCGAGAACTTCTTCCAACATGGCGACAACATTGTAAGAAAAGGAATCATACGCATCAACATAGAGGATGTTCTTCGCCGGCGTAATATCCTCGGGCATGGAGGACCTGCCAGTGTCCGACGTCCAATGTCCCAATAACGGGGCCATATTTGTACGAGGATAAAAAAAATCAATCAATATCTGAAGAGCGAGCGATAAGACACGCCCTCTTCTACAAGTCCACGTGGCGTGAGTCTCTCGGACAACAACGGTGGTCAAAAAAAAAAAACAACCTTTTTTAATAAAAGAAAAAAAAAATAAATAGGAGCGTGGCGAGAACAAAGATACTGCCCAGGTGGACAAGCGCTTCCACAACCGTGGTTGAGTAAATTTTATCTAAAAGAGCTGGGCCAAAAGAACCAGAGAAAGTTCCCGGATCAACGGGACCGGAGGCTTGGCGAGTTTCGAGACAATCCTGGCCTTCTCTGCAGGATGATTCTAAAAAACGTTCACATTCCAATAAACCCAGGACGAGAGAGAGAGAGAGAGAGATGGAGAGAGATGGAGGTAGAGAGGTAGGGTGGTCTATCAGAGTATGTACAGGTGGGTCACATCCAAAAACTCCGGGGAAACTGCAGCCAAAAAGAACCACCAAAAACAAGAATGCTTCAGAAAAATCAATAAAAATAAAAATGACGAACACATCCAAGCGACATATTTTTCCAAGACTACTTGCAAAACTACTTGCTGGCTGCTGGGAGTGATCGACTGGCATCGATCAACTTCGTGGCGATCTTGGAGAAATACTGCGCAACGAATCCCTCCCTGAATAAGTAGAAAACAAAGTCAGTAACATGAGCTGTGCATAATTGTATAGAGGTGATCGTACGTGTAATAGCTATGAGCAGAGCTGTGGTCGCCCACCAGATTATGGGCCAACTCGTGGCACAGTATCACCCACCAATATACTAGGGCCTCGCTTCGATCGGCCATTGGGCTCTGTATTAAGTCTAGCTCGTGTAATTGTTGGAAGTAGAAGTAATTGCAGAAGATGCTGCCTGCTCGATTGAAGGCAATGGTCTTGCCGCCCGGATCGTAGAAGACACTCAGACTGTTGGCCTGCAGAGAGAACACCTCCGCACAATCAATCAACATGGATGCAAACAGGTTCATACCGGTGCTGTTCTGCGCCAGGAAGTTCGATCGATCCGAGAGCGTCTTCACAACGAGGACGTGGACCCCGCAAGGAAGGGTCGCCACAAACTCCAAATCTTGACTCGGTCTCTCGTCGCAGTAGGACTTGGATTCGGTAATCTGGTTCGTCTCGGGCCGGCTATAGACGCCCGAGGATCCGTGAGGCCGACAGGCTTGGATGGCCGACAGCAACTCTGTTTGCAAACGGTGGGGGGGGCTAACGGTCACCGGCGCCTCGGGACGCGATTTCTGGGGATCTTCCGGCGAGTAAGGAGGCGGAGGGGTGCTGGTATTCGAAGAGTTCGCAGGGACAAGTTGGGATGTCTCCGCGTTCGACGAGGCCCAGTTGAACCGCCCACCCTCGATTCCGAGGCGTTTACTCAACCCGGAGAATAGCCCCCGATGGCGGTGTTCCTGGTCTGACTCGGCCCTGTCCGGCAGGATGCTGGGACCAACATCTTCGTTGGAGGGCGAGTCGAGGAAGGCGCCTGGCATAAGGGATGATCGTTCGTCCTTGATCGGTTGGGACTGTGCCTGCGCCTCGGCTCTCTCGCGTGCCCATGCGGCCTCCCTCTCCTGCAGCTGCCGTCGTTCCTCTTCCAACTGTTTCTGGCGTTGGTCCTCAGCAACCCGGGCTTCGTGCGCCTTTTGCTTGAGAATCCGTTCCACATTATATCCTCGCGTCTTGAGTTCCATGAGATCGGTCTTCAACAACATCTCCAGTGTGAGGGTCGAGTGAAGTTTCGGCCGTACAAGGATCAGATGTACCAGAGCTTGACTGATTTCGTAGAGGTTATATTTACCAGGGCCCACCCACAAGCACCAGGAAGGCGCCTGCTTCGTAATTATCGCGCCACGGTTCTGCGTGTGAGAGACGCGACGGCCCCGAAGAGAGCGAGTGAGTGAGATGGACTGGACAATCTGCACCTGGAGATTCTTGTCCAGCCATCGAACGTCGTGGCAGATGGAGTCCGGAGACTGCTCGTGGAGAAAGAGACGACATCGCTCGTTGATCAGCTTCTTCAGTTTGACCGCCGGGGTTTGGTCGGTGGAAATGGCTCCCCAATGACCGCGCTCTTCCACGAGGTTGCTCAATGGCATAGCCCCCAGTGTGATGTAGAAATTTTCAAGGGCTTCTTCTTGGGGGGCAGCGAGAATATGCTCCTTGAACAGGTTGAAGCTTTGGAAATCGTCCACTACGACTGCATCTTTTGCTGCCGTGAAAGTCCACTCCTTGATACTCTGGTCGTCATCCTCTTCATCCGAGCCGTTTATGACTTCTTTCCTACCCTTTACTTGAGAAAGCGAAGATATATCCCGGCTAACCAAAAGAAAACTGGACTGTTTCATTTGGCCGAAGAGTTCTCGATCCTTTTTCAGTACAGAAATATTCTCCGCTAGGGTTCGTAGTAGCTTGAGGTACTTGTCCACGCTTTGGAGTGCGGAGGATACCCTGGCCGGCTCTTTGACTAACATGTGCGCGAGTTCGATCTTCGTTGGCTCTCGCTTCGAGCCGACGGCCATGAGGAACAAATTTGCCTCCTGTCCAAAATCGACGAAGTCAAAAATCTCCCGGTAGTCTTCGCCGTCCCCCAGATAGCAAAGTCTGGGCGGCACACGACGCGTGTTTGGGCCTTTCTCCGTCCTTTCGTTGGTTGAGATCGGCACTATCGGCGCGTTGCTGACGCGATCAATATCTCGAGGGTTGAGCTCGGACACTCGTCCTGACAAGTACCTGAACAATGCCCACGCATCACGCTTGGTAGAGGGGGGTTGGCGAAGCAAGTAGTCTAGACAGTTCGTAAGGGCCGGATGTTGCTTGACTGCGAACTTTGAAGAATGGGGATGGAGGTCTTTGCGCATAATCCGGAAGCCGAACAAACTTGCGCCTTCATCGGTAAAACATTTACTAGGCACACTAAGGCCTTTCTCCCCTTCAATAGGCAGGAATGGAACATTGATCGAACTACAGTCGAATGTTGCATAACCGTTGTTGTGATACTCAGAGATATAATACGACATGGCCTTCCCATAGAGAAGCAAATCATTGCCCGCGGCCTCTTGTGCCATGATCTGTATCAATTCTGGGGCAGATGGGAAGCTTCTCAAGCCCAACTTGGCCAGAAATCTGCCCTCGCTGCTGCTAGGTTGATATCTTCCAGGCCACTCAATAATGGGGAGCCCAAGAGCCCTGAAGGAGTCTTTCGGTTCATAAAGCTCGTGGATTCTGTAGCGCCGACGGTGAGCAGGTGCAGTGTTGCTGTCACTTCTTGGTTCGGCCGTGCAGATGCTAGTGTCTCGAAGTCTCTTGAGGTCATTTGCAGGAATGTCTTCGTGAACGGAAGCAAGGTAGCGGATGAGGTCGACATGGCTCCATTTTCGATGGCTGTTGCCAGTCCCATCCGATGAATCAGTGGTGCTTAGGAGACGTTCAAAGATGACACCCAGCTCGACTGTTTTACGAACGCCGAGTGCTGCCAAAAACTTTTCCTTGACACCGTTGAGACCGTGTACGATAGGAAGGTCATCGAACAACCGCACAGAAGAAAAGTAGGTGTCCACAGGCCGTCTCATCCCAAGTTTAGTTGGGATGACCGTGCGCGGTTGTAGCATGTCGATCGCAGCCTGCTTCGCCGACTGGCTCAGAGACTCCCAGTGCTTGGAAATAACGGGCAGAACCTGGGCAGCGAAACTCGCAGCTTGTGTGATATCTTGTCCTTCCGTGAGAGCATTTCGATTCTCCGCGTTGGCAATCAGCCAGCGAACCCAGGGAACTATCTGGAGCTCTGTCCAACCAAAGGCTTCCAGCTCTAGTTTCCCGAGAGATTTGGTGTACTTGAATGGCAACACGGATGACGCCACCGGCATGTCCGCCGGTACCTTGTTAGGGATCAGATAGTTCTTAATGTCTGCGAACACAATTAGCTGCGTCGTATTCCCACTACTGTCCTCGTCATTTGCTACTGCAACGCTCAAGAGGCTCTGGACGGAGAGAGAATCAAGTTGTCCTGAAGCCGCCCTCCGACCTAACCAGTAAAGAAACTCAACAACCTGGTTGGGCCGCAGCGTACTAGCTTCCAACTCCCTCTTGATATCAGAAACAGTCATGTCGGTTACCAGTCCGAAGTCTATCAGCCTCTTGACGAAATCCTTCGAACCGGCGACGAACTCGTCTGGCAAAACGGGAATGGAATCCACGAAGCTGAGATCTTTGGGAGCAATCCGTGCCTGGTGGCTTTGAATGACACCGCATGTCGATAGCACCTCTATAGAGGCATGTTTATTACACGTCCAGAAAGAATCCTCGATCGTCTGCCCTAGAAGAGAAGACGGCGTTGACTCACGGAAGACGAACTGATTCGCAATGTGTATGGCCTCAGAAAGCACTCCCAGTATGTCTTCCTTTCTAACTTTCGAGGTTCGCAGTGGTTGGATCTTTGACTTTATGGAAGCCATCTCTGCGGACCAAGCCACTCGACAGACGATACCCGCTGCTCTCAGAATTTCGAGATTCCACTTGCTGATATACCGGGTGTTCAGATCGATACTCTCACGCTCAACGGTCGGGATCACAGATGGGGCGGATATATGAGCATTAAGACCTGTCGTTTGATGGGTAGGAAACCCTATGAAAACCCGTCCGGTTTTAGAGGGGAGGATAGAAGAGAGGATCTCCGACTGCGACCCTGACAATCCAGAGGCCATGCTTGTGTCGTAGGAAGGAGTCAGGACGGCGATTGTTGACTTTTTCGGCGGAGGTTTCCGAGTGGCTCGTTCAAGCTCGTTGCTCAAAGACTGGCTGACGGAGGATTGAATGCTTGCCCTGTTGATGTGCAAGAAGACTGATGCTGTGACAACGGTGCTCAATTCTTCCGTGTCATTGACAGGGTCCGGTTTCTCCACCTTTGCTTGTTTCTCTGGAGCGGTTTGGCCAGTAAGTCTAGAGAAGAAGGTGCGCAACGAGCCCGCCGTGTCCCGAAGGCCTTCACGAAACACACTGGCGTGGGGATTCCATTCAACAATCTGCATCCAAGACGCATCGACTTGCGCAACCTCTTGCGTGACACTTACGATTTTCATCAAGCCCTGGGGAGTTTTAGTTTCGATGTCTCTTGGAATGGCAAGGCTGACACTCGGGGCAGTCTTCTTCGTGAGTCGCAGTAGCTTCCAGTCATCCAGCCACAACTCTATGGTTTCAAGACCGACAAACGTCAGGCTGCTAGACAGAAACTGACACAATTGTTTCAATGATGGAATCGGAGATGTATCGTTGCGATAGTCTAGAACAAAGGTCGTTTCCGGATTTGATGTGTCGTCTAATTGCAACCGGCGCGTGAAAAGTGCATTCCCCTTCCAATAGAAAGCCATGGCATGCTTCCCCGAAGATACAAATGGTTCTTCACAGTCATCGAAAACACTGTAAAACCCGACCCCAAAAGCACCGATCTTCGTCTCGTCGGGGTTGCCATCCGCAATCCGTTTCAACCGGGCCCAGTCCTTTTCGCTGAACGGAAGACCATTGTTTGACACCAAGAGACGTTTCAAGGTATGGTGGGAAATGGTATGCTTCAGCAACGTCGTATCATCGGCAGCTGATGGTAAAGGGATCGTCGTCGACGGCAGGGTCTCGAACTTGATGGTAACTCTGGAGGCATCCGCATCAGCAGCATTTTGGATCATCTCTCGTAGAACAGTCCTGTTGGTATCTGGTCAGCATCCACACTCAGATCCGTACATATAATGCACCCTGCGAGCATACCATTTCCCCGAATAGCGCGCCAGAACCTTGGAAATCAGACCCCGTGTGTCAACCGTGACCGCCTCTTCGTCGTTGCCAGATCCCATGGTACGCGCCTTCAGCGCATTGAAATCTAGATTCTGTGCCATCTTGCGGTGTATAGGAAGTTAAGCTAGCTAACCGTGCACAAGGCAATTCACATCAAATATCAGAATGCAACCTAGGGGGGCAAAAAAAAAAATCTAGCAAGAAGTCTAGACACCAGATAGCACGCCTCTTGACAACTAAAACTCCCTAAAGAACAATCCAAGGCGACCGTACACACGCTAATTTAAGCACGCAGAGCTTCCAGCTAGGAATAATCAGAGGTAGAAAACCACCCCAACAAAAAGAATAAAGAATCCGCTCTTAACACGGCCAAACAGGCCTGCAGCAACACTAACCTGACAGTCTGAATGATAGTACGGAGTAGTTAGAGGAGAATCGCTGACGATTAACTTAGTTATCGGCCTTATCGGGTGCCTTATGTAAGCAGAGGGACCAGAACGGGACTAAACCGACGCGGTCACTTGTTGCAGTTGCCGTTGGAGCTGGCATCAATCATCACCGGATCTGTCGTGGCTATTGAGCGGGCGGTGCCCCTAGAATTCTCCTTGATCCTTTCTCTCTCATCCCATTCCCCTCGTCGCATGATTCTCAGGAACTGGGGTATCCTCTGGAAGCAGTCCTGAGCATATCGCCGACTGCCTCCCGCTCCGCATCCTTGCAGATGACAGGATGGGTGTTGACCCTCTATCCCCTATTGCGCCGGTGCGCCTTAGGGCTTTACTGCTCCCCGTTGGAAATATCAGACGGTCGCGGTTTCTGAGCTTTGCCGCAAGGCTCCAGGCTGAAAATGTCGTTCGCTTGGGAGATATCAGTCCAGATGCGCGACCCAATCGAAGTAAGCCATTGTCGCACCCTGTTTGGAGAGGAGGAGGGTTGAAATACACACGAGATATTCATTACATATTTACGAAAACCGTAACAAGTAATTGACTGATCTTCGTGGTAGACATGTTCTCTCCGCTAGCATTCCCTACAGGCATGATTCTCTATGACCTTTCGTTCTCCGTGCCTCCAACGTCGCACTTAGAGCTGTTCCCCTTCGAGGTCTTTCGCGAGCCACTCGTTGTCATTGCAATCGCCGATGGGACAGAACTAAATGACGAGGCTAAAGAGCAGGGGGCGGAATCGACTAGCCAGACTAAGACTGGAGAATCTCCCTCCCCGGCTGGACTGGACCGGCTTCGACAAGAGTTGGAGGTCGTCAGGGGGAGGCATACGAGGGCCCTGGTGCATCAGCTTCTGATATTCGATTACAAAGGCGTGGACAAACTCTCAAATGGATCCGATGATGTTCTATGGATTCCACGGCCCGAAGTATCTAAAGCGACGACGATGAAGACTGTGCTGTGCGACATCACATCTCTGCTCCTTTCGGAGTTGGACGAGTTCGCCAAAACTATACAAAACATACCATCCATTGAATCACCGAAGGCTTCGTCCTGGGGCCCACAGAGAGGCCCAGATTTACGCCCGCGTCCCACGGATAGGCTGTTTTACCGGCTGACCATGCCTACACACCTTCCCTCTAATCCGAACGGTGCATCTGAAGACTTCCTCCATTCCACGCAGAGTTCACCTGCTCCTAGCGACCATGAGACGCCCACTACTTTTGACGAAATAACGCGGTCCATACAACTGTCCAACCGAGCTAGCACAGCCGGGAAACCACATTCCCTGCCCTCGTCAAAGGAGCATAGCCGCGACCGGATGTCCGTGAGCAGCATGAGCGCAACTGATCGGACCAAAAACCGAATCAAAGGACGTACGGGTGTTGTGGTTGGAACACTGTTTCTTCAAGCGGGGAGATGGCCAGATGCCTTAAAGGAGCTTGTTGATGCTGCGTCCAACGCTAGAGCCAGCAGTGATTATGTGTGGCATGCCAAGGCGCTCGAGTCGATTCTCCTCTGTCTGTTGATGTTTGGCTGGGCAGGAATGGATTTCCAGGTATGCTAGGCGATCTCACCCTTTGTGTTTTTGTGGCTTGGTCTGTCGCTAATCCATCAGTAGATCCCTCCCATTTGCTACCCTGTTGCAGACAAGTCCTCCAAGTCGTCGTTTAATTATGACTCAGGATCAGGGCAATCTGCCCCGGGAAATCGTGTCATCTCTCTGCAGAACCTGTCCAATCTGTTGCCAGACCTGTCGAGTAATATAGTGAACCTCTACAATCGCGCGGCTAATATCACCGATGAGCCTCTGCCTCAACTTGTTTTCTCGGAAACTGTGATCCGTATAAGCAGATTATTGGTAGCGGCGCGCGTTCGTGATGGCGCTTTGGATGATAATGCTTTAAAACACATTGTTATGAATGAGTCTCTGGTTCCTCTACTACGACCAGAACGTCCCCGTGGGCTGGTCAGTCTGCGGAAATCCGAAATCGCTAACTTTCTCTTTCGGGCCTTGCCACTATCTCCCGGTTCAGATTTACCGGCGACTGATTCTATTCCCATAATAATCGGAGTCGTCTCTGTTTTGAACACTTTGGACTTACCACGAAAGAAGGCTTTCATTCTCAGAGAGCTTCTGTCGATCATGGTCCCGGCCCTCGTCCAGGCCCGCAAAATCGGTGCTGCTGAAGTGGGGATTCATCCTGCCGCCGGTCTAGCCTCTATCAGCGAGACGGCCTTTGATATTAACGCCCTTGATGTTGGCCCAGGAAATATGGAAGAAAGCGTGCAGTCCCTTCTCGCCATAATAGGAGAAATTTATGGTGTGCAACCCTCGACGTTGTACGAATGGGAGAACACCCGTTGTTCAACGGCGAGCACGCCGGAGCCGTTCCCGGAATATGATTCAGTTACCTCAATTGTTGAACGGTCGTTCAGACACTCCATTTTAGACCATTACGGCGATCTAAATCTGAAGGTCGATGTGCTTAGGGCTTGCATCAATTCATGCGAAGCTCTCCCCGATTTTGGCGGCGTCATTCGTTTCACCGTTGAGTTGCTCCAGACCATCCGAGGAGATCTCATGCTTACTGAGACACACTACGATCCGCCATATTTGCCCCAGGATGAGCAAGTCCGACTTTTAAACAACATCAAGCGCACAGTTGGCGCGGCCAACAAACTAGGGGTATCAAGTCTGGAGGCGGAATACTGGGATGATTTCTTGGTCCGTGGTATCCAATTGCTTCCTTTGCCAGATCACAAGAAGCCAGTTCGCCGGTCCAGACCGGAGCTTGAGGTGGTGAATGAAAAGTCCACGAAGGACCCCTTTCTATACAACCCATTCTCCAAGACTAGCAGCAAGACGACGGAGCTTTTCATGGTTGCCGAAGAACCCGCTGCATTCCAAGTTACACTTCAGAACCCGTACGAGTTCGAAATAGAGATTGAAAGGCTCCAGCTTGATGGTGAGGGCGTGCCTTTCGATGCTGTGGCCGAATGGATCCTCTTGGCCCCCTTGTCTTTGCAACATGTCACGGTATATGGGAAGGCCCATAATCAGGGTAAAATGAACATCACTGGTTGTATCGTGAAGGTTCGCCATTGTAGAGAACGAAAGTTTCCCATATTTGAAAAGTTGTGGAAGCCAGAAGTTGATCAGAAATTCAAGCGAACTGGACTGGCAGCTAAGAAACCTCCGATAGAGCGTCCTCTCTCCTGGAGCTTGACAATGTCAAGAGACGGGAAGCCGCTTCCAAAGAAAAGCCCAGAAACGTCGTCCTGTAAGGTCGAAGTGATTCGTCAACAGCCCTCACTTGTGATAGAATCACTCTCACTGTCGCAATCAGCAGTAATGGTCCTAGAGGGCGAGGCTGGCGCTTTCAGGATCACATTACGGAACACGTCATCATGTCCTCTCGACTTCATCCTGTTTACTTTCCAAGACTCCACGACGAAACAGATCCAATCTGCCCTGGGCAACAAAGATCTGCTGCCAGCTGAAGTGTATGAGTTGGAGCTGAAGCTATCTAAGCCAGCTTTGCAGTGGCGCCGAGAAGGTCTGAACCCGGGCAACCACACAATACCTGCCGGCCAAAGTGCCACATTCACCGTTGATATCGTTGGCAAAGCGGGCTTGCAAGGCACAACGGTGCAGATCGACTATTCCTGTGTTGGATCCTCTAGCGCCGAACTCCCCGATGTGTTTTATACTCGACAATTATTTGTGCCGCTCACCGTTACCGTCAATGCCAGTATAGAAGTGGCTCGCTGCGACATATTGCCCTTCAGTGCTGATTTTGCGTGGTGGAATAGCCAGCGTTCTGACGTGGAAACCACATTTGCTCCGCGAGATGCTGCCCTTTCATCACCTACAGAAACCGATCTTTTCTCTTCTGTGCTCTCTCACCTTGTACGAGGCGCTTATGGACCTGATCACTGCATCTTGCTTCTTGACCTTCGCAACGCGTGGCCGAACCCTCTATCCGTGTCTCTAGATGTCAGCGAACATCCTGTGGGCTCCCTGGAGCAAGCCACAGAGAAAACCGGCGCCAAAGATGACCGGTATACCGTCTCAGGAGAGCTCCAACCGGGCCAGCTGTCTCGTTTTGTGCTCGTCCTCCCTCGTGTCCATCTGGACAATCCCCATGCTTCAGTACCGCTTCTCAATACGGGGGTCAAGAGACAGTTTGTTGTAAGCGCCAACAAACTTACATTTGAGGGTGAAGCAGCATCCCGCGAGGCCTTCTGGTACAGAGAAGAGCTACTCAAGAGAGTGACGGGGTCTTGGAGCGAAATTCCCGCCGGACGCCGAGGAACAATTGACCTTAGGAATATACGGTTTAGTGCACGAATGGTAGACGCTTTCCGACTGGACGACGTGGATGTGAGCTTCGCTTTGCAACCTTCATCTTCGAGCGACACGCCTTCCAGCGACGAGAACAGTGTCATTCAGGTTGGACGATCAAAGTACCTAGTCCAGACAGATGAGATGCTGAGTCTCACGGTTACTGTCTACAATCGTTCGTCAAGACCTATACACCCTCTCCTTCGACTTCAACCAAGCCTTCGCCATCAACCCAGCAACATTGCCTTGGATCTTTCACGACGTCTTGCATGGAGCGGCATGCTGCAACAAGTTTTACCTACTGTAAATAGTGGAGGGAGCACATCTACCACCATTGGAGTAACCGTCCTCTGTAGGGGCGAGTACGAGTTCGGAGCCACCATAGAGGAAGTACGCCTCCTAAGACCTGTGGCTGGAACAGATGGAACTCCGACCCCTCTGACTACTTTCCATGATGATCTGCCCATCAATGATACCTTTGGAGCTGACGTGGCTAAGAAACGACGCATCTGGCATGCCAAAGAGACATGTATTATGGATGCGCACTGTTAAAGGTCAGAGGACACTAGAATCCTTGGGAACTTTTCAGTCCAACAAATACCACGACTCTTGACCTTGGCATCTTTTTTTTATGACAGGTATGACGGACCTTGTAAGTTTTGTTTAGCAATGTATATATATACATGTATGACACGGTCGCCGCGTGAGGAATATGTGTGATTAGCAAAAAGGCCAGCCATCAGGTTAGAATTTACGATTAAGTTGGCGACCGTATCTTGGAGGTCGTGTACGAACCGAACTCGAAGGCTTTTGACTTGCATAAATAGATAGACTACCTTGTTCAATGTTGGTAGGTTGTATATACCCATAAGACATCTATCAAATATGCATAATGTCTGTGATGATCTCATAATCGATCAGCTGCTGAGATTTCGAATACCGATGCCAAGTTCATTCAAACACAGCAAAAGCTAGTATCGTCATTTATCAAACCCCATGAGGAACGTAATCCTGGAAAGGTAGGGCAGGCGTATAGAGCAGCAATGGTCTGAATATAATTATAGAGTTAGAAAGACGACAACGTGCAAATCGCCTGGAGTATGGCCGTGCCACCTTAAAGGGGCCACTGGAGTGTAGAAACTCAGTCGGGGTTGATTCTTCCCGCCAAACATTCGGAAGCAGAAGTAAGAATCACGCCTGAGGAAAGAGTGACATTGGTGCTTTTCAGCCCAAGTCAAACATGGCCAACTTGTCCATCCGATCCGATCACGTCGCCGCTTCAGCCTCTTCTCTTTCGTGGGCGCCGGACGCCGATGGTTTACCTTGCGCTGACGAAGGGCCGTGCTGATCCCCCTGGGGAAAGCTGAGGTATTTCCAATCCTCGATCTCTTCTATGATACATTTGAGCCGGTCTCGAATACTCTCGACAGCGTAAGTTCCTAGGATGAGCCGAAGGGGAGGGTAGGAACAATGGCCTAGCTGCCAGACCAAATTGGCGGCTTTGACGGCACTCGCGGGCTGCTTATCGCCCAACCACATCAACATCCGCTTTGCGTGCGCCGCTGGTGCCGTGGGTGCATTGTATGGCTCGCTCGGCCGTTTGACGAGGAAGTGGCCGTACAATGGAAGCGGCGGCGCGAGATCCAGCTCGGGCTTGCCCGTCGTCATCACGGAGGCCGGATGTGACACCAGGCCGTCCATGTCGTCGCGACGCATGTGGCCGGGCTCGACGAGAGTGGCCTTAATATTAAAGCTGTCCACCTCGTACAACATGCTTTCCATCAGCCCCTCCACCGCATATTTCGAGGCACAATAAGGCCCCAGACCCGGTACACCGAGGGCCCCCGAGGTGGAGCTGAAGATCAAGTACCGGCCGGAGCGTCGCTCCCGGAAATGAGGCAGCGACAGTTGGATGATATTCAGCGTACCGGTGAAATTGGTCTCGAACTGGTCTCGGATATCGTACTCGTCTTGGTCTTCGCAGGCCCCGATCACGCCGTACCCGGAGCAGTTGGCGACGATGTCAATACGACCGAACCGCTCGATGGTGCGGTCGATGGCTCGTTGGACGGTTCCCCGGGCCCGGACGTCACACAGCAGACCCAGGCAGTTCTCATGTTCATCCTCCAGCTTTTTCATACATTCGGGACTGTTTTCAAAGGTGCGTCCGACCGCTGCGACGAAATCATCCCGTGACAAGGCGGTCTTCACCAAGGAGCGGCCCATGTGACCGGTGGCACCAAAGATCTATCAGGCAGGCAGATGGTCAGTCAAAGAGAGAGATATCTCAACTTGCGATCGGGCTGGTAGTGGTAGTGCTCATACCAGCCATACGAGCGGCTTCGGGGGATTCTGTGGTCCCGGAGGATCGGTGGTAGAGGGGAGACAGAGTTTTGGCTCTCGCACTATGGATACGGGGGACGACGAGGAGGCATTGGGTAGTTCCATGGACAGGGAATATCGAACCGATGGATAGGAAGGGGTGAAGTGGAAAAGATTGAGGTTTAGGCTGAGGTTGAGGGGTTTGGCATCTCCGCATTCGATAAATCTGGGTGCTCACCGCCGACGATGGCCAAAACACTATGGAGGTTCTAGTAACTGGTTAACTAACTACCTTAGCCATTTGGTAGTCCTAAATGATCCAAGTAGTACCGTGATGATGGTTTACGGATACGGCTAAATCCTGGGATATATCTCTCGTGGATAGCAACGCCCGACGCCAAATGCAGAAAGCTCCTATACTGTCTACCGCTCAACCTCTCGTCGAAGCCGTCCAGCGGCCGTCGAGGGACCTGGTTCAGGCCATCCGCTCACAGCGTCATCGACTTCCTCCAGGAAACTTGTGCTGTTGTGGATGGTCGTGCCCCCCAGGACCACCCGCACCCCGGGGGAACTGGCGTTGACCTGTGCCACCATCTTGGCCTCCTCGTACGTCGCCCCGCCCACCATGAAGAGGATGATATCCTGGGGCTTGTCCCGGATATGGCCTCCGCCCTCCAAGAAAGGATACTGGAGCTCCTTCAGTCGGCCCTTGATGAGATTCTGAAGCGTCGCTTCCAACCGGGGCGAGTGTTGTGTGTAGACATTCTCCACTCCCTTGAGCCCTTTGAACCGGTCGCGGGCCCCCGAAAAAAACGAGGCCGACTCGAACAGGTCCGAGAAGCCACCCGCAACCGGTGGAGCTTGCAAGGAGTGATGGTAGGCTAGCAACTTGGGGATGATATTCACTTTGTAGGAGGGGACATTGCCCGCCGTGACTAGTAAGTCTAGTAGAACCGGAAGAGCGTTGGTCGGCTGCTTCTCGTATCGAATGGCATACAGGGCCACCAACCGTAGCTTGTTCTCTGCGGGCACGGTGGGGAGCTGGACGATTCGTTGCAGGCTCTTCAAAAAGGAGAAGTCAGCCAGTCCCCGATGGGGAGAAGGACGGATAGCGGGGGAGGGGGAGTTGACCGGCCAACGTACCTTGAGATCATTGGCGTGGTTGTCATTGCAAGCCAAGCTCTGTTCCAACTCGCTCACATCCAGCAGGTCATCCTCGCCGACTCGTCGACTAAGCTCTCCGACCAGAGTGACGTGCTTGCTCACGTTTCCCGAGAGTTTGCGGAACTCGGGATAATCTTCCACAAAGCGTTTCATATCCGCAATCGACTCGATATTCATCGTGTTCTGAGTCTTCAACTGGTATTGTTCGACATATTCCTTGATGTTTTGGCCCAGATCCCCGAAGTTTTGGTACATGTTCTTCTTAAAGAAGGGGTCCTGGTCTTGCGATAGAACGATTTCTCGCAGCTCCGACCGGATCTCCGGTATGTCTCGTAGGTCCACCCGTCCGTTGTGGATTCCAATCAATTCATGCACCATCGCCTGATATGTCCATTGGGTAAGCAACGGCGTAATGGGATCGTCTCGGCGATCTAGGATCAGCAGAATAGGCGGAGTGTCGGTCTTGCGAAAGTTGAACAACTGCTCCTCCTGAGTCAATTGATAACGGACCTCTGTCGCCAGTTTCTTAGCCAGCAGGCTATTCTTTTCGTACCGGATCAGCGGATTCTTCTTTAGAGCCAAAAGCATGGCGATTACGCCTTCCGTGGCCCGCTGAAGTGCATCCGCATTCCATTGGTCCGGGGAGTGGCTCCAGAGTCGTTGTTGAGGGAATCCGAGATTGAAACAACACAGGTCCGGGTTAATGACCAGGAAGTCGGCGAAGTATTCCTGGACGGCGCGGACCACCTCGTGGCTGTCTGCTTCGGCCAGTCGTTCGAGCGACGATTTGCGGATGATGTTGCTGAGGTAGATGTAGTATTCGCCGTACTTCGGTTCGCGCAATTCATCAATAAGGAATTGGATCGAGGTTGGAGACGGGCGCACAAAACAAAGGCATCGCAAATGGCGCATCCGTTCGCGAGCCGCGTTGTCCAAGCGGTCAATTAGGTACACGTCATGGTTCAGTAGGGCAGACTGGGTGATAGCAGTCGATACAATGGGCACCTATCCAGGGGGAGCACATTAGCTAACAAACTCCCTAACATCCGATACAAGAATCGCAGTTCCCACTGTCTCACTGTCCAAAAGCAAGATCTTCATCCTGGTTGACGATGCAGATCCCGACGCAGATGGATCCCCAGCGGTGACCATCTTGGAGATATACCCCGAAACCGCCGCGACGACGTCCATGATGAAGGATGAACAGCCTCAACGAGGCGCGGAAAGATCAAGAGAATCAATGAAGGTAGGCAGTTGAAGAAGAAAAGCAAGGAGCGGATGGAGGTGATAGACGGGATGAACAGAAAGAGGATAAAAAAAGATAGAGAGGCGGAAGAATACGCCAAGGACGATGGCATGTGATGCTTGCATTTTGTTGAGCTTCAACGACGATCGTCTTCGTCCTCCCCCTCCTTTCCCTCTTCTTCCCCTCCGGCTTTTTTGATCCGGTGTTTTTTTTCTCTCTCTTCTCTCCTCCTCCCTCTTCTTCTTCCCGAATCTTTTCTGTCCTTTTCCATTTCGCCGTCTTCTTCGCCCATCATGTTCCCATACATCAATCTCCGTAAGTATCTCCACAACAATCATTACAGACGACAAGGTATAACAATGGTCGAGCAGTACTAACTTGCTTCCCGGTATCTAGTCTTCCAATATCCTGCAGACCTTACAGGTGCCTCTATTGATGAGCGTATGCGCTCCCACCCAATCTCGCAATGGCTTCCATGGCTCGCACCAGACCACTGATGGTACCTCTCCGGAATAGTGAAGCTTATTGCGTCTTTTCTACTCTCCTACCCTCTGGCGGCGATCCTGAAGAGAATTCCGGACGCACAACCTTGGAAGAAAAATACGTTCATCATTGCTGTGTCATTGTTCTACCTGGTCGGTTTGTTTGAGCTGTGGGACGGTCTCCGAACTCTCTCCTACAGTGCGGCCGGTATCTATGCTATTACTTACTACATCGACGGCTCGTTGATGCCCTGGATTGGTTTCGTCTTCTTGATGGGCCATATGTCCATTATTCATATCTACCGACAGATCTTAAATGATTCCAAGGTGATCGATATCTCCGGAGCCCAGATGGTGCTCGTTATGAAGCTCGCCTCCTTCTGTTGGAATGTGCATGACGGCCGTTTACCCCAGGATCAGCTTTCGGATTCTCAAAAGTATGCAGCAATTACGACCTTTCCTAGTATTCTGGACTATCTCGGATATGTATTGTTCTTCCCCTCTCTCTTTGCGGGCCCCGCTTTTGAATATGTCGATTACCAACGCTGGATTGACACCACCCTTTTTGATGTGCCCCCGGGTACGGACCCATCGAAAGTGCCTCCGACTCGAAAGAAGCGCAAGATCCCCCGGAGTGGAACTCCTGCGGCCAAACGGGCGTTGATGGGGTTAGGCTGGATCTTTGCCTTCCTGCAACTTGGTTCCATCTATAACGAGGAAACGGCACTTGGACGGCACTTCCAAGAGTACTCATTTCTTCGGCGTGTCTGGATCCTGCATATGCTCGGATTCACGGCCCGGCTGAAGTATTACGGAGTGTGGTCCCTGACGGAAGGTGCCTGCATCCTATCTGGGATGGGGTACAACGGGTTTGATCCGAAGACGGGAAAGGTCTTCTGGAATCGGCTGGAAAACGTTGATCCCTGGGGCCTTGAGACGGCCCAGAACTCGCATGGTTATCTGGCAAGTTGGAACAAGAACACCAACCACTGGCTTCGAAACTATGTTTATCTGCGGGTCACGCCCAAGGGCAAGAAACCGGGCTTCCGCGCTAGCCTCGCGACCTTTGTGACCAGCGCGTTTTGGCATGGGTTCTATCCTGGGTACTATCTGACCTTTGTTCTTGGATCATTTATTCAAACTGGAGCCAAGAGTAAGTGTTGCCAATTTCGGTCCCGGTTTTCTTGCTCATAGATTGTCGCAGATTTTCGGCGCTATATCCGGCCTTTTTTCCTCACCCCAGACGGCCAAAAGCCCGGCCCATATAAGCGGTACTATGATGTCTTTAGCTGGCTGGTGACCCAGATCACACTCTCGTTTACCGTGATGCCCTTCATATTCCTATCGTTCGGGACTTCTATCAGCGTCTGGCAGAGTGTCTACTTCTACGGCATTGTTGGCAATGTCGCATCTCTAGCTTTTTTTGCCAGTCCTGCCAAAGGATTGCTTGCCCGAAAACTGAAATCCCGCAACAAGCCTCCTATGGCACGGAGCTCAAGCACCGAAAGCTTGCATCAACCTACTCTCGGACTGCCAAGTGACGCGATACAAGAGTTTGACGAAGCTGTGCAGGAGATCCGATCCGAGATCGAATCAAAGCGGAGGCAAGGTAGTACCGTCGGCATGCCGACCGGCGCCGAGTTGAAGGCTGCAGTGGAAAATAGAATAGGTAAAAAGCTTGAGTAATTTACGGTCAGTAAAGAACCTGAGAATTCTTCGTTGACGAACGGTGGGGACTGGTTTTGCCTAACGTCGGACGGATGATTTGTTTGTAAGCGAAATGATATCCTGAGTACGTTATTCTTACCTTTCTTTCTTTCTTTCTTTCTTTCCTTTTTTTATTCCCTACCCTCCTCTCTATTGAAATGCTGCCCTCTCGTGGCCATACTTTTAACTATATCAGTTGTAGTGTTACACCATAACTATCCATCTGTGTACTACAGAAAATCTATAAAATAAACATTATGCAGTGATGCGGTGCTTGCTTCCATGTTATACTCTTGTAATTCCAAGTACGTAGCAAATTAGGACCATGGTTTGGACGTAAAAGAACTGCAAGCACAAGACATATAATTCTAAGCAAGATTCATGTCAAGGGTGTGTGTTCATAAGTACAAAAAGATCGAAGAGAGAATATGATCATATATGTCAAAAGAAAAGGAAAATGACATATATCCATGGTTCGTCATAACCCCTAATTAATCCATTGCCGACTGGCCCAGAAATGACGCCCGCTCCATCGACCGACGGTTCGAGCGTCTTCCCAGAGCAAGACGAGCACTCAATAGAAATCAAGGCCGGAAAGAAATAAACAAACATTATATACATCACATCGTTCAGTCGTGTCGAGTGCTTTTAGATAATACAACCAAGTAGCCAAAGAATTGAAAGGAATGGGGAGTATAATGAGAGAAGGCATCAAGAAGTATCGAACGAAATATAGGGTATAGATGAAGCAGTCCACTCTTAACCGGCATAATGAAACAGAAATTAATCAAATCGAAAGAGGGGAGGGGAGAGAAGAGGAACAAGCAGCAAAGAAGCAAATGAACAGGCATTCGCCTGCAAACAAAGGCAAGCAGTTGCTAAAAGCCCACCGTGGTACCTACAGCAGCCAGGATGATCTAGTACAATGTTAGTTACAAAACTTTATGCATAAAGAAGGAAAGAGAACTAAATGAAAACTCACAATGATGACAATGATCACCGCACCTACGGGAATCATCCATCTGTTAAGATTTCTCCACCACCTAGCATTTTCATACCGTCTCCGCCCGAGATCAACAAGCCGCATCTGGAGCGCCGTTTCAAGCTCGGGTTCGCCATCTCCTCTGAGATCGTCTTTGGCTTGGGAGGCAAGGGAAGGAAGGCAGCGATAAGCCAGGCTATAGCAAAGTCAACAGTGTGTTTTTAGAAGATCAACAACAGGGACAACAGGGACCACGCACCAAAGGGGAACATGAATCCCAAACAGAAGGACCACACTTGAATATTCCGCCGACCCAATAATGGCTCAGTCCTAGAGTCCATTGACGGAGCGCCCCAACCACTCGCTCTTTGTCGAACAATACGTCTGTCAGGGTACAGATGAGGAGACCAACTATGTCGCAATTGCTGCCGAGAGCTTCCGGGTCTCTCCTCATCATCAGGGCTTCTTGCCCAGTGACTCCTGGGGTCGCGTGGATCCGAGGCTTTCCACCGAACGGCAAGGTGAGTTTCATTGGTGGGGGCTCTTGGTCGACTTACAGCCGCAGACATACGCTCAAAAGCGTTGGGCTTTGAAGACGTAGGGCATGCTGTGGGAGGACGGCTGACATCTGCTATGGGTTCAGCAGAGTTCACAGCCTGCCCATCAGAGCGATAGTACATCCGGGCCCAGGCTGGGAGAAAACTGAAAGTGCCAGAGCCAGTACCAGGCCGGGTGGTACTCCGCAGACTGCCTTGTCTGGATCCGGAAGAGAAGCTAGCCGGAAATCGCGAGTGCTTGCCGCGAGACGGAAGAGTGGAGACGCTGTCCATATATTCATTTTCAGGGTCGTTCACGAGCCAAACCGAAGATGACGCCGTTTTCTGAAGAGCTGCAGCAGGCGTCGATGGCTCCTGTGTCCCCTCCGCAGGTTCGTCGCCAGGAGTAGGAGATCTCGAGTCATACTCGGCAGACCAACGAGATGTAACTGTTGACAAATGCGACCTAAAGTGATCAGATGAATAGACCGCTGTAGAGTCCTGCAAGGCCTGGTCCGACGAGTCCGAAACATGAGTCACATCTATCCTTGAGCCTGAAGATGATGGGGCACGGATTGTGGGATACTGTATGAACACACCACTGTCCACGATAGCTTGAATATCCGGGGGCGGGTCACTTCGCGAGGACGATGCTGCAGATCGGGAATTACTCCGGTCGCGAGGGCGAGCTGAACTAGATCGCACTGATGGCACGTAAGGAAGAGGGGGGTTGGAGCGAAAGGAATGAGATCGCGAGCTTGATTGCTCGGAAGAGGAACCATGCGTCCATTGGCCGGCCCCTGCATATCTGATGACAGTTCCCAACGAGTTCAGGGAAGATAGCGAATTGGACCGGGAGCCAGAATCGGGGTTTGAAGAAGTGCCAATTGGGACAAAGTTCAGGCTCGAGCTATCGAGTGCAACGAAATTGGGGCTAGAGGGCGGTCCAATTGGAACAACATTTGGGCTGGAATTACTTGACGCTGCATTCTCAGGGTTAGAGGGTTGTCGGGAAGAAGTATTGGAAACCACCGTCTTAATGGTCGGAACCGCTGGGGTTAGTGTGATTGGTTCATCTGAATACGCGGCAACCGAACCCTCATCGGACGAGCGATCAACTGGTTTATGCTCATTGGTGTCTGGGAAAGATGACTTGCTGGAACTAGGATCTTCCTCCCAGACCTGCGAAGGAGTGTTCGCAGCATCAAAGGTCGATGATAAATCCCATGGATCACCAATAGATTGTTCAATTAGACTGCTGTCGGCAACATGGCTGGCATCTGTAGATAGTGTACCAGTTGATTCGTTTGGCGCTTCGTCTACGTGGAACCTGGAATCCGGGATGAATTCATGCCCTTTCCCCGGCCGTGGTAACAAAATATGCTCCGGCTTCGTTGGGTATGGAGTAGCCGTGTAAACTTCGTCGTCATCATCTTCGGCCTGGATACCATGCTTATCGCTGGCAAGTCGTATGGATGCGGGCGGCGATGTCTCGTTCGTCTGGGATGGCGTTCGCTCATGAAGGGCTCTCCGTCTAGGAGAGGAATTGGCCGAAGGTCCAGATGAGCGCATGTTGTCCGGCTGGGAGATTAGTTCATTATAGGTAAACACCAACAGAAAGAGTATTAATCAGCGCAAAGAAAGGAATTCCTGAGTGATGATAACGGGGAGTTTGAAGAAAGGGGGCCAAAATAATACAAGTTGACCCGAGATCACAAAGAATCGAAAATAAATCTAGCCAGGAGAATAAAGATAAAATATTCAAAAATCAAATTGAAGCTCAACAACAAGAATGGCTAACGGGCGAAGCAAGCGAATTGTGTAGTGGTTGTTTTGTTGTGGTCTATAATTCCAGTGATGCAATAAGGAATGTCTCGACACCAACGACGTCAAATGAGCGGCAAGAACAGCAAAAGAGCGTGGAACCGACGGAAGGAAAATCGTCAGCAGTTGGATTAGCGGGTCATATCGCCGATATACAGAATTGAAAGCGCAAATGAGAAAAGAGCGTCCAGCCCAAGACCGAAAAGCACCAAAACGCGTTTCTAAAAGAGTGACAAAAAGCAGAACGACTGGAGAGCGCGGAAGCCAAAAACCTGAAACGAGTATGCGGGCTGGGGCTAGCAGCAATAAGTAGTATTTAAGCGGCACCGACCGGCAATCCGTGTTGCTTAGCGGCGGTGTGAACAGTGTGTTGGCTTGAGCTCTGGACCAGGAATTAAATCCATCCAATTCCAGGGGGATGCAGGCTGCACGCTCTAGAGCGTTTTCTGAAACTGGTGGATTCGCGGAGGATGAAAGGGGGACGATTGTCCTGTAGTTCGTGGTTTTTTTTGGGAAGATTTGCCCTCTCCGTCAGAGAGTGAGAAGAAGTGGCCGTCAGGAGGCCTAGATTATTTGCACCAGAAGCCCTCGGTTATTACGGAGTACGATCCCAAGACATCATGATCTTCGGTGCCTAATTAGAAGCCTACTCCGTATGCGTTACTGCCATCGTCATCAATACGACTCGATCGTCCGATCTCCATATCGCTTGACGTTGGCCGTTCACTCTAATTGTGGACGACAGACCAGATACCTCTACGGAGTACCTTGGTCAGGTGTTCAACAATCAGGATAGTCACAAGAGATTCCAATTGTCCCCTCAGACGTAGCCGGCGCTTAGGTAGTGAGCGACAGAATTGGCTGGGATGCAAATGCAAGGTCCCTCCAAGAGTGCATATACGGAAGTACCATATGGATGCCTGTATGTGCCTGACTTGTTCGTTGTACCGAGGAGAACCTTGTCCCATTAGTGCTATTTTTTCTGGGTCCTGTCCACTCGTTGGTCTCCACGAGGATGACCAGTCACAACGGCCTAGTTCGTCCTCGAGGGAACTCAGGGAAGACCGAAGAACTTAGAAAATGAACCAGAGATATTATCGACGATCCATTTGGGGGAATGTGGCTGAGAGGAGAGAATTTCACCATGTTTCATTGGCTCTTTGCCTTCTGTACACAGCCCAATGAAAGGACTGGATTCCGAGTGAAAACTGCTCTAAGGAACAGTTCAGGACCATCCAAAGGCTGACGCAGTGCCAACTCACCAGAAGTGGAGGCTATCAATTGTCTTCCGATGCATGAGTTCCCATCGGTGCTTAACCCTTCTCATGAGAGAAGCATTAGGTAAAAATCATATCAATGCTAGTAATAGGGATTGAATCACGATGTACTCCGTATACTCCATATACTCGGTAGGGAGTACAAAGTACCATGTCATGGATGTCAGCAGAATTGTCTGAATGATCGTGGAAAATCACGAGAGGATCATGTGGAGAGTCCAGTGACCGATGACTAAAGAGGCAATTCGGCGCTGCCTGTAGAGTCAGGCAATCTGTTTTTTTGGTCTTGCTTTTTCCATTGTCGTTAATTTCATCTGCCTCCAGGAAGATCATCGCTGGGTTCATTTCCGGTCTTCCAGATGCTTTCCCCCCTACTAGGCCAGAGTCTCTCTATCTTGTTCGCTACAGAGCCGCTCCCTGCTTTCATTTGGCCACCCGTTTGGTGATTCCCTCACATTTAGGTAGCTTTTAAGACATCCATGGCGCCTGTCACCATCCTGGCGCGCCTAAAATCTTTGTACTCAAAGCATCATGGTAGGTCTGAAAAAACTCGGAGATAACTCTTGTTTAGTTCTAACTAACCACCCGATCTTAGATGAACCGGCCATTTCGGTCCAAACGGCCGCTTTTTTTTCGGTAGGCGTTTATTTATTTTTCTCCAGCCCTAGCGCTACTCGGATTACGGTATCTATAAAAATAGCATCATTGTAATTCTGTTTCCCAAGTCCAAGGGAATTAAAGGGGCTATCTGAGTGGCCGCACCAACTCAAAAAATTGCCTTCGCCCCCTTTTGTGGATAATATCAAAATGAGAAGCATGATCATTATTGTTCTTCTCTTATGGTGTCAACCGCTAATGAAACCTTCTAGATTCTTCTGACGCTGGTCTATGTGGTCCCATTCTATGTCTCTTCCACCACTCGCCCGTCGCCTACTCTCAGCCGCGATGCTCCGTCGGTAATTCGGGCTAGAATCAGGGCCGTGACTGCTTCTTGCATCGTCAGCACCTTGGCTGTTTTTTGGTTAATAGTTGCCAAGGATAATGCCACCCCGTTAGAAGCTCTTAAACTTCTCGGGTGGTGGCCTATTGGCTTCATAGAGGTCGTTCGTGCTTTGGCCCTAACGGCTATACTGTTCACCGGGCCTCTTTTTGAACGAGGGATTGCCGAAGGCGAATGGAGGGACTGGGCCAGAGGACGTAGAGTTTCCGAGACCCTTCGAGGCTGGATCGGATGGAGAAACTATGTAGCTGTGAGTCAAATTCCACGATCTAGAACTGATGCCGTTTCCACTAACGGTGAGATGCAGGGTCCGATCACTGAGGAGATCATGTTCCGCTCGGCCATCGTGCCTCTCCATCTCCTTGCCAAGGTATCTCCAGGCCACATTGTTTTCATGGCCCCTCTCTATTTCGGCATCGCCCATGTGCACCACTTTTACGAGTTCCGCTTAACTCACCCTGACACCTCGGTCATAGCGGCCCTGTTCCGATCTGTCTTTCAGTTCACTTATACCACGATCTTTGGCTGGTATGCCACCTTCCTTTACCTTCGCACTGGGTCGATTCTAGCTGCCATCCTCGCCCACACCTTCTGCAATTGGTGTGGTCTTCCTCGGCTATGGGGCAGGGTCGAGGCTGGAGTGCCTCTGGGACCACCATTGGCTAAGGGGAAGGAAGATCCGGACGGTTATCCCGTATATGAACACAGCCAACTGGGAATCAGTTGGAGCATCGCATACTATACCTTCTTGGTGGTGGGAGCCATTAGCTTCTATTGTGCGCTGTGGCCTTTGACTGATTCCCCTAATGCCTTGGATAATTTCGCCGCGAAATAAAGAAAAAAAAAGATATTAATGAAAAGAACGTCATAGGACAATATATTTTTCTTGCGGCACTTACCTAACAGGTTATTCGTCCAACTAAACCATTTATCTGTCTGTATTTACCGCACTTGGTTTCCAACACTGTAGTCTTTGTTTAATACTGGTGCGCCTTGTTGACCTGTGGGAACAATGCCCAAGGAACAGGAAGAGAAATAGAAGCATTTGATTCGTCACGGCGAGGGTAATGATAATGAATCATGGCATTTACATCTGCTCGGTTGAGCATGCCAAGAGATTAATTGCGTCTTCAGAATGCATCCACTCAATGGAAATTCACTGTGTTATATAGAATTATTTATGTTTCTATTTGAAATTAGGATATAATATGTACTTTGACGTCCTATATCCAAAGGATGAATACAATCGGGCCAAATCCCGTTATCTCCGACTTCCCCCTCGGACACTCAAAGTTTATTTTCTGTCATTTACTTCAACTATCTTAAGTGCCCCTTGGAGTCCCGACATGATTATTATATCACATATTTTCTACAAACAAATACTAAGTTTATCTTGACGTACATTGAGAGCATCCAGTATTCCACGCCTCATGAAAGTGCGGTCTTCACTATGCTGTTCGCCCAGGCTCGGGTACTGCAGAACATCAACAGCCTGTTTTCTCTCCACCACCACATACTGCTCGACACCTCGCCGAACTCCTCTAGATATTCCTCCCCCATTTCCTGTGACGAAATCTTGTCCGGAACCTACATGCTCGTGTTCCCCAACACCGTCAATGCCCGACGGGCTATCGATAGACTATGATCATCCACTGAACGGAACAATGGCGGCCTACGTACAACAGGTCCTGGCCTGTACCGGACAAGGAGATTGGACGAGTCGTATCGAGGACGATGGGATGGACCAAAGCTGGGGTGAGCTTGTAAGGGGTTTAAAACGCCTAATGGGTCGCGGGGGGCGCTATGCCGATGTAAGTGCCTTCCCGCTATTCATCTGAGATTGGAGAGCTTGATCGACTAAGGATTGATATTCTACAGCCATTCAACAATGTTTTGGTTAGCAATTCTTCTTTCTCTGCATTTTCTGCACCCAAGACAGGCGTATCTACTGCGGCGGCCTTCCTCTTCCCTAGTTTCAAGTATTTCCCCTCGATTCCCGTCGATATTCTAGAGTCGCCTCGCACAGGGACCAACCTTTCGACTTTTGTCCAAGCCTTCCTCCTCCCCAACAAGCTTAGTGCGATGGCAGAGTCTCTTCCGGATTCCCGAAAGACCGAATTAACTCGCAAACCCGACTTGGCGTCAGAGTTCCCAGATGCCGTTGATATTCAGAAGTCACCTGTTATATTGATATGCGGCCATGGTGGCCGTGACATGCGATGTGGCGTAATGGCGCCTATCCTCGAGAATGAGTTCCAACAGGCTCTTCGGCGGAAGGGGTTTACGTCGGCCGGTAGTGACAACAACGTGATCGATAGTCCCGAACACGCCCACGTTGGGCTAATTAGCCATGTCGGTGGACACAAATACGCTGGAAATGTGATTGTGTATATTCCTCCAGGGATGTTGCTAGAAGACTCTTCAGCACTGCACCCACTCGCAGGCAGGGGCATCTGGTATGGGCGAGTAGAACCAAAACATGTGCAGGGGATTGTGGAGGAGACTATCATAGGCGGCAGAGTAGTAGTGGACCATTTCCGGGGTGGGATTGATCGGAATGGGAGTATTTTACGCTTATAAAGAAAAAAGCTTAGGCGATGTAGTGTATATGAAATTATGGTTGGTTGACAGTGTTCATTAGATCATAGACCATATAAACCATGGAATTATGATGGATAACTCCATTAATTGCTAGGCAATAACAGATGGATATGGTCTATAGACAGCCAGCCTGATACAAATATCGTCTAATATATCGATTCAGTAAATCATGATGTGCCCGTAATAGGCCAGTACAAGCCGGACCTGGCGCTAAACCATGTTGGGACTAAGCACCATATGACTTCAACATGCATTTCATTCCTAGCTTTGATCCGATGAAAAAAAAGATTCCAGCAACTCCACTGTTGTTGATTCACACCAGTCAATGGCCTATATATTTACCCTCCCACATCCTTCTATGGCATCATGATTTGACAGCCGCTATGCAGTCCCTTGTCCGTCTACAATTAAACTCGTCTAAAGCGCTTTTTGCGCTAGGACGACGTGGATGCCGGCTCCGCTCTTCGCCATGGCATGTTGTCTCCCGTTTTGCGACGACGCAATCCCCAGCTCCAAATAAGAAACTCGATTTGTTAGCGATAGACAAGAAATGGCAGGCGATATGGCACTCGGATGGAGCGAAGAAGCCTTGGAATACGGCGGGTAGAAAGGATGCCGGGAAGGGCAGACCCAAGATCTATATTCTGTCCATGTTCCCGTATCCATCTGGAACGTTGCATATGGGCCATCTGCGGGTATACTCGATTTCAGATGTATTGGCACGTTTCTACCGGATGCGTGGTTATGATGTTCTCCATCCAATGGGCTTTGATGCCTTTGGGTTACCGGCGGAAAATGCGGCCATTGAGCGGGGAATTGATCCGGCTGAATGGACCAAGGGAAATATGGCTAGGATGAAAGAACAGCTCCGGGGTATTTCGACTTCTTTTGACTGGGATAGGGTATGTGTTGTCCTGGCTGAAGTCGGATGATTGTTTCCTCTTGTGCTTGTCCCACTAATATGTATGTTTGGACTGGCCCCTAGGAGCTAGCAACGTGTACCCCAGAGTTCTACGAGCATACGCAGCGTATATTTCTGATGCTTTACAAGAAAGGCCTTGCATATCAGGCAGAGGCTCTTGTCAATTATGACCCAGTTGACAAAACGGTGTTGGCAAACGAACAGGTGGGTAACCCAGCACGGTCTTGGGTCCTCTCACGAGACTAAATCTTGCGGTTAGGTGGATTCCAATGGCTTCTCATGGCGTTCTGGGGCAAAGGTTGAACAACTTATGCTGAAACAATGGTTTTTTCGCATCACGGCATTTAAAGAAGACCTGCTAAATGACTTAAGTTCCCTGAATGGCGGATGGCCGAACCGCGTTCTCTCGATGCAACGGAATTGGCTGGGGAAGTCAACCGGGGCGAAGATCAAATTCCCTGTTGCAATCGAAGGGAATGCACATGCCCGGGCCAATCTAGACGTCTTCACTACACGGCCAGACACGCTCTACGGAGTCGAATACCTCGCTATCTCTTTAAATCATCCTATTGTCCAAATGTCTGTGGCGAAGGACGCGGCGCTGCGAGAATTCTTAGACAGAGCTGTGTCGCTTCCACCGGACTCTAAAGCCGGGTATAGGCTGACCAACGTCAGCGCCTCTCACCCGCTGCAGATAGTAGACAGGGAGTGTCCTCATATCACTCGTGAATTGCCCGTTTTTGTAGCACCCTACGTTCTTGGTGACTACGGCGAAGGAGCCGTGATGGGGGTACCGGGCCATGATTCTAGGGATTTGGCGTTCTACAAAGACAACGTGAACCCTGAATACATACCTATTGTTATCAGCCCAGAGCGCTCAACTGAAACCGGTGGTGCATGCAGTGATAGTGTCGCTGCCGCAAGCAATGCAAAGGCTTTTACGCAGGAGGGCTATCTTACGTCGCGATGTGGTAAATACCATGGCCTTCATTCCCGCAAGGCTGGTGAACAAATAGTGAAGGATCTTCAGCGTGTCAGCCATGGCGATTTCGTCGAACAGTGGAGGCTGAGAGACTGGCTAATCAGTAGACAACGCTATTGGGGAGCGCCGATTCCTATTATCCACTGCGGTAGCTGCGGACCTGTTCCTGTTCCCGATCACCAGCTCCCAGTTGAGCTACCTAAGATAGGCGGAGACTGGCTGAAGGGAAAGAAAGGGAATCCCCTGGAATCCTCCGATGAGTGGGTACACACCAAATGTCCCAACTGCGGAGGCCCTGCAAAGCGAGATACTGACACTATGGACACTTTCGTCGATTCCTCATGGTATTTCCTTCGATATTTGGATCCCGCAAATACGGAGCAGCCTTTTTCACCGTCGTCCGCGCGACCGGTCGATGTTTACATCGGTGGAGTAGAGCACGCTATTCTGCATCTGCTCTACGCTCGCTTCATCTATAAATTTCTGTCCCAGTCCGAACTATTTCCGGATCTTTCTCGAACGGGACATCTCGCCATGCCCTCGGAACCATTTAAGACCCTCCTTTCCCAGGGCATGGTCCATGGCAAGACATACTCGGAACCGTCTACAGGGCGATTTCTCCTTCCTTCGGAGGTAGATCTTTCAAGTCCGGACAAGCCCGTCATCAAGGGCACCCAGGTCACACCCAATGTGTCCTTCGAGAAGATGTCTAAAAGCAAGCACAACGGGGTAGATCCGATGTCGTGTGCTCTGAAGTACGGGGCGGATGCCACACGCGCCCACGTGCTCTTTTCCGCGCCTGTCAGCGAGGTGCTTGAATGGGACGAAACGAAAATCGTGGGTATTGAGCGCTGGTTTGGTCGGCTGTGGAAGCTTGTGCAGGATGCGCAACAGGAACTGGTTTTGTCGGCGTATGTTTTGGACCCAGCCAGGTTGCTGGCGCCCTCTGGCCACGCCGACCCCCTTCCTGAAGATTTGCAAGGTCTCAGTGACGGCGATGCCGATGCCGTGCTTTCCACTCATCGGGCCATTGCATCAGTCACCGACTGCATAGAAACCAACCCGTATGGGCTGAACACCGTCATTTCCGATTTGATCAAGCTGACCAATTCCTTGGTCTCGTCGACACCCCCCTCCCCTCAGGTACTTTATCTGTGTATTTCCTCCCTTCTCCGGCTCTTAGCGCCCGTTGCGCCGGCGTTGGCCTCCGAGTGCTGGGAAAGCCTCCATAACTCGGTCAAACGCAGGCAGACCGATGGCGGCACAGATGCTGGAGCTTACGCGCCGGTCATCTTTGACTGCGCTTGGCCCGCTCCCCTTCTGAGCCCGCAACAGGCCGACGTGTTGTCGGCGCGAGGGGGGCAAACCGTGGCGGTGCAAATCAACGGGAAGTTGCGGTTTACCGCCACCATTCCACGCCGGTTATCACCTACAACAGTCGCCGAAGCCGGTGGGAAGCCTGGGACGGTTACGGATGAACAGGACTGGATCGTCACGCGGATTCTGGAGACCGATGAAGGGCGCATCTGGTTACGGGGGAAAAATGACTGGGAAAAACGTAGACGGGTGATCGTCGTCCAAGGCGGGAAACTAGTCAACGTTGTCTTCTAGCAGGTATGTCTGACATGGGACGGTCGACCGCATGTATTTGTATATATATGTACAGTATCTCCGACTCCGTTGTATGCACTTTTATAGGTCTGTCGCATATATCTCTAGATGCCTCAAATTCGGCATCCACGACGTCGTCCAAAGATGATCTCATTACCCAATGCCGGACATCCTCAACCTTCCACAAGGCCGGTCCGTCTGGGTCATGACTTTTCCTGATGTGGAAGTGGGGGAGACGGAGAGGGAGGGATTCCCCTCATGATCGGGCCAGACCAATCATGGTGGTGGCACAGGGAGAAATACGAACTTTCGGCGGAATAGCCGTCGAAAGTCGGCCTCTCTCTTTCTCTTTTCTGCCTGGATTGTATGGGTGCCTTTTGTAGTTCATTCTACCCTGTCAAGCTTATCGCAGGAGGTGGTGTAACCGGCAGAGCTGCTGACCAGATGATGGTTGATGGCACCACTCACAGATGAGGGGAGAGGAACTCAGTCCTTCGATGAAAGATCCCCTCATGCGGGGAATGAGGGGAACGTTGTCCCTCATTCTTGGTGTATACGGTAAACTCTTGTATGTATGTACAGAGTACTAGTAGTACATACAGATACTAGCTAGTAGGTACCTTCCAGGCTACGTTAGGTTGAGGGAAAGGAGGTCCGACCCTCAACCTTCCCTCCATCCATCTCGCCTGCGTGCGGAGAATCCCCTCTTCTTCGCTCAATCGTTCCTTTCCTCCCCCCTCCGAGTCTTTCGCATCCCCGCTACTAAGCGTTATACAGACGGTCCGCGGCATCGAATGCTACTACTGGTGGAACCCGTCCAAGAGTTGCGGCCAAGTATTCATGGAACATGGCTAGAGTGGGTGGACGGGTAGTACAGGTCTCGAGAGGTCTATATATTCTGTGAATTTCCCCGTGGAGATCTCTTCTACCATCATCATCATCATCAACACTACTCTCTCCTGCATCCGGATTCGGTAAGAAATTCCTCTCCTCTTGTGGTATTCTCCACCCTAGCTATTCTCCCCTCTCCCCCGCTCTGCATCATGATCAAGCTTCCACCTCCGATTTCTCCAATTTGAAACCTCGATGCAATCCGAGAGGTTTGGTTTAAATACGATGCTGACCCGTCTCTGAGCTGTTAGAATCAACCTGCATCAAAACTCTTTGTGGACGTTCTTGATTCATCGTAGTCCATTGAATATCTTCGATCAAAATGGTATTTATGCGCTCTTTTTCCCGCCAGCTCCGGCGTCCTGCTCCTTCCATCCTTTCTGCTACGAAGGGATCATCTTCTTTGAGACCGACTGGCAGTCCATTCCGGACCTTTCCTGCGTCTAATTCTGTTGCTGGTGCACGTACGCTAACCGCCTCTGCGAGCTTACAGGGTAAAGTTTTAATGGTCCTATATGACGTAAGTACCCGATCATCGATTCCAAGGCAAAAAAAAAAAAAAAAGAATTATCGACTTCGAACTGACCGAGATACCAGGGCGGTGAGCATGCCAAGCAGCAGCCTGGTCTGTTGGGGACCACCGAAAACGAGCTTGGGTTGCGGAAGTGGCTGGAAGACCAGGGCCACACGCTTGTCACCACCTCGGATAAGGAGGGCGAGAACTCGACCTTTGACAAGGAATTGGTGGACGCCGAAGTCATCATCACCACACCGTCCGTAACCTATCTCTATTGTCCTTTTTGCCCTTCGCAAACGGGACAGTCTCGCGGCTGACTGGCATTTAGTTTCCATCCTGGTTATCTGACGGCCGAGCGCTTGGCTAAGGCCAAGAACCTCAAGATCGCCATCACTGCCGGTGTCGGCTCCGACCATGTCGACTTGAACGCGGCCAACAAGACCAATGGAGGCATCACCGTTGCCGAGGTCACGGGCTGCAACGTTGTCTCGGTTGCGGAACACGTTGTGATGACTATCCTTACCCTGGTCCGCAACTTTGTCCCTGCCCATGAGCAGATCGCCCGCGGGGAGTGGGACGTCGCCGCTGTCGCCAAGAACGAGTACGACCTGGAGAACAAGGTCGTCGGAACCGTCGCCGTGGGCCGTATTGGCGAGCGGGTGCTGCGCCGCCTGAAGCCGTTCGACTGCAAGGAACTGCTCTACTATGACTACCAGCCCCTGAGCCCGGAGGTCGAGAAGGAGATCGGTTGCCGCCGTGTCGAGAACCTCGAGGAGATGCTCGCTCAGTGTGACGTTGTGACCATCAACTGCCCATTGCACGAGAAGACCCGTGGTCTGTTCAATAAGGATCTGATCGCCAAGATGAAGAAGGGTAAGTGGCACCTGCTATAGCTACAGCACTCCCCGCAATCCGGACTAACATCCTGGAATAGGCTCTTGGCTAATCAACACGGCCCGTGGTGCCATTGTCGTCAAGGAGGACGTTGCCGAAGCCGTCAAGTCTGGCCACTTGAGAGGTTATGGAGGTGATGTCTGGTTCCCGCAGCCCGCTCCTAAAGACCATCCGCTCCGCTATGTCCAGGGTCCCTGGGGTGGTGGCAATGCCATGGTTCCTCATATGTCGGGTACCTCGATCGACGCTCAGATCCGCTATGCCAATGGCACTAAGGCCATCCTGGAGAGCTACTTCAGTGGTCGACATGACTACAAGAATGAGGATCTCATCCTCCACGGAGGTGACTATGTCACCAAGGCTTATGGCCAGAGAAACAAGGTGTAAATATCTATTTGGATTGGCATGATTGGATGAATGATTCAATGTATTCTCTTCTTTTCTTTTTCTCTTTGTTCCAGCGCATGTTTCTGGGTTGCAAGTACCGTTGCTAGAATGCATTTGGCGGCTGATTATTTATGATATCTGACAAACAAATATCTCAGAAAGAAAGAGGAATATATTTGTCCCAACCTGTGTGGTTATAGTATCGTATTATTGCTTAATCCCCTTGTAGCGAACAGTTGGTATGATGGATCTCCGGGACTGAGGGTATTTTAATCCCTCGGCTAGGCATGATACCAGCGGAGACTGGTGAATACCGGGTAATATCGACGGAGTACTCCGTATATGGAGCATGGATTTTATGCAAATGTAACGGGTCTCGAGACACCCGTGATCCATAGATAGGATTGATAATAGCTGTGTAGGACGTTCTAACTGTGGATCTCTATGTTTCTTTTTAACTTTTCTCTTCTTTTTTCATGGTCAGATGAATACTAGAAGCAAGGGATAACCACGAATGGATTCCGGTCGTAAGATCGTCGCTAACCTGACATTTAAAGATAAGGTATTGCGTATTATACCTAGGAAAAGAAGGAGGAATCGAATATGCCGCTCGTCTAATGCTTTACCTGAACGCCGACTGAAACCATCGAGTATATATACACCGGGTATGATAGGAAGTAAGGGAGGAAAAGAGAGATTAGCGTCGGGTGGTATTCTCTTCCTCATCACTATCATCCATGAATCCCTCTTCGAGTTCCCGACTAAGCCTACCCTCTGGTTCGGCAGCGGTACTACGCCGTCGTTCCAGCGCCTCTCTTCGTTCGGGGTCCATGTCCATGCCAACCATGAGCTCTCCCTCTTCTTCTAGGATACTGATGTTGTCGTTGTGGTCATCCAGTGGTGCCTGCTGTCGCCGCCGCCAGGATGCCGGTAGGAAGAAACGCATCATCGCATCAGCTATGCGATCCCGGAGGGACAAGGTGTGGGCAGAGATAGTGTGCAAAGGAAGATACTGCGAGTATCTTTGATGATAGCGACGGAAGAACGGGACGATCAAGAACGATAGGAGTAGATAGAGCCCTAGCGAAATCACTGCGGGAATGGTGATCGTCTGGACCGGTGACCAATACGTTAGAGATGATAAATGACGAAGCAAAGTAACGACCAGTGAAAGTCAAATGCGAAGAAGAATCGGTCTACCTTGATAAAACTTGATGCAGAACCCATCTCCAGTTCCAATGACAATTAGACCTCCCCCCCGGCTCTTGCCCTTTGAGAGTATATACCACGATCGATCGAGGTCGGTAATGTAGGAGCGGGATCAACGTGGGACAGCACAGTGTTTCAAAAACCAACCAAAGGAGACCTTGGAAGATCTGGGTAACGACCAGACTCTCCGGATCCGTGACGAATTCTGAGACAGGATTACTGGGGGGGAAAGATGATGCAGAGAGGCTTAGCAGGTCAAAGACGACCTGAGCGCCACGTGATCTCCGCGACGGCGACGGTTCCGTCCCGGAGCAAAGCAGTCGAGACCGTAATCAAAGGAAAGAAAGAAAGTAGGTAAGTAAGCAAGAAAGAGTGGACGGATGAACCGCTTCTCTCCTCGCCTGCCATGTTGCCACGAGCAATTTCATATCTTCCTACTCCCCGACCGACAACGAACGAGCAGAACCGCCACACGTGATTGCAACATTCCAGAGGCCCATGCCACATCACGTGTGTCCTCACCGCGTTCTAGAGCCGCCGCTTTTGCCCCCTAACACTAGCCGGAATTGAAAGGCCGTGCTTCAGCCCTGAGCAGACCAAACGACACGACACCAGTCACAGGAGAACAGAAAGCCAGGTCCTCTGGGAATTGATGCGGATTACCCACAGCGGGTGTGCGGTTGTCTTGTGATTTCTTCTGAATTTTTACTGGTAAGGCCCTCCTATCTTGGTTGCTCCCACCTCTGTATTTCTCGTTTTACTGTTGGTTCCGCAGTGGGCATTTACTAAGTAGTACTAACCTAACTACCTACTAGTGTTGTTGGCCAGGAGTGCAACGAGCAACATATCTCCCTGAGTGGAATGAATATTTAGGGTGGGAGCCACGATTTCCGCCTTGTGGTCTTCCGCTTTCTTTCTCCTCTTCCCAGTTTTTGTTGATCTATTCCCCTAATAAGAGGATCGGACGTGATAAACGAGTGAAATTCGGGGTGGTGGATAACCCTCATGCTGTGCCCTGCATCTCCCAAGCGACGCCCGTCAAGATGCCAACCACCTCATCCGCTCCTGACAAATCGAGACAGACCTCGGCTGGCAAATCGTTCTTCGGGAGGAAGCTACACAAGGAAAGACCGGCGGAGGATCGATATGAAGGCAATGGAGGGGTGGAGAATCTCGCGCCTCCTGGGAGTGCGGCCGGGTCTCGCTCGTCCCGACATTCGAAGCGGTCATCCGTACAATCAGTTGATTATTCCCAGGACATTGACCCGGCCGGACTGTCAATGACTGCGGGGGTTATCACTTCTATACCTTTCGAGAGCCTCCCTGCCGATACTAAGTCGCCTATTCCAGTCGACTACCTTTCCAAAGCCGATACATCTCCCCGGAAGGAGCCATCGCCACACCATCTCGCCAAAGGAGGGGGGGACTTCCACCAGTATCCAGCATGGAACCCGTCTGCCGTTCGAGATACTAGTCACTACTCACATCCAACTGGGCCTCGTCCGCCACCGCATGCCTCCAATATCACGATGTCCGGCAGCGCAACGGGGGATAGAGGCACACGGTATCAACAGTGGGGGAGACCGGGAAGCTCAGCGAACAACGCGGGATTCAATCATAATTCATCGTCCACGGTTGACTCCTCGAATTCGCGCATATCTTTCGACCAAGCTAGTATCCATTCTTCCCTCTCTTCGAACACAAGGGGATCGAGCTATTTCTCGTCAGATGGATCTTCGCGTACGCTCACAACTTCTCATTCGGCTGACCGCAGCACGTACTTCCCCAATGGGGGCTCCAATCGACTGTCCACCGCACAAGCGGCCTGGCAGTCATCTCAGCCGGCTGCCCAGCCAAGACCATCCAACGTAGAGCAATACCTGAGTCGACCGAGGGATGATCGTGTAGTGGACCAGCTGTTCCTGGAGTTGATGCAGAAGCGTGGCTGGCAGAATCTTCCAGAGCAAGCCAAGAGGCAAATGCTCTCGTACCCGGCTTCTAAAAAATGGACCCTGGTCCACCAAGACCGACTCACAGAGTTGCAAGGGGAACAAAAGCGACGGCAAAATGCCCGCCAGACTCATGGCCATGACGGCCCATCCGGGATTTTGGAGCGAGCCGATGAAGAGGGTAGCCCGGAGTGGTATGTGAAGAAAGTCATGGATGACTCGATTACCCCGAAACAGTTGGCCAGCTTGAGCGTCAGTCTCAGGACGCAGCCAATCAGCTGGGTGAAGGCTTTTGTTGAATCCCAGGGCCAGATAGCATTGACAAATGTTCTTTCAAAAATGAACCGGAGAAAGGCCTCGGGCCCGGTTCCTGCACCCCCAACAGGGGATAAGGATCTGGATCGGGAATACGATATCGTCAAGTGCCTGAAAGCCTTGATGAACAACAAATATGGTGCGGATGATGCTTTATCTCACCAACAGGTAATCGTGGCTCTCGTGAGCTCGCTGTTATCTCCTCGTTTGAATACAAGGAAGCTGGTCAGCGAGGTATTGACTTTCCTCTGTCACTGGTCCGAGGGGCATGGCCATCAGAAGGTCCTTCAGGCTATGGATCATGTCAAAAACCACCACGGTGAGACTGGCCGTTTTGATGCTTGGATGCGGATAGTTGAGGTCACGATTGACGGCCGTGGTAAGATGGGCAGCTTGGTCGGTGCCAGCGAGGAGTACCGTAGCGGTGGGATTGGCATGGAAAATCTCCTCATGGAATATGCTGTTTCTACGATGCTCCTTATCAATATGCTGGTGGATGCCCCAGAGAATGACTTACAGCTTCGATGCCATATCCGGGCGCAATTCATTTCCTGCGGAATTAAGCGCCTTTTGACCAAAATGGAAGGCTTCCAATACGAGGTTATTGACAAGCAGATTGAGCGTTTCCGCGAAAATGAAGCGATTGATTATGAGGATCTTCTCCAGCGGGAGGGCAGCAGCATGAAAGACAGCATTGAAGGTGAGGTGAAGGACATGAGTGATCCGCTTCAAATTACAGACGCTATCGCCTCGAAAATTAATGGAACTCGGGCTCATGACTATTTCCTCTCCGCCATGCAACACATGCTCTTGATCAGAGAGAATTCCGGCGAAGATGGCCTCCGCATGTACCAACTGGTAGACGCCATGCTCAGTTACGTCGCCATGGATCGGAGACTGCCCGACCTTGACCTCCGACAGGGACTGACATTTACGGTACAAAGCCTTCTTGACCGACTTCATACGGATGCAGAAGCAAGGCAAGCGTATGATGAATCCTTGGAAGCTCGTCAAATCGCGGAGGCCGCTATTGCTGAACGTGATGAGATGAAGGCACACATTGAACTGGGCGCAGATGGCTTGGTGAAAAAGCTGCAGAAGCGAATCGACGAACAGACTGGCATCATTGAACTCCAAACGAGACAAAATGAGACGATTAAAGCGGAGCTTGCTGATGTCCAGAGGCTACGCGCTCAGGAGCTGCAACGCAATGAACTGGAAACTCGGGAGTTGTATCTGATGCTTCGGGATGCCCAGGACATCGCGGCGTCCAATGCCAAGAAGAATAATTTAGCGGAAAGCGATCCGTCTCAAATGGCAGGAATTCTGGATCGCGAGAAGCTCTTAGGAAGGCTAGAAATGCAGCTCGAGCGGACTAAGACCCAGTTCAAACTGGAAGGCAAGGTTTGGGGACAACATGGTCCTTCGGATCGACTTCGTGAGCTACGGGAGCAGATGGATGGGGACGCTGGACTGAACGAGGAATTCGAGGAACACGCGCGTCAGACCCTTGACAGCAACGCCTTGGGATCGGTCCTTCGGAAGAGAAGCCAGGTTCCGGGAACAGAGCATGATGCCGCCGGCGATGGCCAAGATGAGCTGGCCCAAGTTGATGGACGTGGGGAAGTGGTATATGAGAAGGCACGTCTCGTGGACCTTCAACGGCCTCGAATGAACCCGGCCCAGGCGACTGGTCTCCTGGGGGAGATTGCTTCCAAAGTTCCTAAGTTTGACGCTGACGAGCTGGTCGACGCTGTTCCACAGCCGGCTGAGAGCGTCGAGGCCCTTACTCCCCAAGCGGACGAATCTGGCGTTGTAAACAAAGATGAACACGTTGATAATGACGAATCTACTCTTGCTCCTCCACCACCGCCTCCTCCTCCACCGCCGCCGCCTCCTCCCCCGCCAGGCTCTGAGACAGCTTTTCCTCCACCGCCGCCTCCGCCTCCACCTCCACCCCCTCCGCCCCCTGGAGCGGGAGTCAGCTTTCCTCCGCCTCCGCCTCCGCCTCCGCCTGGAGCTCCCGGCGCCATGCCACCGCCGCCGCCACCCCCTCCGCCGGGAGGGTTGTTTGGTGCTCCCCCGCCTCCGCCTCCGCCCGGTGCCTCGTTTGGTGGCTGGAGAGCCAATTACATGGCTTCACAAACTCTCCCATCTAAACCATCGACATTTATGCCATCAATTCGACCCAAGAAGAAGCTCAAAGCAGTCCATTGGGACAAGGTTGATACTCCACAGGTAACAGTCTGGGCCTCTCATGCCGTGACTCCTGAGGCCAAGGAGGAGAAATACACCGAACTGGCCAAGAAGGGTGTGCTGGATGAAGTTGAGCGGCTGTTCATGGCCAAGGAGACCAAGATCTTTGGGGGTGGCACGGCAGCCAAGCAACGCAAAGACAAGAAGCAAATCATCTCGAACGAGCTTTCCAAGAATTTCCAGATTGCCTTGGCGAAGTTTTCACAGTACCCGGCTGACGACGTCGTGCGAATGGTCATCCACTGCGACGCGGACATCCTTGACAACATGGTGGTCATGGACTTCTTACAACGGGACGAAATGTGCACGATTCCGGAGAATATATCCAAACTCATGGCGCCGTATAGCAGGGATTGGACCGGCCCCGCTGCTACCAGTTCCGAGCGAGAACAAGACCCCAGCGAACTTACCCGTGAGGATCAAATTTATCTGTACACTACCTTCGAACTGAATCACTATTGGAAGGCGAGAATGCGTGCCTTGGCATTGACACGCTCCTATGAGCCAGATTATGAGCACATCTCGGCGAAACTCCGGCAGGTCGTGGAAGTCAGCGAGTCGTTGAGGGATTCGGTTTCCCTCATGAACGTGTTGGGTCTGATCCTGGACATTGGCAACTTCATGAACGACGCCAACAAACAAGCCCAAGGATTCAAGCTGAGCTCTCTGGCTCGTCTCGGTATGGTCAAGGATGACAAGAATGAAACCACGTTTGCGGATCTCGTCGAGAGAATTGTTCGCAACCAATATCCAGAATGGGAGGGCTTTGTCGATGAGATCAACGGGGTCGTCGGTCTGCAGAAACTCAACGTTGACCAGCTGCACACGGATGCCAAGAAATACATCGATAATATCAAGAACGTACAGGCAAGCTTGGACGCTGGCAATCTCAGTGACCCTAAGAAGTTCCATCCACAGGATCGCGTCAGCCAAATCGTCCAGCGTAGCATGAAAGATGCGAGACGAAAGGCCGAGCAGATGCAGCTCTACCTGGATGAGATGGTCAAGACGTATGATGATATTATGGTCTTCTATGGCGAAGATAATGTGGACGAGGGCGCCCGACGGGACTTCTTCGCGAAGTTGGCGGCGTTCTTGTTGGAGTGGAAGGTAAGTTGTGTTTAACCGAGCCCCCGATCTTTGGCAGCCCCAGGACTGATGGGTGCGATATGTGTAGAAATCCAAAGATAAGAACATGTCTTTGGAGGAGTCTAGGAAGCGTACCGAAGCTTCACTAGCTCGCAAACGCATCAATGCCGGTCTAGCAAACAATGTTAGCTCGGGTAGTGAGGCGCCACAGTCCCCAGTCACAAGCGGCGCCATGGACTCGCTTTTGGAAAAGCTGCGCGCTGCAGCTCCCCAGGCCAGGGATCAACGTGATCGCCGTCGACGTGCACGATTGAAGGAGCGGCACCAGGTCCGGGTCGCTTCGGGACAAAAGATACCCGAAATTTCTGGGTCTGACGGCGTGGACACCGAGAACAATAATGGAAGTGAAAGCCATGGAAACCTTGCTAGCAATAGCAACGACACTGATTCCACAGAGACTGGACTTCTCAGCCCCCCTATTCAGGAGTCCGATTCAGGTTCCGTGAAAGACTCATCCCAGGTGTCCGAGAGTGAAGACGTCGCAGACCGCGCTGCTAGCATGTTGCAGGGCCTGAGAGATAACGCCGATGGAGAGCGCACGAGACAAAGGCGCGAAACCGCGGAAGAAGAGCGGCGCAAACGCCGATTGCGGCGGCGAAATGGAGCCACCAATGGAAGTAAAGATAGCACTGATGGCTCTGCTCTGTCTTCCGTGCCCGAATCAGCTTCACCTCCCCAGACTGATTCGATGGAAACAGGCGAATCGGCTGCATCCTGTTCACCTCCAGCTGAGGAAGATGCCACTCCCAAACCACCTCTTACCCCCTCTATTGTCGTCTCTCCGACGGTAGACCAGCATCCTGGCTCGCCTGGCGACGATGCTGAGGACGACTCATTCAATAGAGCACTGCGCAAGCCTATCGAGCAGTCTGACTGATGTATATGTTCTTCGTCCCTTCCATGTTCCCTTTGTTTTCCTCTTAAGATAATGTTTGATAGACCCAACTGACGTCGTCTCGGAAGCATCTTTTCTGTCGTCTTGTATAATATTTCCCCCCCCCCTCCCCATCCCTTGTTCTATTTCCCCCTCTCTCTGTCTATCTCCCTCCCTCTTTTTCTTCCTTCCTTTCATTTTTTTTTTTTTCCCCCCCCCCTTTAATTGGCATACTTTCTGTCGGGATCATCTCTGTGTTCCATGTGATCACATTAGCCAGCGCAGCATTATGATCTTATTCTTTTCCTTATCTTGATTGTTTCTGATTTGCCTTGAATGCCTGTTCGAGGGTACAGTGCCTATTTGATGTGTCTCAACTGCTTCTGGAACCTGACCTCTTCTTTTCTATCTCTTATCTTTTTTTATTTTTCCATTTTTTCTGTTGTACATAAAACCCTTCTATCTGCAGTTTTCTCTGCCTTTTATGCTTGTTGTAATTGGGTGGCGTCTTTCGGCGCGCAGGCGTGCGAAAGGGACGCACCTATCATTGGTATATCCTCCATACAATTATCTACTGGTGTTCTAGGATTCTTCTCCCTAAATCGTCGCCTTTGTACGTCCTGTTGGGATTCATCCTTTCTGTAGTTCGTCTGCACGTGATTCCCCCATACGCATCATGTGACCCCTAGTTGTGTGTGAAGCTTCGTCGTCGCCAAGGTCCACAACTGACAATGGTCGATTCATCAATGGTCTGAATTTCTCGAGGGTCGCATGCGATTATCGTCTGTACGTGCCCTGCGGTGGGTAAAACCCCTACGCCCTTCATGGAGGTGTTGTTCCCCTTCCGCGTTGGCTCCCATTAGAGCCCGTCCAACCTGTGGCTCTCTTCCGGCGGCCCTATGGCATCGGCGTTTCTCTGTCTCGGCTCCAGCACAGTCTATGCTGGACGGAGATTCAACGATCTATGCCCTTTCAACAGCTCCCGGTCGAGCTGCCATTGCCGTGGTGCGAGTTTCTGGCCCCGCCTGCGCCCAGGTACGCCGAGATGTTCTGCTCCATTTTACATCTGGTTGCTGACCTAGGTTCTACGAATCGCTGCACTTAGATATACCGAGCATTGTGTCCCAGGGCTCCACTTCCACGGCCGCGTGTTGCAGCTGTGCGTACCCTTTATGATCCTACCCAAGATATTTCCTCCGACAGCAGCATCCTCGACGCCGGGGCCTTGGTGCTCTATTTCCCGGGACCGAAGACTGTAACCGGGGAGGATGCCCTGGAATTACATCTCCACGGCGGACCGGCGATCGTTAAATCAGTTCTAACGGCCATTGGACATACGAGTCGATCCGAGTCTCCCGTTCGCTACGCGGAATCGGGGGAGTTCACCCGTCGAGCTTTCTTAAACAATCGGTTGAACCTGCCACAGATCGAGGCGCTGGGCGATACATTGGCTGCGGATACGGAACAGCAGCGTCGTCTTGCTGTTCGAGGGACCAGCGATGCTCTGTCCAAACGGTATGAGCAATGGCGGCAGCAGCTACTCTACGGACGTGGAGAACTAGAGGCGCTGATTGACTTCTCCGAGGACCAGCATTTTGACGAGTCGTCCGACGAATTACTACTCTCAGTCGCATCACAGGTGCAAGCACTCCGCGTCCAAATTGGATTTCACATCCAGAATGCGTCGAAGGGTGAGTTGCTACGCCATGGAATTAAGGTGGCCCTGCTGGGCGCGCCCAATGCCGGCAAGAGTTCTCTTTTGAACCGAATTGTGGGCACAGAGGCAGCCATTGTCAGCACGGAGGAAGGAACCACCCGGGATATTGTGGACGTTGGCGTCGACCTAGGAGGCTGGTACTGTAAGCTGGGTGATATGGCCGGGATCCGGTCCGAATCCGGCCGTGCAAGCAGGCAGGGCGCCGCCGTAATTGGGGCGGTCGAACAGGAGGGGATCCGACGTGCAAAAGCTCGAGCATTGGAATCGGATGTGGTTATCGTAGTAGTTTCCCTGGAGAAGGGCACCAACGATGCTGCGCAGTATCGGGTATCCGTGGACCAGGACGTCATTGATGCTGCCAATGACTGCGTGCAGGCAGGCAAGTGCCTCGTCATTGCTATTAACAAATGCGATCGATTACCGCCGGTTGATCGTGTTGACCAGCTGCCGCATCTGGTCGCGACAGTCAACACGCTTTTCCCGGCCGTGCCTCGGAGGCGCATCTTTGGCATCTCTTGCCGTGAAGTGCAAGAAGGGTCCTTGGTCAGCCAGGAAGATCCAGGCTATATACAAGGATTTCTTCAAGGATTAATCGCTACATTCGAGGAGATTGCCTCTCCGCTAGGCATTTCAGGGGACGAGAATGGACAATATGACCTGTCATACTGGCAAGATTCGCTGGCCGTATCTCATCGGCAGAGTTCTAATCTACAAAAATGCACGCAACATCTAGACGATTTTCTAGCCCAAGTACCCGACCCTCAAACGCCACCACCTCCTAGGGGTCCTCATGATCACCTTAGTCCTCTCAAGGCAGACGGGGACATCGTCATCGCTGCGGAACATCTGCGGTCCGCGGCCGACACTCTGGCAAATATCACCGGCAAGGGACAGAGCGGAGATGTCGAAGATGTTTTGGGGGTCGTGTTTGAAAAGTAGGTGCATCGCTTTTTTTCCCCCAAAGATCACGCCACTGTTACTGACATGATATTCCCGGGGAAGGTTCTGCGTTGGCAAGTGAGCTGCTGGTGATTGCAGCCAACGCAACAGTGGCTCGAGGGAGACATGTATGGTTTCTTATTTCTGATTCATGTTGTCATTGTCATGCAGGTCGTTATAACCACCGCGACCCTGCATGAATGATGGGCAGTCGACAACACTGGATAATGGTAGGACCACCACGGTTTGTTGGATCAGCGCCGGGTCAGCTTGAACTGATTTGAGGAGAGGCAGAAGTGAACAAAGTGGCACAGGAAAGAACAGAATGAACACTGAATCGCGTTCTGGCACTATAAAAAACATATCTGCCTTATAACAACAGGCACCACCCATCGGGATGGTCTTCGAGTCGGTTGACTGATTCTTCCGCTCCTAGAATCCCACCGCGAGAGAGCCAATGTCACCTGGATCTCGTTGTCTCCTTTCCCTCATGTTTCTATGCGTTGACTCATCAACTGTCAATCAATGAGTCCCCCTTCATATCTACAGAAGTAGCCGATACACGACGACTTGAGAGCAAGAAACTTTTTTTTCTTCTATTCCCTTTTTCTTGTCCGCCCTCCCTTTTGTCTAAACCAAGTAGCTAGTATTTCTAAAGGGATAAAAACAAGGATCGCTCTTTTGTATAGGACATATACATATCACGGGCCCAACCAATGGCCGAAGGGGAAAGAGGAAGAAGACAATAAGATAGACATGGGACGACCTAATCAGAAGCAATACAAGGGTATATGTCAAAAGGAATTAAACAAAAAGAGAAAGGCGCGCAACGATCAAGCCCCAATGGCATTCTTGACCCATTTCTCCAAGCCTCCCTTGGCGATGATCTCCTGCACATTGGGGGGCAGCTCGCCTACCTTGTGTGTCCACCGAGGACCGGCCTCACCTTCCTGAACCTCAATGCGGCTTCGCCGGACGTCCCACGTCAGGGTCCAACCAGTCCGGCAGGTGAGACTCTTGTCGCCGGCCTCGCCGAAGCATTCGCGCAGGCGCGCGACCAGGCGCGGCACCTCCAGCCCCATCAGGGCGTTGTTGATGCTGTTGCGCGAGAAGATGTTGCCGAAGCTGCCGGAAACCACTAGGGGGATCTTCTTCGCCAACAGCGCCGTCGCCGCCTGTTCGCGCGAGCTGCCGCAGCCGAAGTTGAAGCCCGTCACCAGCACGTCGCCCGGCTTCGCGATGGAGGAGAACTGCGTGTCATAGTTGGACATGCACACCTCCGCCATTGTCTCCTCCGGGACATTGTCCTGATACGTGTACTTGCCCGGGTAGATGCCGTCCGTGTTGATGTTGTCCGCGTCGCAGAAAACGATCTCCCCTGACACGCGCTCGGGGAATCCTGGGTACACGTCCGTCAGGGCTTCGTCGTCCGCGGCCGCCTCGCCCAAACCCGAGTCCTCCGCCGCGAACTGCTTCTCGCCGTTGGCGATCAGGTCGTCGATCTGCCCAATGATCTTCTCCAGCGCTTGCTCCGCCGTGAGCATGCGGTCTTCCTCCCGAATACCATCACCCACGCCGCGCACGACGCCGGTCCAGCCTTCGGGGGTTTGGTACCAGCCGGGCCCGCTCAGTCGCCCGCTCAGGGCGCTGGCTGCTACTACCTCGGGGCTGCCGAGGTATGCCCGGGCATCGGTGCTACCCATGCGGCCCTTGAAGTTCCGGTTGGAGGCACTGATGCCCACCTCGCCCGGCTCCAACAGACCCGTCCCCAGACCAATGCACATCGCGCACCCCGCGGGCAGCGGCGTTGCACCCGCTTCCAGCAGGGTCTGCCAATCCCCCGCGCCCTCGGCGGCCAGCTGCTCCGGGATCGAAGCGGCGGCGATGTAGAACTTCACACCGTCAGCAATCTTGGGGACCTGACCACCGTTCCGCTCTGCCGCCTCCTTGAAGACGCGGGCTGCGGCGGCAATGTCGGAGGCCCTCGAGTTGGTGCAGGAGACCAGGTAGGCTTTATCAACCTTGATGTTCTGCGCCTCCAGCTCCTTCAGAGGGGTAGCCACCTTGACGGAGTTGGGGCCGGAGATGTAAGGGGACAGGGTCGACAGGTCGAGGAAGAGTTCCTTTGCATACTTCGCACCCCGGTCCGCCGTCAACGGGTTGGTGAACAGCTGCTCCAAGATCGGGTGTGTGAAGCGCTTCGCGGCGAGCGTCTTGAAGGGCCCATCGGCTAGTCCCATGGCCGCCGTAGTGGCCTTGCCCTTGAGCCAACCCTTCAGCACGCTGTCAATGGGGAACAAGCCCGACAACGCCCCCCACTCGGTGGTCATATTAGCGATGGTCAACCGATCGTCCACCGACAGGCTCCGCATGGTCTCCTCCGAGCCCGTAAACTCGATAGCGTGATTCAGGACGTCGTCTTTGTCGAACAGGCCGCACAGGGCAACGATGACGTCTTTGCCCGTCACTCCGGGGGGCAAGACCCCAGTCAAGGTGACCTTGGCCACGGGCGGAATCTGCCACCAGGTCTTCCCGGTGGCCCAGATACTGGCCCCATCGGTTCGCACGATCGGCGTCCCGAGGCAGCCCACGCCTCCGTACATATTGCTATGGCTGTCCGAGGCCACCACCAGCGTGCCGGGCCAGGCAAAGCCCTCCTCCACCATGATTTGATGTCCGATCCCCCGCCCCGCCGGGTAGAACTCCACCCCCTGCTGTTTGGCGAACTCTTCGATCTGACGGTACTTCTGGAGATTCTTCTCCGACGTGTTCTGCACGTCGTGGTCGAGGGTCATGACGATCTGCTCCGGGTTATGCAGTTTCGTGGCTCCGATGGACATGAACTTCAACGCGACCGGCCATGAGTTGTCGTGGGTCATACACCGGTGCGGCGAAATGGTGACATAGTCGCCCGACTTAACAACTTTGCCGTTGACAAGTCCCACGGAGTACTGTTGGACGATTTTCTCCGTGAGCGTCTGGGGTACGGCCTTAGACGCCTGGAGCGAGGAGAAGAGGGAGGCGGAGGCCGCATCGTCCAGCAGCGAAGGGAAGGCCTCATGAAAGGAGAGGCGAGTGGAAGCGAACGCACGGCGTTGGAACTTGGTGGGTACGGAGCAGCGCAAGAGCGCCCAGCGGCGACCAGGACTACTGGACGGCAGCGAACGCAACTGTATGGGGTAATTAGCATGGTCAGTCAAAGAAGGGGAGGGGTCAACGCTCACCGTCATGACTGCCACTCAGAGAGAGAGAGGGAGAGGGGAGATGTGGAAGAGAGAGAGAAAGGAGTCAGTAGGGAAGAGGAACAGAAAGTGGATACTTTTTCGGGCGTTCGGGGGTCTTGGCCAATCACAGACCTCGCATTATTCTTACACCCCGGCAATCGCGTCTAGCGCGCCAAACCGAGTCCGCTATCGGAGTATCAGTCATTTCTAGGATTCTCTTCTTCTTACTACTATCTACAGCTTCCATACGGTCCAGTCCTTCAGGTCCATCTCTTTGATGATCCCATTCAGTGGTCCCTGCAGCTCCATCCCCTGTGCCCATAGCTTTGGTCCTGCCATATAGCTAATGAACCCTTCTGGCCCCGAGACCAGTATCAAGTTGCGTGCCCGCAATTCACTGGGTTTAGAGGCCGAGTTCGTAATTTCTAAGACGGTATCTTTCTTAATGAATTCGTTTTCCTCGTCAACATAATAGTCCACGGTCACCTGTCCCGGATATTGGGATTTGAGAGCTTCGAGCTCTCGGACTAGAATGGAAGGAGGCGAAGAAGGTGGAGGAGTAGAGGATAGAGTAGACGCCGTACGCGCGCTGAATACCTGTGGGAGCTTCGGGAACCAAGACCGCCGGGATTGTGGTGTTCCGGGAGTATCATTCAGTCCTCCGGCACAATCCTCTCGTTGACGGTTGGCCCATAGGATGTGGATTTGTGGTTTGTATGTGTCGCTAGTGCGGTAAAGAAGGGTGTATCCTGCCTGCAGAGCAGGGGCAATACCGGTGCCTCCAGCAATGAAAAGTATATTCTGAGTATCCGGAGGGATCGGACATTCGATCCGTGGCCCACGGATCTCAACCGAATCCCCTATGCGCAGTCCATGTAAATACCGAGAGACTTCGCCGAAAGGGTCTTTCCGAATGAAAAACCGCAACGTGTCATCGCCCTCTATCTTGGAGAGGTACGGAAGCGGCGTGTAGTCTCGCCCAATCTGCAGCTGTGGCTGTTTAAACATGGCGCTCCAAATCCCAGTCTTCCATGCTTCATCGTAGACGGCGCGATTCCTTTCATCCGGTTTGGGTGGTCTGAGGGTGAAGATGCTGCCCGTGGAGGAGACAGGTTCTTTCGAGACCAGATAGTACGGACTAAATTGGACTGGATTCAACGTGGTCGATACTGGCGAGCCTTGTTGTGACCGAATATAGGCGCCAATTCCCGCCGCGGCGACACTCACGAGGGCGAGTCGTATCCATCGAGACTGGTACGGCGGAGTACGGGAGGACGATGATGAGGAGGGAGATGAGGACTGTCGGGTGAAGGATCTCGTTGTGGCACTTCGGGAGTGCCAGAATCGACAGTCCGGGAGGACCAAGCGGGACTTCATACTAATTCAGACTTCTTGATACTTCTTTGATTGATTAAATAAAAGTAAAAGAAGAAATTAATGCGGCCCCGTGAGGCGCTAGGCCAGATTGGGCAGCCACATAGCTCCTTCCCTTTTCGACCTGCACCTTCTCCCATCTTTCCCTCTTTCTTTCCTTTCTCTACTTTCTTTGTCTTCTTTCCCTTCTCTGCTTCTCTCTCTCTTTCTCCTTTTCTTCTCTCCATCCTTGTTGGAATGGACTCTCTCCTCTATTTCCTCTGATCAGCTCAGCCTCTCATCTCCCTCCCCCTTCCTCTCTCTCTCTTCCCCTGCCTCTCCCCCTTTCTCCGTCCCCTCGCCAACATCAAACGCAATGTCCCGTATAGTCTTCTCGACCGCCGAAAGCAGGTCGGATAACCGTGCTCCTCGCGACTCGCTCGAACTTGCCTCGCTCGCTTCCTCCCCCGATCTAGACGCAGGGCTCTCCCCCCGCTCTTCCTCCCCCTCCGGCATCTCGTCCTCGCGCAAGCTCTCCCTCGAGGATGAAGACCCGTTATCAAGCTCACATCACCATGCTGCCTTCAACTCCGGGTATCCGAGGTCGGCCCGCTCCTACTCGGTCTCCTCCACCTTTGACTTCGGACGGTCCCTCTTTCCTCTGTCGCAAACGACCGGAGGTTATGCTCCCTTGGGCGCCCCATCCGTGCTGGATAGAGAATCGGGGGTCGCTGAGGGTTCATTGGAAAGAAATAAAACCTTGACCTACCTGAATGGCCTGTCTCTGGTCGTGGGCCTGATCATTGGCTCGGGGATCTTCTCCTCCCCAAGCCAGGTGAATGCGAATGCAGGTTCTCCTGGGGCGTCGCTTATTGCTTGGGTGGTCGCAGGCTTACTGGCGTGGACGGGGGCGGCGAGCTATGCCGAGCTAGGAGGGGCAATTCCTTTGAACGGCGGGTCCCAGGTTTACCTTTCGAAGATTTTCGGCGAGCTGGCGGGCTTCCTCTTTGCCTGGTGTGCCGTACTAGTTCTCAAACCCGGCAGCGCCGCCATCATCGCCATCATATTCGGAGAATACGTCGTTCGTGCTGTGGTAGGGGCCGACGTTGAGACCGTCAACCCTTGGATCAACAAATCCGTCGCCTTCGCCAGTGTCTTCATCGTCACGCTGTTCAACTGCGTGTCAACCAGAGTGGCCACCCGCCTGGGCGATATCCTCATGTTCTTCAAATTTGTCGCATTGATCGGGGTCACTGTCATTGGCATCGTCGTGGCCATCACTGGCCTATCATACAAAGGGAGCGCGAGTGAAGAGTGGAAATCAGGCTGGTTCAACGATACGAGCGTGGATGTGTCGGCCTGGGCGGTTGCGCTTTACGCGGGTCTATGGGCCTTTGACGGTTGGGACAACGTACATGCTACCTCTCTCTCTCTCCCTTGCCCCTAGAGCCTTCCTTGGACTGACGGCATATCAGACAAACTACGTGACAGGTGAATTCAAGAATCCCGGTCGCGATCTTCCCCGGGTCATTCACACGGCCATGCCGCTGGTCATTCTGAGCTATCTGCTCGCCAACATCTCCTATTTCTTAGTCCTGCCCCATTCCACAATTGAAGCCAGCAACACGGTCGTGGTTCAGTTTGGCGATAAGGTCTTTGGCCCTCTCGGGGCCCTTGTGTTTGCCGTAATCGTCTCGGCAAGTTGTTTCGGTTCCCTCAATGCGACCATCTTCACGAGTGGACGCTTAATCTACGCGGCCGGCAAGGAAGGATACCTACCTTCAATATTCGGGGATCTGTGGGCTCGTGGGGCTCCCGCCAGCGAGGTATCTCATCGATTGCAGCGCCGGTCGTGGGCCCGCAAGTCCCTCGTGCGCCTCTTCGGAGATGGCTGCCAGATAGGCTACACCCCGATCTACGCCATGGCCTTGAACAGCGCGCTCACACTGGCCTACGTGATTGTCGGCGAATTCAGGACTCTGGTTACATTTTATGGCGTTGCAGGCTACACCTTTTACTTTCTCACCGTGCTCGGCCTCATCGTGCTGAGGATCCGGGAGCCATACCTGGAGCGGCCTTACAAAACATGGATCTCGACCCCCATTATCTTTTGTTGCGTCAGTCTGTTTCTGCTCAGCCGGGCAGTAATTGCAGACCCCCTGCAGACACTAATTGTCGTGGCCTTCATCATCGCCGGGGTGCCGGTCTACGTCTGGCGTATCTACCAGCGGGACGGCCGAAAAGCGTTGCCAGCATGGAAGTTCTGGCCCTGGCGAAGATCCGGCTGATTACGGTGCCATTACGAAGACTTGAAATGGTTTTAATCTCTCTTTGCTTTCCTTCGCATCCGTCTCTATCTTCACCGTCTTTGATGGATTGAGACGCCCTCTCGCATTATTTAGGCGTACGGATACCCGAAGACTCGGACCATTTTGGCATGAATCTATGAAACGGGATGCTTGCCGTCCCTTGCAAGCGGATTTGGTTATTTCTCAGCATGTTTTAATAGACGCAAGAATGTTTATAATTACGACTGGTGGGACGGGCATATGAAATCTAGTGATACATATATATTAATACATAGTCATGACTCTCAAAGATGATTGCATCCAGGGATTTTCACACCAATCGACATGTTGAATGGTGAACGCGATCATCAACTAAAACACGAAATCAACCCCAGGGTATAGAAAGAAGCCATTCAAGGTGCGAAAAACAGCAGATACCTCAACGCGGAGCCCAGCAGATTCTTAGGTTCAGAGTTCAGACTCTAGGGCTTCTTGAATGATGACCAGCGGGAACATAAGTCGTCGAGAGAAGGGCATCGAGCGACAGTGGGCGTATTCTCTATCCTCCTGAACTTGCTTCAGTAAACCGTTTCTGTAGGGGAAGACGAATCTGGAGACATCTTTTCACCCTAGCTGTGCGTTATACTAAATCACATGGGTATTGGGCCGGAGTCGTTTCCCCAACACTGGAACACAATGGCCCTAGATTTGACCTTAACCAAGTATGTATATGGCAGTTTTAATATGTATATACACTAGTGCCACTCTGCAGGTTACATTCCACCAACACAAGGGAAATAAATGAATAAACAAAATAAAAATACACGTAATCAAAGTGTCGATTATTGCTGAGTCCAGCTCTGGCCTGTAATGACGTTGGTGTGTGATGTACTCAAAAAAGCTTTATACTTTTCCAAAAAGGGGTGGTTTCCGCCACGGAGACTACCTAACAATAGCAAGAAGTCTTCTGCGAGAGATGGTAGAAGAGATGCAGTGCCTGCAGAGGGCGGCGAGGTTGACTCTTGGAAATCTGTAGGCGAAATACCAGGCTTTGATACGATTTCCACAGCAGTACTGAGAGTGAACCCGTTGCTCTCAGAAAACTGAGTATTGGATGAGACGCTGATGGCACTAATAGCAATGTCATATAGCTTTTCAACCTATTCCCACGAGTTACTACAGAACGACTGAACCTCCCCATGACGCCGCAAACTTACAAGTCCTATTCCATGCGCTTCCATGGAACTGAGGCGCAGCGACTGGCAAATTTCGAGTGCTTCTTTGGCGATAGAGATGGCATAGTCGAAGCACAGCTCATGATGGTCCGATGCGGGCTTTAAAAGTCCATGCGAGGAACATAGTACCCAGACGCGGTTCTGAAGCCACTTCTTGGTGATGAAGATATCGGCACATTGGGTCTCTCGCAACCCCATAGCTGGATAAACACTGTGGGTCTCGTCAGCAGTTGACTTGCTGTGTTCAAACCAGTCATATCCCTTATATCGTTCGGACTCGCTGACACGGCTGAGTTTTTGGTGAATGGCCAAAACCTTCGTCTCTGTGAGCGTTTCGCAATAGCCACCATTGATGCTGCATCGTCGATTCCAGCAATCAACGACGTCCTCATCAACCGCATCGAACAGCTCCATCAAAAGAGCTAGGCCCATCACCCCCTTGGCATCTTTCTCGTTATGGACAATGATGCCCGATACAAGACTATGAGTGGTACTGTCGATAAAATCATGAACTGAGCGCATGCTGAACCCTGGCTTTCCCCAGAATGTAATTGGATGTCTACGCTGTAGTGCGTATGCTCTTTTTGAAAATTAGTTAAAGAAAAAGTAGATAGATAGGAGGAGCCTGTATCATACCTCTCTGTGATGGATAAGACAAGATAGGTCCACAAGCGTTGACCTTTCTCCTCGCTAGTAAGATCCCGATAAGAATCCGGGATGTTCAACCCTAGCGTAGCGGCAAGGTCCAGGGCCTCTCGCAGACGGAGCCACGCAGCGTTATGTTGGTTGCTGCCGAAGAGACAGCCAAATAGGAAGAAACTTGTCAGAACAGCTTCAATTGTCGGGTGCTCCCCGAATTCGGAGCAGCTTCGCATCTTTATCGCTTCGTTCATCATCAGCCTGGCCTGGCTTGCCCGAGATTGAGAGGTAGGGCGTTCATCTATCTCAATTGGTTGGGTCAAAGAGAAGGCACACAGAGACAATAGCATTGAGCCGAATTGTGGGTTTCTCCGGTGCTCTTGCGATAGCATCCGGACGAACAAAGATGACCGGTTCAAGACCGGTAGGGTCGGGTGCAAGCGGTCAAAGTAAACGTCAATCCATGGGATCATATTTGCCTCCACAATGGAAGGGGGCCATGTCGTCTTCACGCCACTCAGTTCGGCATGAGGAGCTCCCACGCTCGATACGGGAATGCCTGAAGATCCCGCTTGCCGTGAAGCAAACGCCGAAGGCTCGATCTCATTTTGGATAATGGACGGGAGGGATGTTTTTAGGTAGATATTACTGCCCGGGAAATCAAAGATGGGCATCTGAGCATCTAGACTGTCCGGAAGCCAGTACTCCACATCGTTGCGCTCGCTCCAACTGGTGCCACTGGTACTGTGGGAGTCCATTGAGGACGCATGCGCACCCCAGCCTAGGGCAATGGAGGTAGCGTGCGAGGTTGCAAGGTTAACAGGCATGTGGTTCTCGCCGCGCAACGACCAGGGTGCGGCCTCCTGTATGGGCGGAACATCCCCTAGCTGCCCGTCGCCCTGCGACGGAGGTTCTGCTTGGTATGGGATGGCATTGGGGAATGAGTGAACGGTGTCTTGGGCCTGCGGACTCTTGCTTGGCAGATGAACCTGTTGCTGCCGGATTTGCGATACTCGACTTTTGAACCGGCATTGAAGGTTAAGAAAGGACCGGAGAATGAATCAAACATGAGGGCTAGCTGGTTCATCAAGACTCACTGTCCAGTCGGACCCCGTTTCTTCTGTGGTTGGAAAAACGTGCAATCAAATCCCATGGAAACACATGCTTTGCAAGGATGCGAAAGGCTGCACTGTGGAGTAGCGGCATGGTAAGCATGGCTATATATCAAATAGCAAAGGAGCAATTCTTGCCTTGATCTTCCGGAATTTACACTGGTCGCACGCCCTTTTCGCGATAGACCCCGACGTTTTCTTCCTTCGGGAATCGGTGCGAATCGGCCCCGTTGGTGCTGTCGCGGCGGCATCGGAGGTTAGATCCATGCTGGCATATTCAGACAAGACCAATCAATCTATCGATGTATATCGGTCCAGCGGACGAATTCAGCATCGTCATGCGTTGTGCATAAGACATGGAATGGAGAATTGTAAAGGGGAAAAAGGCCCGCTGCGGAGTCCCCGCAAAACAAGCAAGCGGTAGGTATCGAGGTATAGACCTAGGATACCGTACGGTATGGTCAGATCGGTACTGCGGATACAGATCTACGACATGTATCGGAATTGCCTATCTAGGTATCGAGCACTGGTCTAGTCCGGAGGTACTCCGTACTAACTATATATACCAAACAGACAATTGCCTATTCATTCGTACTCCAATTCACTCAGTTTTCACCTGTATGACGCTACCAACCCGTAAGATGTCTGGCAACGAAATTTATCCTCAACTGATCAAGATGGACGGCGGGTCTCACTCATGGACGCAGATTGCCTCCAAAAAAAGGTCATTTCGGGATCAAGCGTTGGAGCCATACATGGTCTCTGATGTGGACCAACGGGTCCCCCGCATCTGCCATATCCAGGACCGTTCTTGCTTCCATGGTGACCCCATGGCCCAAGAGATAACGGATATTGACAGCGTGTACTCTTTACTTGAACGGATCAAGTCTGGAAAATATACCGCCGAACAAGTTACCTTAGCCTACATCAGAAGGTAAATCAATAAACCAGGGAACCTATTAAGGTAGAAAGATCCACTAACGATGTATCTTAGAGCGGTCATCGCACATCAGTTGGTACGGACCCTATGAAACAAAGGTGACTGTATGTACAGAATGGTAACTACAGAAAGGGTATTGTCAGACCAACTGCATCACAGAAACGGTCTTTGAGGACGCACTGGCACAGGCCCGAGCGTTGGATCGGGAATTTCAAGAAACCGGTCAACTCAAGGAGCCACTCCATGGTATCCCACTCACCGTGAAGGATCAGTTTAACATCAAAGGAGTAGATAGTACCCTGGGATATGTGGGACGTTCATTTGCTCCTGCTGCCGAAAATGCCGTCCTGGTCCAGATGTTGAAAGACATGGGTGCTATTGTCCTAGCCAAAACCAACGTGCCTCAGAGTATCATGGTGTGTCTCCTCGATCCCATCATGAGCACTTGCTTAACTGCATATCTAACCCCGCACCAAGTGGGCGGAAACAGAGAACCCCCTTTGGGGAGTGACTGCCAATCCACGGAATCCTGCATTTACACCAGGCGGCTCGACCGGAGGGGAAGGTGCTCTTTTGGCCTTGCATGGATCCATTCTAGGCTTGGGTACAGATATTGGAGGCAGTGTCAGAATCCCATCAAGTCTCATGGGTCTGTATGGCTTCAAACCCAGCGTGAGCAGTTTCTTTCCTTTCTCCCATCTTTCTTTTTTTTTTTTTTTTTTTCTTAAAAAAAAAAAAAAAAAAAATAAATAAAATTGACCTGAGGAATTTCCTTTGTTAGAGTAGTAGACTGCCATACTACGGGGTTCCTGTGTCCACCGAGGGACAGGAACATGTCCCCTCTTCCGTCGGGACAATGGCTCGTGATCTATCCTCGATATGCTACGTCAGTCGGTTAGTTGCAAACGCCAAACCCTGGAATCTGGATCCCAAATGTACCCCCCTTCCCTGGGACGAGGATGCATTCCATGAAATACAGACCCGACCTATGGCGATTGGATTGATTCTGGATGATGGGGTCGTGAAAGTACATCCCCCTGTCGAGAGAACGCTCCGGACTTTATCGCAGAAGTTACAAGCTGCAGGCCATGAGGTGGTCGCATGGGATACCTCGGATCATCGAGACTGTATCCAGCTCATGGATCGCTACTACACTGCGGACGGCTGTGAAGATATTCGTCGCGATATCGACGCGGCCGGAGAGCCACTCATTCCTCACGTGGAGGCACTGGTTAAGCGAGGGAAAGCCATTTCGGTCTACGACTACTGGCAGCTCAATAAGCAAAAGACTGCACTGCAGAAGAGATACCTTGATAAGTGGAATGCTACTCGATCTGCATCGGGACAACTGGTTGACATCCTTCTGGCTCCAACCACACCGCACCCTGCGGTGCCCCACGGTGGGGTGCGGTGGGTTGGATATACGAAAATCTGGAACTTGCTCGACTATGCGGCGGTCACACTGCCTGTCGACGAAGTAAGAGCCGGGGTAGATAACTTGCCAGCAGAAGCCTATCAGCCGAGAAACGAGCTCGACTCTTGGAACTGGTCTCTGTATGATGTACAGACCATGGAAGGCCATCCGATTAACGTGCAGGTTATTGGTCGGAAACTGGAAGAGGAGAGGGTGCTAGGAGCTGCGTGTGTAATTGAGAAGATTTGGAAGGAGACGTAGGCTGGCATCTACTCTGTATATACAAACAAGATTACTGTAGATGGGCCTTGCACTGTATGTAACCCAGTCAGAGCCCCCCCCCCCCCCCCCCCCCCCCCCCCCACACTTCCCCGCAGTTGGAGAGTTGGAGTAAATTAGCAGCGAAGAGGACACGATAAGGAAGGCATCTAGGCAGTTATTACTCGGGTCCGTCTATCGCTGAGTAACCGTTCCTTATTCGCGGACGGGCCTTATCACCCTAGCACCCTAGCGAGGGCCCAGAACTGAAGAAAGAGAGAAAAATGGGCAAGAAACGAGTCTTGGTTAGCTACGGAGTGGATATTGACGCTGTGGCAGGCTGGTTGGGATCCTATGGCGGTGAAGATAGCGCCAACGACATAAGTCGAGGTGAGTCCTGTTCTTGGTTGATTGTAGTGGAATCAAGTGACGAGAGGGGCCGGGTTCTGAGGTCTCACCGACAGGTCTTTTCGCCGGCCATGTTGGCACCATGCGTCTTCTGAAAATGTTCGAGAAACACAACATCAAAGCAACGTGGTTCATTCCTGGACATTCGCTAGAGACCTTCCCGGACGAATGCGCTCGGATCCGAGACGCAGGCCACGAGATTGGACTCCATGGTTACAGCCACGAGAACCCCGCAGATATGACGGTTGAGCAGCAACGGGATATCCTCGACAAGACCTACCGCATGCTCTTCGACTTTTGCGGCAAGCCCCCCCGAGGGATGGTGGCGCCCTGGTGGGAGACCAGTAAGGAGATGGTGGACCTGTTGCTCGCATATGGCGTGGAGTACGACCATTCCATGTCCCATCACGATTGTCAGTTGTATTGGCTGCGCACGGGGGACTCGTGGACCAAGATCGACTATAGCCAAAAGGCCGAGACTTGGATGAAACCCCTGAATCGCGGCCAGGAGACCGGCTTAGTGGAAATTCCTGGCAATTGGTACATCGATGATCTACCTCCAATGATGTTTATCAAATCGTCCCCCAACAGCCACGGATGGGTTAATCCGAGAGATATCGAGGACATTTGGAAGGTCTGTCGAATATTCTTTGAGGTGACTCTCTTCTCTACCGAATTCGGAGCTAACTAGTCGGTCGATTCTAGGACCACTTCGACTACTTCTATCGTGAATATGATGAATTCGTCTTCCCGATGACTATACACCCGGATGTTTCAGGTCGTCCACACGTTCTCCTCATGCATGAGAGGTAAGCTGGCCTCCGAGCATGGCCACCTTGCCCTGAGCATGAACGAGGTTTCCGCGCTAACCGCGTGCAGAATCATAGAGTATATCAACAAACATGAAGGGGTGGAATGGGTAACCATGGAACAGATGTGCGATGATTTTAAGAGCAAGAATAAGCCGCTAGAAGGCGCAAGAATGCCGGCTGCCCCTATATTAGAAAAGCAGTAACTCCCGCGGCATGCTACTAAGTCGGGCACGAAACTTCCCCTCCAGCAGATAAAACTATCATATCCCACTTCAGTTGAAGGTAGTTAAGTGTACTTATGGCTAATTTCAATGACATTCATCCCTCTCCTTTGACCATCGCTACTCAACGACCGAAAATCATATGCTCAGACACCGAGACAAGTATAAACCTCGCTTGCTCTATAACCAAACGCCTGCCAACACCAAGAACCATGCGTATATTAAAATATCGTTTTCATTTATGCTGATTGTTCAGGCCTTCGGCAGCTCGAAGAGCTGGGGTTTCATATTGATCTTGCAAAGCTTTGAGACGCAGCCGCTCAGTTGAAGCAGCGATTGCACGCCATCCAGGATACGCATGTGTGTGAAGCCGATCTCTCGGATGAATTCCAGTTTTGAATGCTCCGACAGCGTGGGAATCGTCTTAGTGACGCGAAACATGGTGCTAATGATATCATGAGAGGAATAGCCCAAGTCCCTGTAGCAGAGTTAGAATAGACTCCAAATATCATAGCACCCTAGAATAGCACAACATACCATAGCTCATTCAAGGACTCTAGCGCAGCATCCACTTTCCCTTCCCAGCAAGCCTTGATCATCGCCTGGACCTTAATAGGATGAGGGCTATCGACAACCCGGAAGACGTTGTCTCCACTAACGAACCCAAAACCCGACCAGGTGCTCTGCAGGTTGTTTATGGCCTGGCGCATGTCTCCTTCTGCGCTGAACACCAAGGCAGCGATTCCATCTTCTGAGTGCTCCACCTTCTCGGCGTCGCAAACTTGTTTCAACCGTTTGACAACCTGAGCATCGGTCAACCGAGCATAGCGAAGGATGGCACACCGCGACTGAATAGGTTCAATGATCTTATTTGACTGGTTGCAAGCAAATGCAAAACGGGTTGTCGAAGAATAGATTTCCATCGTACGTCGCAACGCCTGCTGCGCACCCGCCGTCATACTAAAAAATCAGTCAGTGGGTCGACGAAACGACGGGAAGACCTAGGGGTACCCAGATACGTACCTGTCTGCTTCATCAAGAATGACAATTTTGTGGCGACCTGGAGGCAATGTGACTTTCTTTTGGGCAAACCCTTTGATCCTGTTCCGGACCACATCGATGCCTGAATGGCTGGTCAGACACAGTTTACCTCCTCCCAGAAGGAAGAGGGCCAGGACAGCATACCTCTCTCATCGCTAGCATTCAATTCCAACACGGCCTCCTTGTAGGCGTCCCCTAATAATTGCCTTGCCAAGCACAGAATCGAGGTGGTTTTTCCAATTCCCGGCATGCCCGAGATGATTACGTGGGGCATGTTACCATCTTTGGCGATTATATTCAATCGTTCGATGGTTTCGGTGTTACCAACAATGTCATCGAGAAAGACTGGGCGATACTTCTCAACCCTAGGAGGAGCTGTCCGTCAGAGCTATCATCTACTACTTAGACGAAGGGGCCATGGCTAGGTATGCATACCAAGGTAGTTCGTAATCCGGAGGAGCTCCTGATGAGATAGGCTTGAGCCCATTGCGAGCAGCACTGGCTGAAGATTCCGCTTGGACCATGGTCAGAGGTTGAATTCGATGCGACAGGGTGGTTTAACGAACACCGAGAGCTTGCGGTCGACAAAAAAACGCGACTGTGGACACGCGTTGGGATGTGGACGCTTTGACCCAACTGGGATGATTGAATTTCCTTACATGACCGTACAGTAATACCTTACCTAAGGATGACCATGATCTTTCTTCCTCTTCTACAGAGTATATCTTGTCAACTTAACACAAGTTGCTTTTGCATCCTAGTATTCTTATCCCAATTCATTATTCATCCATTTATTCTTCCCTTTCAATCAACTGCGCAGACTTGAGGGATTTCCACGTCACAATGGGCCCAACGTCCGTTCGTCGCAACCTTTTCCACCATCATCTCGGCAGACGTCCTGTGTCCACTGTCCCTTCAAGTGCTTCAGGGCAAAGCAGTGGTAGCGCGGCTAACAATGGTGTCTCTGGTTACTCATCCCACATGTCTGCCGCTTCCACCGAGTCAACCTCTTCCCTGAGTTCCGGCCCGGTCGATAATGGAGAAATCGTAGCCAGAGGAAAGAACGGTGACTATAAGCTCGACATCCCCATCCTTCCTCCAATCACTGGGGTGGATGATGGTGATGAGATGGAGGGTGTAGAAGATGGGGGAGTTCCCAGAGGCTCTGGAGCTGGAGGTGTTGATTCTACAGGGCAGACAGGAATGGGCGGTAGTGGAAAAGAAAGTACTAATGCTATGGACATTGATGGCCTCTGGCCTCTCCCTACCCACGTTAATTGGATTAGATTGCTGACCTCTCCCTTGATCTAGAAATCGAGGCAAGTTTGGTAGAAATGATATGCCGAAACCGAAACAGGCAAATGAACAGTGAACCAGCGGGTAGGTACTATCAATCTAGTCTCCATGCTGTAAAATGGGGTACAGATTTCTTCTTTCCTTCCTTGCTTGCAGACCAACAGTCAAACGAATCTTGTATGCTGACTTGTGAAGAAATCCTGAACCTCGTTCACCAAAGTCTGCGGAACAAAGTGGCCGTATTGGACGAGGACAACTGGATGTACGAACCAGAGAGCGAGGCAGGACTCTAACGCGAACCCATGCAGTTAAATGCATGTGCGTCCTCCGTATTCTTCTCGGTATAGTCCCTATGTCGGAACGTTGCACGTGGCCCGTCTAATCAAGATCCATACTCGCTGGAGGCACCTCAACCCCCCTTGACTGTCCCCCTCGACCTTGAGGCAACCTCCGGCCACCTGCCCCGTCTTGACCTTGACCTCCTCCAAACAACATGCTACCCATCATGTCCAACAAAGGATTGCCCTGCCTTGGGGCTTTGATTGCAAAGTACTGCTCGGCAATCTGCGTCAATGCATCATCCCAAATGCCAACTTCTTGAATTTGTGCCGCGTAGTGTGAAGTGAGCTGTTTGAAGACGTCTGCACTACCACGTTGGATCGTAAGGAGCAGCATGCTTAAGAAATTCACCAATGGCAATGCAGGGAAGACTTGTACATCGGAGCTCGCACTGCTGACCTCTTGTGAGCCAAGAGTAGGGTTGGAGGAAAGTCGTGATCGGAAAACAAGGAGAGCTTTGTTGGCACCGCGAAGATTCCCCGTCAAAAGGTAAGGGAAAACTGCGCGTGATGCGTAAATCGCCGCCGTATGCGGGTCGTCGCTTGTGTACCATTCATACTCCAGTTTTGCCAGAGCCTCGGCCGATTCGGGTGTTCCAAAAACCAGATGCTTCTCGGCGTCATACGGTTCATGGTCTGTAACCTATTGTTAGATATTGAATGATTTGAAGACAGAACGCGGTCCCACGAACCATCAGCGTAAGTCAATCCAGCTGCATGATGCAGTTCAGGGTCCCCTCTCTGCAAAGGCCCATACCGACTACTCCAGCCGATCATCTCCTGGATGAAGCGTTTCCGGGTAGGTTCGCCGGGTGGAAACTCGTGTAAGAGTTCGATTAGGAGCTCTGGAGTTAAACAAAGTATTCGTCAGCCAAACCTTGCCGATAATAGGACACCAAAACTAACTCTTTCGAGCACGGCCTTCTGTATCATCATCCCCTCCCGTGATCTCCCAGCCTGCCTTGGTAAACACCTCGACAACTAGCATAATAGCTAGGTCCCCCCCACTAGCGGAAGCTCCTTGCTGAGATCCGGCCCTCAGAAGAGCGGTCGCACCGCCAGCCAGGAGTTCCGCCGCCGCATCGTAGTTTGCTTGTTTGATGTACCGCGCAGCGATGACACGCAGTTGCTGGTGCGCTTCGTAGTAAGCACCGGAGGCAATTCTGTAGAGAGCATCGATGAAATATTAGCTTCGATGCTATACTTTTAATTTTAGATCTGGAACGAAGCAGGGAGCGAACGACGACATGTATGAAGGGAGAGTCACTTTTCTCGCTGACGAGCAATGGTCTTCTCGATACGCGAGGTCATTCTGCACAAGAACAGTAAGCTCCTTAGCAACGAGAAAGAAAGAACGCGGGCGACGCGGGAAAGCAGTCGGTTTCGCCGTAAGACAAGCGTTGGGAGTTGGGTGTAGGGAAGCAACCCAGTTTGGTGGGGAAAGGGAAGCAGTCCCCGTCAGCACTCCGGCTCGTCTTCCAGAAGCGAATGCCGGACAGTAGACAGACTATTTCATTCATATTCACTGACGGAGCACAACATCCTCTCTGCCAACAGACAATTTGTCCTCCGAGGAGTTCTCTGCTGATCGAGACTCTAAGCCACTCTCTGCTCGATGCCTCGTTTCGCAGGTAGGAATGAATCGCTCGGCTTTTGATATCCAGCCCATCGGCCGGTTCTATGGCTCTAACACGACGATTCGGCGCCCCAAGGTAGGCTTAATCTCTCTTCCTACGAGAAGTTCGGGTCCAGACGAATGTAACCGTGTCGCAGGAAATCACTTGCTTTTCATATGATGATCAACACGAATTTCATCTGGGGGACTCATCCCTGCGGTACTACTACCCACCGAGACTTCCCGCAGACTTGAATCGCGGCTTCGATGTTTTCCAGAAGTTGGATGATTCGGCAGATGAGCATCTAGATGCCCTTCTAGAGACCATCCTTGCTCTCGAAAAGGACACTGGGAAGAAATGTGAGGCCGACATCATTACCTGGAGAGGTATGATGACCAAGGTAAAATAACGAACGACCCGGTCCCTGCGCGTGAATGTCTGCTCCTAATATCACTGTATACATCGCCCAGATATTGACAGCTCCATTTGATATGATGAACGGGTGAGTAGGCGCGTTGGTCCATCTGATGCTCCTCGTTAACCTAATAGATGGGAAATGAACGCGACGTATTTCCAGGTGAATGAGCTATTGTGCCCAATCTAATGTATCTTTGACCTTCCCAAGCTAACCTCTAATCTCCAGGGAACGGTGTATGTAGGCTCAATTAGGTATGCTGAGAGTGGATTGGCTCTGACGGACTCTAGTTTTATCGAGGAAAACAATGCGTACAAAAACCACCAAAAACAATTACAGCACAATCAGAGAATGCCTCAGGGAATGCCTCCTCAAGATCTGATGGCATATTGGGGTAATGTGTAATTCCCCTCTTGCTCCTACTCCAGTACCGTTAACCGATTCAGGCTACAAATTTGAGACCTTATCTCTCCTCAACCAGCCGTGGGACCCCACGCCTCGTGAGGAAATTGAAAGCCGGGAGGAGCTGGTTGTGAACAACAATGCTCAATACTGTTCTGTTGTCCGTACAGGCATTGGTAGCACACGGCTAGTAATCGGCGGTGAGGTTGATGCCGGTATGCCCAGAAAATGTCCTGCATTCCTTGATAAACGTGGCCCAACTAACCGAGTTCGCCATTTGAATTGCGTTGACTAGTTTGGGACACCAAGCCGGACCGAAAAGAGGATTCGATCAACTGGGTGGAACTCAAGACCTCGGCTGAGATAAAAAATGACCGAGATATGGTAAAGTATGAGCGGAAACTCTTGAAGTTTTGGGCCCAGTCCTTTCTACTCGGCGTGCCCAAAATCATTGTTGGCTTTCGTGACCAACAAGGCATTGTCCACCGGCTGGAAGAGCTTGACACCGCGAGTTTACCTGGAAAGGTCAAGAAGATTGGACGAGGGACCTGGGATGGAAATATCTGTATCAACTTTGCCGCTACGTTCCTTGAGTGTATGGCCCAGAATTCCCGTCAGCCCCTTCGTTTCCTATGCATAAGATGCTCTATCGGCTCTGGGCCCAACTAACCTATTTCTAGGGCTTAGAATTACAATCCATGAAGAAGGGGTATGGAGGATTCGAAAGCCTGAAAAGTCTTCTATCATCGAGGTTTTCAAGATGGTAGATTCCGGAACGGGTGATATCATTTCTCCCTCCTTCTCGGCCTGGCGATCGTCAGCTTAAAGGCCGTGTGGAAATACCATCCCTTGGTTTGTGTGAATGCTAGAAACATCTTTATGAACCTTATAATTGTAACTGTATAATTAATAAAATACTAGGTGACTAATTGCATGACTGGTTCTTTTACCAGGGCTCTCGGCCACCCTACAGATTAATCTAAAGCAGCTCCGCGATGTTCTGATCAGCGCCCAAAGTCCGATCATAATTACTACAACAAAGGGCATCCATGAACAAGTCCTGATTACTATGATTGACAATCTCACCCGTCTATTCCCCGGTGATCTATATTCTTCTCCAAAGCATTTTGCTGTTTCCGCAGGTATTCATCCCGATGCGCCTTCTGTGCCGCCGATTTGAGAATTCTTCGATGGACCTGTCCTTTAATGTGGATTTCCCACTGCTCCTGGTTAATCATGGTCTTTTTGCAAATATCGCATGTAATACACCTTGGCCCAGACCTTGGCGATTGTGCCTCCTTGGCACCCAGAATGTTTCTCGCCAGGTCCGACAGAGACTTGGGGTCAGGAGTGGGTTCGTTTCTGAGCAGGGAATGAACAAGGAGCTCCGAAGGCTCGGTAATGCAATTCACCCAGTGGTCGACGTTGGTACTATCCAAAAGGAAAAGACGATGCGTCATACCAGCCTCCGCAAGGGCCCCCCAGAGCTTGTTTCGAACCCATTTAATCTGAGACACCGAGTATTGCCGGGTTGCAATTTTAACTTGTTCAATGCATGATCTCTTTAGAGCTTCCAGTTCGTTTTCATTTAATGAATTGCTGTACAATGCTTCGAAATAAGGCGCCAATTCTTTGAACCCTATAGAAATCCAAACGCCCCGAGTGTGGTTAACAGGAACGCCCTGCATCTTCTTCTCCTGAAGATAGTTAGTCATTTGCTGTGCCTCCGACATCAGTCCGTCTGCGATCATAGCATCTACGCGCTTGTCGAGGCGAGTATTCAGGGTCTCCTTATCCGAATGGACCCAGAGAATCACCGTCTGAAAACGTAGCTGTTGTGCGGCGCCTACGGAATTGCCATCAGATCCTGGGGATTGCTTTGCACGCTTTTGTGCAGCGTAGACCTCTGACGCCGGCTTCCCCGTCTGAAAATAAATTTCTAGGGAGCGACGAATCTTCCGCGTCTCATTTGGATGCCACCGCTCAGCCATAACTGGATCAACCTCTCTTAATTTCTGCAAAACCGCGTCAGGCGACGCATCGAGAATGGGCCATTTGGTGGATGGGTCTTTTGTCTCCCCATTGGATTGCCCATCCTCCTGATCAACAGCCAATTCTCCAACTAGTTGATCCTTGAATAGGACGGCTTGTGTATAATAATGGGTGCCTCCAACAAGTATCGGAAGCTTCCCTCTCGCATGTACGTCCTTGATAAGTCGGAGGCATTCATTCTTAAACAACCCGACACGCCAAGGCTCCTCCTCCAACTCAATACAGCTGATCAGGTGGTGCGGGACACCATTCCGTTCCTCGATTGGGATTTGGTTCGTGATAATAGGAAGGCCACGATACATCTGCATTGCGTCCCCGTTGATAATTTCGCCGTTGAAGCGACAGGCCAGATCGACTGCAAGCTATCTGTAATTATCAGCCATTAGGTCTCCACAGTACCTTGGGTATCGCTTCAGGACCACCTACCTTGGATTTGCCAGTGCCTGTGGCACCGACGATAGTTACGAGGGAATCCATTGTCGGCAAGCGTTTGGTGGGAAACAAATAGCGAAAAATATGGCGCATTGGAAAAGGCAGCGAAGAGAGTCCAGCATCATGGCCTCCAGGGTCGGGGAAAATCAGTGAAGGTCATACTGTCTCAAAGTCGATGGGCGGGTTGGAAAAAGAGGAGAGGGAAAATACACTGTTGGATACTTGTAGTGCCGCCACTTCCTTATAGGGGAAAGCGGTGGCGGTGTGTTCTCTCTAGTAGTTAAATCATGCTGCTAGTATCTGGTAAATCACTCTTAGATTTAGATCTTCCTTTCCTTCTTCCTTCCTTCTTGCTTGCTTCCTTGCTTACTTGCTTTCTCTCTCTCTCTGTGGCATTGTTTCTTGATGCATACCGTCCTGATGGCAAACCCAACCACTCCAAATCCTTTGGCGCCATCAATTCACGTTCAGAATCTATCATACCAATTCCAAGATGGTTCGCCTGGTTTGACAGATGTGAATCTTGGGTTGCCTTCAGGAAGTAGAACGCTGCTCATTGGAGGTGAGACGTAGTCCTCCCTCCCTTGGCCCAACCCCCAAGGAAAGTCATGGATGGTGGTTAACACAGTGTTAAGCCAACGGTGCGGGTAAGACCACTCTTTTACGGTTGTTAGCAGGCAAACGTCTCGCTCCAAGCGACACGATCTCTGTAGGAGGCAAAGATCCCTTCAAGGAAGGCTTAGAGGGGGTGACATATCTCGGGATGGAGTGGGTCCTCAACAGCATCGTCCGGTCCGACATTGATATCCCGACACTCCTAGCCTCTGTAGGCGGCGACGCCTACGCGGAGCGAAGGGACGAGCTCGTGGGTATTCTAGACATTGACCTTAATTGGCGCATGCACACTGTATCAGATGGAGAACGGCGCCGCGTGCAATTGGCCATGGGATTAATCCGGCCCTGGCAAATACTGCTTCTCGATGAAATCACCGTCGATCTTGACCTACTTACACGAAGCAATTTTCTTGCTTTTCTCAAACGTGAGACAGAGAGTAGGCCATGCACCATTGTGTATGCCACACACATTCTGGACAACTTGTCCCAGTGGCCGACACATCTTGTGCATATGCATCTTGGGAATGTCAGGCAGTGGGGTCCAATTGAGAAATTCCAGGACGAGGTCCCGGCAACCTCGGAGAATAGTCAACTAGGTGAGCTTGTTCTTAAATGGCTCAGGGAAGACCTGAAGGCCAGAGGCCCCAGGAAAGGGCGGCATGGCCAAGGTAAGACCTATGAGTCACTTGAAGGAAGAGGAGGGTATGGACTTGAAAAAAGAAACTGACTTTGCCTCTCAATTTCAATCCTCTTTTTTTTTTTTTTTTTACGACAGTTCGCTTCAACAATGTACAGATGCTATACATGAACGGGTTTAACAGCATAAAAGGTCTGTTTTGCATTTAGGCCATGTGGATATATTCAACATTTCACGAGTTCAATGTTTATGAATCTAGCAAATAGTTTTTCATCTATATTTTCCCCCTCAACTCCCTATCCTGTACATACATGTCCATCATCTCCCTCAGGCTCTGCTTTATAAAACCATGTTGGAGATGGCATATATACGCGTCGAAGAGTCTTCGCTCGCAACAGCAAGCTCAAAGCTACACTTATTTCCCTCTATCTTATCTTTTTCGATAGAAGGTCGCCATGCTAGTCGCGTAACTGTCTTCGAGGGAGACAAGAGTCTCTCAACGCTCACAAGATGCTTGATCTCAAGACTACCAGCCGCGATTTGGTATATGGATAGCTCGCCACTATCCTCGCCGGTCGCGAGAATGTATAAGCCCCTCTGCATCTGCGGATAGAACGCGATAGCACTGACAGAGGTTTTCAGCGGTATTGTCGACTTGCACACAAATGAACCTTCAACCATCTGCCAGAGTTTCACAGACTTGTCGCGACCGGCTGTTGCAAAAAAAGGTATGTCATTTTCTGGACCCCAAGCAGCATCTAAGATCATCCTAGAATGGCCCCTTAGGTTCGATGCTAGCTGTGAGAACACGGAAGAATCTTGCTCGCTTCGGTGGAAAACCGCCCATTGCCGGTCACGTCCAACGCTTAGGAGATACCGGTCATCACCAGAGAAAGCAAGGTTTGTTATTGTCAAGGTATGTGCAGCGAGAGAGGGTCGGATCTCATGCCAGTCAGAGGTGTCATATAGACGTATCACTGCGTGATCTATTGAGCTTGCTTTGCAGGCAGTCGCAATGAGGGTGTTGTCATGGCTGACAGCTACTGCCGATATTTCGTATCCGTGGCCATAAAGTTTCTCATGCTCAGGCCATAATGTATAGCGAGCAAGCTGATCCTCGAGAGGAGGCTGCTCTGACTCTGATAGCATTGCTTGATTCGCATAGAGTTGGCCCGTTTCAACGCCATCTGGACCATTTCCATCTATATCGGCTGGAGCCTCTTCGCACATAGCTTGGTTGGAAAGGCCCAAAACCGGAATCTGCGCCGTATCTGGAAGTTCATCCCCACTTGAATACTGCAAGCCAGCAAGCCTCTCCAATAATTGGGCGACAGGGTGAGGTTTATTGAAAACTCGCAGAAGTTTCTCATCTGCACCAGAAACAAAACGTGTCGACCCCAGGGTGTCAACACAGTTCAAATCATATCCATGAATTTGGGGTCGTGAAAATTCATGCCATGACCTAAGGCCATCTTGTAACCACTGCGCATGAAGCCGAGTTGTTTGATCGGCGCTGGTTGACAGTAGATAACCTCCGGTAGGCTCCCAACTTACGCTGTTAACGGATCGGACATGACCTGTGATGCCTAGTGACTGCACCCAAACATCGGCTACTTCATCGTAGCTCCATACCCGCCAACTACCGGTACGACTGAGACTGACGACCTTCTTGCCATCCGGTGACCAAAGGCCAATCCAAAACCCACCAGTACTTCCCGTGGCTGTAGTAGAGCCCTTCTGCACACTAATTTCACCCATTTTTTCTGCGGAGATCCAAACGCCAGAAGCTAGGTCTTGCTCCCAGATAGTCAATGTATTATCTGCAGAAGCAGAGAGAAGTTGCTGACGTTCAGCAGTAGGATTCCACGCCGTAGTATAGATCCAATCTTCATTTCCAAACAGAAGTGCTTCAAATGTAACAGAATAAGTAGATCCTGCTGCATGAAATTGATGCGCCTTGTTAGACAAAGTAGGTTCAAGTCCCGGTATCATAGGATCCTCATCCTTTGAAGGTAGCAAAGGAGCTATCTCCCCCCGATGAAACCTCCAGAGTCGAATATATTTGTCCTGACTCGCCGAGGCAAGTAGAAGGTCCCCAACCTTGCTTTGCTTGTCATGAGTGAATGACAGGGAACGTATCCAAGCTTCATGGCCACTCAAAACAGCAGAAAACTTGAAGTCCAGGCCAGCATGTATATTTTCAGCCACGTGGAGTTGAACAACATTCGTGGTTCCAGCAACTGCCAGCACAATGGTCCTGTCTTTTGTATCTGCTGGGAGCAGTATCATTGCCATAGCCAATGGGAAAAACCGCGGTTTCATGGATATAGTCTGGATTATTTCGCCCATGACCCCATTCTGAGTGATAATTCTCCATAATTTAACACTACCATCTGCCGCGCCCGAAGCAACGACATCCGTGCCGTTGGCCACAGCTATGGCATTCACCGAACCTGTATGGCCTTCCAGTGTATACACCAGCGAGAATTGACGAGCATCGCTGGGATCTGCTCTCCAGAGCCGTAGTGTATGATCGACAGAGCCGGTTAGAAGGAGTTTCTGGCCCGAGGTGGGACAGGTGTAGAACTTGATGGCGCTGACCTTATCGGTATGGCCAGTGAGAAGAGCATAGACTCCACGATGGGAGTTTTCCTGGGAGGGAGAATCAGACATCATAGCCACAGTACTCAGAGTCATAGTCATTCAAAGGGCTGCTCATACCGCTGGATCCCACAAGGCTACATTATTGTCCGCGCCGAAGGCAAGTACACCCGACTGCACATCCCAGGCAGCGGCAGCAGGATGTCTGTTGCCGCCTACGCTAATGTATTCAGTTGTAACAGACACCATGAAGCCTTTTATTCCCGATCCAGAGAAGTTTGAAGGGTTCAGGACTTCTGGGGCATCTGTGGTGGAGATATGAGAAAGCAGTCAAAGCCCGCGAAGTGGTTAAAGTGCGGACTTTTTGTGGCGCAACTGGAGCTTATCGATAAGTACGCGTACCTCCCCATCAGTTGCGGTCACTCTCTGCAAATTGCTGCCGTTTAACAGAATACGTTAGGGATTCTAATCAAGCCTTTCTTGAACTTGGCTATCTTAGCTCGATCAATCAATCTCTACCATTTTTCCATCTGGAACCAAGGAACCGATGGCTGCTTCGCATAACATGAGCAATAAAGCTTCAAACTCTATCTCTATCACCATTGAGTTCACGTTCGACCACCCTACACCACTATTTACTTTATTCCCCTCAATTACTGATTCTTTTTGTTTCTCACCACTTCGAAGTGGAGGCTTAGAGATACTATTCTCCAATGAACGAAAGCACAACATCACCCTACCAGCTCAATTGAACGACGGCAGCCGGCCGAACATCACATATCTTCTCGGGTACCTCGTCGACAACGTCATGAAGGACCAAAGGAAAGATTTATTCGTATTAGAAAACAATGTGTATGTTTCAGTTACTGAGACAGTAGGATTCATACTAAACTCCTGATGCTAGACGACCCGGGATTCTTGTACTCATAAATGATGCGGACTGGGAACTGGAGGGGGAGGAGAAGTATGAGTTACAACAAGGAGATAATATAGTTTTCGTTTCTACATTGCACGGAGGCTAGCATCTGGTCAATTTCTATGCATTTTTACTGTCAAATACACGGCTCGTACGCGATCAGAAGACGAGGTAGCTTCCGTATCCTTCACTCGATACTACGTTTTAAGCGCGTTCTCAAGTCTAGACAACATCTTCAACATGTTGTTGTGAAATCCTTTCGGGCTCGCGAGGAGTCCGGAGGCCACTTTGGGGAGTCGAAAACCCTTCCTTTGGGGTGCCTATTCCCCCAACCAAAGGAGTAGGCACTTCACTGGGGGGTACAGGGATCTTTATGTCCTCTGGCGAGCCTGGGATTATCTCCGTGGGAAGTCCAGGGATATGGATTCTGCGTGCCTCGTTCTGGTAACTTTCCGGGATGATCTGGAGAATCTGTCAGTCCAGCGGTAATTAATTAAGATGGATAAGTCTCACCTCGATTATTTCATCCCGCGGGAATTCTAAAAATGGGATATCCGCTGCATTACACGCCATGAGGTAGCCATATAAAACCCTCAGGACGCTTTCGTGAGCTATAATGAGAAGATCGTTTTGCTCCCGCTCAAGCTCTAAGATAATAGGCTCGAGACGTACGGCTAAGTCATGATATGACTATCATGATAATTACAAGTCAGATACTATCTTATCTTGAGTAAGAAAAAAAGGACGTACCTCCGCGCGGGGATACCTATGGTGGTAAGGGTCAAGTTCATGCTTTGCCACCTCATCGGGATATTCTTCACGAATTCTTCGTTCCGACATCTTCTCACAGACTCCGGGGTTCAATTGGCTCAGCTGCGATCTTTGTCGAACCTTGTACCCAGACTCATGAAGATACTTTGCAGTCTCGATAGTTCTGCGTCTCGTAGACGTCCAAACTGTCAACGGTTTTAGCTCACAATCAGTTTCTCCTTGATCAATCATTGCCTTCATCTCGTCCTCTCTGTGTTTGATTAAGCATTCGGTCATCCTCTTTGCATAGTCTTCTCCTTGCTCAGATAACGACGCATCGGCTTTGTATGAGCCAGCTTCTAGTGAAACACCAGCCTAGCAGTCGACGTTAGATATAACCCAGATTTTATATGCGGTCGCCTTTTAGCCCACTCACACGAGCAAAGTAAGTGTGCCTTGACTTGATATGAAGGTTAAGGAGATAGAACACAATCCTATGAGAAAGATAGCCAAAACTTCGATTGTTAACAATCAATCTTTCTCCTGCATTCATCATCTATTTCGAGATCAGCATAGGAGTGAAAAATACCCATAGGGGTCAAATACTTTGATATAATTTAAATCTTTTTCCTCCATGGTCTGGAACTGGGGAATTCGAGCAGCTATACGGGTCAAGTAATGTTTCACTGCATCCCCTGAAGTCCATCCAACATACTAGTAATAGTAAGAAATTGAGAACAGGCTCCGAAGAGTTTAAAACTCACATCTGGCGAAGATATCTTAACCCTACGAACGTTTTCTTCGATTATACACTCATCGTCACACCATGACTCAATAAAAAGTGTCTTTATCAGGATATTGTAAGTACCCGTCAGTACATATAGTGAGGATAGCTTTACCCACCTCGATATCATGCTTGGCAAATTCCTTTGCAAGAGACCGCCGTCCAGAGGCCAATGGGTTGACAGCGTCGTAAATTGCTATCTGGCCATTTTCGTCGTTGAGGAACTGATATATGTCCTCTCGGCACCTTTTTACAATCTTTTGTCTGAGAAGAACTGAAGATGCAGATGCTGTATTAAGTTAGCACGGGACGGTGGTAGAATGAACGAAAAGCAGAGCTAGTATAGGTACTACAACATCCCACTTGGGAAACTGAAGTCATCACCACTTACCATTAACGAAAAAATAATCGTCTGGAATATCCTGGCCGAAGGGGATAGTAGCACGTCTATAATCTCCAAGATGGAAAATCCTGGTCTTGACACCTAACCTACAATTTAATCAGCCCAGGAAGAAAATATTTGAAGCCAGGGGATCAAACAACAAAATAACAAACGCACCATCGAAGGTAGCGAGCCAAAGCTACTGAAATATGGCTGGATTAAAATAGTCGCGTCAGTGATAGCTGTCGAGCTCACTCGGCCAGTTTGGGTGTAACAAACGTCTTGCCCCTTGCCGGTAGGCCTACGGTAATAATCACAATCCGGCCCGAGTGAAACAGCCGACCGGACTCCGTACTATATAGCTGAGCTGGTGCTAGATCCGCCTTTTCAGGTAAATCGTGAATTGCATCAACAAACGTCGATGACTTCCGCCGGAATCGGGGGGAATTGGCAACAAGGTCCGCCGTTCTGAAGGCCCAAGTCAGTACACAAGTTCTCCATTCAACAAGATAGTTTATTTTGCAACGCGACTTCAGGGTAGACTTCCGAGTCATGCCTTCGCCGTGAGCGCTGAGGGGGAACTGATGGGACTAGGGGGAGGAGTATTCAACAAGTTGAGCGAAGGAGTTGTGAAATAAGACTTACAATAAGGTATCCATGATGGAGGAATTAGTCACGGAGAAGACCCAGAACAGGAGTCGTATTCAGCAGCTCTGTCCGAGCGACAATAACAAAGACAGCTACTATATAGACTGGTTAATTGAAGGCGCCTGCCAATAGGAGTCCGAAAGTGCAGAGAATAGATGAACTGAAGGATGAGGGATATAAAATGAGCTGTCCAATAATAGTCTAAACCTGCTAGTGTGGGCCCTATCCCGATGAATCACCAGAACAACTGAAGAACAAAAACTGACAATTATTTATTAATCTACTTCGCCCAACTGCTCAAAGCATCAGCAGCGTCATCACCAAGCATCCTATCTCCACTAATCCTGAAGTGGCTTAGTGGTGTCGAGCTGTCCATAGACACCTAAGGCGCAGGCTGTGCGGAAAGCAACGTGCGAAGTGACTTTTTCAATTTCAGAAAAGTCGCCTGCGAGAATCCAACTTGCCTTGGTGCTGCTTTCCCCTGTGTTTCCCTCAACCAGAGCACACCGGACTCACCCTATCACCCCAAGGTTTTCTTGCAATTGGAAACGTTGCTTCCACTCTTGTCATCTCTACTTCAATTTCAGGGCGGGTCTCAAATCTTTCATTCCCTGTTTCACCGACCGAAAGCCGCGCTTCCTAAGTCCGTGTGACGGCCAACGCTGCTCCTGTGTTTTCGCCTCAATCTCATAGACAAGATAGCTACAATGTCCGACTATCTAACACCTCCCTCCTTCCTTACGGATAACTCCGTTGCAGCTGCCATTAAAGATGCATACACTTCGTTTTCAGAGCGAAGGGGAGCTCTTGGCCTGCCCAACCCAGGAACCGTGGAGAATATCGCCAGGGAGGTCCAAAAAGAGGTCCTATTGTCCAATTTCATGTTCACGGGTCTGAGGGCAGATCTGACCAAGGTTTTCGGCATGTCTCCTTTGTTCCGTGTGTCGCACGCTTTCTCGATGGGCTCGTCGGGGAACCTTCCTCCGTATGCTTTCTCGGCCATGTATGGAAGTCCAAAGGTATGTAACCGAGTGGCCTCTCCTGTGGCTATTTTAATTGGAAGCTAAGCATTACTCTGCGGATGGAAAAAGATTTTCATGCAAGGTAACTTCGGAAGCGACGGTGCGCTTGCTGCAGTCGGTAATTACCGATGGTGTCCTAAGCTCGTCACCAAAACAAACGCTCAGATTATGGCTGGAGCCAGTCAAGGTCTTATGCAAATCGACAACGATTATACTGGTGATGACTTCTCGGCTTCATTGAAGGCATTCAACCCGTCTTTCTTAGACGGGGGCCTTACTGGAATTTTTGTCGGCAGTTATCTTCAGTCGGTCACCCCTAGTCTTGCTCTGGGTTTCGAGGCGATTTGGCAACGCCAGGGCATCAACACTCGTCCCGAAACAGCGCTCTCATATAGCGCTCGTTACAAAGCTAGTGACTGGATCGCCAGTGCACAACTCCAGGCTCAGGGTGTCATCACGGCCTCGTACTGGAAGAAGCTGTCGGAGCGAGTTGAAGCTGGTGTTGACATGAATCTCCAGTTTACTCCTAACGCTGCTGCAGCTCTGATGGGTGGGCCTAGCAAAGATGGTACCACTGCTATCGGTGCTAAGTACGACTTCCGTGCCTCCACATTCCGCGCTCAAGTCGATAGTACCGGAAAAGTCAGCTGCCTTCTGGAGAAGCGGATAGCAATGCCCATTGCTTTGACCTTTGCTGGTGAAATAGATCAAGCCAAGGTGAGCTTGGAGACCTTTCAATGCCAAATTTAAACCATGCTATCCTTCATTCACTAACACATACCCTTTTTCTTTTCTCTAGCAAACGGCTAAACTTGGTCTTGCTGTTTCCCTTGAGATCGCTGGCGAGGAATTGATGGAGCAGCAAGAGAAGGTTGAGGCGCAGGGCATGGTTCCTCCGCCTTTCTAAACTCCCGCAATGCATAGCTGAGGCTAATGTGGCCGACCCGCTTGCTTATACATTTTCAACCTCCTGTTTTAGTAACTCTTTACTCCCCATGTGTATGTTTGGAAGATGGTTTACTACTCCCAGTTAATTGTCATGAATGCAATTTACTGGGCTAGGTGGCTGTTGTTTGGCGCCATGGAATCAACTTTTGTATAGATCCATCTTCGATTTATTTAAGTTCCCTTTTTCCTTTTTTCCGTGCCCTCTTTTTCCTTATATTCTTTTATTCTTATGGTTTCATCAATGGTTTCCTACCGTCTCTTTTGTCCTTATTGTCACCTCATCCCTTCCAACTCTTTTGGCCGATCAACACGAATCCTATGTATGCATGGACCCATTTGCGGGAAACTGATATTGTTTGTTATGCATCATAGATGGGAAATGTAAAACATGTTTCAATTTCGATCTCAAAATATGGAGTAAAGACTCCCCTAGTGATACATTAACTATGGGCTTCATCCTGTATAAGTAAGCAAGCCAGAAAAGAATCCTAGATTGCCTGTTTTCTCAGCTACATATTTACTAGGAGTAGAGAATGCGATGTGAATTTCTACTTTAAAACTATGGCATAGTTACCCCCATCTCTTCCATGTACAGCGCACATAGCATAGTAGTGACTTTATTCCTAACATAATCATTAGGTAGTAACCGGTAGTAAAATTACAGTTGACAAGCTTCTTCTTAGAGAAGTCTTAAATGTTAGTGGTATAACACAAACTTCTCAGTTACATTTTGTCTGATGGTAAGTGAGAACTGGTGTATAGTTATTAAAGCTTACTGCCCTTTTCAAGTTTGGGGCTAATATCACTATTTATGTCTTGCATGATACCAAGCAACGGGGGCAGGATGTGTGTATGGATCTACAGCTATACCTATGTACAGTGCAGAAAGTAAAGTTTTCCAACTAATTTTAATTTGTTTAAACTTCACTTCACAGGCTAATCAAACCTAGATTCACATAATACTCATTTATATAAGTTTCTCCTTCAGTATAATTTGCAACACGGAATTCTGAGCCTAATTCTTAACTATCTTCTTGTACACTTGGCACAAGTTGATGCAGGTCACTACCACAGACACTTTTTGCATTATTAAAAATAACTATACATGCCACATAATTATAAAGTATTTTGTTTTGGTCTTCCTTAAAGAGGTTCTTTTCCATATTTGGATTATATGCTTAGACTCTCACTGCCAAGAAATACCATATAACCAGGCAACAAGCTAATTTAATAGAGTCAATAACTAGGTGAAACTGGAAAGAGGTTTAAGTTTACAAGACTTTGGAACAAAGAATAGCAAGAATGCAGTAGTGGTGTTCACTCCTCTTTTCCTGGTTCCGGGTCACCTGGAAAAGCCCAGGAAAATAGATCCGCTGACGCCGTTTTACTCTAGCGATCCACCAAAACAAGCAGCCATAGCATTTGGTTCGAAGTCTGTAATAACAGTGTTATGCAAAGTACAGCGTGAATTATGGAGTACTATACAAGAGGATTTCTCAGTGTAGTATAAACATTCTTAGGTGTGGTCCCCTCAGTTTCCCCTCTAAGTTATATTATTCTGCGAGCTTACCGAATTACTGCCTAGCAGAGAAATAGCAGTTGTTATTTAAAGATATAGGCCTCGTAGCTCTTTGTAAGTGAAGGATATGCTGTTTTATTATTGCATGTATATTTTGTTCTTAATATTACTTAAATAGAACAAACCTTCTTCATTGGCACATCTATAAAATTAATATCTAAAAAGTAATTTCATATGTCAGGTAGGTAATTACTGCAAGCATAAACTTTTGGAGATGCATGTAACTAGGTAATAAAAAATATATATAAAATCATAAAGCGTCATTGGTTTAATATAATAATATCGTGTATTATTAACCTAGTGGACACTGCTTACCCCTCTAGGCAATTTATATAGGTATGAATAAAGAGGTATACATAGGAAACTATCCTACATTCAGTGACTCATACAAAGCAGTGAGCTTTAATTTCCATGCAACAATCCCATTGAGTATATCAAAATCTAGACCCTGGGTGGTGAGTCTTAGTGTTCAGTAGTTGTGCCGTCAAAGTAGCTACTTGGCACCGAGTGTGTCTAAAATATACCTAGAGGTAATAGGTATCCGTGATACCGGCAGTCAGGTATGTTACTAACTTACAGAGTACAGAGTAGCACCTGACCTACCTAGGGAGGTAAGGGTGACATGGATCTAGGTGTAATAAGCAACTAAGTGGGCCAATTAAACTGGCTCTTGTGAAAACCATAGCTGGTCACTTGACACATGGGACTGTGCACTAGGTTTTGTTTACCTAGTTGTTACTAGAGCATCTACATACATACTCAGTACCTTGTCTCAAATCTAAAGCTATGACAAGTAAAATGGCCACCCCATGAACAAAGCTCTCACCACAAGAAAAAGCTGATATATTTGGATTTAAATAAACAGTGATATACAGATCTATATGAGATATATTAGGTACATAGTTTAGATTTGTATTATCCCGCAGCAGGTAATACTTAGTGTGTGACTTCTTACTCTTCGAGCTGTATTCTACCAATTGGATGTTATGTAAGTACAGCTCCTACTTTTTCAGCATTTGGTCTCACCAAAATATAGCTGGAATTACGGAGTATTTGGGTTATTCCCTCTTGGCTTGCTCGTATTACTTGTTCTAGCAGTGAGCTTTATAATGATTCCTAGACAAGTCCAGAATTATATACTCCAAAAAGAGAACATGGGAAACATTCCTTGGTGTAAAAAAATATCAGACTTCGCCACTAAAAAACCTATCTAGTGTGCTGTGTGAGGATCTCTTGTACTTATCTAGTTGAAGAGGCTTACAGCGTAAGTAATTCTGCATTGAAGCTACAGAGTAGGTAGACCGGATGTACAATATACAGAGTATATATACTTCGTACATGCATGTATGACTAGTACATATGTAGTAGTTTTTAGTACTAAGTATACCCACATACTTATTTTACTAGACTACGTAGTTAATAATACCACTGTATACAGAGTATACTCCGGATAACTAGTATATTAAGGTCATCTGGGAACTCCCAGCCCACCAAATGCTCGCGCGCCCAATCTGTGCAGTTCCATACAAGCCCGACCTGCTGTCATTGATCTGTACTTACTAAGTGCTCTGTACCAACCTAAGTATGCATTCTAATACTCTCTGCTATTTTATAAACTGTGCAGTGTAACTTATATACTAGATGTCTATCCACTCCTAAACCTATGGCATATAAAAAACCAGTACCTAGGTAGTTAATAGTTTCTACGCTTGGCATTCTATCTGGAGACTGCCAGTGACAGTTATGTGGGTACTGTAAGTTATCTTTGTGTTTTAGTTTGTAATACTAGGTAAATACTGACACCCCTCTTTACCCGCCCCCAGGCAGTCCCTTCAAATTGTAGGCGGCTGGTGCATTATAGTAGAGGCTACCTTAAGTTGGAGGTGGTTGGGTGCTTTAATTAATCTAAAGTTGTGGAAAAATTACTACTTATATGCCGGAGGCTATAAACAGAAATCCTTTAATTCTATTACACAAATTTCTTGCCTCTTTAGTCTTCAGACACTGCCACAGCTCTTTAAAAAATATTCTCTGTGGGTCACAGTAGTAGTAGTGTCTGCTAACTGTACCAGTCCCCGCCCTCTTTCTATTAAATCTAAATATTAAGGTATAGCAATGTAGTTACAGAGATATACAAGTAGATACAAGTACAGTGAGTATCTTTGTAGTATGAACCAAACAGACCTACCTACTAAGTGTTTTCTGGCTCTGCCTGTACCAACTCTAACAATACTCTGTACCAGATATTGAGTAAAGTTCCTAATTTCTTGCCCTCTACCCTTGTTAATCGTTTTCTTTCGTCGTCTCCCCCATTCTAAAAAGGTATTAACGGTACTGTGTACGGAATACCTATAGTAGGGACAGCCATGTAGGTAAATAAATAATAAAGGCAAGCTGTGTGAAGGAGACGGGCGGAATAAACCCAACTGGATAGATGGATGCTCTTTCCCCTCTAACATTTTGTTTTTAAGAGGGAGGTGTGGTAGCGGATTCAAACCAAGCATTATTAGTATTTTCTAGTTACGCTATTTATAACCATTTCCAAATTCCCTTTCTGCGTGGAGTTGGCTCGTGTGCTCCTTTCTATCCTCCTCTCCTCCCGGTGCTTTATTCCCGCGTTCCTGCAGCCCTCGCGTGTTCGGGCTTCGTCGCTCCATCAACGTCACCTGCCCGCTCTCCTCTCCCTCTCCTCCGACCACCCTACGTTACCACTACTTCTTAATCACACTGCCTTCCTACCCGCCTAACCGCCCTTCCTTCGAATTTACCCCCTGCCACATTGGTACGGCGTAAATATTCCCTTGAATTGACTGCGGTTCTCTTTTTCTTCTTTCGTGCTCTTTCTTTTTTCCTTACCTGAGGACTAACTAACTCTCACTGCTCTCGTTGCAAACTTATATCGGTCGGCGTAGTCTTCTGCTTTTCCTCTTGGCGCTATCCAAGTCCATTGGCCCTTGGTCTGAGCCTTTCCTCCTACGATTCGTCCGTCCACGAGTCCGCTTCTCTCAACCCTTCATCTCACGCGCACCTCCACTCAACATTCATCGTTCGGATATTCCGCCCATCCAGAGCACCCCTCCTCCATATCGCTCCCCCGAACTACATTCTGCCCAAAACGGACTTTACGCCCTACTTTTACGTCCCTTTCCGCCATCCACTATTGAGCTCCAGCCCTCCCTACTCCCGATAGCACTACCTGAACTAAACACCACTCTTATCTCCACTAGACGTCCGTGATGTCACAGAATCGGCCTGGGGTATTCTCGAGCTTGCGCATGGGTGGTAAGGAACATTTTATCCTTATTCTAATTGCTTTCCTTGTGTTTCCAGGACTCCTTTGCTGACATTTCCCGCTCTTATGGACCCCACAGAAGTTATTCGTGAAAAAGTCCAGGATGGACTAACTGGAGAAACCAAGGAAATTTCGTATTCACAATGCAAAATCGTTGGCAATGGATCATTTGGGGTGGTTTTCCAAACCAAGATGATGCCTAGTGGTGAGGACGCTGCCATTAAGCGGGTTCTCCAAGACAAGCGTTTTAAAGTATGGGTGGTCCCCTGCCTTCACTCACCACGAGCCATGTATCCCTGCTGATAGCTCCCCAGAACCGTGAGTTACAGATCATGCGGATTGTGCGCCACCCGAATATAGTAGAGTTGAAAGCCTTTTACTATTCTAACGGCGAGAGGGTACGTGGTAGCCTTTATCCTATGCCATCGGCATGGTTTTGTATGACTGATAATTATGCGGCACCATTATAGAAAGACGAAGTATATCTGAACCTTGTCCTCGAATATGTGCCAGAAACAGTGTACCGGGCATCGCGATACTTCAACAAGCTGAAGACAACCATGCCCATGTTGGAGGTCAAGCTTTACATTTACCAGCTGTTCCGCTCTCTGGCCTACATTCATTCGCAAGGCATCTGCCACCGTGACATCAAACCCCAAAACCTACTTCTAGATCCAAACAGCGGTGTCTTGAAGCTCTGTGATTTTGGATCGGCAAAGATCCTAGTCGAAAATGAGCCAAACGTTTCATACATATGCTCCCGCTACTACCGAGCGCCGGAGTTAATCTTTGGCGCAACCAATTATACCACAAAGATTGGTAATTTGCCATCTCCCTATGTAGTCGAATCGAGAAAGTTAACAAGCAGCAGATGTGTGGTCCACTGGCTGTGTAATGGCGGAGCTGATGCTTGGACAACCACTCTTCCCAGGAGAATCGGGGATTGATCAGCTTGTGGAGATCATTAAAGTCTTAGGGACACCTTCTCGGGAGCAGATTCGTACTATGAATCCCAACTATATGGAGCACAAGTTTCCCCAGATTAAGCCACATCCTTTCAATAAGGTATACTTGATCCCGCTCACGGAATGTTAAGGATGATTGGCTAATTGGGTTATTTTTAGGTTTTCCGAAGAGCTCCCCACGAGGCAATCGATTTGATTTCCGCTTTGCTGGAGTATACGCCAACACAGCGTCTTTCTGCTATCGAGGCGATGTGTCACCCGTTTTTTGACGAGCTCAGGGATCCAAATATTAGACTGCCTGACTCGCGCCACCCCAACTCCTCATCAAGGGAACTTCCTAACCTCTTCGATTTCTCTAAACATGGTGAGTCTCTTTTCTTTTCCTTCTTTCTTTATCCCCTCCTTTGGTCTTCCTTTTTATCTTCCCTCTCGACTACTTTCCACCTGTTTACTAATAAGGCTGTAGAACTCTCTATCGCCCCGGCAATGAATAGTCGCCTGGTTCCTCCTCACGCACGCCCTGCGCTCGAAGCCCGTGGTTTAGATATTGATAACTTCACACCCCTTACGAAGGATGAAATGATAGCACGTCTCGACTGAGTCAAGGTGTGCAATGATTACGAAGTACATGCCTGTTCATAGTGCAATTACGTGCACATGTGCGCAACAATCTGATATCATGCCGTACAAGTCTTCTATTATGCATCGGGCAGTTTCGGAAAAATAGGAAGGTTTGTCTGAATTGTAGACCTAGTCCTTTGGCAAGGAATCCAGGAGCTGGTTTCTCTATGTGGGAATTTACGGGAAGGGAAAAGCACAGGTAAAAAAGGGAGGAAAAAAAAAAAAAAAAAAAGAAGGGAAGACGAAGAAAATGAAAAAAAATCGAAAGGTCAAAATTGCAATGTGAGAGGAGTGACTAAGGAATGATTCCTTGACACGACTCCAAAGGTTCTTCAAGAGACAGTGGGCCATGACATTGTCACGTAATCGTGATGAAATGTCATTGTCTGGAGTTATTGAGGTGTCTGAGACAGCTCTTGGGAGGAAAAAGTGATACCCTTCTTGCGTGAGTCTGCCTTCCAGGGTTAAGTCTGCATAGCTTCGTATCTCGATTGAAAGGAGAGTCATGAAAACGGAAAGTGCAAGTCTTATTGACATGGATGGAAAGATGAATAACTTACAGATGCGTCAAATAGTATGAGAATTTCTTTGCTTGGTTGCACATTATGTGCCTGTGAGCCTGCTTTGAATATATGTCTTGGAGGTTGTATCCCCCTGACTTGCAGCTTTAGAAACTTCTTTTTATGTGCGCACTTGTTCACTTCTTTCTTGTTCTCCACCCCCTCTGTTCCTATACTTCTCCCTCCCCTGTCTTAAATTCTTATTGCTCTTATGTTCAGTTCTACTCATTTTTCTCTGGTGATTATACTTTACTCAGCCTGGCTGATGATGAAGCTACATGTTCTTTAATCCGAAAGCAGACGACTCATTTCTTTCGTACTGTTTATTTTCATCTCCGTCTGATCTTAGAGACTCACCTGAAGTATGCCACAAGACTTATATTATTAGTGTGTATAATCATAGTCTTGTAATTGTGTTTTCTGTTTATTTCCATGTTTTATATTGTACTTTCATACTCCATCACAAGCTCGTCTTACTGCTTTCTATCTCAAATTCGGTGACTCAGTAGTGCACTTTGTTTTTCGCATTAACCCGAGTTTGTAGCAAGCTTTACAATAAGTAGTATAAGAAAAATGAACAGAAGAATCCAATTATGGCATTTTACTCTTATTCTGGCGGTATCTACACCTTGATGCTTGGCTTTAACGGGCGTTGAGGTAGTAGCTCCAGAAGTACAGCTGTATGTACGCCTCGTAACAGATAGCTAACCACTGGTGCATTGAAATAATTTTTAATCTGAACACAGCATCAGCGGTTCGGAAGACATAGCTAAATAGACCATAGTTCTTCCACAATCATAGATTTAAGAGCCAACACATCCACTTCACTAATGTCCACAGTTGGTTATGTAATCACGGGATCGGATGATCTTAACCCCGAACTACCTGAAGACTGTGTTTTTACGGAGTACTTCCTAGGTGAACGTGGTTGGTTAATTTGTGTTCCCAGCAAAAGAGCTCAGAGCTCAATTGTTTATGCCCATACACCAAAATTACTGCAGCTATTGTTTCCGAACTTAAAACCTGCGGTCAAAGCGGTTGTATGAGCAGAAGGCTAGTCATGGCTGACTACGAACGCCGACATCATGGTCCTAGGGGTGGTCGCAAGAGGCGCCATAGAGGTGAGTGAGAAGTCTCCATCTATGTATGACTGGTTTAGGGGCGATGACTTCTTTATTCGTATATTATATTAACATTGGCCGGTATGTACAGATGACGATGATTATGACCGGCGCCAGAGGCGCAGGTATGAAGAGCCATTGGTTGTCAAGATCCGAAGACAACTGCTAAGCATTGCTGAATCAGTACGAGTGCCTTCCTATAGCTTGTGGATATCGGGGTCGTATAAACTGTGAGAAGAAATACTCATATGAATCTTGCCCTTAGGCAGCTAGAAGAGTCGAAGATGATGCGGTGAACATTGCGAAGAATGTGGTAGATAATTATGAGGATGAAGAACTCAGAAAAACTTTTATGGACGTGTCCCTTGACATGTACGTTTGAATATCCTACATCTCAGGCCCAACCGCAAGAAACTAATGATGGGTTCTGTAACAGTGTTCTTGAACAGCCGTTGAAGGTTCCTTTCATTGCGGCAATCATTCTAGTTGCAAACAGCCATAAATCAGAGCTCGTATCCGATATTCTTACACGAGCAGGCGAGCTCGTACAGAAATATATTAATACAGGGGGTTGGCGTGAGGTCAAACTCCTGCTCCGATTTTTGGGTTGCCTCCAATGTGTTTTTGATGGAGATGGCATTTTCCCAACCTTGGAGGATTTGTTCGCACGTGCAGTTGATCTTCAAACTACATCCTCCGAAGATGTGAGTGATTTGGAATGTTTCTATGGTGTATGCATTTGCTAATCGTTCTGATAATGCACAGGTACTCGGGTTAGAGCTCGTGAAAATCATTCTCTTTACCATACCATATGTAATGGCATCTCCAGCGGCTGGCTGCGAAAGCTTAGCAGCTGCTCTTCTTGAAAAGACAGATATTATTGCGTCCACTCCACATGCACTGGTTGACTTAGTGAACCCCTTCGGACCTGTGGATGGCAATCCAGATGTGCAAAGCATTATTAGCTTGCTTCAAAGTCAGCTTCAACAGGAGGCCAGCCGTGGCTGGGAACTTGTATGTATTCCTCGTCCATGGAAAGGAGCTCGAGAGGGGGGAGAAGAAGGTGAAACACCAATTGACACTGGAGCAAAACACGCTTTTCCTCAAATAACTGTCCCAAGCCCAGTCAACAATGGAACGAGAGCGATCTTTCCGCAGGTCTACATTTCCGTCTACTCGAACCAGGAAGTTGAGACCGTTCCCCCCACATCAGATATCTCTTCGTCTTTGTTACGGGATGCCCTTGTCGATACGATCAATATTCTTGATTTCAATCGTATCGCCACGGCGAAATATCTGATAGATGTTGATTGTTACTTCACTCCGCATACTTTTGTGAAGCGTGCCACCCCTTTTGATAGATTACGCGATATCTCGGGAAACCGTTCGACCTGGAAGCCAGAGGACGTTGCTGTAGATGCGGTCTTTTCCCAACTGTTCCAACTCCCTTCACCAGAACATAAGCTTGTCTATTATCATTCAGTTCTCACTGAATGTTGCAAAATTGCACCGGCCGCCATAGCTCCAAGTTTGGGGCGTGCAATTCGCTTTCTTTACCGCAGTCTCGAATCTATCGATTTGGATCTAAGTCACCGGTTCTTGGATTGGTTTTCTCACCACCTGAGCAATTTTGGGTTTACGTGGAAATGGAGCGAATGGTGCATATCCCATTTCATAGGCAATTACCGAAGTAAGAAACTGACCACCCTGCAGGATTGATGACCTTGAGCTCCCGTCGGTCCACCCAAAGATGGCCTTCATCACTGGGGCCCTTGATAAAGAAATTCGGCTAAGTTTTGCGCAACGTATAAGAGGAACGCTTCCAGATCCGTATCAAGACCTGATACCGGAAGGAAAGGAGAAAGATACCCCTGATTTCAAATACTCATTGGGGAGTGAGTTTCATGCGCTGCATTACCACCCGGCCCACGTCCACTATTCCTTTTCTTTTGAGATTCTATAGCGAAATAGCTAACGTATGCTCTTCCACAGCTACGCCCTATGCTGCTGAAGGGAGTGAAATCATGCAGCTTATCCGCAGGAAAGCTTCTGATGAGGAAATCGAGCCAGCTATCTCTTCCATTGAGGAGCAAGCCCAGTCGCTAGGTGTCGATACCCCAATGCTACCTTCGACTGACGCATTTGTTACAGCTATCTGCTTCGTTGGTTCCAAATCTTTGTCCCATGTTTTGTCCTGTATCGAGCGAAATAAAGAACGACTATTGGCGATCGGGCCAAAATCCCCTGTGGCACGTCGCCAGATCATTACCTCAGTCATGGATTATTGGGCCGATCAGCCCGGCATTGGTATCAACATAATCGACAAACTTTTGAATTATACAATCCTGACACCACTCTCTGTCATTGAATGGGCGCTAGTGGATAAGCTGGAGGCGGGGACGATCCTTGCAAAGACGCACGTTTTCGAGATGATAGCGGCCACTGTCGGTAAAGTTACAAACCGTCTACGGCAGATTGTTGCCGCACGCACCCAAGCAGGCCTGTACGAGCCTCAATTAAGTGTGTTGGATGAGACTTTGAATCGCGAGAAGGCGGATATGCAGGCTCTTTTTAAGGTCATTGAAGACTCAATCATCTCAGTCGCAGGGGGAAGCAACGACGAACTAATGGAAAGAGGTGATGGGAGCGGCAACTTGCTAGAAGACGGCATAATCAGACATTGGGGCACTCGATGGCTGAGGGTATTCCGGCGGAAGGCCGCGGTTGAGGAATCATTCATTGCTGAGGCTATGGCCTCAGCATCTCCTGTTGGAACAACAGCTCCTGCAGCTCCCCAGGAAGACGTCATCGCTGAGAACACCGTGGCAGATAGAGATATGGATGTGGCTGACACCGATGGACCTGTTGAGATTTCCTGAGGAATTGGGCGCCTTCGATGCTACTCCTTGCAAGCGGCCTCTGTTATTATGTTTTAAATGTAATTGCTGTAAACCTCAGCCTTAGTAGTTGATGCTTAAGAAGCCAAAACAGACTAGAAGAGATGACAGAAAAAGGAGAAACCCTTATTTCAAGCTTTGCGATAATACAAAAGAGTGAACCACATCCAGTCATATACTTAGTATGGTCATAAGAAGCTTCAGAAATGAGGAGCGAATGGGTACGAGTTGTGGGAGTCTTTACTACTACATACTCCGGAGCTGGCTGATGATTTCTTTACGACGTGCCACTGATTATGGCAAGACACTCCAACCTGTGAGAACACACTTCGGGACCAAATCACTCCAATTTCATTAAATATCACTGTCTTAGGCCAAGATATGTGCTACAAAAACACCATAATCGGCTCAAGTCACAGAGGGTAGGAAACCACTCCATAATTGTTCAGAGCCAATTCATCATTGAGACTAGAATACAAAACAGAAAAGATTAACGTAATGAAATTCGTGTTATACCAATAGGAATTAGGGTAAAGAATAGGGCAGAAATTTAAACATGAAACTCGTTACTTCCTTCTCGGAGTAGAACTCCAACGTGGCGTGTCACCAATTCACGAATGCCAACACCGTTCACAGGACGGCTGGATGTGATGGTCCCCTTCTTCGTGAATTCCACATCCGGGCCCGGAGCAAAAAGCAACTTGGATCGGTAACGATGATGCTCTGACTGAGTTCCCTTGACGGACTGATGTCGAGAAAAATTATTCGCTTGACGCTGTGGTCGATTTATACATAGAGACAAGTTCAGGGGAGAGATCCTCGCAGGCACTGACTGCAGGTCACAGATCCTTTTTGGTTTCTTCTTCTGCCAAATAATTGCGGTCATCATCGCCTTCCACATCCTTAAGAATGGTTTCCATCTCTTTGGTCTGTTTCTTCCACTCCTTTTCGTCCATCTTCGTCTCGCGCCGGAAAAGTTCCTCGTTTGGCTGTCGGTAGCTACCTCCAAGACGATCCCAAAGTGTTGTAAACTGTCCATAATTGTAATTGAAGTAAAGGTGGTGCATGGTATGGCAGGCAGCTCCATTTATCACCGGGCTGTTTGAGACGTATTCTCCATCATGGATCAACACGGTCCAGAGATTTATGAAACCGAAAAGAATGACGTAGGCAAACTTCTGAAGAGGAAAAATGAAAGGGAAGACGTGGTATGGAACGCTCTGTGCCCACCCATCCAGCGGGTGGAAAGCGTGCGACGCATACGGGCTCGGCATAATCCATTTGTGGTGAGGCTTGTGCAGAGTCTTGTAGATTAATGGATGGTGTAGTCCGCGATGGATCCAGTAAATGCAAAGATCAGTGAATGCGATGAACAGCGGGAACTGCAATATGCTGTAATAGGGGAACGGTTCGTCAGAGAATCCATCGTAAAGCATGGCATACCCACGGACTTCCGCGACCAAAAAGGGGGCTGTTAGTAAGGACATAATAGGCATCGACTTCATAGTCTGAGCGATTTCCATAGGAATCTGATTCTTCAGGAATTTGGGATGTCTGACGGTTGTCTTGTCCCAGATGAATATGTACGAAAGCGTTGCGGAAACGAAGTACGTGATAAAGCCAAAAATCCTATATCGAACGAGCGGACGTCAATCACTTGGACATTTCACAGCGAGAGAAAACAAGTACATACCACACAATCAGAAAAAAACTCAAGAACTGACGATAGATATTGTTTCTCGGCCAAGCGCTCATGTGTGCATACTTGGATGGTTCTAAATAGATCATCTTGGTGGCGGGTTCGTAAGCGAAGGGTTGAGATGCTCCGAAGAGCGACAGTGTGCTATTGGGAGCATTGGTGACCGATGATGACAACGAAGTTGGAAGAAGCTCGGCGTACAAGCGGTCGCCAATGAAGGTGTCCCAGATTTCGAGGGCGATATCCATGGTGCCCCAATATAAATGAGGGTGTAGAGCAATTTAGGATTGATTATAGCTTAGAAGGATGCAATGTGAGGGCAAGCAGGTAGGAGGAGAGAGAGATTGTGTATGTGTGTGTGTGTTTGTGTGTTTTTCTAAATAATCCAGGAAAGTACAGAGAATAGTGACCTATACTACCTGAATAAGAAGCCAATTTGCCTATAAGAATCAAGCGCGGCATCACACCAGGCGGAATGAACACAGCCGTTCCACTTGATTTGTTAAGCCGTTTGATATTTCCTCTTTTTCCTTTTTTTTTTTTTTTTTGCCCCTTTCCCGCTCGGACTGGCGTCGACGTTTAGGCTGGTGGGGAGCTGCTTCTGTGCGGATTTACGGAATTAGATCTTCAGGGGAGTAAATTTTCCGTAGGGTAAACCCGAAGGAATCAAGAGAGACAGATAATGGGGAACTACGTGTTTTATTAATTCATTTGCATAGCTCGATAAGAGATATCTAGATTTAAGTTTGTGTCGACTATTTCGCACCTCTGCATGTACTCTGTATGTATGTATGTAGGACATGACCTGTACCGGCGATTTGCAGGTACATATGTATCATCCCTAGACACAAAATCTCTCTAGCGTAGATAAACATTCCTGCTATTTAGTTATATATCATATTCCCCTGTTATTTATTTATTTATTAGTTTTTTTTTTTTTTTTTTTTTTTTTTTTTTTTAAAAAAAAAAAAAAAAAAAAAAGGTTGTACAAAGAGTTATCTAAATGCGCATGGGAATGAAATACAGAAACCACCGTATCATCCGTCCACTGTTTCTTATTTATTCTACCTTGTATAGTTATTGAAAAAGGGGAGACATGAGAGATCTAGCAGATATACAGTGTAGGAGTCGATGTCATCCATTATTTTATTCTCAATCGTTGGGGGATTTTTGCCTAAGGCATGATAGAAAAATCCAGCGGTGCCTTAGTAGGTATTATAGGGAAATGGGGTCTTCCTACCTCTTTGAGTATTTACTTCCTTCTGATGATTTAGTAGGTAGGCCAGACAAACTATCTACATCCTGAAGATCCTAGGCTATTCTCACGATGTATCTGTAAGAATACCCCTAAGACTCTATCTTGTCGTTCTGCAAACGGTCTCTCGGTGGGCCCCGCCGAACTAAAAAGGGGGACAGGTATTAGTCGCTACTCGCCTATCGACTCGCTTCTCGCGCCAAATCTTCAGCCGCCCGCCGCCCCCATCCCATCCGCCCACTCTCTCAAACTAAGCAGTAGACCCAACCAACCTTGTGCTTGCTTGCTTGGGTTGAGCTCGCCGTCTGTCATCTATCATCCACCATCTATCTATCTACCTTCCTTCCTGTCATCTGTCTGCCCTAGTGCCATTCATTATTCTGCCTACGATCTTTATCGTTTCTCTATCTACCCACCCACCCACCCCCTTCCAGCTCCGACTCGGTCGCAGCGCTTGTTTCTTTGGGGCGCGCTGTAATGCGGCTGCGTTGACGTCTTTCTACCAGCAAGTAGTCTCTGTCCTCTCTCGTCTCTGGTCGGTCCGGTTGCCGAATTGGTTCGTTTCTTGCTTTGTTGCCGCGAACAATTCGGTCGCCACCTCGTGAAGCCAATTCCTTACTATACACCTCTTCTGTTCGCCTGGGGTGCCTTTTCCTTCGCAAGCAACCAGACTTACGAACCTGCTACGAACAATGTACAACGCACATCGCGGGATGGTTCCCGCTCCCAACTCCCGTCTGACGGAGTTGTTGGACCAGTTGCGCCAGGAGTTTGAAAGCCAGTCAAGGAGTACTGGCGAGTTTGAACACCAATGTACGTGATACTTTATTCATCCCCTACTCGGCCTCCGAGCCATCTCTCCTTGGTTGGATCGCTGCCGATTCGTTCTAAGGTATGCATGTTGACTCTGTTTCTCCTAGTAACTGGTCAGCTTCAGGAAATGGAGATGATCCGACAGAAGGTTTATCAGTTGGAGCAAGCACAGGTAAAGATGAAGCAAGAGTGCGTATTCCCAACCCTCTCCTCGTCATGACCGGCTTCCATTGAGTGCTGACGCTTTGGTTCGCCTAGTTATGAAGCGGAAATCCGAGTGCTGCGACATGAGCTCGAGTCGCGTGGTGTCCAAACTGTCTCATCTCATATCACCGCCCCTGCACAGCACGCCGGCCCTTCTCAGGCGCCCCCGCCTGCACTGGGTCATGGCCCTAGCAATCTGTTTGGTGGTATTATGACCAACCAAGGAGGTAGTGGTCCCGGCCTTGCCCCCCCCCCTCCCCAGGATCAGCAGCCTCCCCAGCATACCCTTCAACAGCCTGCTCCCGCGGCTCAACAAGGAGCGCCCCAACCGCCGCAGAGCTCTTTTGGAGGATATCAGCCTGGTGCTGCTGTGAACGGTATGTTGAGACTGCATTTATGATGAGTTCATGGATTCTCTGACCACGCATTCTTTTTCGTTATTATAGGTTATGGAGCACCCCCGCCGACCGCCTCACCTGGCCCCGGAAAAAGACCTCGCGCTCCTCCTGGTCCAGCAACTCCTCAGCAGACTCATCAGTTGGCCTACCCGGATCCTCGCGTGTCCCCTCAGCTGGCCCGACCTACCCCTCCCAGTCAGGCTGTCGTCCGTGAACGCCCGGGAAACATGCTGGCTAATTGGAATCCTGACGACTTGCCTGCTTCGCAGAAGCGAGAGGGAGCCGATTGGTATGCCGTCTTCAATCCTGAGGTACAGCGAGTGCTGGACGTCGAGCTTGTACACCATCTCGTTCATGACAGCGTCGTTTGCTGCGTTCGTTTCAGCAGGGATGGCAAATACCTGGCCACGGGTTGCAACCGTTCCGCCCAGATCTTCGACGTGAATACCGGCCAGAATGTCGCCACTTTGCAGGACGAGAACGTGGACAAAAACGGAGATCTTTACATTCGCAGCGTCTGCTTCAGCCCGGATGGCAAGTATCTCGCAACTGGCGCTGAGGACAAGCAGATACGGGTAAGTTCAGTTATTCTGTCCTCCATTTGCCGGTTGTCAGCGTCTATTTTACACTTTATCGAGGCCCACATTCCTTGGATGCTATGGCGAAGCTAACTACGGCGGATATAGGTTTGGGATATTGCTGCTCGAACCATCAAGCATATCTTTACTGGCCACGAACAAGATATATATTCCCTAGACTTCGCCGGCAACGGTCGTTATATCGCATCCGGCAGTGGAGACAAGACTGTGCGTCTTTGGGATATTCTAGACGGGAAGCTAGTCTACACCCTTAGTATCGAAGATGGTGTGACCACCGTTGCTATGTCCCCCGACGGTCACTATGTTGCAGCCGGATCGCTGGATAAAAGCGTTCGTGTTTGGGACACCACTACCGGCTATTTGGTGGAGCGTCTGGAAAGCCCCGACGGCCACAAAGACAGCGTTTACTCTGTTGCTTTCGCGCCCAACGGTCGGGATCTTGTCAGTGGCAGTCTTGATAAGACAATCAAACTCTGGGAGCTCAACGTTGCCCGCGGCGCATACCCCGCAGGAGGAGCCAAGGGTGGTAAATGTATTCGGACCTTTGAGGGTCATAAAGTACGTCAACGTCCTATAGCTGTGGCTTTGCCGGTTATCTTATTCTTGATGATTACTAAATTTGCTGTGTAGGATTTCGTTCTCAGTGTCTGTCTGACCCCTGACGGCCATTGGGTGATGAGTGGCTCCAAGGACCGGGGCGTTCAGTTCTGGGATCCGATTACCGGGAATGCGCAGATGATGCTACAAGGACACAAAAACTCGGGTGAGCTGCCTACTGCCTTTTGCTACTTCGGAGAGAGCGTTTTTCTAATTCAATCCCAGTCATCTCCGTTGCCCCCAGTCCTACAAACAACTTATTTGCTACCGGTAGCGGTGACATGCGTGCAAGAATCTGGCGGTATGTACCTAGCCAACCCACCCCACCTTATTTGTTGAGGACTCTGTACTTTTCTATTATCGGGGGATGGTGCTGACTGAACGCTTCACTCTCAGCTACTCGACGTATACTGGACGGTGATGGAATGGATGCTTTCCAAGGAACTCGGCGCATGTGTGACTATCCATGTTAATTATGCTTCTTCTCTGTTTCCCGTTTTGCTTTATGTGCTTTGGCCTGAATTTGCGTGTTAATTTAAGGCAGCTTCGTTTTGGAACAGCTCCCACATTTCCATGAGTGAAATCTTTATGGCTGACCAGTTATAAGAAGAGAAAAATGGGGGTGGGAGAGAGGGAAGAGAAGGTTGGGAAAAAAAAAAAAAAGGGAAGTGGAGAAGAAAAGTATGGGGGTAAACAAAGAATGTCTGTATGAAATATTTGCTGGATGCTTCACTTTCTGTGTGCTATGGAGCTTCACCTGTCATTGGTTTGCCTGATAGTGAATTTGACTGGGGAGTAAAGCCAAGTGTCATTATTCTTGAGTGCTGTAAATATGGCGCCGTGGCCAAATGGGCAATCCATATCACACTGCGTGAAAAGGAGTCTTCCTACTTAGCTCAACTTGACCAGGGAGGATCTCACGGCCAGGCTAGAGATCAATCGATGTTTTTTTAAGTGTATACGCATAGTTAGTTACGTACATACAAACATAGATGTAGCTATACGCGTTCTGATATAGTAAAGATTAGGAGAGAATAGGGTAGAGTCAAGTTCATTACTTATTACCTCATACCCCCAATCAGAGCAATGCTATAATGGATCTATTGCGTAGCATAGTGGAATATAATTAATATACTCTGTACTCGAATCTTGATCTCCGTGAATGACGTGACTAATAGATAGACCATCTCCATGAAATCCATCAATCCTATGTACCACGTTTCATTCTTTTCCTGTCTTGGTTCCTCTTCGGAAGAGCCCTGTTGAATACGAATTTGTATGCACTTGCCTCGTATATCATCAACATTGTGCCTACCCAGGTATGTACAGACATACTTAGAGACCATAAGCCTAGGTAAAGATGCACTAATGACAAGAGAGGTTAACTGGACTTAACTATCCATCTAAGAGTGGAGAGCTGCCCACAGCATTCCAAAATTATTTGTATGCACCTGACGATCACGAGTGAACAGCTTACTTTTACAGAGTAGTCAAAGGTATCGTTCTCACTCCAAGGAGAACATGCATGTGTGCAAATTAAGAAGATTAAAAAAGATCCCCATCAGAGAGCGCCCCCATGCATGCACCAGTCAGCCGCAGTGAAATTTTGGGGGCCACTGGCGGCTACTGGGAATTTTCTTGCCAGGCAGCAACATGACCTGGATCGATAATTCGAGAGAAAGAAAATAATCGTATTAATAAAATCGGATTAATAAATCATATTCTCCGAACTTTTGCGGCGATAAAAACAGTGGACGCGCTATGCTCCTTACGGATTACATACTGTATTACTCCCATCTCCTGTCTCAGCACCATCCTGATCCAGATAGATTGCAAAGTCCCTGGTTGCGGCAGAGGTAAGGAAGGGAGTTGTGTCAACTGGATTAAGCTCGCTCTACGTGTGCCCGAATGAAGCAAGATCATCGAACAATGGGAAATCCTCACAAGTCCATCGGAGTGATATCAGGATGATCATCTTATGTGATAGATCCGATCCGTTCTACTTACTCGCTAGATTTTGGCATCTGCTCCATACATAATCCCTCTTGGGTGCATGGAGTTATATGCACGTCTGCGGATAGATGTACTTAAGTACCTAGCTAGTACTTGGTTAAGAATGCATAGTTACGACTTATTATTGCGCCGAAGAATGAAATTTATAACATGATACTTTACGGAGGACATGACCGTAGATTCTTCCATGATGATTTTTTTCTACTACTGCGACTTTGCGAGGGACGATTATGTATACGGCGCTGGACATACGACGAAGTACTCCGTAGTCTGTACAGAAGAGAGATTTATTTATGCATACGTGTTCGGAGGCTAGTCAAAGTATATCATGAAGGATGAATCGAAGAGAACAAGGGCCGGCCCGCCCTCGCAACAATTTGGAGGGTAAAAACTGAAAACGAGGGGTCGTGATCAATCTCCGATATATTATTACCTAACCTTGGGATAGGGGAAGACTGATTCTAACCCTCTCTCCCTTACGTACGGACTGCATACTACAGTTTACTGGACTACAAGAAGCCCTCTCTCTTGGTACCCACTGCTGACAGGAAAGGGGGGAGAGTGCTCTCTGCTCTAGCGCTACAACACGAAGATGATTAAAGTGGGATGGATCCTGGGGGAAAGGATTCTCGGAAAAGAATGAGTATAAATAATTTATTTTTAATCTGCATCGACTTGCTTAAGCATACTTAAATTTCACCCAGGCTCTATTCTATGGCCCTCAAAAGGTTGCGATGGTCAAATCGCAGCCTTGCCTATATTACCGTGATTTAAATGGAATTGTTTCAGTGCTCCGTATTCTGTAGCTCAGCTCGGCCTAAAATAACTATAAGAACAAGAACAATAGGTATTAGAAATTTTTTAGCTCGTGTCATACCAGAGGTACGGAGTAGAAATTCTCAATTTGGGCAGGTGTGGCAAGTATTACCCATACAATACGGAGTACCTCGCCTAGTCAATCTTGATACATCTCAGGAGTGAAGCTAGATTGGCTCGAACCCAGGAAAGTAAGATATGTAGGTAATCGGAGCGGGAAACGATCTGACTGATATGGTCCGGTCCAGCTCGAGCTACCTACCCTGTAATTTCTGCATCGAAGTACCTAGCTTAGTCTGGAGAGACATGGAAGCTCCGCCTCTTACTCCGTAATCGAAGTGGGTATGCTCTCTCATATACACATCAAAAGTACGGAATACCGTGGCAGCAGTATTTGGAGCTACGGGGAGCACCAGATGCGGTAGATCGTCACCTCCCCCTCTCCCCTGGATGAGATTTGTCGCCAGTCGCGGCTATCAGCTACTACCTAACTAGTAGTCGACTGCCTACGCAGTAGTGCAGAGGCACATTCCACCCCCAAGGAGACGCTATCCAATGGCAGCTTCCTAATTTCCACACTATTGATCGCCCACAGACGGTCCGTCCTGTAGCTCTGCCGGCGAACCCTGTCATGCTTCAGGATTCGAAGTGAAAGGACGATTGGTGGCTGGAAAAGAGGTGGGGGTGAAACATTGATTCTTCTATCTTTCTGCTTATCTCAGTAAGTAGACAAGTGCTACGGTGGATACTTAGGGTACTAACAGATGGATGTTGTATCGAGGTTGTGATTGATGCACTCTTAGATAGTCCCTATGGTGCTCTGCTATAAGTAGTTCCCCCGTACTTTTGCCATCCAATTACTGGGCCTTTCGGATCCTCTGCAGCATATTGGTGGCCACTTGGGCTTGCCTCCCGCGTGAGCTGCCACTGAAACATCCACCATCCAATGTAGGTACAGTATATTCTTACAGAACATGAATATGCTAAACTTGAAAGTGTGAGATGTGGGATAAAAATAGGCTACAGCTGTCGGGGCCTCCTGAAGCACCCAGAACCCAAGTACAGAATACTAATATAGGATAGTCACTCCGTACATACTTACCCTTTACCTGCAGGGTGCTTACTCCATGCAAATGATAAGGCGACGATCAAAATCGAGCTCGAACTAAGGTGACAACTGCGCAGGGACAGGTCGCTTGTTCTTGGATTCAGCCACAGTTTCAAAGATCTACATCCATTCCGGTGATGATCATCACCACCCACCAGTTAAGGGAGGATTGTCTGTCATAGAATCGCCCCCCCTACTCCCCTTAGGTCCCAACAGTTCAGGTGCCTGCGCGAATAGCGAGGGTATCCTGGTCAGTATGTTTGCTAACATCATCAGTACGAGAGGTGGAAACTAGTAGCAATAAGCATCACGAGCGAATATTGTTAATAATACCATATGAAAATCTTTTATTTTTTTCCCTTCTTCACATGGAATCAGTAGAATAAGGATACGTAATATTACAGTACTTCCAAATTCACAGGTTGACAGTCCGTGATTGGATTTAAAAGTTGTCTGCATGCCATATGTTTGACTTGTCTAGTCGTGGCCTGGGTTCACCGAGTTTGGTCAGATGATATTATGAATTAATTACCTGGCAAGTACCGATTAGCAAGTATTCCGATCCCCTGTTCCCTGATTGGTGCCTAGCTATGTTCATCATGGAAGTCAGCAAGTGTATCCATGATGGTTATTAACCATTCATCCAGCTGGGAAAATAAAAGGAGATGGATTTCAACGGACTTCTTGACTTAAATCTTCAAGTTGGCGCGCCTTCTCATCTCTAATTCCTCTGCGTTTTTACTTATATTATTACTATAATTATATTGTAACCAGCCCCTACCTAGGCACTACGTACAGAAATCTGTCTGAACTAATACGTCCTTCATACTAGGGTAATTAAAGTCCACTACCATCAGTGCGGCGTGTGATTGTCAGCCCAGCCCGATCGGACCGTAACCATCGCGTTCCGCGATTGGATTAAGACATGGGATGCACCACGATCCTGTGCTAGGCCCACCCTGTCATGACTACCCGAGTACGGAGCTGTGTGGAGTACTTTATTTTATTTAATTTTTTTTTTTTTTTTTTTTATTTTTTAAAAAAAAGGGCCTGCAGTAATCATTCTTCCGTCGCCCCATCCAACATATTAGACAATTTACATCCAGTTGTTTATTTCTGAATATATAATAAAATAAACACATGCTCCGAAGAAAGGGAGAGGGAACATGCACAGCACCCGAGGATTGTAAGGCAGGTGTATATAGGCAGATACACTGTCTGTAGAGAGTAGACGCAGATCATCGTGGAATATGTTAATTTAAAGTCATGGACGTCACGTTTCTTTCCTTGTCTGGGCAGTCAGCTCTTCAGCAATTATGTATGTGATCTAAAGAGTGGTATAAATACCTAGATCATACCTACTTAGGAAGTAAATGGATGTAGGCAGTACGAAGTAGTATGGTAATATTTACAGGCCTCCTGGGACTGTCAGCGGTCAGTCCGCCTATAAGAATTAGCATGGATGGACGAAAATCTTCCCTAAACCACAGCCCAGAGAGATTTTGGGGGGGAGGGGGGATGGTGAAAATAAAATTCCGTTATTGGATGCTTTATTACAATTTTGATTTTGTGACTCTCGTTTCAGCCAATCTTTGGATAAACTTGGTCAAATTGAACGAGGACCGCTTACCCCGTACTCGTGGCTCTTAGCTCTTCCAATACCTACCTTGTATCCCATACGGTATACTACTGACAACCATTATTTCCTTAGGTACGGAGTGTGCCATAACATATAGGAATCTCCAGACTGAATACCTATAAAACCTAGGGGTAGGTATGTATATACATACAGAGAAAGGGTACGCACGTTCGTCATGGATACATCCAAGCAGCGAAAGATTGTGTCTTTCCTAGAGCTGGGTCTACAAGCCTTCAGCTAGCTACCACTAGCAGGCTTGATCCCTGTCACTGTCCACCCCCGCTGCTTCCACTGCCCTGGGACCAGAAGGAAGGTGGGAAGGAGATGATAATACTAATACCTAACTAAGTAATAGTAATAGTAATAATAAAAATAAAAATAATTTTAAAACAAATGGTGCTAAAATATTTTTATTTTTATTATGGTCTTCCCTTCCCTCAACTGGCTTAAAGACTGTATATATCTAGTTCTAGATCACCGTCCACTAATTCAAGAGGCAAAAAGTGCGTGAAGAACAAGGATTACCTAAAAGAAAGGACTTACCACTTAATATATGAATAAATTGACTCGAATTATTAGCTGGATTTTTGTTATTGTCATATCAATACCATTATATCATTGTCAGCTCTTCCTACCTTTCTCCTCTCTTTTTGGGTGATTACTCGAGATCTATACATACATACTTCCCTGCCCTAGAGGCACAGGTTCTCCTGTACTGTGGGTATATTTAAAGCTAACCTAGAATGTTGAGCAGTTCTTTCTTTTTTCTTTGCTTTTAGTATCTTGATCCCGACTTAAGACTATATTTGTGGGTTTCTAGTACCCTATCCTTTGGCACCGAGTATTCGGCAATTACCACAGCTGATTATAATAATAATTATCATTATCATTTTTCTGCACAGAAAAAAAAAAAAAGCTTCCGAAGTAAGTTTCCAATGCCCTTATAGGTTTATTTTTTATACTCCGGAATACTGAGATCTGGGGGTGTTTCACTCTTTTCGTTATCCAGTTTATTTGGTTACAGAGAGACGGAACTAGAGAGATAGACAGAACTACTCAAGCACGCCAAAAGTAGCAGAAGCATCCTATTTGGGTGTCCGGGCCGTTATATCTGGTTTGCCAAATTTGGGTCTCATCGTCATGGAATCTACAGAGCCAGTGACTTACGAATTTCCTGGCCATGGAGTCGGCGCTGTTGCTCCCCGCCGGATGATGACCTCCAATCTAGGGCATAATTTTTCATTCTACGCCAATCCGACTGCATCATTTCCGCTGCCTTTTCACCAGTCGTCTTCTGCTACTTACAGTTTCCATCATACGCTCAACCACCACCACCACAACCAGGGTTACCCACACTTTTATGTGACCAGCCACCAGCCAGTCAACCCCCAGCCGGTGCGCCTATCATCAGAGCCACCACCTATCCAACCGATTCCAGATATTCGTCCAGCAAAGAATGCTGTCAATCGCATGGCCCGAGATCCGTTGGCCAAGGTCGAAACAAGCTCAACTTCTCAGCAGGCTTCAGCCGCCGTGCGCCCAGCCAATGTAGCTGCAAGAAGCAGAAGCCCTAATGCCGCTGAAGTTGAGTTCTCAACAGAGGTGGATGTGTTAATGAAAGCAATCCAGTCAAAGACAGGTGTTCCACCGTCGAATCAGCACTCATTACCGCCACTCCAGCAACTGACACATGGGAGTACAAATGGCTTTCCTCCGTATTCCATTACCCCGTCCACGAATCTTCGGTACACTACTATGGTCGATGAACCCCCTCTTCGACCAGGAAAGAAACGTAAATATGCCTGCACTCTTCCAAACTGCGGGAAAAGTTTTGCGCAGAAGACTCACCTAGATATTCATACGAGGGCCCACACTGGAGATAAACCTTTTGTATGCACGCAATGTGAAATGAGAGGAGACAAGGAAGAGCGTATGGCTAATTTTTTATTTCTTTTAGATCTGCAAGGAGCCCTCATGCGGGCAGCGCTTTTCCCAGTTGGGCAATCTGAAGGTGAGCCTACCTACTTATTTGGTATGCTATTCTGGAGGGCTTTGTTCGCTGAAGAAGGCATGTAATTGGCAGACCCATCAGCGACGACACACAGGGGAGAAGCCTTTCTCTTGTGATATCTGCCAAAAGAGATTCGCCCAACGTGGCAACGTCCGAGCCCATAAAATCACACACGAACACGCCAAGCCTTTTACCTGCCTTTTGGACGAGTGTGGGAAACAATTCACCCAGCTGGGAAACCTCAAGGTACGAGAACAAAATCATTCTGGTGCTGATGTTGGTCACCCCGCGTCTAACCAGTTGAGCAGTCTCATCAAAACAAATTCCATGCAGCTACACTACGGGACTTAACACTAAAGTTCTCTCAAGTCAACGGGGGGGAGTCTATGAATCCAGAAGACCGAAAGCTTTGGGAGTATTTTGCCACGCTCTATAAGAACAGCAACAAGGGAATCAAGGGTCGTGGAAAAGACCGCCGAATCTCACCTACTTCCAAGTCAGACCCCGGGTTTGAAGCCCGAAGGAGACTCGATGATGGTGAAGATAAAATACGACGAGGAAGCTTTGAGGATTCCTCAATCTACACAGGAGGGTCCAGCAGTGACGAAGAGGATACAGAGGCTTATTATATTGGTAGTAAGCGAAGCCATTGACCAGTCCTAGGCCGTTTTAGGCTGTTCGATCTTTTTATTTTTTTTTTTTTATATTCATCTTTCCCCCCTTAAAAATCCTTTGGGGCTTTTTTGTTTCCTGAAATAGGATGTTCATATGATACCAGGTTTGCCTGCATTGCAATTGCGATGGATCAATGCTTAAAATATCTGCACGGCTTTTTGCTTTCCCGCCTACTCTGTATTGCTCATCTACCTTGTCAAAATTCGCTCGATAACCCAAAAAGTGGCTCTGAAAAATTACTGGGGACTTATCCATCACACCTTATCTTACAGAAGTGAATGAACAAGTAGTACATTGTTGAGGGTAGCAAAGGCAAAGAAGAATACAGTCATCTTCTGTAGGAATCATTAGAGGAAAGGACTATAAAATCGGGTAGACTAAGTCCATCCTCTCAAAACCAAGTTCTACTCATGGGTAAATGGACCAGGTAAATACGCCTTGGTGTTCTCATATACCAGAAAGGTCACCCAGGTGCTTGGCAGTACCCGGAATATATTCGGCCCCAGTCCCTTGTAGAAACCTGCAATCCCCTCTTTAACCCAGATCTGCACAATAGCGTCCCAGGCGCCTCGGTAGACAATACGGGCATCATAAGTCTGCAGTCGGGACCGCAACACTTGATAAGGATAGGTCGCACATCCAGCACATACCTTTGACAGGCTGGAGATAACAAATAAATCCAGGTTGCCAAGCTCATGGCGCTGTAGTTTGGCTGGTCTGCCATCATTAGAGATTTTTGTCCGGTACACCTTAAGTTTTTCGTACGTCATGAACTGTAGTGCACCGTGGCTGACACCGAAAAGGGATGGAAGCAGGCCCCTATAGAAGCCCAGGATACCCTCAGAGCGGTAAATTTGCGTTACGCCCGTAGTAAAGGATGAATACGCCTCGGGTGTTCTAGAACCGGTGGACAACATACGAGTCTTGATTACCCAGATAGGGTTTGTCAAGATAGATGTCAGCATACCTGTTGAAGCATCGAATTAGTCTTCGCTACGCAAAGATCTGAAACAGCGCAGCCGGCCCTAGTCCCTTACCTGCGGCGCCCGAGGAGATGAAATAATCGAAAGATGTCAGTTCTTGTTCCCGGGTAGTTCGGGATACTCGCAGCATGCTCTTAAGATTGCTGTAGCACAAGAAATACAGTGCCCAACTGGTAGAATTTCCAAGCACATTAGGCGTCAGCCCACGATAGAATGCTGTGATGCCGCCTTCATATTGAAATATCTCGCGTACGATTCGGAGTGAACGGCCCATTCGAGAGGAAGAGGATCGGTCAACTGAAGATCGTTCAAAGAAGTATGAGCTATCACAGCACCCAGAGCGAAAGACTTGGTCTCGAATATTTACCTTGGAGCCGAGTTTTGATCAAATCCAGCGGATGCAGACAAAGCGTCGAAACGATTCCTGCCGTGAATCCCGCTACGGTCTCCACCAAGGGTGACACGCCATTCTGATCAGTCATGAACCCTTCGAGTTTTCCGAGCTTCTAGAGTTGCTTTGCTTAGGGGATGCGATTATGGACGGAGGTTGGAAGACGTATAATCTCTGGGGCGCTACTTTCTTGGGGAACTCTTGACCTCGGGAGAAACTCCAACTCCGCTCCGCAACGCGCCAGGGAGTGTATTTCATCAACTAGGGGTCCATTTGTATTGATTATCCCAGGTACCTTAAGGATCACGACAAAGGGGGACTGGGGTTTATATTCGACGGTACAGTTTACAATACTCCAAGCCTGATTTAGCCCTAGGACAAAAAGAAAATTATTTACGTGTACACAACTTAAAATCTAGAAAAATGAAACGCCATGCCAATCCAAAATGATTAAAACCCCCTAAAATTCAAACAGCAGTGAAATATGAATTTGGTAGAATGCAATTTAAAAATACATTGGGTCCACATAAAAACTTCTAGGCATCAGTATGACCAGAACGCGAAGCCATCTTCAAGACTCTAGCGCGATGTCTCAGCCGTCCAGAGGTCATGGGCTGAAGAGATAATATCACGCTCCCTTTGGAAGGAGTCCAATACCAACCCCCCGGAGACTCAAGCCTCTCTCTTTTTTTTCTTTTTATTTTTATGCGAGGGGCGAAAACAGCCTGTAACTTTGAGTGGGATGGTCGGGAATATGGGTGGGGAGTACAGATGACCGATAGCTACTCACTTGAATAGAGATGGTCTGGGTTCACTGTAAGTATAGCCTATCCATTGGATTAGTATGAAGGGTGTTCCAGGTTCACATAAAGATGCATCGTAGTACACATACCGAGATAGACGATCAAAGGCAGGTACCCACTATTTTAAAGAAAAAGAGTCAGCTCTACTCAATAGACTCCAGGGTAGTATTAAAAATAGCTTACTAGTGGATAACAACTCTGGATATGTCGATAACCTTGGAAATGCGCTCCTGGTGGAAGAATGTTGTCAGCAACCTTGCAAGGGTCCGTATGAGTACGGTGAAGAGGAGTACTTACCTTGGATTCCTCAGAGAATTGAACCATTATGACAGCGGGCCTGGTGTTAAGCAATCCACCGATTGTATATAGAGCGAAATATGAAGGGCTAGTCGCGGAGCTTAAGGCTGATAAGAAGTTTATGTGTGGTGGTTAGTGGGCGGAGAGGCGGAATGTGCTGCAAAATCTCGTTTTCGAAGGCCTAAGGCTGCCAATAAAAAAAGTACAAGCTTCCACAACTTTTCATCCCACAACCACCGCGGCCGACCATTAAAACTATCCTCTTTCATGCCATAATTAGTGTCCTCTTTGACCTAAGCAATATCTAACTGCAACAATCTTGTGCGAATAAAACCCCCAGTTGTTCCTCAATCCCAGTAGATCCCTTTGACAGCAAGTCCGCGCCATGTCCGGCGCAAGGCATTGGTAAGTAACCGCCTATTTCCACGCAACTAGGATGGATTCAGGTTAACGGTCCCTGCAGGGAACAGGACAAAGAGGCTACCGTTTACATAGGGAACCTCGATGAACGGATCACAGATAGCCTGGTATGGGAGTTGATGCTGCAGGCGGGACGGATCGTTAACGTTCATCTACCGAAAGATCGAGTCACCCAGTCGCACCAGGGATATGGTTTTGTAGAGTTCATAAGCGAGGAGGATGCCGAATATGCGTCACGGATAATGAATGGCATTCGTCTCTATGGAAAACCAATACGCGTGAATAAAGCATCAGCTGATAAACAAAAATCGGTGGAGATCGGCGCAGAGCTCTTTGTTGGGAACCTTGATCCCATGGTCACTGAGCAGGTCTTATATGATACGTTCAGTCGTTTTGGGAATTTGGTTAATATACCAAAGGCAGGAATCCTCCCCAGGCCCCAACACCCAACAGTTGCATTCGTCGATATTTTTTCTAAATGAAGCTCGGCTGACTAGCTACAGATTGCACGAGACGACAATAATCTCTCCAAGGGCTATGGGTTTGTATCCTTCGGTGACTTCGAGTCTTCGGACGCTGCTATAGCCAATATGAGTGGTCAGTACCTTATGAATAAACAAGTTTCTGTACAATACGCCTACAAGAAAGATGGAAAGGGAGAGCGGCACGGCGACCAGGCAGAGCGAATGTTGGCTGCGCAAGCTCGCAAGCACAATGTCCGTCCGCCGACGCAATCGATACCACCACAGTTTTCGGGCCCAGGGACTCCCATCGCAGTGACAATGGCCAATAGTGATAGCTCTAGACCCTTGAGTACTGGTCCATCCGATATAGGCATGGGAAGAAGCGTGGTTTCGAATGTTGGATTCCAGAACATGCCTCCTCCACAACCCAACCGACCCGTCCCTCTTCCGACTTCTTTGACAAACCCACCGCCAGGTTTACCAGCGCGGCCTCCACCTTCTCAGGCTGGTTATGGAGGCCCGCAGGCTTTCCTACCACCTGGCTTTAATACTGCCAGCCAGCAACCAGCTTTTAACCCTCAAGCATCGCCACCACCAGGTTTCGCCCCTCCCGGATATGCTACTCCAGGGGGCGCTCCAGGAGCCCCGCCACCATTGCCTCCGGGATTCCAGCAGGCTAATTTTGGTCGGGGCCGCTGAATTTCCTACCATTTACTATGGACTACCTAGTGGTACCTGGCTTATCCCATGAATATTTAAAGACGATATGACTTGAGGAAAGAGCCTATTAATGTATGTAACAGCCAGAGCAAGTTACACATTAGAAGGCATCCTAGCCTAACGATTCTTCCAATATCAGTGCTACACACTAACGCACTAGTCGGTGTTCTCTCTCTCATTTATTTTTTTTTTTTTTTTTTTTTTTTTTTTTTTTTTTTTTTTTTTTTTTTTTTTTTTTTTTTGTCTTTATCCTCCTATTTTGGGTATTTCTTATGGGAAGAGATTCTGCCTGAGAGGAGGTTGTTCGGGCGTTAAATTGTATGCAGTCATTTATAAATTTGAACATTGGAACATGGTAGATCTCAAATCTCGAGGCTGATGTTAAAGCAGGTGATCCGGACACATCCCTCAGAGTGGCTGACAGTCATATCAGAGTCACCATTTCTGCCCAAATAAGAAAAAGGCCAATATTTAAAAGCAGATGGAATGAACTTAGTTATAGACGAGGGGACAAAGTACTAAAGGTAGTGCAATAATGATGACGGAAATGATCAAGAAAAGGACACGAATTTAGGATCTCTTGGCCGACCATCAGGGCCTATGTTGTTTTTGGCAAACCGTTCTTCTGTATAGATTCGACGAGCTTCGTCAAAATTGACTTTTTGATGTTTCATGATTTTCCGCACTTCCCATTTAGCTTTTTTATCTAATCCCGCCCTCGTGTCACCATCTGTAATATTAGCAGAGAGATCGAATTGCGAAGATGTCAAGCCAGCTTCTAGATCGCCGGCAAAACTGGCAGGGAGGCGATGATAAATATACTCTGGCACCGGCATGAAAGGCAACCATCGGGTCCGGGTAAGGTAAAGCGCTGAGGAAGAGTTAGGATAATCCCATGACTTGCAGGTCTCGAAGCTGTGTTGACAACATACCAGTCCCACAAACAACGACCGAAAAAATTAGGAAATAAAGAAGATAATAAGCCATAGCTGTATGTGAAGTATCTGATCGCCAGCGAGCGATGGGGTTCAGGAAATCAGACAAGAAGTCAAATTCCCTCAAGGCAGAGGAGACCTTCGATCTTAGTGACTTAGTAAACGCTTGCCTGATAGCCTGATATGGCAGGAGAGACTGCTACGACCCAGTATATCCGAGGCATTGACATTACCAGAGGAAGAGAGGGTCTGTCTGTCTAGGTGGTATGTACCCGGCCTGGATACCAGCTGCTACGAAGTAACTAGCTAATTTAAGGTAGTAGGTTGAGTAAGCAGACTCTCTTTAACTTAGTTAACTAACTAGCTATATGAATGGCCAGGGGTACTGTACAATCTATTCCCAATGCGGCCTGCTTAGCGAGGCTGGCGGTAATCATTCTTGGCGTTTTAACACACACAACCTAGCCATCGTGACCGTTAGAAGAGGAACCGTGGCCAGATTTTCAGGTTTTGTTCGAACTTTTCCAACCCATCTCTCCAACAAATATTATCATAATGGCCGCCGCAAGATCGAACGTTTCCAGTGACCTGGTTTGGCAGATCACCCGTATGTTTTCACCGATATCAGAGAAAATAGGACCTACAAAAAGCTCCAAAATTTGGCCTACCAAATTCACCCATGCCTACCTACCCTAATCCCGACTAATTCGAAGCATTCTAAATAAACAGGCACCCAGAATGCGTTTCTCGTCAAGCGCAACAACGGTGGTGGCTCCCAGTTTTCTCGTGACCCCCTGAACCTGCAGAACAAGCATTCTTTCAAGGTATGTGCACACAGTCCACAGGCACCTTCAAGGATATTATCCCGAAATCAAAGAGGCAAGACAGAGCTAGTGGCTAATTGACTCTCTTTCCTGTTGTCTAGTATGCTGGATATGCCAACACTAAGGTATTATTTTACTTTCCTCACCCTCGGGGTTCTCAATGGCCTCACACCGTAGGTATGGGAATTTTAACCACGACAACAGGCCATCGGTGTCCAGCCTACTGAGGACGGCGGTGTTGCAGCCATCACCAAGAAACCCGGCAACCCTCAGCAGCCCGCGAAGAATGTCGTCACTGTGAACTATGGTCCCAAGACCTCCAACCGCAAGTATGTAAAACTGACCATTTTCTGGCCTCCTGAGGATGACAATCTCTGCGGCTTCTCTTGCTAACGGTGCTATTGATCCTCTGGATAGAATTTACAAGGGCGTCGCCGAGAAGTCTGCTAAAAGCGGCTACCGTGCTGATCTCCGCCAAGATGCCGTTGCTCGTGTGAGCGCCATCCGCCGCACGCAGAAACCAAAGAAGGACACACCACCCAGGAAGCCCAGAGGCGCCCAGGCCAGGAACGCCGCAGAGAAGGTATCTGAGTAAAGAAAATGTTCTTCTCGGGAGGATGGGGTACCTGGAAGTAGGATCAGGATTGGGCCATATGAGCCTGCGCTAGGCAAGGGCAGAACCGTCCATGTAATCTACAGTGATATTGCTACCGGGAGTAGACCCGACCAGCCATGCAGCAAATAATCAAAGAGAAAAAAAACAAGGAAACAAAGCAGGAAGGAGAATGAGGCACAAAACACTAATGCCCTCTGTGGGAAAATTAACCAACTTCTGAGAAAGAAAGGAAAAGCCTACTTTCTGTATCATATGCCATCATCTATAAGCACGTGTTTTACTCAATAGCCGTTTATCGGGCCGACGTGGGTTGTCGCGGATTTGCTGAGAGAGCTCTGGTATTGTCCATCCGCCTTTTCCCGAAATAAGGGCGGCTCCAGGGCCAAATCGGGTGACACTCGGAAGTGAAGTCTGGAGACAAAACGAAAACCACCGGAATCATGGGGAATTAACACCTCTTTTTTGGGGGGTCACCAACTGTCCCGGCTATACGCCAAATCACATTGTGGGTGTCATCTTCACAGCCGCAGTAGGACTACGAAGTATCATAGGAAGCACTTCATCCTCTGAGGTACTCGGCACCTGGCACCAGGTAGGTTTCTGTAGGTACAGGTACGTACTGTACATACCTAGGTAACTTCCATACGTCCTGTCCTGTACATACCCACTCATGACGTTCCCTGGCAGTCGCCGGCCAAAATAAGGGCCAAGGGTACCCCACATGTGATCAAGTGATGGGATCTAGATGGGTAACCGCAAGTACATAGATATATAATAAGTACAAAGGAAATCCAACCTGGCTGAATATTCCTTTCCTACTTCATATCTGTCCCACTCTATAGCCCGGTATTGATTATCCCTAAACCTGGTGAGTGGATGACATTTTTATGGGTCTCCTGATTCCTTCCTCCATACCACTTGCCTAGACTAGTTCACCGTGCTCCCCTCCATTTACCCCTCTCCACCTTGTCCTCCATAACCTTCCCACCTCTCCTCTTCCACTTTCTCGGCTTCTCGATTCTCTTATTTGGAGATCATTTGCCTTACATGTTTCACTGTCCCGCACTTCTGTCTGGCTGACACCTGAATTGCTTCTTCCTCAGACGGATCATTCTTTAGACACCATGGTGAAAGCTGGTAAGCATAGCACTGGTTTCTTATCCCGTACGCCTCCCTTATTGGCACTAACATACTTCGCTAGCTGTCCTTGGAGCATCTGGCGGCATTGGCCAGGTCTGTGGTCTACCCCTTATCCAACATCTTCCGCAGTACATGACAATATCTAACTACTGCAATTCTTCTTCGCTTTGGCACAGCCATTGTCTTTGCTCTTGAAAACATGCCCTCTCGTCGATGAGCTGGCCCTGTATGATGTTGTCAACACCCCCGGTGTTGCCGCTGATCTCTCTCACATCTCTTCTGTCGCTGTATGTGCCCAATGTGCTTCAAAAACCCTTATGATGCGACATAAAGCATCGGCATCTCACGTGTTTTGCCCATACACGCAGAAAATTTCGAGCTTTTTGCCCAAGGACGATGGGTTGAAGCATGCCCTAACCGGAACCGATGTTGTTGTCATTCCCGCCGGGATTCCCCGTAAGCCAACCCTGTTCTTAGTGAATCGGCGGTGGTGCTCTCTAACTCGCTACAGGGAAGCCGGGTATGTCGCGTGACGACCTTTTCAAAGTCAACGCCGGCATTGTACGCGATTTAGTCAAGGGTATCGCTGATTTCTGCCCCAAGGCGTTCGTTCTCATCATTTCAAATCCTGTCAACTCGACAGTTCCGATTGCCGCAGAAGTGCTTAAAGCCGCAGGTGTCTTCGACCCCCAGCGTCTATTCGGTGTAACTACGTTGGATGTTGTTCGTGCGGAGACCTTTACTCAGGAATTCTCGGGCCACAAAAACCCTTCCGCCGTCAAGATCCCAGTCGTGGGCGGTCACTCAGGCGAGACCATTGTTCCTCTCTTCAGCAAAGCTAGCCCCTCGTTCCAGATCCCTGCTGAAAAATATGATGCATTAGTCAAGCGTAGGTGCCCAGTTTTGCAGGATCGTACGTGATCACCCAGCTAATTAATCTCCAGGCGTCCAATTCGGCGGTGACGAGGTTGTTCAGGCCAAGGATGGTGCAGGTTCTGCCACACTCTCTATGGCGTTTGCTGGATTTAGGTTTGACCCCTTGTGTCAATGTAGTTATGTGAGCACTAATGTATTGTAGATTCGCTGAGAGTGTCATCAAAGCATTCAAGGGTCAGACAGGAATCATCGAACCCACTTATGTTTACTTGCGTGGCGTGCCTGGTGGTGAAGCCATTGCCAATGCTACTGGTGTTGATTTCTTCTCTACTCAAGTAGAACTTGGGGTAAGTCGTTCAATATTCACGCATTTACTGACTGACGTTTAACATTAACGTGATAAATAGACCAACGGCGCTGAGAAGGCTATTAATATCCTTGAAAACGTGACTGAACAGGAGAAGAAGCTTCTTGCGGTTTGCACAAAGGGCCTGGAAGGCAATATTGTAAAGGGCATTGACTTTATCAAGAACCCACCACCAAAGTAAACGCGCCCGTCCCCGTCTACCATTCACCAGATTACCCTTATCAGTCGATGATGCACATTGCAGCGCACTCTTGCCCTTCCCCGAAAGGGTGCCTTCAATGACTTCCACATTACATCCGCGGACATGGAAAGAGCCTTGCTAATCATTGGTATCCCGGAAAGTTAGGCTTTGAAACTATGTGAGAAAGGAAGATGAGTGTATCGACGTTGGCGAAGGGACCTTTCGAGATCTGTGTGCAGGTAGCTTAAGAGACACGCAGAATTAAAATAGACACGTATTCTCCACAACCGGAAAAGTAACACCCCTAGATAGGATGGCCAACCGGTAATATTGTTGCAGAATTAACCCATCAAAGTTGCATACTTAGGGTTTCTTCCCATCCAGAGGCCCAGATATTCACCCACAGGAGGGTATATCTGTAAGGCATAGGGAGCTGTCCATAATCAAGACTTACTTAGCTGGAACAGTCTTGATTTGGAAAGTAGCCCCCGGAAGTTCGGATGTTTCTGCTTGCACAGTGGTGTGAATGCCCAGGTTTGATAAAGCACCGCGAATAATACCGCATGGAAACCATAGGTACTGGATCTTGATTAGACAGAATATAGGGTAAACCGCATTGGGAGTGGAAGAGGGAGTGCAGTCCGTACCGCCTGGGCCATAGACACAGCTTCACTCCGTACAGACATGCTCATTCTTGCAAACGGTCGAAACGAATTATCAGTCAATACATATACACCCTGGAAAAGAGCAGGTCAGCTTTGCTCGGCCTTCAATAAAATATTTGGATCTGCATGGGAATGCATACACGGTGGTTTGTTTTCAAGTTGTCAATTTGCTTTTTGAAGAGTATTGTCCATAAGTCCTTACATAGAAATTTAATGACATCAAGATTATCTGTGAACCGAGGGCGGTCTCGAGAGAACCTGTGCAAAGCATGCAGTTAGAACTGAATATTGATGGGGTTAAGGCCACAATTTATCGTTCCTGGTCATTCTTTCAGATGCTGCCGCCCAGCACTAAGACAGCGTTATATTTGCTTACCGTTCCGCAAGACCCTGTCCAACCCTATAACCAAGCGACTCAAGGCGAAAGAATGTCATTTCCCGAACCTCGTCATCTTCAGGGAGCTTCTCTTCGACTGAGAGTTCCTTAGACAAACGTTCAGCCATAGGCACAAGTTCATTCATAAGAAAGTCAAAGCATGAAGTGCTAATAACGCGTGAATGGGGGTCTGAGGCATCAAAAGGTGAGGAGGATGGATCAAAGGACATCATGGCAATTGCTACGCCAGCAGGTGGACAGCAATGGTACTGGAAAAGACCAGGAGCCTTGCTTAATATAATTAATAAGGACAGAAACCAGTAACTATAGTGTCGCTCATATGTTTCATTGTTCGTGTAAGAAAAGATAGGCGGGTGACTACATGGTTGTCGGGAATCCTGAACTGAGTCAAGTGGGGCCTCGAATCACTGGCTAACTAGCAATAGATTTTAATAAATTCTTACTCAGCCTCAAGCTACACATCCATAACAACAATTCTGTCAATTCTGTATAATGATAATATTAAGTACTGCAGAGTATATATAACCTATTTTTACTCCTAACCTTTACTTGTGAAGCTGCTCGACCATTGTGATTGGAAACAGCTTCTTCCCTCATACCATGACATAAGCCAAAAACATAACTAACAGTTAACTAGAGTTAACGTAACTCCCAAGCTAACCGCCATCACTAGAGGCCGTGAATCTTTATACTGCCCACATTATCAAAATGGAAGAGAAGTCTAAAGAAGGGCAAATACTTCTAGCTATTAATGCCTTAAGAAAGTGTCAATATCCTTTAACCCCCAAGGCTGCAACTGCTTTCGATGTATGTATCTGAGCGAACCCTTAACAGTGTGTAAAGGTCTCTGCAAGTACAGATACAGTAACTAATTGTAAAATTCTATTAAAATTAAAGAATCTACTCTTTTTAGAATGGATTCTTAATATGTGCCGACGTGGTTTATCTCCAAGAATTGAACTGTCTAATATTTAGCAGGATTATTATTATCCGCACGGCTATCCTCCCCTATTCATTTTAGTGTCCAGAGCTTTGCGCAATCGGAAATATAATTATCAACGTACAAAAGTGAAGATCGGGAGTTTATACTGAACTGGTTCGAGTTCTTTACTCTTACTAAATATAAACATGGGATTCTGGACGATTATATCTACAACGCGGACGAGACAGTTAACTACAAGGGATGTCTGTGGCTTAGAAACTCTAGAAACTCGACAAGAAACTACGACTAGAAAGTCATGAATGGGCAACCTCAGTTGTCTGTGCTAACTCTACTGGACTGGCTTTACCTGCGCATATTATTCTAATTGGGAAGAATCATCAATCTCAGTGGTATCCCTTAATTCCACAAGATTATCAGATTAGTCAAAGTGAGAATAGTTGGACAATAAATAATATTGATTTTAAATAGCTGTAGGAGGTCTTGGACGTATAGCTTTACTCCGTAAAGACCAAGGGATAATATTAAATATTAATTTTTAATAGCCATTCTAGCCATGCAATTGCAGATTTTAAGTTCCGTATAGATTTAGGAAGAATATTCCTTTATATACGTCCACATTCTTCAGTTTGGTTGACTATGCGGTAGTATAGACTAAAGACTTTTATACTACTAGGCAGCTGTTTAACCGATTTAATATCTCAAAATGTCTATAATTTTAGGCAGTTAAAAAAGCAAGTATTTATAGTTAAAGGCTGCTTAGGGCGCGTGGACACACAAGTGTGAGGACCTAAGTCCTGCTGCCTAAGCTAGAAGCTCCCCAGCGAATTCTCTTGGTCCAAATCTATTATATTGTAATCACAGCTAGTTTAGTGTGACCGCGGAGACGGTAGATAAGTGAACTGGGAGCCAGACTTGGTATTACCAAGTCTAGTTGACCTTTTTGCAGTGGCGTGGCAATTGGGTGTACCCTGTAACCTAGTCTTACCCTTTTCGGACTAAGGAGATTACATAAATTAGCTCCTCACTTGTCTACCAGTAATCCTTATTACTAGGAGATATATGGATCCCTATATAGATTAGAATTATAAGAAAGATCTTAATCTCTAAGTTTAGTTTATACTATTCTCGCCAACTTGCAGGTTCTTAGCCTTTGCATATTTTGGTATTGGTTGATAACAATCAATTATTCTTCAGAGAAGAATAAGGAAAACAGGCTGTATAGCTTTAAGATTAGCCTAGGTGTAACTGGATAGTAGGAGAAAAGCTTTAGCATTTCAAGAGGCTTAAATACAATATTTTAATACTGAGGCATTTCATGAAGCATTTGTGTTAGATTAAGCTTTGTTTCTTCCTTAGAAACAGGAGAAAGAGGAGGAGATATAGAGGCACTAGATGGAGCCACAGATAAGCTATGTAATAGAGGCTCTTCAGCCTTATCTAGAGGCAAACCCCATGAATCCATGGGACCATGGTACACAAAAGCGCGTAGGAATACCTACTAAAGCGGAATACCTACTCCGTACTAAAGCGCGTTCCATAAAGAATACGGCGGTGCGTGGGAATTTGGTGAGATGAGGCTATTCCCAATTGGTACGAAAGTGGCGAAGGCTGACTGGCCAATAAAAATGCTCTGCTGAAAATTACCGCTAACCAGACTAGCGCTGCCAGGCAAGAGGATACCAGTAGATCAAGGACCATGTATATACAACTAAACAGCGCTCACGGGCGCCACCACAGTGCACTAATTGCCATATTCGTGGACATACCAGAGTTAGATGTCCTAACCCTATCAGTAATTAATTTTTATATAGAAATGCATTATTTGGGTGTCTTCCTTTTCACCGATCGGGAGAAGTGTCCGGCTCGCTTTCCGGATACGTTAGTTAAAATATAACCCATAAATTAGTTGCACAATTTAGAGGGACTGATGATCTTATTCCAAATGAATCAATTCACTAGTCTACACCAGCAATTCAAAGAGGCACCTTATATCCCATGTTTCCCTTCACCAAATGACCCAAATACAAGGAAATCAAGCACTCCATGACGTCATGGAAACATGCTCGAGCGACCAGTTTCATTTATCGTAACCACCAGCTCGACCGGGAGATTCGGAGCTGGTTTGACTTGCAAAAGGGACAGTCTTTCCATTTACAGAACCACCATTGTAGTGATTGCGGAAGCCTTGCCGAGACAAGGGGCGGCTGAATACATTCAATGCTGGTCGTTTCACTGGTCTCGCAGGCGGGTCATCTTCATCATCGTCACTGCCTGTAAGGTCAATCACCTGCGCTACAGAGCGCTTGCTGTTCGGTGGACGAGTAGCGGATGATGTTGTTGAGGGCTCTCGCGATTGAGCTGGAGTTCGCTGCAGAGATAAGTTTTCGATAGGGAAGGTCTCTTGATTGACGGTTGGAATAGCGGGCTCCTTTATCTCTATCAAGTCGTCATCATCTGATGTTGGGGTAACATGCCCGGCTCCTGTGGTGCTAACCCCTTTGTGGCATGACCATCCACCGTCTGGTTCTATGACGACCTGCTCAACATCGGACGGCGTTGAATGGAGTATATCATCGACATACCTGCAAAGTCAGGCGTAGGTACAATAGAATTAATAGATTCCTGACTTACTGGTCAATTTGTAAAGATTCAAAGCTTGTCGCTTTAGAGCAAACAGGGCAAGACCAGGTTGGAGCTTGTTCTTGTAACTGTAAAAACGAGGACGCATCAAAACATTGGTTGTGCGTGCATATTACAGAGCGGCAGGGGACTTCAATTCGAAGGGTAGACAAGGGACACTTTAATGACATAACGCTGGATGTGGCAACAATATCTAAGTCATCCGCTCTATTTTTCACTGCCAATTGTTAGCAGATTTCATAAACCTGGCCCAAAAAAGTCATACTTTCTCGTAACACTTGTTCCTTTGAAATGGTTTTCCTCGATTTCAATTCGGTTACAAGTTCTTCCACCGGATGCCGTTGGACGAGGTTGATACGCGCAAAAAATCTCTGTTTTATGCACGTCAGAAAAGATAGTTATGATTTGAATGGAGGGAAGATTGATAAGAAAAAAGGACGCAAAATAGCAACGCCAACAAACCAGGAGAGCGAGGGGCGTAGAGTACTACTTTTTGTGTCAGAGCATAAGTTATAACAATATTATTTGCATAACCTGGCTTCTTGCGAATGCAATTGGTCACGTCAGCAGGCTGTGTTGTGCCAGGTTTATTTTTCAATCCTCGTAGATTAGCTTTCACCTCATCCAGGTTGGCTTTGAGTTCAACTTGATGAGGAAAGGCAATGTCCGACTTTGTGTACTGGTTGAGACCGGTGTCTGCTGCACAATAGACCATTATCCGAACATTAGGATCAGCCTGTAGCCGAGAAATAAGAGTCTGCGTAAGAACAACTTTAAGCTCAACACTGTCCCTAGTCTGTTCGCGGACTTGATGGTATTAGTGAAGAAACATAATAATCCATGCAGTCAAATCAGGTCTTACTTTTACACTCCACAGTAGAGGTAAGCGGCTCTAATATCGTGTAGAAAGGGCTTTCCTTAAAGCTTAAGCGTTCTATGGATATGTCAGAACCTGTCTTAATACTGAGAGGGGGGGTGGGATGCAATTGTGTAATGTACCAGGCGGTAGCCCTTGTGATGGCATTGGGATACTATAAGGGGATGGTCGATGCTGCGTGCTGGACATAGATGGAGTGACTGTTGGTGATTGATAGTGTTGAGTAGACAGTTGTTGTACTGCTGAGGCTCCAGGCAGTTGGCGATGTGCCCTGGCATATATACGCCTCTTCAAGTTATCGTAATGGTCAGGTTGGCCGCCTTGGTAAAGTCTCTCAATGGCTAATATAATTGAAGACAGTTAACAATCTCTCCTACTTTCAAAAAAAAAAAATAAAATAAAAGTGAACAGGGGAATAGATTGAAACAAATGCAGTCTAAAATGGATATAACGAACAGTCAATGATTCGAAGTTGTAGGGAAGCTTTAACTCCAGAGACAGTGAGCCCCTCACTTCTCAGAATATCCTTAAGCTGCGCATTTGTCAATGTTTTTACCAAAGCCACTATGCTTTGTAACTCTGGTGATTGGCCTAAGGAAGCCATTGTTAAACTAAATGAAGCAAGCAATGATGATGACCTAGGCCGTATTCAGTAAAGAAGAATTTATGAAGCGTGATTCAAAACAGATCTGTTATGTGAAGTGACTTTATTCGACATTTCAAGCTTTTTATTTGACGTGAAGAAGAGCAGAATTGAAATAGGGAAATAAAAAGGCTAGAGGGAATATGCAAGATGACTAGGTTTGAATTTGTTTAGAAATAGAATTTGATGCTCTGAGTACTATGGACAAAGGTCGGAGAATAGTGCGGAGGTGAGGATAGTTAAGATTATCTCCAAATTGTGATGACATAAGACAAAGAAAAGTTCTCGGCCATTTTTTCCCCCTTTCTTTCTTTTCAGAGCATCAAAACAAAATATGCTCAGTACCATTCCCACTCCATTGAATTGAACATTAAGTGTCTGATCTAAATTCTTCTTTTTTTTTCTCCATTAATTAAAGATAAAATGGCGAAGAGTGCCAGGGCCAGTGTTTCCAAGCGCAATAAAGCCAAGCTGCGGGCTACAGTGTTTGGTCCTGCTGTTGATGCACGAACAGAAAGGCTATCTGCAAAATTACAAGAACTAGCCTCTCAGCCGAAACCAAACAATCAACAATATAACATCATAGAACAGAATGCTACAACAATAAGTATGTGCTGCGATCATATTTACCCGATGTAATTAGCTCACATTAGCCAGATAATAGTGATAAGTGCCTGGAACCAAAGACATGCAACTTAGTTGAAGGTTTGTATCTGAATCTATGCCCAAAACACCACTGTTGGGTTGAACTGTGCTGACATTTTAGACATGGATATTGACAAAGGACCAATCAAAAATAAAAGCATCCATAAAGGACGCATTCAAAGACGTCACAGTAATCGGAAGAACCGTTCATCCATTGTTTTTCGTCCACGCCAATCAAAAGCCAAAAAGAGTTCGGCAAAAAAGTGATATGCCTGCAGTTATCTGCATACAGGCTAGAGTAAGCAGCATCTGGAGTTAATTTTCAAAATAAAAACATATATATCTCAACATCTACTCCATGACTTGGTGTTTTTCTCTTCTGCCTATGAGATTCATCGTTTTAAGCATCATAAATGACCTAGCGGGTTCAGTAGGCAACTACAGTGCCTAGTCTCTATCCCCTATCCAAAATATCTAATCTAAGTGCTTCATTTGCTTGAGTCTAGGGGATTTTTACCTACTATCCTAATGGCTTCCTTCCTGTATACCTTGATGTCTCGCTAGCTGCCTACTAGTTAGACTATTTCCCCTCCTTGAACAGCAGAATGGGATAAAGGGAAGATAAGAGGCAGGATTCAATCCGGCAACCAGTGTACAGTATACCCACTATGCCTACATATGTTGCAGGTAGTTATAACCAATAGTTGATTGATTTTAAGCCATCACCAGTACAGTTTGGTTCAGTGTTTACGGAGTACATTGATACTAATTAACTAGCCATGCAGGAGTTGTCTAATTACTAATTAAAGTATATTAAAATATTTAAGAGAACACGACTGTGACTTAGTAATAGATTATGGCTAGTCACTGCATGTAAAAGGATGGGTTGCGGTGGTGATCTGTTCAGGTGCTCAGTAGATGTACGGAGTATATATTGGAAGATTCTGCCTCAAGCAAAAACAGAAAGCGGTGTTACCCAGCAGTATCTGTCGTCATCCTTTTTCAAGCCAACTCTTTAACTATTTGCGTAAATCCAAACATCTAAAAGTATTACATGATAATTGGAGGACAAAGCCTGGGGGTGTTAAAATTTCAACACAGCCAGGTCTATCCTTCAATCCATGTGAATAATCTAAATCTGCGAATATAAGACACTGCTCTTAGAGTGTGATGGCTTTCATTCCAAAGACTTGGGCGATCTTTTTCGCCAATACACTAATCCCCATAGCCATTCTCTTATTCTCTACAGGTTTCTTCCCATATAAACCTCTGCTACCGGGACTTGCAAGCTTTGAAGAGACAGGAAAAGATGAAATCCCAGAAAGGATTTTTGACAAAGTTATTTTCATGGTAATTGATGCGTTGCGCAGGTAGGAAGCCACTTATTCTTAGAGTGCTTCTGTTAGACTGAACTTTCATTTTAGTGACTTTGTATATTCCAATGGCTCAGGTTTCTTATTTACCCAAGGGTTAGTGGAGTTGTCCTCTATATTCCATCTGCCTGAATTAATACAGGCCGAACAGGTTGATTAGATCCGGTGCCGCTCTTCCGTTCACTGCTTATGCTGGTTCTCCGACTGTCACAATGCCTCGACTAAAAGCTTTAACGACAGGCTCTGTACCGTCCTTTTTGGATGTAATTCTCAATATTGCTGATACAGATACATCGTCAACACTCGCATATCAGGATACATGGTTGGCACAGTTTAAGACGAAAGGTGGTCAACTTGTTATGTATGGGGATGATACATGGCTTAAATTGTTTCCTGGAATGTTTAGCAGAGCTGACGGAACTACAAGCTTCTTTGTATCAGTCAGTAGTATCTTAAGTCGCCCTTGCTGTTACTAGCATAGACACCAAACTAATCACATCTATGCAGGACTTCACTGAAGTAGACAATAATGTTACCCGTCATGTTCCAAATGAGCTCTTACAGGATGACTGGTCAGCACTTATAATGCACTATCTAGGCCTTGATCATATAGGGCACAAATTTGGCCCCAGAAGGTATTCTCGGTCATTTATTATCTGACCCTTGCTGTCCTAACGCAATTCTAGCCCACATATGATAACCAAGCAACACGAGATGGACTCGATTATCACTCAAGTCTACACAGCACTAGAGCGGGAAGAACACTTGCAATCAACCTTGTTCATTGTGTGTGGAGATCATGGGATGACTGATGCAGGCAATCATGGTGGCTCGTCTATGGGTGAAACCTCACCGGCCTTACTTTTTATATCACCAATGTTCAAGGCCCTCAAGACTCGTAACGAAAGCCCAACTGAACCTTTGATCGACTTACAATACTATCGAACTGTTGAACAGACGGACATTACACCAACTTTGGCGGCGCTTCTTGGTTTACCAATTCCACTAAATAGCTTGGGCATATTTATCCCGGAGCTTCTTGTGATGTGGGAACATAGTGAGCATTTTTCTGTTTTGCTAATTTTAGCACATCAAGAACTAACCCACTGCTGTTTACCCTGAAGTAGAACCACAAAGAATTCATGTACTTATCGAAAATTCTAAACAACTGCTCAGAGTTATTAAAAGGGCGTTTCCGAGCTACAAGTTTGAACATGTCCCGGTTTCCTCTGTTTGTGGATCTTATTCATTAATTGGTATTGAATATGTCCAATGTGCTTGGTTCCGGGTGCTCGAGCTTCTCCACCAGCCTAGTGGTACTGACTCCTCTGAAGTAGAGGCCAGTCTATTGTTATTTTTAAGAGCCGCCCAGAGCCTAATGAGTAATGCCGCTAATAGCTATGATACTGGAAGACTTTATTTAGGTATATGTGTTACTTGCTTCATTATTTGGCTATGCCTCCCTGCAATGAAGGATCTGTGCTTCAGGTACAAACGCCCTGGGGCGTTCCTGATGCTAAGCATTCTATGCTACAGCAGTATGATGTTTGCAAGTAGTTATGTGGAAGAAGAGCACCAGTTTTGGTACTGGTTATATACAGGGTGGATGTTTTATCTATATACAAAGCCCATTGCTTCTGCATTTGAGAACCATCAGTTATACAGCACTTCTACGAGTCTTGCTGTGGTTGGACTGCTGGTTTCTCACCGAATATTGCGATGCTGGAATCAAACAGGCCAAAAATTCACTACGGAACCTGATATAGCACATTCATTCTTACCTTCCCATCCACATGTTCTGTGGATATTAGTGATTGTTGCATATGCTGATATATTTGCACACCTTGTCCTTGGACTTCCCCGATCCATAATGTTACGTCTGACCGTGCTTGTTGTGACAGCAGCTGCTTTCTTTTTGAAACTTACAATTGTTGCATCCGATTCATACGACTTTCTCGGTGACTCAGTTCTTATACCTGTTGCCAAAGCTGTTGGCAGAATACCTCTTTTGCTTCATTCAAGGCTTGTGCTCTGTGGAATAGCTATACTAATGTTATTTTCAATCTACTTTAAAAAAAGGCAAATCTCGTTGCTACGAAAAAAAGGCAAGTAACTATTTCACTTACTCCATTAAGGTATGCCCGCTGACAGGGAGAAGCACTGCCAAGCACCGTCTTCCACGAAGCTCTCACTCTCTTCCTTATGACGCAGTCAAGAGCAACGAATCTCCCAGTTTTTTTGATATTCAGATTTCAGCTAAATATCCTTGCCCTGATGGAGCTGTCGGCCATGGAACTGAGTATCATGTCAATACTCAATCAGTATATTACCTTCTTTGCCTTTGGGGGCTCAAATTCAATATCTTCAATCGACCTTTCCAACGCATACAATGGCATTGACAGCTATAACGTCATAGTTGTCGGAACCATGACCTTCATAAGCAACTGGGCTGGTCCGATATGGTGGGCTTCTGCTAGTTGGCTTCTTCGATATAAACAGTCTTGGCAAGAAAAACACTCTCATATAACAACTTTAACATTCCATGCAGCGACATCCTTGGTTTCCGTCATGGCTGCATGTACCGCATTAAAGGCACATCTCTTTATCTGGACAGTCTTTTCGCCCAAGTATCTTTACACCATTGTGTGGACTTTTGTGAACCATGTCACTGTGAATTTACTGGGAGAAATTGGTCTTTCTATGGTCGTCGGAAATGGATAAGCTTCGCGCATTGCTCTGAAGAAGGAATACGAATAGAAAATTAACGGTCTAAGGCCTTGCTCTATTGCAGATTTTGAGATCATTCGGTCAATTGAGCTATTTGGGGATGTAGAACTAGGAAACATTACATAAAATCATCAAATAGATCATCAATTACATTTTTTCTTCTTCCCTTCTTCAGTTTCTTCGCGTCCGAACCCATTCTCTTCATACTATTGCAAATATTAGAAGTATTCGCTGAACTGGGTCCTACAATATGATGTCGGGGAAGTACTGAAGAGCTTCCCTCTCGTGAGAGAATTTGCCCTACATCCTCACTTTTCAGAACATCTGCATCTAGGTGTGGACTTTTGACAGATTCCATCGCCCGATGCTTGGCCTTTAGATCCCCGTTAATACCTATTTCTTTCACAAGGCGACCCAATGTAGCCAAAAGTACTATTCCGATAGTAGAGAATCGACCGTCTGCAACAACCGTTGAAAATGCCCTAACGAAGTAACGATTCCCTCCGTTAGAAGACCAATTTATGCGAATGGCTCATAGCTGTCATGAGCAACTATTTCCAACTTACATGAAACATCTTGGTACAATATGTGTAACCAGATATTGCCCGTACACATCAGAAGGCTTATTTCTGCCGTGCAAAGCACCGTAATTGAGAGAGTCCACAAGATTAAAAGTGGCGCGCTTCAGGATGGAGAGCCACTTCCACCATTTTGCTTGCCCATGTTGGTTTTTATTCCGGTGAAAAACCAGATGTAGTGTTGAGTACACGGCAGAAATTTTCTCTGCATCCATTTCTGTAATGCATATCACAATGACCACAAAAGTCAGACTTGATATAAGGCAAATCCTTGGTTACTAAGATGTGGGGACTCCAGTGGGTACTTATTATACTAATAAGGTTTAGCTTTATCTATCCTTGTACTATTTAATAACCTCTCCTTTAGATGCAAGTATTCCATTTAGTTATTCATTTGCACAACTGAATTAAATATAAATTATTTAATGCTTACCTCCATCTTTTATTAAATCAGGTCTTTTAATATAATTGACTATATTGTACTGGCCTACAGCTTGGCATGATCTGAAGGCAGGTTATCTAGGTTAGAGATCGGAATATTTGCTTATACCGCTTAAGGAAGGTAGGAATGCTCTGACTAGTACACATCCACATACTTACTGAAGTTACTGTGTATAATTATATAGTCACTGGCACTTGCAGAATTCTGGTTGTGTGGGCCTACTCCATAATCTGTCGATACCTTATGGCAGCTGGTTGCACTATCCCGATGTGGTATAAATTATGCATCAGAATTTTCAATATAAGGTGCAGATTCACTACTAAAGGGAGCAAAATAAACATCCCCATATCTCCACTCACATTCCATCATATCTATATCTCCACATGGTAGAGCTGGGCTTAGAAGGCTTAATGATTATTTTATTTTATTGTGGTTCTTAATAAATGTGGTAAAGTCAATGAAACGTGTATTTACTTGTGTGCCAAGCTCAGGATCTTAACTATTCCACTGGACTAAAAGACCACTGGGATCAGATAGTCCTGAGCACCTTATATAGTAGCGCACTGTAATGTTAGTTGACGCACCACACCTAATATCGTGCCAACATTGAAAACCTGGGCCTTTAGTGGGTATTCTGTGAATCTTATTTTGAAACAAAGCTATTACCTAGAATGCCAAATACTAGCTCTAGTTATACAATATACTTAATTTTTAAGGGTACCCGTCTCCTCTACAGGTGGTCTGCCGGGCGTGAGCTGGAGGAGACGGGTATATAGAATCTTACGGTTGAGATATCAGTTACAATTTGCAGTTTACTATAGTTATGGTTTTGGCACATAAATAAGCTGTCTAGGGTCTGGGTGGAACCCAGTGCGACCCCGAAGTCTTACGGCGAAGGGGTCGGTTACCCGCTTAAGTGGAAAACCTGGCCATTATCTCAGTTAATGTCCGAGCTACTAATTACGGTGCGAGACAACAATGACCAGACCTCATGCTGCATGGTCTGGTCATTGTTGTCTTTTGGCCCAGTGGGGACACCTTGCACGAACACGTTCTTACACCCAACTTATGATTAGAAAATTACTATTGTCTACAGACTATTATTGGTGAATTAGACAACTTTATTCTCCTCTGTTTATTTTCTTTCTCACTCCCCTTTTTTCCCGTCTCGTCCTTTGGGTAGAACGTAATCATTTAATCAACAGGAACTGGAGTCAGGACAGCTAAATCTCACATACAGATGCTTCCAAACGGAGATAAACCCAACATATAGACTCAAACTGAGACACCATCTCCAAGCCATCCAGGGCACAGAATGATAATCTCTATGGGTCAATAATGTTAGTTTACTCTCCAAGTAAGCATTGTACTCAATACAAGAGATGGGACGCGGTGTTCAAGCACAGAAGCGAATGCAACAAAGACTTGAGAGTCACTGGCATCAAGCCACAGGTGTCCAGGCATGCAAGCGGTTCTCTGCGCACATTCTCGCCCCTTTTGCAGAAGGCGAAGAACATGAGGAAAAAGAAAGACTTTTCGGCCATGCATGTTCAAAGCACCATTTGACGAGAATCTCTACATATGGCATACCGGGTTAGGAGTCCCTGGGACCATGCTCGATAGTTGGATCATACCATATTTTCAGCCCAGGGTAAGTGCAGGGAGTACTTCTGGAGCAATTGCTAAGACTCGAAGCGTGTCTAGGAGCAAGGGTCCGAACGTATACAATTTCCCTCTCGGCGGCAGTAGTTCCACGATCATACTGTGAACGACGCCGGCGTTGTTCGTCACGGTATTGTTGCCCAACACGCGGAGCAAATAAACCTATGGCGCATGTCAGGAATATTTGTATTTATTTTTCGTAGTCCATACGAACCAACATGCTCAGCGTTTTCAATGCTGCGACGCATCTTGGACGGGTTATCTGGTCCGGGAAATCGATCCTCGGTACCAGCAAGGGGTCCAGCACCAGTATGGAAAATCTACATAACATTGTAAGCCTGTTTCTCTCAGTAGTGGCCAATTGCGAACCTTGGGGCGAAAAGATGGGTGTTCCAGCATGACAGAACTATTTCGAAATTTTTGCACTAGGCAATCTTTACCTTGGATTGCTGTTTTCGTTCTTTCAGAGAATCAACAACAAACTACAATCAAGTATTACTTACTGGCATATGATACCTCAGCAACTTTGTCACTGTTAAAACAATTCCTATCCCAGTATATCAATATAGTACTTTCCAATTTCGAGGGTCATATATACCAGGTGCGTCCAGCTCGCACGTTGACAAACTAGAATACAAAATTGTAAGCAATATATATGAGATACTTTGGACTGTATAAACTAACATCAATAATATCGATCGGCTAATTGCATCATGTTAGTAGAGCGAAAAGAGTGGTCTTGATACAACTTACATCTTCAAAGTTTATGAAAGCATAGCCGACACTACACTAAGTGTGAATATATATACCGGAGAAAAGCAATGAGGTTTGACATACTTGCAATTATTCGCGAAATCTTTGTTCGCCATAGTCAGCTCCCGGTGATGATGGATTAGGGTTGGGGAAACCGCTCTCGATCCCTCACCGATGCGTAAATACATAAAATCATATTTTCCATGACTTGTCTCGTCGACAATCGCCTTCAGCATAGTCTTGTCTCATTAGCTCCTAGCTGATAACTTTTGAAATCTTCGGTTATCACCTGGTCTATTTTGTTTGGTATATTTCGGAGCATAATCTAACACCAGTATATTAGCTATAAATAAGACAAACGGCAGTTGTAATGTTATACCGTAGTTCGGACATCCAAACCAAGTCGGATTCTCTCTATATCCACCGCATTCTGGTTCCCCCCACGTAAATCAGGGTAGTGGCTGAACTCACGTCTAGGAGAAGGCAGAATTCTTTCGCCAGCCTTGGACATCCAATCCATTAGGCCAGCATGCTCTCCCGAGGGAACAGTAGAGCGACCAGTAGGGCTAAGTTCCATATAGGGTGCGCGGCTTGAGCGGCATGGAGTACATGATAAATTTCTGTGGGATGACATTTCATATCGAGAGAATTCGTCTCTCACAGGGGATGATGGACTTGGAAGAGAAGGGAGGAACGTGTCATCCTCTGCATCAGGTTTAAAGGAAGATACTTCAAGAACGCAATCCTTTCATGTCTAATTAGCTTTCTCCCCGTGACCGGATATAATTCAATGGGTCGGAGAAAAGGAGTGATTTACATCAACAGAGGTTTTGTTCAGAGTAACCATGACATTCTCTGCATCACGAGTGTTGAAAAACTCGAGATGAAACTGGCAAATATTTTCCTGTCTCGTGGGAACTAGAGTGAACATCTTAATATCACCAAAGGTCATTGCCAGCATTTCAAGGGAACGGGCCACTGTTTGCTGATTCAAATTTGAATTTCGGCTATTGTAGTAGACGGTTATGAGCAACTGGCCTTCGTAATCTGAGGTTTGTGATAGAAGGGACGGCTCCGAATGTTGCACGTACTCCCGAGCCGTAAGAGGGAATACATGCCATTCAGGTCGAAGAAGATGAACCTTCTCTATGGCTTTTTTTGCCTCACGGCTGTCTGTGAACGAAACATACACCTTCCCCATGGAACTTAGTTCTGTGAGAACTGGTCCTTTGAGCGTACCAAATTCACGACGCTATTCAAAATTAGTAAAACCTCATTCTCTCCATACCTCAAACTGAAGTAAATTGGCCAAGAACTTACATTGAAAAACCCAGCAAGTGACATATAAGTAAGATTTGTCGGGACATTTTCAATAACTAGTGCACGACTGCGTCTTTCAACGTCAAACTTGTCGAGGAGAGCGCCAGAGGAGACACCGTTCCTAGTGTTTTCAACCTTCGCAAAGGCTTCACGAACAGTAATGGCCTGTTCAGTGACATTTATATGTGAGTTTCTGGATGCATTGAAATCGGTGTCAGGATTAGTAGTAGGGTATCTGATGTTAGGGAAAGTATTGGCATCCGCCATGATCCGCGACTGGCTACCATTAGCCACAGTAACTGACACTCCAGTCGGCGTAAAGCTTGCAGCAGTTGGAGATAGTTGCATTCGGCCAGATGAGCTTGTTGGTCCCAAAAATGGATCTGATGCAGCCCTGCCTGTTGTTAATATGTAAAATGTTCGTCTACGACCATATGTACTTGCCCAGAGTAAAAATTTCGGAGCTCACTGTCATTCAATGAGCTAATGATGCTGCTTTCCGGGCGTTTTTTACAGCATATATCTTCTGGAGAAAATGCGGTGAGTCTGGTATCTGGGGACCCATTGGGAGATACTACATCGTTCGTTGAGCATGGGCTGCTCAAGCCACGAGATTGATCGCTTGCCCTCATTGCGTAAAACAAAATGAAGAACTAAAGAGGAAGTAAATTGTAGAAGAAGGGTTGTGAAAGGACCCTTTGCTGTTGAAGGCAAATCAGCACTAAAGTGTTGGGAGGTCCACAGGTTTTCGCCTCTGAGACGGCGGGAAATGGAGGGTCAGTAGTTTGAAGGAAATGGTACTTGGAGGAAAAATGGGTGAGATGTGCAAATGATTGTACCCTAAGTTTCGGAGGATCAATGATGGAGAGATGCAAATTACAAGGAGGGGGGGGGATATAAAAAAAGAAAACCACCACACATTAGGTTAAAGGGAACATACGTAGTCTTGATATTGAACAGAGCCGAGACAATCTTCTTTATAAGTATTCCTATTACACAGTCCCTGGAAAGGTCATGACTACCATTTGAAGAGAACACTGATGATATAGGGAGATCACAGTTATATGGTCTTCACAAACTGTCGAAAGCACCTATGATGGGTAGAGAGGTTGAAAATATCAGATATTATGAAAGCTGAGACATATATACGCATGTACAATTTAATAAGTGTATAGTTAGCAATTTGAGCCTCTCATAACTATAATCCTCTTACCTATTTACGTGCAAATGCTTGATGAGTGAGAGCTTGCATGTTAAGGGAAACTGAAGGAAGAATAAGTCCTACCTACATACTAGATAAAATGAACAACATATGTATAAACTAGCCTCCCTATCTTTATTGTAATATCAGTGGTACTTACTAGTTACCTGTATCTACATCACATGTGTTTGGTGGTAGAAACAGAACAAAGAATATGGAAGGTTCAAAATACTGGGTAACGTACCTATCTATCATTCCATGTGATAGACAAGCAAGGACAAACTACCACAAGTACAGTAAACCATCTGCATTGTTATTAATATAAATACCCGAAATACCACACTAATGGCTCCCCTTGGTAGAGCTCATGGGATTTTAGATGCCCGAATGGTAATTTTCTGGATCAAGTTGTTCCTTGCACAAGTCTCTACATGTAGTTAAGCTGGTAACGCTTCAAGGTATACTCCGAGAAGCCCTGGCGTAGGCACTAAGAGTGAGGTTTTCGCTGGGAATTGGGAAGGGCCTCAATGGTACTATAAAGATATGTCATGAGTAGTTATGGCCTGCTTATTACCATAATATTTTTGTATGATGATCCATAATAGTTGTTCTGTACGGAGTACAGCTAGCTATTTATTCCCTGGCACACTAGACTTATAAATCGCGGTGTATAGCATGAAAAATAGTACTGCTAAGTTTAGTTCAGGTGTTTCAATCCCTGGCCTGCATTTTCTAAAATTTCCAAATCTTTATACAGGCACTTGAATATATATAACAGTCACTCTGCCTCTCAATATCCTACATAGTTGCTACGCTAAGCTCTGCAATAATTAATACAGTTCTACAGTTAATCCACACTTTCCTGTTTAATAATGTATAAATAACAAATTACAGTCTATAATAAAAATATATGTGAAATTGAGATGGCTTCAGGTACATTGTGGTTCGGGGATTTAAGACAATAAGTGCCAGAGATTGTATGGAGTACATGTACTGCGGAGTATGTACTAGTAAAGACATAAGGACACAATAATGAGTACCTAATCCGGACTGTACTTCTGCATACCGAGGTACCCACTTCTGTATTACTTTGTACAGAGAAGTACGTAAGATATGCCAGTCTCTGTACTACACTTGTTCCTGCGCCCCACATCATAGAATTTTCTGAGACATATTACTATTACTATTAAGAAATTTCCAGGTTCTGCTACTAATATAAATACCTGCTGTATTTGCCTTCCCCCCTCTTTTCTTATGTATCTCAACATTCGAAGATATGACCGCAAGGACCTGCAGCCAAATCGATATGGACCTTACACGTCATTCGATTAATCCGATTGATGGTAGGATTCAACACCTCCTCCAGGAGGCTGAGAAGAGGTTACAAAAGCAAGACTCATTATCCAGTCACTGTCCCAAGCCGGAAAATCCATCAGGTGACTCAGAGGTTGTCCTTCCAGAGTATGCATCAAGCCATACCTCGTGCTTCTCAATTTGCTTTCGTGGTCTTCTCGTCGCACCTGTAAAGCCTGATTGCGTTGGGAAATATCTGACAAACGATGGCTAACATTTTTAGATCCAGTAGGATCCCCAGATTGTCGACGGGTGATCTCCTGCAACCCTATTTTCACCATGAAAATGACATTGCAGTGGCTGGCACTTGTTCTGTCAATAGGGAAGTTCCGAAAGTTGGCTCTTCCTGGCCCCTTCTGGTAGGGAAGAGACCACCAAACAACACTAAATTGGAACAGGTATGATGTGCTGCTTCCCCCCACTCGTTTGTTTCCAAAATCCCATGAAGAAAATTATTTCCAGGCGTGAGCCCTTGATACAGCTTACCAGTCCGTACTGGACTGCGCTGTTCTTGTGAGAGCCATTTGTTTCATAGTTACTCTGAGAAAACCCATCAAGTTTCAACGTTGTAAATGAGCATACAATGAACTTAAGCTAACGATACCTTCACAGGAAAAGCATACGGCGGGAAGCAACTGGTTCAATCTCCCAAAGACGGAGTTGACACCGGAATTCAAAAGAGATCTCCAGCTTCTCCGGATGCGCTCAATACTAGACCCGAAAAGACATTACAAAAAAGATAATGTAAAATCACAGCATCCCGAGTATTCTCAAGTAGGAACTATAATCGAAGGTCCAGGGGAATTCTTTACCGGCCGCATTGCCAGGAAGGATCGCAAGAAAACCTTTGTCAGAGAAGCCTTGGCCTTGGAACGGGAAAGTTTGCGCTTTAAATCGAAGTACCAAGGTGTTCAAGCCAATAAGCGGGATGGCAAACGCTCATTTTACAAAGGACTGCAAGCAAAGAGACATAATGGAAGCAAATGAGACAATCTTTGCCTCAACAAAACAAGTCTTAACACCAAATTTCTGAGCAGCAACCCCGGACTATGCGTTTTCCCAATGCCGAAACCACTATATACAACACTGGGAAGGTTCTGATACTACTCAGTTTATTGACTTGCTTGCTCTTCAAGCCGGCAATAAGACCATGAAGACTAAGATCCCTCAAAGCCGTCCATTATGAACTGGATGACAATTTTCTTGGAAATCGTTAATACAGGTCAAAAAAGAACGAAAGAAACGGATTGGGAGACGTACCTGCATATCAATGGCGGCAGAACGGCTGGCTTCAAGAACCTCTTCATGGTTTGCTTTCCCCTCCTGCAAAATGACTTCCAACTCTCTCGTATTTTTGCCCCGAAGCTGGCAGTCATCGCCTCTGGGGACAGGAGAGAGAACTGCGGTGTTTGTTACTAGACTAAGGGCCAAAACTCTAAGGCCACAATGTCTAGCCGCCACAATTTCCGGCACAGTTGACATCCCAACGACATCTGCGCCAATTTGACGAAGCAAGCGACACTCGGCCCTGGTTTCGTAACTGTAAAGTTCAGTACTCTGACGGATATCATTTTAAATAGTTCGAGGGGCCTGTCTCACCTTGGTCCTCCAACAAAAGCATATACGCCCTCATGGAGTTTTCTACCTCCAGGAGGGATTAATGCTTTCCAAGCCTTATGTACATGCCGGCGGAGTTCGAGGTCATAAGCGTCAGACAAAGGAGGGAAACGGGGTCCGAATTCGTCAATATTCGGCCCTCGCAGAGGGTGAAGTCCAGCAAGACCAGCCAGAAAAATATGCTACCAAGCCTAGTCAAGACATTTTCAATTGAAAGAAAGGTGTTGACTCACGTCATTGAGTAGTACAATGTCTCCCACTGTATATTCTGGGTTCAGCCCTCCGGCGGCATTCGTCACTGGCAGATCAACAGCATTAATAAGGATATCAAAGATCTTATGGCAGAGAGAGGAAACTGACAAACAATAGTATCGACACCCAGAAGCTTGAAAACTCTGATTGGAAAGGTCACCTTATCAATGGTGTGTCCCTCGTAGTAACTTCAAAAATCATCAGCAACCGATTGACAGATATTGGTGAGCGCTCTCACTGTGCACGGCCAACCATCAGAACTACCGGGACAAGTCCACCAATAAGTCCAAAGACAAGCTTCCCCGCATGTCCAGGAACTTAATGAGAAATGATAAGCTCCTTTCTCCGAAAGGCTGTGCATGCTCCCTAACTCACCTGTAAGATGGGGAAAGTATGGTATAGAAGAGTAGTCGTACTCTGCTCGTAGATGATCATGAATTGTGCTTGCAAGTCCCCCTAAGCCAGAACCACATACTATTGCAACCTTGGGATTTCGAAGGGGGACTGGTAAGCGCTCTCTCAAGGTAGAACATGCCTCAGTAGCTTGCTCAAATAGAGACAACTCCCGCGATTCTGCCATTTTCAGCCGTTCAATTCATTCAAGAGCCCAGCACTCTTTTTACAGGGCAAATTAGACAGCAGGACGACAAAATATTAGTGGAAAATAATCTAGAGGGTTGCGCTTTGCCTATTCAAGCATGTCAATATCATGTGACTTAATGTAGATCACCTGATTGGATATTGAAAAATAAAACATGCTGTGTACTAGGTAGAGTGTACGGCGAAAAGAAACTATTCTAGTACGAGATTCATTCCACTGGTGGCATCTGTCTTTCATATTTAATGACCTAAATATGTATATATTCTCCAAAATGTGCCTCTTGTCTAATATTGGCAAGAGATTTCAAGTATTCTCCCAACCTCTTAAATCCAAACGCTTTACATTGCATTATGTGCTAATGGCTAAATAGCTCTCTGTATCTCGTCGCAGTTTTGCCACCTCGAGCAGTTTGAATACTGAGACCGGGCTCAGGATAGGCCTATCTGAGGCTTCAGCTGTGAATTCTTCCATGTTGGAATACTCCCTTCGGCCTTGATTGAAGTGAAATTTCGGCTAACTTTGGGGCATATCCAGTGCGAAGAACCTGGAACAAACTTCTGAAGTGTCTGTGAAGTGTTGGTGAGTTGCTACAAAAAGTCTCGCAGAATTGATGTCTCTATGATAAGGAAGAAAAGAAGGCGAGAAAATAAAACTCACAAGTAAAGCAGGGCTGAACGTTTGGAGAGTATGAACAGTAAAACTCGCCTTCCTCGAAGCGTACAAGCAGTATATCTACGACCACTCCGGAGGAAAGCCGAATATGGTCTTCCTGTTTGTGATTTACAACTACGATCATACAGTGTGCGAAATGTGGAGTTTTTTACTGACTTCGCCATGCGTGCTGCATATTATCTTAAACTTCCAGTCTCAGGACCAGTGCCTCTACCGCGGATCACAGAGCGCTGGACATTCCCTAGAAGCAACTTTGTGCACAAAAAGAGCCAAGAGAATTTTGAAAGAATAACCCTTCGTCGGCTACTGCAAATTAAAGATGGAGATCCACATGCCGTACAATTATGGCTGGCTTTCTTACGCAGACATTCATTCTATGGAGTTGGCATGAAGGCAAACATTTGGGAATATGAGGGTCTTGGTACTTTTACTCCTTTCACATCACTATACGTTTTTTCGTGTAGGACACAATGACTGACTTTGTTTGCAGGTGTTTCCAAAGACATGGACAAGACTCTGTCTGCCGTTGAAGAGCTCCTTGAGCCTCAATTGTTGGGGCTTGGCCGACAGAGAGATAGCGAGTCTCATTCAACAATACCTAAAATTTTGGGTACCAAGCAATTTATCCAGAGAAGTCCGTTGACCGATGTCTTTGGCCATTAGTTTTGATTGTGTCTGCTACTTTATATCAACGTTTTCAAGCCCCCCGTACCTTGAGGTGGTCAAAACTGTATTTTAAATAGCATTCACATGTGGGAGCGTAGTATTTAGTTGAAGGCTCTATTGGTAATAAACTCCGACCAAAACGAAGCAATTTCATAAAACAGTCCTGTAAATAATAGATACTTTCCGAAATTGCCGAAAGAAATGTAATCATATTGGCTTGTTCCACGGTTGCAGCTCTCGGTCGTTCAGTGAAGTCTTTCCGAAAGTAATCTAATTGAATTACCAAAGAGGAGTAGTTTCTCACTATGGCATCGAAGATCTTGAGTTACTGAAGGTCTTTGGTAGTTATAGATTTACTATTTCGCGATAGTTTATATTCACAATGCCACTTACAGTAGGATGGATCTCTTTGGAGCTATTCCTTAAGTGATTTAGTACGGGAGAAAAAGGGAAAATAAACCAAATCTGATTTAGCTCTAAGCTCTCAGCCAAATACACAATTAATCATGCGTCTAAATAATTGTTTTCATAGTCCTTTTTTATGTCAAAGACTGCATAAACCAAGAAGGATACCTCTATATCCCGTGGGCGTTCATCAAGTGCTGAAATGTCCCAGAAGGTGGATCAGGTTACTTACTGCACAGGCAACACCCAGTACTAAGACCATCTTTTCTGGGATCCAACCGACGGGCGTGCCACACTTGGGAAATTATCTGGGTGCTTTGCGCGAATGGGTCAGACTCCAAAACAATGCAGCGCAAGAAACTAAATTGTTCTTTTCTATTGTTGACCTACACGCACTAACAGCTCCTCAAGAAGGACACCAATTGAAAAGATGGAGAAGAGAAACATTTGCGACACTGCTTGCTGTTGGTTTGGATCCAAAGCGCTCAACAATATTTTATCAGTCTTCCGTATGAGAGCCCTTTATAATATTTATTAGCTCGTTCAGCCTCGCCTGCTGACCACTATCAGGTCTCAGCACATGCTGAATTGTTTTGGATTTTAAGTACAGTAGCATCTACGGGATATCTAGCACGGATGACCCAATGGAAGGTGAGTAAATACCGGACCTGTCGCGGCCTTAAAGGGTATAATATATGAAGAAACATCCACACATGGGAATGCTTTCGTATTAACATTGTCCAGAGCAAACTTCAATTACCAGAAGACACAAGCTTGGAGCACTCAGCGGCACGGTCAAAATTACGACTGGGGCTCTTTTCGTACCCTGTCCTGCAGGCCGCAGACATCCTTGTACATAGGTGTGTACCTATTGATATTTGGGTACTCTCTGTCGCTGACGAAGAGTAGAGCTACCCACGTTCCCGTTGGTGAGGACCAGAGGCAGCATCTGGAATTTTCCAGGTACACTGCAAATAGTTTCAATCATATCTACAGTCATATTTTTCCGGCCCCGGAAGCCCTTATATGTAGGCTTCCTTCTTGTGGTGCTTGAGAAAGACTTACTGACTTTCCATCAGCTCCAGCAAAGCGAGTGATGTCTTTAAAAGAGCCGACCTTGAAAATGTCCAAGTCTCACGCCGACCAGCGCTCGCGGATTCTTCTCACTGATGCCCCAGAGAGCATCCACTCAAAAATTAAATCTGCACTCACAGATTCAGAAATTGGTGTAACTTATGACCCAGTGCGCCGGCCGGGCGTTTCAAACCTCCTTGAGATCCTCAGTCATTTAGAGGGAATATCATGCAATGAGCTAGCTACCGAGCATCAATCAGCAAATCTTCGGGTGCTAAAAGAACGTCTCGCGGACCGAGTATCTAATCACCTGCAGCCAATACGAGAAAAATATCATTCACTTATGGGGGATGAAACAGACTACCTAGACCATGTTGCAGAGCAAGGTGCTCGGACTGCAAAAACCAGTGCTGAGCTAACTATGCAGCAGGTCCGAGAGGTCCTAGGTCTTTGAGTTGGTATAACATTGGAACAGTCTGTCATCTACGTAGGGTATTATAGTTCTTGATTGTGAGGTGTGAGATGTGCATAGTATGTGGCTGTTTGCCAGTTAGTTGAATCCATGCAAATTTCCACTCACTTTACATATAGGTGCATGAGCTAGTGATGTTGCTTGGATAAGGACCGGGCTAGTCGTGACGTATAAGTACATACATACATCATTAAAAATATCGCGCTTTTACAGCCACAACGCTACGTACCTTCCATGTAGTATGGATAGATATAACAGATTTAAAGTCTTTGAGTCAGATAGTTGTAGGCTGTCGCTCCGCTGCTTACGAGTTATATAAAACTCTCATGTCATATCCAGCAGAACAGGGCTGTCGGCTTAGCCACATCTACATTGGTTCTGAAAGGTTTTAGTTTAGACAGCGGCCATACAGAAAGTTCGAAGCTCATAGACCTAACAGCATCATTTTTCAAAAGTGTACGGAATACAAAGCAAGGCAACTTGTGGGGTCTTGGTTCTTATCACTGAGACCTAGCCTTTCGGGGTTCCCCGGCTTAGTGAAAGAAGTACCCGAAACAGCTAGCATCACAAGCGACACGCATGCATGTATGTAGACTAGTGCATTTTAGGTCTACACAGTATAGCTGCCTACCCAGTACGCTATGGAGACCTTCCGCAAAATGGGTATGGAATATATATGGCACAACACAGTTACCAAAAAAAAATCTAGATGCTAAGATATACGTATATCATTGGTACCGTATTAAGAGGTACGGAGTACCTGCTACTCCGTAAAGTTGTGAAATTGGTGGTCATCAGGAGCCCCACAAATGATGACGACAGCAATGACTTAAGCTTCCGGGAACCAGCAAGTGGGGCCCTCCAGCAATTGTAAATGTTAGTGAAAAGCGGTGCAAGGCTTCAGTCACCAATATTCTTACATTATTGATACGGAAGAAAGGGTTCTCCATGGCCGAGCATCTATTGAATACTTTTCTAGGTCCGCACGTCTTTACTTTTCTTTTTCTTTTTCCTGGTCTCTTTTTTTCCTTGTTCTTCAAACACCATTTTGTCACCCTCTTTACCAATGTCAAAATATCCACAAAACCTACCACCACAAAGCTTAGGCCAATACAGCAGCTTCATTGTCTTCTTCGGGGCACTTAAATAGGCTCACAAAAAGTGTACCCCCAGGATAGCGGACCTGCAAGAGGAGTTTCACCGTTCGCTCACTATAATAGGAAAGTGTCCATGGAAGGCCATCGAGAGGTCACGATGCCTACAAAGCCCCTGTTTCTCTTTCTTGTCGCTTTCTTCATATTCCAAGGTACCAGTGGCTTGACTCTCCATAAAAGAGCGGCTCCTGCTGTCGTGGCGTTCGATATAAAGCGCAACGACGTCCCTGATCCGGTGGCTAGAGATCGGGTTAGACGAAAGCGAGATAAAACGGCTAGTCAGAAGCTGGACAACGAGGTATGTCGACTGCGGACACTTTGCTTTTGCTAGCGGATAGATGCAGCTAATCACCTGTCGGGTAGGAAACTCTATACTTCTGCAATGTGACTCTCGGTACACCAAAACAGAGCCTGCGCTTGGTTCTTGATACTGGGAGTAGTGATCTATGGTGTAACGCAGCAAACTCAACTCTTTGTTCGCCAAAAAAGGATCCATGTGATATGTCCGGGTCCTACGACCCAAATTCATCCTCGTCATATAAGTTTGTGTCATCAAAATTCAATATCACTTATGCAGACGGAACTGGCGCTGCCGGTGACTATGTAAGCGACACCCTGCACATCGGTGATACTGCCATAAAGGATTTTCAGTTTGGGGTTGGTTATTCATCAAGCTCCACAGGTAGGTCTCAGATGATCTGTTAATTTTTTGTATCCCAAATCATAAAGGGATTTCTTCAATGTCTGTAATTTCGCTAAGCATAATTACGTCCTTTCCCAGAAGGCGTTTTGGGCATAGGGTATGTCTCCAATGAAGTTCAAGTTGGCCGTTTCGGCGAAGCCCCATATTCGAATCTTCCTCAGGCAATGGTCCGGAGTGGCTTGATCAAGTCAAATGCTTATAGCCTTTGGTTGAACGATTTGGGGGCAAGTACGGGTTCGATCCTATTTGGGGGTGTGAACACAGAGAAATATCGAGGTCAATTGCAAACTCTACCCATCCAAACAGTTAACGGCGGATACTCAGAGTTTATAATTGCTCTTACTGCTGTTTCCTACAGTGATGGTTCGAATGATCAGGACTACTCGGCTGATGCACTGCCAGCGGCTGTCTTACTTGACTCTGGGAGCTCCCTTACGTATCTTCCGGACTCTATTGTGCAAACCATTTATGATGATCTTGATGTCATCTACGAGGCCTCGGGCGGGGTTGGTTATGTGCCATGTGGTTTGGCGCAAAAGAATATCAATATAACATACACATTTTCTACACCCACAATCACGGTTAGTATTCGTGAACTTGTTCTTGAAGCCGGAGACCTTCGATTCCGGGATGGTTCGCGTGCATGCATCTTTGGGATTGTTCCTGCAGGAGATAGCACTCCTGTTTTGGGGGATACATTTCTTCGGAGTGCATATGTCGTATATGATATTGCCAATAATGAAATCTCCCTGGCCAATACCAATTTTAACTCAACAAAAGATAATATCCTTGAGATTGGAACAGGTGGCAACTCCATTCCTGGTGCCATAACAGTGTCCCATCCAGTCACATCAGTCGTTGCTGAGGATTCCGGCGCTAGAATTGGTGGTCCAGCAGCCACGCTGTTTACAGAGGTACCGTCAGCAAGCAGCGGAGGCACTGCTACTGCAGAATTGACACACATTCAGCTGCTTTTTGTTTTTGCAGTCGCTCTGGTCAAATATATTATAGCTTACTGATGTGTTCTTGTTGTTGCATTCCTACCACTGGTGGTGACATTGCGCTTGTCGGGCAGCTTAAATACAGAACGAGGCTATAAATAGTACTAGGTATTACCAGCTCTAAGCAAGTATATAAATACTAAAATACTTGTCAATATAAATTACTGCTATTGCGTTATTCCGAGATATTTCAATCGCCTGCTTATTAAGCATATATACACACCTAATTGTATAAATATTGCATATTTTACTCGGACTAAATGTCAAGGGTAGGCCGGAAATCGGCCACGTTCGGGCCCTGAATCTTTATCGATAAGGATACGGTAGTATCTTAATGACGCGTTGATGTATTGTCGTGATCCCATGACTGACTGTATTGTTATCTGTCGGAGGAAGGCGGTAGGGGAAGTAAGGTATAACAAATATTAGTAATATCTTTAATAGATTCTTATATTCTTATAATAATAATATATTAAAGAATAAATGGATTAAATTGCTCGTCTCCTAATTATAAAAATTACTTCTAAAGACCTGCTTTTATATTCGCATTTTGGTTTCCTTTTTGGGTAAATAAATTAATATTAAATTTCAGGTAAGACTTGCTTTAAAATTAAAAGAGTTATATAGCCAATTAATTATAGAATCTTATAAAAATAGATTAAAATATTTTATAATTTTTTATAATTTATAAATTATAACTTATAATTTTTCCATGGTTTTACTAATATTTTATAGTAGTAATTAATATTTAATATATTAGGCTCCTATTTCTAATATACCCCCTTAGCTTTTAATATATATGGGTATATTAAAGCTAATAAAGTAAATATATTAAATAATCCCTTTATTTTTAAATAATTTTTAATAAAATGTTTTGCATATAAGGAAGGGCTTTAGTAAATTTTTTATAGTTCTGACTTAATAATAATTTATAGTCTACAGGCATTTTTGACTTGATATCTATTAGATATATAGGTTTTATTTTAAATCTCCTGCTAAAGCTAATAATTTTAGATGTTAATATACTTTAATTTTGTTTTAAATATTAAATTTTCTTTAGTTAAGAGATAAATTATTTAATAGTTATTACATAGAATTTAAAACTTTTGATTTAGTATAAATTCTAGTAATTTAAATAGTCGCTTCCACTAATATAATTGTTTAGTTGTATTTAAAATAGCTAATAATTTAGCTTTAGTAGTAAAAATATTACCTGTTTTCTACTTTTTTACTACCTAATTAATAGGTTTATTAAATAATAGGTATATATAGTCTTCGGGGTTTTTTTAATTTAGGTTATCTGTATATACAGTATCACTGGCTAATATAAATATTAATTTAAATATCTAAATTATTAATTTTTAGATATTTTAAACTATATAAAAAAAATTGCATGATTTATTATATTTATATATTTTAATTTAGGATTTAGTAAAAATTTAGATAGTATTTGTATTAATTTTGCGGTGTTAGGTCTAGAAATTATAGTAGTTTATAAGGCAGACCCAACCTTTTACTAATATTTATTAATATATTAATCTAAAGCTTTGTAATTATTATTATTAGTGTTTTTAAATAGGCTTTTAGACAGTAAAGGGGTTTTAGGCAATTTTTAATTAGTAAGATAAAATTTAAATATAATTTTTTTAATATACCTAGGTATCTTAATATATCTATAATTTTTAATTAGGTCTGTCCCTAATAATTTTTATATTAAGAAATTTAGTTATTTTACCAAGATCTTTTATTTTATATATTTTTAAGAACTTAGTTTTAAATTTTTAAACAGTTATTTAATTCTTTATATAATATAATATAATTATATTATTAACAAAGATTATTAAAATAAGGTATTTATTTTAAAATAGGCATGGGTTTTTAGGGACTAGTTTTAAACCTAATTTTTTTAAAGTTTTACCTATTTCTTTTTACTATAATAGTAGTAATCTTTTTAATTTATATAGTACCTAATTTAATTTTAAAGCTTTATTTTTTTAACCAAAGCAGGGTAAAAATTAAATATAAACAGTCTTATCTAGAGCACTATTTAAAAAGGTGTTATCTATGTTAAATTATATAAATTTAAGGTTAAAAGCTGCTATTAAGGCAAATAAAGTTTTTAGGGTTCTTAAAGCTAGGGTAATTACCCTAGTATCTAGATTATTTATAATCTAAAGATTATATCTAATATATATTCTTTCTAGCTTTAAACTTAGCTAGATATTCTTGGTTATTAAACTTATATATAAAGACCTATTTTAAAGGTAAAATTTAATAACCCTTTATATTATTCTTTAATTATTAAAATTTAATATTTACAGCTTGAATAAACCTGTTTTTAAAAAAATAGTCTAATAGTTCTAACTAATTTTTTAGTAGGTTTAGTAAATCTTAATAAATTTTCTTGTCTTTTTTATATAAAGCTGTAGAAAAGGCTTTAAAAAATAATTTATACCTTTTTAATAAAAAATTAGGTAATAGGGTTCCATTATACTTAAAACCATTATAATACCTAATTTATATTAGTATATTAATAATTATCCTAAATTTTAATATTTTAATTATTATTTTTGGAGTTTTCTTAATATAATTAATAATCTTGAAAACATAAGTTATTAATTAATACTATTAGTAGTATATAAAATAGTAATATAAATTAATTACTAAGAATTTTGTTATTTTAATTATATTTAGGTTTTTAAGATTTATTATTTTTAGTATTTTAATTATAAAAATAATTTTTATCAAGATCTGTGGTTTGTTATTAATTTAATTATTTAGTATAATAATATTTTTAATAACTTGCTAAAATTCGTCTCTAGAAAACTTTCTAAAGGTTTTAAGTATTTTGTTAATTAAATTATTAGAATATTCCGAGTTATAAAATTAATTTTTATTAAATATGCAATCTCTGGTTAAAATAATCCTATTTTAGGTAGGAATCTATATTTTCTATATATTAAAGGTAATATAGCCTACTAGAAACCCTATATATACCCTAGGACTAAGTTTTTTAAGTCTAGGTATATATAAAGGGTATAGGCTTTGAACTATAAACCTTTAGATTTAAAATAGATGTTTCTGGGTTATATACCCAGGTTTTTCAGGCAATTTTTTATATAGGGTTTTATATAGGGTTTTCCACCCTTAATTATTTAGTAGGAGTCTGATTTAGAATATATATAGCTAATTTAATCACTTCTAGTTATAGGGCTTTAGGTAAACTTATAAAATTTATTAATAATCTTACTTTATTAATAATTAGAGCACCAGCTTTTTCTATATGTGGAATTTTATTTAGGCTGTTTAGGTAGTAACTTTTTATAAATTATACCTTTGTTTTAATAAAACTTACTAAAATTAATACAAGATTTCTGTTACTGTCTAAATAGAATTTCTTAACTTAAATTTTGAATTGGTTTTTAATATATTTTAAAGTATAATAGATTAATTTAATATTTTCAGGTTAATGTTATCCCCAAATAATATTTAGTTACTAGGTTATAAGTAAGATATATAAATCCCTATTATATATTTAATTTATATATAAATTATATCCTAGTAAATTAATTTAAATAGTAATTAGCCTATATTAATATATTTTTTTAATATTTACTTTTTTATTTTTAACATATTATATATAGGATAATTCTTAAAGTTATTATGTTCTACAGGTTTAATAAAAATATTATTTACTGCATTTTTTACATAACTTATAACCTTTTCACTAGGGTGCCCAAGACGTTGGTGCTATTTATATACAGAAGCTGTTTCTAATATTAGTTAAAGGTTCTGTAAGTTATAAATAATTAATTATTTTAATTATTCTAAGTTGAATTATCCTATTTAATTAAGGAAATCAATCCCTAATTAGTCTTTTAACATGCAGATAGGCTTTTAATTATAAATTTTAAGCTAATTATTTTAAGTATTATAATATAGTCCTGCAGCCTTCGCTTTTAATATAAAGATTAAATTAATATAAAAGTTAAGAATATATATAGTATTTAAAAGCTTAAACTATATATTTCCTTTTAATAATTTTAAGGGGGAAATATATACTATACCAGTGCCTTATAAAAATATTCCTAATTTTAATATAAAATATTAATTTTATTGGCTAAAAATTATAGAATTTTAATCTAGAATTGCAAATATAGATATTTAAAGCAGTATTAAAAGTTTATAAGCTTTTTAATAAATTTTCTAATTATTTTTGTAGTTATGGCTATTTTTAGTTTAGGATTTTAATTTGCTATTTTCTTTTAATAAAGCCTTTTTAAAGCAGTTTTAAATTTTTTACTTTTATTATAAGTATTATTAAATTATTTTTAAACCTTTAAGTTTATATCTTGGTTTTAAGCTAATTACTGGATATATTTGTATTTATTAAAATAGTGGTAACTATTATTTAGCTTTAAATTACACAGACATGGCCTTTGTATAGTATAGTTATTAATTTTAAATATTATTTAAGTAATATTTATCTGTTTTAAAGGCTTTAGTTTAGTTTAATTAAATCCTAAAACCTTTTAGTTATTTAAAAGAATAAAGGTATTTTTTTTTATTATTTTTTTTCTTTTTTATTAGCTTATCCTTTTATAATTCTGCAAAATTCGGTGAAATAATTAAAGTAGCTTTAATAAAATTATATAAAGATTTTATATTTTGCTAAATTTTACCTATATTTAGCTCTACTACTTTAGTATAAATATTTTCCCATTGGAAATCTATAATTTAATAAAGCTAACTCAAGGTGCTTTTTAAATTATATAATATTTTTAAATAATATGCCTTTTTATGATTTATTAAAAAGTACTATTTTAGATTTTAATATTAATAATATATTTAAGGCTAAATTATTTCCTATAATAGCTTGCTTATTATTATAGGATATTAAATTAGTAATAATAAATAGTATATAAAAAATACTATTAATTATTTAATTATATTCCTTAAATTTTATATTATATTCACAAATTACTTTATGCTATAAACCGGTTATACTTTTTGGTATT